CGTAAAGCTCGCGGTGTTTTTGCCTTTCCAATGATCCAGGCTGGAAGTCTATCTGTTCCAGAAGCGTTGACACAAAATACAAGACTGATCCGAGTCTTATCCTTCTTTAATCCAGCCTGAGATTGAGTAGCAAGTCCTCGAGATGGCATCATCTTCCAAAAGAGTCCTGATTCATCCATATTATAGATATTTTCCTCCGAGTATTCCCCTGCAATTGTTCGTAATGCCTTCATTTCATCTTCTGACTCTGGAACTGAGCCTGCTTCTCTGTGTTGAATTCGTACTTTGATATTATGTCGTTCTTTAAATCGTCAAAGCCAGCCTACACTGAAGTCTGGGCAGACTGTGCTGTTGTTATGTGGAAGGCGTTCCCAGATTTGTCGCGCCTTTTGTTGAAGTAGATCACCAGTTGTAAACCCTCCATTCGACTCAATTCGAAGTTGCCAAGTAAGAAGAAGCTTTTCGACTTCAGGCCAGTTTCTAGTTCGTAATTGTAATGGTGGGTGCACCAGATGTGAGAATCTAGCCACCCAAGGAAGGGATGATTTTACTAAGACAACACACTGTCTTAGGAAACAGAGCCAAAGGGTCATAGCTTAGACTATTCCATAACGCAGCAATCAGGTGTATGATGTAGTGGAGTGGTTTAGACAAGTTGTAACAAATGTTGAGTCTGAGAACTCAGGGATAAGTCAGGGCTTAGCACCTCACTGACTTTTCAGAAACAAGGAGTAACAAGATCAATGCTTGGAAGCTTGGAAAAGACGTGGAAGTATGTGATAGTTGATTTACTGTATTGTCTGCTTGCCCTTTCTTAAGGAAAGGGCAATCCTATTTATGCTAAAGGAGTGTAGTTCTCTCATTTTCCAAGACTTTCCATGACTAACCAGGCTTGGTAACTGTAGTCGACGTAAGAGAATCCCATAGAACCATCTCCTATGTTCCTAGCCTATAGGAAGTGAAAGGAGGTCCAAGGTCAGAGTACCCCTATAGACAGATTATGTCATAACTTAACCAATCTTGTGGGTAACTAAGGAGCGATGACGTGTAATGAATCATAGACGGTTGTAGAAGCTTTTGGAGCTATCGTTCATGTTCCTAGGCCTCTAGTTGATAGAGATATGTCATGTGTAGTATTAGCCCAGTAACTAAGGAGTGATGTCATGTAATGAATCATAGAGGGTTGTAGAGATATGCTATGTGGTCATATCGGCCCAGTAACTAAGGAGCAATGACGTGTAATGAATCATAGAGGGTTGTAGCAATCGTTGAGTAGTATTGCTCTTGTTGTTGGTGTGACAAGCCAAAATATGTATAGTGACTTGTAGGTTTGAGGAGGAGATTTCTAAGTTTGCTCTTGAGTTTGATAGCAAACTGAGTGCAACGAATGTCAGTATGACAGTAATCGTGCTCTGTTGGTATTAGGAGCTTCATCAAGGCTGTCAAAGTGATGGCTGAGAGACTCAGAGACTGTCGACTGGCTAAGTTTGTGGTTATATTGCTGGAGGAACCATTCAATACACTGCTTTTGAGTTGGCTTTTGATGTTGTTTCTGAGCCCAGGCACGAAGGGCACGGCGTTGTTTGAGTAGAATACTTTCGAGGCATTCTGAAGGTCAAGAAACACACATTGGTTGATGGATAATATGATAATTGGAGGCAGAATGACGATTATCTTGAATATCGGACAATATATGGTGTTTTGATTCAGTGCGAGAAAATATATCGCACAATTAAATATATCTGCTAACTGAACATCGTCTTAGCGGCATTTGACTGTAGTGGATAAGGTAGCTAAGCCTCTATTAGTAAGTGCTTAGAGATTAGTCTGTTAAATACCACACTTATTGCTCGTACCTACGGTTATAGCACGTTGCCTACCTAAACCCTTACAAGTTTCATACTATAACTACAAAACTAATTTCAAAGCAACGGACAACTACACATGACAAATCAGTTATCATTAATTGGTTTTAATGATATAAAGGATTCTTGCAAATGCATAAGATCAAGTCAAGCAATCTATGGAATATAGACAAGACTAGATTTCGAATTGGGATTCTAGGTAGAGAGCAAGTTTTAGTTCTAATTAGAGTTCATGAGCTATACACACTAAGTCCTGAAAACTGAAGCTTAATTACAGTTGTTAAAGCTGTTTCTACAAATGGAGATACAATCCCACCTGTTCTTATTACAGTTGAACCTAGATATAAGGATGCCCTCAGGACCGGGCGTGGCATCCTTATAGCGAGGATATCCTTATGTGGAGGTTCACAGAAATCTGAGGAATATATATAAAAAAAAAAATTGTATGCTACTTTGACACCCAGCCATCTAGTGAATGTTGGGTGGGTACTCTTCGCGACTTTCTCTTGCGAGATATCCTTGCCAATCTGTTCTAATGCCTTTATTACTGAAATCCGACCTCCATCTTCAGCAAGGGAAGCAAATAATTGAAGGGTATTCAGCGCCTAGCTTGCTTCCGCAAGTGATGGTTGGATCTCTTCCTCTTCCCCTTCCTCGTCCCTGTCTGCAATCCCATCCTACTCTGTAATAGTGTATCTCTGTACTACAGCTTTGAAAATATCTTCATCTCTGTCAACTATCTCTTCGCCTATAGGGTTGAGAAAATCTGCAATTGGCATGACATCTCCTGGTAGCCTCGCAATTTCCATTCCCAGTTCCTTGACCTCAGCAGTATTATCTTGACGCATATCCATATTTTCTGGTTTTTTTATGAGAGTCGATCGCCACCAACACTTCTGGATTTTTGGTGCTTCAAGTGCTTCCCACGTAAGTCGACTCCACTGTATCACCTTTAGAATATTAACTGTTTTATTAGGGTTCTTATTGGCCTCGAGCTGGCGCAACATGTAATTAATCCATTGTTTTCGATACCCAAGTTTGAAGCTTGCAATTATTCCCTGATCGAGAGGTTGCCAATGAGATGTCGTATTTGGTGGAAGCCAAGCAATTCGAACATTCGACAAACCTTGTAATCCACCAACAAGTTCAACTCCGACTTCATGTCCAGAGAAGTTATCAAATAATAACAGTATCTTGTGATGCTTCATTTTCTCATTTAACCAGTCTAGGTATTCTTTCATAATTAGCCCTGTCATCCATTTTGTCTCGTTGTATCGATATTTAATCCGCATGCGCTTAACATCAATATTTTTAAAATATTGAGGATTCTTCGACTTTCCCACAACCCATATATCTAGCTTCTCAGTTCCAGTCGAATTTGTCGTAAATGCGAGAGTAATCCGATCTTTGGATTTCTTTCCCCCACTCGAAGCTTCAGTGGCTAGCGTTCGAGTTGGCGTCATCTTCCAAAAGAGCCCAGTTTCATCCATGTTGAAAATATCTTTATCTGCATATGTTGCGCATAGTTGTCAGAGATCTTCCATTTGCGCGATATTTGTAGGATTGTGGATGTCTGCTGCAGCTGCTTCTCTATGTCGAACATATTCCTTAATCTTAAATCTCTTCTTGAATCCATCTAACCAGCCATTAGACCATTTTGGTTCATTCCTATGAATAGTATATTGTGGCAGACGGTCCCAAAGTTCGTGTGCCTTAGTTTTTAGAATGTCACCAGTAATGATCACATTTTTCTTTTGCATGCATTGTTGCCAGTCGAAGAGAGCTTTCTTGAGTTCAGGATATTCGCCATTACTTTTTCTCTTTATGCCAAGTTCAGTCTTCTTCCATGTATCTGAGTCGAGATATTGGTACTTTGTGGAAAGAATTGAGGATATTTGGCCTTGGCTAAGTTGGCGACCTTGAGCTTGAGCGGCATACCAGGCTATAAGTGCAGGCTGAGTGCACGGGTGGCTGGCATATCTGCGTCGAATACATTGTCGCTGAACATCGGTGACTGCGTGCCTTTTTTTTGGTTGCGAGGCCTCTACCGAGGATATCCTTATAAGCAGAAGGGGTAGTTGGGCAAATAGAGGTAGTAATATGGTAGGAGATGATGGTTCTGATGAAAGTGATGAGGAGAGTGTAGTTTTCACGTTGTAGGAATAAATGAGAAGAAATACATACTTTTCTATATAATTTTCTATGTGAAGATGCCTACTTATTTTGCCCTGAGAGGAGACACTTGCTTACTGGGGGACACTCGCTTCCTCCGACTGTGAGCGAAGCGAACAGCATACTGAAATAATAGTCACCCTCCACCCACCCTCACCTACTAATGCCCAACAATCCTCTTCGGCTGATACAACTCCTCCAAATACCCCTCCTCCTCCTCCGTCATCCTCCGTCAACCTCTTCCCCCTCACCCCCAACGCCTCATCAATCCTCTTTACACTGCTAAACCCCACAATCGGACTCGTCACCCTCTTCCCACCCACGCCAACGCAACCTCTAGCGGAGGTGGACAAAAAGATCGTGGGGAGGGTGGCGGAGGTGGCGGGGAAGAGGGGGTGGACGATTCCCTTTATTCCTCTCCGTCTTATCGAATTCCTGTTTAATAGCATAGTTTATCCTCTGATTTCCCCCGGCTCAATTCTCGTCGATACAGAAAGTATTAATCTCACATGAAGTGTTGACGATACGAGTATATGTACATCCCCCTCCAAACACAGCTCCACTATCGCACCTTTCCCCCCAACCCCCACAACCCCTCCTCCATCCCTCTCGCGTTGCCGTTTTGTTGCAGAGGACAGACGGCTGGGTGTGAGTTAATAGGTTTGCGGGCGGATAATTGGATTCTAATTGCCAAGTTGGGAAGGTAAGGTATATTATGGCTTTCGCTCTCCTATCTTGGAATATTTTGATGTAGATGTTCGAGGAAAATATGAATATTTCGGTTGTCTATCGATTTTTGGTATCTTTTGGTATGTCCATAAATCCATCATTATGATCAAAATCGCAACCTCCAATCCGCCGTTCCGCTCATGAAAATGCAATATTGCTGACCCATTTATCAAAATCATCTCTCACCCAACACAACCTCCATCCTGCCCACTCGCTCATGAAACCACAATCCTCCTAACCTCCCAACCCCCTCCCCCCTCCCTTCCTCCTCCTCCCCAACTTCACCACCCTCGCCCCCTCCTCCCCCTCAAACCTCTCATTCCCCACCATAACAACCTTAACCATATTCCCAAACCCCACCGCCACGCTCCTCCTCCCCACCCCCACCACTGTCTCACATCCCATCACAAACAGCTGCTCCCCTCGCCCCCCCTCTCCGGCACAATCAACACTATGCCTCTCCCCCCTCGCCGACAGCGTCCACGCCTCCCAGCCATCCGTCTCCTCGACTCTCTGGCCGCGAGGCGTGCCAGCGCGACGATGACGGAGGCCGGATGCGCTGCTGCTGCGGGAGGAGGAGTCAGAGGGCGATGAACGGCGGGATGCGCGGTGTTTGGTTATGCCCACGATTGCGCCGCACGGGAGAGCTTGCCAGGCCCCGTCGTGAGGGACTTTATGGATGGTGAGGATAGCGGAAGTCCAGGTGTTGAAAGGTGGATTGCTGGGCGGCTGAGAGGGCGTGACGCAGATGAGATCGCCGTCTTGGGAAGGGGAGTAGGTGTGGAGGACCGGGTTGCCAGTCAAGCGACTGTTATAGGCCAGGGAGAAAGATGCGAGGCCGTTGTGGCCGCAGGAGGCGTGGCGTTTGACGGTGTGGAAGCATTGGAGGGATGAGGGTCTTGCATCGAGGTCGGTGAAGGTGTGGAGGGTGGCTTGGGAGGAGATGTGAATTAGGATTGCGGTGGTGTCGGTGATGGCTAGGAGGAGGCCAATTTTGGGGAGGGGGAGGATGGCTTTGACTTTTTGGGGGGCGGAGGGGGGGAATAGTGGGATGGTGGTGGAGTCCCATTTGTTGTCGAGCTGGGAGGCGAGATGGATGGTGCCTTTTGTGGTGAGTACGACGATGTGGAGAGAGGGCTTTGTATCTGTGGTGGTAGCTAATATGTGTCAGCTCGGGATTCTAATAAGAAAATGATCGCTGTATCATTTTGGTTATAAAACTTACGCTTTGCCACAAACTGTTTGGCGGAGGAAATCAGACCCTCCCATGGCTGTAATTCAACTATCTGATTCGCAGATTCAAGATGAAAGTTAACCTCGATCAAGAGCCCGCTTGTCCAGACAATCAGCAAAGAAGCAATCGATCCAGGTTTGGCGGATTTGAACGAGAACAATGGAGGCGCTCGAGCCTCGGTTCCTATAATACGAGAGGGACCCCATTGTTTCTCATTGATATTCCACAGCATCAATCTGCCAGTCACAGAAAGGAGCGCGACCCATTCTGCCTGTTCGTCAATTGCCATAGCAAGGATCGGAAATGGGTAGAGTTCGTTGGTGGTAGGCGATATATAGTGACTCCGATCATTTTGTTGCAGATCCCAGACCCTAATGCGGCGATCCAGGCCAACAGAAACAACCACACCGTCTGGCGACGCCGAAAGCATGACAACATCAAGATCATGTCCTGGTGTCAGTGTTGTAACTGTCATTAATGGGTCCTCCTTATGAATTGTGCCGTCGTCGTCTTGACTCGTGTCCTCCTCGTTCCAGAGGAGATAATTCATGAGCAATGAAATGGCAGCAACAACAATCAGAACGCTCACAACAAATATAGTTGACTGATTCCGGGCAAAGTCATAAGCGGCGGGCAGGAACCTTCGGACGCCTGCCTTGGTTGGTGTTCGGTCCGACGAGTCAAGCACAAATACCAAGGGGTCGTAGACGCGGGCAATGTAGCTATGCGTATCTGGCTTGATAACGTGGATGACTTCTCGGGCAGTCTCGTGGTCCTGCATTCGGAGCCAGGCTGTTGGGGACCTCGCTTGGTTGATGTCTACAGATAGCTGCGAAACTGGAGGAGGTGATGACAACTGATGATCTGGGCGAACGAATTGCAACGCTCGTGATAGCGTCCGAAGCGGGGACTCATTGTTGAAGAAGTGCCCTTGTAAAACCAAGATGAAGCAGACCATTACAATGGTGCCGGCGATGCGTGTAGAGATTGGAGTTTTGCCACTGAGAACGGCGCTCACCCACGCATTTTGCCTCTTCGGTTTTACAGCACCGAGTTTTTTGCGTTGGGATTTCACGGTTTCCAAGGAGTCACTCAACTCCGTTCTTCGGACATCGACACTCAGGACGGCCACGAAGAAGGTAAGCAGCAGGACAAAATCGAAAATTAAGGCAACTGCTGCAAAGATACAGAAGGCAGCAACACCAGGCGCGACGACTTTAGATAGGAGGTAAAGGATCAGCAGATCCTGGCCGACACCAGCCAACGCAATAGGGCCTGCCTGACCGAGGGCCTCACCGATTCTTGATGATGTCTTGCTCTGGGATGGAGTTATAATGACGGCGTTTACGAGGCGGAACATGTTCTCTAGCCCAACTGCCACGACAACGAAGGGATACACCTCCCGAGGGATTCTCGAGAGATCAATCTTTAGGATGGCACAAATTGTGAAGCTTCCCATGATAGATATCACCGTTTGCGCGACAACAGTTAACATCAAACCAAAACGAGACTTGAGCGCTCGCAGCTTCGTCAAGCTCAGCAAGAAGTAGATTACTGTAATGCTATACGCAATTGCAAGGAATATATCATCTTGAAGCGAGAGTGGCTGGAACTTGAACTCGTAGACCTGGCTATTGTTTACGCGTCCATCGCGTGGATACATGCGCCATGGGCTTCTCGATGACTGTGCTAATGCTTGGGCCTGCCTCTCCCATTGCCGGCCAACAGGAGAGTCCAGCTTGTGGACCAAGGTTATGACCAGAGCATCGGCAGCTACCAGGCGGTGGTCTTCGAAGCGTTTGCCGCTAAACACAATCGAGTGTCTGAGAGTCACATTGACTGATGTAGAGCGCCGTGAACTTTCATTAACGGTAGAAACAATGTCATCATCCTCAGCGATGGCATCTGGAGAGCAGGACCAGTATAGAAGCGGGGAATGGAAGAACCACGACTGCTCACTGAGGCCATTGATAGCATGAAAGGAGTCTCGCATTTCTAAGCTGAGGGGCCCATCGTGGCCCGCAGATTTTCCAAGTCCCGCGGATAGCTTAGGGTCGAAGTTGATCGTTTGCCCCAACAATGCATCCTGGATCTCCAGCCCGGCTAGTAGCACATCCCGACCCAGGGCTTTCATATAGCTGCCGTGGACCCATATAGATCTCATGACAACATCTGGTTCGGCGCCTATATTTTCCTGTACTGGCTGTGCAGCGGTCCAAACGTGGTGGGGTAAATTCGAGGCGCCATTTGTGAAGTTGTTCGTGTAAAGAAATGGAAATGGGTATATTAAACATGTCGCTAATGCTACTGATATCAATATCGTAATGACTGGATGTCGAGAAGCTTCTCGTCCACATCGTGTGAAGCTGCGCCGAAGGGGATGTGCGGGGCTAAGACTCGGAGGTTCAGTCGTCCTAATATAAGTGTTAGATTCCAAAGAATAGCATGCAATTTGCCTGGGATGTAGCACTCACCCTCTGAACGGGTATAGAAAGTACCAGATCATCGCAGCAGGCGCGCTACGCTGGTAATGTTGAGAGGCTGCGTTCAGCCAGTCGGCCAGCAAAACAGGTAGATGCCCGATTTCATGGAGGCAAGGCTTTGTCTTCGATATCCACCCTGCAGCCAAAGTAACAAGTGGATATTCTGTGCTGGGAATCACGACGAGGAATCTGAATCGTGTTTTCAGCCACACCCATGACTAAGCCCTAACCCTCTTTCGTAACAAACCTCACGTGATGCCCCACGCTCCCGTCGAGCCTCAATATCAAATATTCGCCACAAATGTTATTGGAGAGCTTGCGTTGTCTTGACATATTGTCTTACCTCCATGTCTTACCTTCATGCCACCTTGATAAATCGTCTCGGCTAGCTTATCGAGCCTCGGCGGCAGTATCCATGAAGAATGTGTGATTCGGCTTATCGGCCTATCGGCAATTTTCTAAGGGCGGCATGCTCTTTCCCTACGCCGAATTGATTGTCAAATTGATCCCCAGCTACCAACGAATAGGACCTGATTCTGTGGCTGTTCAAAGGATAATGTTTGGAATGTCTTCGGGTGTGTATTTCTCTACAGTACCCTATATCTTGATGGGGCACCAAAAAGCATCAGAGCCCATCCGTCCAGAGCCACAAGCTTCAGGGAAGCTTGTGGCTCTGGACTGAAAAGGAGTGGATCACACACCAACAGTAGTGTTGGCGCCGTCGCTGGAGGATTTTGTGGAGGCTGTTGGAGGGGATGGGTTCGAAACGACGCGTGTGCGGTAGGTATAGTAGTTGCAGGCTGTGGGCTGTAGGTCATCTATCTTATCTATGGCTTCACAAATCAAAAGAAAGACCCATTGGGAGTGGTGGTTTGTATCTCAGTTCATTCTGTCTGCTGTTTCTCTCTGGTATTATTGCATGGTACACAAGGCCTGTATCTACACCTGATATCTAGTTGTATCAAGTGTCCTAAACTCTCAGCTTGGATTCCCACTGACAAACAGGTCGTGGACTAGAAAAATTGCCTCCGAGAGTTTGCTGGGAAAGATTTAGACCACAAGTGCACCTGCTGGTCTCTTCCCCTTCTTCTTCTTCGCCTTCCTGATTTTGCGACAAATCTTCTTAGCCGTAGCAGCGCACACCTTGAAGGGCTTGACTATCTTGGTGCGGATCTTTCTGCAAAAAAGTGTAGCGCGGCTGGCCTTGATTTGGTAGTAAACGCGATCTTGACGATAAATCGTAGCCTCTCCTTGGGCCGCAACAAGCTGGCGGAGCGAAAGGGCCTCATTATCATTAAGCATGCGAATGAGATCATAGCCATGGTTGAGGATCGGGTCCGAGGTATCCAGGAACTTTTGCAGCACAGCGATAGCTTCCTCCAACTCCTCCGGGGTGGCACCCTTATCATTGCGGAGGCGGTCTTCAGCAGCATCAATGGCCTCGTACTGCTGTGAAACATTGTCCCAGACGCTGCCATATTTGCAGAAGGCTTGGAACTTCTCCCCTTGGAGCTTCATAACTTCTTTGCGCATAGTATTGCCAGGCTCGCCTGTGATCATGTTAGTGATAGGACTTCACAGGGTTCATCATCAATACATACGAGTTGGGCGTTGATCGCCAAGATTCAGCATGAGTGTTCTCAGTTCCTCCTGAGTCATCATCATGACACCTGTGGGTTGATGTTAGCATGGTGCCAGTTGGCAGCAGCAATGGGGCTTCTCTCACGGGAGAATGAAGCAGTTCCACAGAGCTCGACGGCATCTTTGATCTGCTTGGCACGCTTTTTAGCAGCAGCCTTGTCGGCCGGGGACAACCTAGGCATGGCTGTGAAGTTGTCTTTTGAGTGATGTTGTGTTGTTACAATAGCACTCAAACGCCAAAGTCGAGGTTAGGGCTTTGGCGTGACCCCCATCGCCGTGGCTGTTGTCTTGCTGCGGCTAGGGGGTCATGGGGATTTGACCCCCGCGTGCTCTGTTGCCGCTATGGTTGTGGGATGGCCGGCGCTTGCTGTGGCTAGAGGCTCATTCCAGTTGAGCCCCATCACAGCTGGAGTATCATTTGAAGATGAACTCCATCGTTGCAAGAGTCTCTTTCTCACAGCCAGAGTCTTCTTCATATCTTATTCTCATGGCTGGACCTCCTTTTCACAACCAGAGTCTCCCTCTCACAGCTGGACACTCACTCCAGCTTGACCCCTATCATGGCCAGAGACTCACTGTGGTGTGAGCCATACCACAGATGAAGCATCATTTGGAAATGAACTCCTTTATCATAAGAGTTTCTTTCTCACAGCTAGAGTCTTCCTCTTATCCTATTCTCATGGCTGGAACCTCTTTTCACAGCTGGAACCTCGTTGTCGTTGGAGCCTTGTTTGTGGCCGGTGTCTGTATCTCTCTTTAGCTGGTGCTCCAAACATACCCCTTTATGTGCTATAGCATTTTTTTTTCATGAGCTTTTCCATTGTTGGTCTCATTTTTATTGCTAGAGTCTCCTTCTCATAGCTGGAATCTCCTTTCCATTGGATTTGTGGGAAGTGTCTTTGTCTTTCTCTTTAGCAGATTGTCCAAACACTCTTTCATGTTCTATGCATCGATGCTAGATATCTTTATAGATATAAACGGAGATGGAAGAAAGCGTTGTGTGCTCGGTGAAGGATTTCGTTTTGGTGCCATCAAGTTAAAGGCAGCAGTGTTGCATCACGAAGGTTGTTTTGCCGGTGTCTTTGTCTTTCTCTTCAGCTGGTGCTCCAAACTCACTCCTTTATTTGCTATGCACCGGTGCTGGATATCTTTATAGATATAAACAGAGATGGAAGGAACGCGTGTACTCAGCGAAGAATTTGGTCTCGGTGGCATACCATCAAGCTGAAAGCGGCGGTGTTGTATCACGAAGGTTGTTTGTGGATCTAGCTTATTTATGGTACGGTTGGAACAATACTATTATTCGCTATGGCGACGACGACGGCCTCGACGGCCTCAGGCCGTCGAGTCCGTCGAGTCCATCGAGGCCGCCGAGGCGACTATCTCCTTGCCTAACCCCTATACAAGATATATCAAACGCTAGAGACAATACAGTCCCCCCCTTTTGACAGTTACTCTCCCTGAAGGCAACTCATGCGCTCAGCCTCAGTTTCCAATGGCCAGCTGGGATTATCTATCTATTAATTTGGCAAAGCCCTCGATGGCGCAATCATTGAAAGTGGAATTGGTAGAGCGTCGCCATGGACTGATAACAAGCCAAAAAACCTCTTATACCAAACCATTCGTGTGTGGAATATTACGTTTATGTTGAACCAGTGATTGATGTTTTCTTCCACTCGGTTTCCCACATCCCAAAGATTCTTTATGGGGAACTTGCTCTTCTGTTTTGGGTCCATCAGCTGGGTCATTATGCTCATAGACGCGTGGATCATCCTCTGTAAAATGCCAGTTTTGGCAAACCCCTCGAACAGCCCAATAAAGTGCAGCATTCCCGGCATCCCCACTTGCAACGTCTTTTCCTCCTTAAATATGGTTTCAAAGAATTTGGTGTAGAGCCTGATTCCCGCGTTCCATAGGCAACGGTATCTCTCGAGCGGCTCACATGCTGTAGGGACAGTGAGTACCCAGAATGGAGTCATGTATGCACTTGCGGCTGGATTTTGTCAGCATAAGCATATGCGTACATATTAGATTTGGGTTTCATACTGAATATGACCTTAAAATTTTCACATTCTATCGGGCCCCAGCCTGGGTGGGACAGATCTTCTCGCCATGTGCCGGTGAAGTTATGTGGACGTGATCGTGGAAATATTCGTGGAAAGGCTTCTTCTTCTTGCCGTGTTCTTTTGCCAATGCCTCTATGGGGGGCAGTTTTGCTTTTCTGACGAGGTGTCTGATTTCCAGGCGCTAACGCATCTTTCCAGGTCAATAAAATCCCACTCTGTGGGTCAGTTATCGTACCTTGTTGTGACTTCTGTCCCTCGACAGCTTTTCCTTTGCCGTTGGCATCTGGAGACTGTGGTTGTTTGCCTGCAGCATCGAGCGCCTTCTGCATATTTCCTCGCGCCTCATCGTACTTGTAAGCGAGGGCCTTAAGTTCCTCCCAATGTGACGTGCTAGCATCGGTAATTCCCTTATCCAAAGCTTCCTGGTAAGAGAACCTCAATGCCGAGACAGTAGCCTTGTGCTCATCGGTGAGCAACTTGATCGCCTGCCTGATCTCGTCTGATGCAGATGCATGTCCCTCGTTGGCTTTGCCCTTGCCCTTTCTATCTGGCAGCTCTGGTTGTTCAACTGCTTCATCCTTGCTCTTTCCATCTAGTGGCTCTGGTTGTTCGACTGCTTTACCTTTTCCCTTGTCATCTAGCAATTCTGGAGGTTCAGCAGCCGTGCCTTTCCCTTGATCATCTGGCGGCCCTAACGGTTCAGCAGCTTTGCTTTCCCCTTTGTCATCGGGCGACCCCAGCGGTTCAACAGCTTTGCCTTCCCCTTTTTCATCGGGCGAGCCTAGTGATTCAACAGCTTTGCCTTCTCCCTTGTCATCGGGCGGCCCTAGCGGTTCAGCAGATTTGCCTTCCCCCTTTTCATCGGAAGGCCCTAATGATTCAACAGCTTTGCCCTTATCTTTGTTAACCGGCAGTCCTGGTGGTTCAGCTGATCTGTCCTCGCTTATGTTATCTGGCGTCTGAACTGCTTTGTCTTTGTACTCGATATCTGGCAGCGCCGTCGTTTGGACTGCCTTGGTTTTTGTATCCAGAGTTTGAACTGCTTTGTCTATATACTTGCGATGTGGCAGCTCTGTCATTTGGACCGCTTTGTCTTCGCCTTTGGCATCGGCTGGCTCTGATAGTTCATCTGCTTTCCCTTTGCTCTTGGCATCCGGTGGCTCTGGTAGTTCATCTGCTTTCTCTTTGCCTTTGTCATCTGGTGGCTTAGATGGTTCATGTGGCTTCCCTTTGCCTTTGGCAACTAGTGGCTCTGATGGTTCAACTGGTTTTCCTTTGCCTTTGGCATCCGGTGGCTCTGATGGTTCAACTACTTTGCTTTTTCGTTTATCATCTGGCAGCACCGTCGTCTGGACCGCTTTGTCTTTCACTTTGGCATCTAGTGGCTCTGATGGTTCAACTGCTTTCCCTTTGCCTTTAGCATCTGGTGGCTCTGGTGGTTCAACTGCTTTTCCTTTTCCTTTGGCATCCGATGGCTCTGATGATTCAACTACTTTCCCCTTACCTTTAGTCTCTGCTGATGGCTTCACTGGTTGAACTACTCTTCCCAGTCCTTTGGTAAATTTCGGTAATCGTATAATGGATGTGCCAATGACTTTCGGATGCTTGGGCCGTTTCGCCTCTTTGCCTTTGTCTTTACTTTGAACTACAGTCTTGACTTCAGTGCCCAACATCAGTACTATGAACCAACGGCACTGCATTATACTCACCTTGAATGTGCGGGACATGTATCTCCCACCCATCGTCTGTCTGCGTGCCCTGTGATCTAAACTGCGGCATGCTCCAATTAATAAGATTCGTGGCATGAAAATGCGCGAGTTTCTCAGAATCGGCTCTGAGCTTTTCAGCTGACTCCAATTTTCCCCAATATAATACGCGGGGACGGGGATGGGGAGTCATAACGTCGTGGATAATAATAGCTATGATGCCCAATAGTTGGAGCATTGCAGAGGGGGAAAGCAGACAGGCTGGATGAAGTAGGTTGGCCTGATGCTTTTGAAGAATTAGAACGGAAGGGACGACGGAATCATGCAGCGCCCTACTGTCAATCTTGCGTCCTTCGCAGCTTCCGCATGGACTTTCTTCCAAGGAAGCTACAGGAAGGAAAGAACAACGGCATCCTGTTCCTCATATAGCGCCTACATCCTTCGCAGCTTCCTTGTGAACTTTTGTGCAATCTACAGGGAGGAAGGAACGAAGGTATTCTGTGCCTTCCTGGTATAAAACTCATGCTCTCCCAAGAAAACTGCGAGAAGGAAGGAACGATGGTATCATATCTCGTGCCTTCTAGATCTCACCCTCGTGTCCTCAGTAGTGTACCATTTTTCTGCTAGGTGAACATACTAGAAACTGTATTTAACTTTTAGTAATACAAATAAGTTACATCTTCGGAAAGCAGCATGAAAAGATAAAATTTCTGATGCAATAATATTTGAAATAAATGAAGGGGCCGCTAAAATACAGTTTTACAACAAGGGTAGTTAAACAAGGAGGCGTTATAATATACTGAAGCAGAGAGATTAAAAGTATAATATATATTGTATTGTATAATAGATGAGGTCCATGAGATGATACATAATAATATTTGAGACGATGAGGTTTCGTCGTGACGTATCCAACTCCTTACGTGTAAGGTCTGATAGCTTCTGTAGATTGGAGGCGCCTTAGAGCCTCAAGTATGTCCAGTAGGGTTCGCCGTAGCTGATCTCGTCGCACTCAGCTTCATTGTCTCGCCACGTGCCTCAGCTTCTCGCTGTGCTACCTCCTCCATCTCTGCCATCTCATCGACAGTCAAAGAACTCTCGGCCTTCTTCACACGCACGAACAGTACCAAAATCAGCAGCGCAGTCGACGCACAGGCGACTTCGAACCAGAATACTGCCTGGTAGCTCTTCTTTTGTCCAAGTTTAGCCAGAGTCGAAATATTCACGATATCTGCCAACCCAAGACAAACCGAGATGCTAAGATGTAGAACCAGCATAATCAAAGCGCCGGCCAGACCTTGCTCTTTCTTGGGTAAACTAGTGGTGATGAAGATGTTCGCTACATTGAAGGTGATATCGATGCCCATCGTAGCAAAGATCATGCTGGGGAAGACGTAGGCCCAGTAATTGGCCCCATTAGGTGCGATGGCAAACATTAGCGGTGCGAGGATCCAGGCGACGCCGGCCACGTAGATGAGCACCGTTCCGGATAGGAGATGCAGGATGAAGCCTCCGAATGTGGAGATGCAGATACCGCCAAGAGCCATTGGCGTGTACCAGGCAACGACGAGGAGAGGAGAGGCGCCCATGATAGCTTGCATGTAAAATGTTGCGAAGAGTAGAAGTACACCCAGCGACCCGTAAGTGAAGAAGAGCGCGCAGAAGAGAGGTGTCATGTAGCGCACTTTGAATATGGATACCGGGATTAGAGGGTCAGCAGCAACGTACCCTTCGACATAGACTGCAGTGAGGAGTAGGAGACAGCCGACGACGAAGAGAACATAGATGTAAGGCGTTCTCCACCCCGGGGGTGCATGCGACGAATCTATTATGGCGAAGGTAAATAGAGTTAGGCCGGTAACTATCAAAATTGCGCCTAGCCAGTCCATTTTGATACCTAACGCTCGGCGGTCTTTGGTGTCGGAGGGAATATAAAAATATGAGGTGGCCGTGGTGATGAGCGTGAGGAGCATGCCAATCCAGAAGAACCAGCCCCATGTGGTATACTGCCCAGCAATACCTGCAAAAAAGATGCCAGTACTAGTGTTGTTAGTACCAATATCACGATGTGTGAGCGAAAAATGACTTACAAGAATCCTATCGGCGCGCAAGCTCCATAAATAGAAAATACAAGGTTTTTCCTCGGCCCTGGTCTGTAAATGCTTCCTATCAACATCATACTGCTTGGTAAAAATGCTGCCGATCCCAAACCTTGCAGGGCACGGCAAACGTCTAACATTATCGCATTCTTAGAGAATCCACAGACCAAGCTCCAGAGGGCCAGCCAAGCCATGCCACCGACGTATAATGGGTAGCCGCCATACATGTCCCCGAGACGGCCAAACACCAACAGGAATGCCGCAATGGCCAGGGAAAAGGCTGATGCAGGCCAGATGCTGGATGCTTTGGGGATGTTTAGCTCCACAACCACGGTCGGGAGAACGACGGTGAATCCCGAGACGAAGTATTCCTGCAGCTATTAAATTCCAAACCGACGAGTGTTTTGGGACCTGACTTACACTGAGCACCTGGGACATGGAAATTGAGAAAACAAAACCGATTTCAGCCCAGAGGGACTTGAATTCTTGGGGTCGCTCACGACCGAGCCGCTCGATTCTGGCTTCCAACGACTCCTCTTCGAGAGCTTCATCACCCAAGTCGCCTTCACTGCCGTTCTGGATATCAGCACCTATTGGCTGCTCTCGCCCAATACCATCATCATCGCCCCTTCCGCTAGTGGTGGGAATGTCATAATTGAGGTGTAATGGCCCAGGAGCGTCACCCAGCGGGCTTTTCTTCTCCGTGTCGTCCATGTCTGTTGGTTTTGCAACTGGAGAAGCTCCTTTTAGCTCTGGAACAGGGATAATCCCCGATTTTACCAAAACCTGGTCTCCCGTAGGGGGAGATTGTGTAGCCATGCCACGTACGCTGCAGACTCCAGCATGTATATGTAGGTAGGGGCGGTGAAGTTTTCGCCCAAAGTGGCGATTATATGCGGCGACAAGTAATAGCCATTATACAATCATAAACTGAACCGAGATATTGGAAAATACGACGAACAATAGCAGATACTATTATCGATATCAATCTGCGGAGAGGCAAATTTTTTTGGGTAATTGAGGCGCTCCCGGGTGAGTGGATAGGGCGCGCATTGGCATGGCGGCAAATCCGACTTAGGGACGGAAAGGGGCGCGGATTGGTTGCGTAAGGATTAGATAACCAAGCCATCCAAGCCATGAAAGACGACAAATAACCGCGTATGAACCCGCATGAAAGTCGTGAAAGCTCCAAAACTGTGAATTTGCGTCTTCATTAAGACTCATGGCAAAATAGTAGAGATCTGACTTACAATATCCCATTGCGCCCCCACCCACCCACAGCAATCTCGCCAGGCCTCAAGGTGACATCACGTGATCCCGTATTGGGAAAAGGAGTTCATGATCCATTATAAGGGATACGAAGAGGCCTTAATTCTGTCAGTCTTGGCCTAGAAATGACTTCAGGTATAGCATATTATCAGCAATTAAGGCTTGTCGTTGGAAATGTCTCACACAGATTCTGGAGAAGCAGATCGCACTTAGCGAGAGTGTTACAGAATGATAACATACTCGTACCTCGAGAAATAAGTTAGTGGTTACTGCTTTAGGAAGTTAAGGGGCGTGGGAGCTGTCAAGCGATGACGCTAACTCCTAGAAGGATAAATTCTGTTTCGGGCAGTTAAAAATCGCCATTTACTTCGTTCTGTCACGTGAAACTAGGAAATCTCTGCCTGAGGACGTACTTACTGAACCAGCATCATATGAACATCCCGCCAAGAAGTTGGCGGCATTAACGTAAGTGACGGTGTTGCGGGGGACTGGGTAACGCGGTGGATTTCCCCCACCAACTTCAGATAATTGTAAATAACTCAACAGTGAATCGTCGTGAATACCTGGGTATTGCTGAGACTTTAATAGCCCAAGCAGTATTAGACGTCAAATCTGGGAAGTATAAGAGCGCATATCACGCTGAGAAAGTGCTAGGGTTACCTAAGAGTTCTGTGACGCGTCGCGCCAATGGAGGTTTGACACGCTCTCAAGCCCATCAGCAACAGCAGAGTTTATCAAGTGCGCAAGAGACGATACTTCTGAAGTGGATTAAGAACCTAACAATTAGCGGTTATTCTCCTGGGCATCGGTTGTTAAAGGAAATAGCTGAAGAAATCCAGTCGCACCGATCACTCAATTTTGATGACGCGACACCAAACTCACTTCCACTCCAACCACGGTTTGCCCTTGGTTACCACTGGGTGCAGCGATTCATAAAACGGCACCCCCATCTACAGGTTGTCATCGGACGACAGATCGAAACTGTACGCATGGACGGTGCAACAAAACCAGTGCTTACAGCATGGTTTGATGCGTACACCGAGGTGGTTCAACAGTTCGGAATCACAGAAGAGAACACATATAACATGGATGAATCTGGATTTTCGATTGGGACAATGGAATCTACTCGAATTATACTTGATTCAACACTTCGTACAAAGCATCAAGCGCATCCTGGCCGTCAGGAATGGGTTACAATGGTCGAGTGCATCTGCGCAGACGGAACCATCCTTCCACCCCTTGGGATCTTTAAGGGCAAGAACGTTCTCCAATCATGGATTCCTCCTACAATCATCAACGAGTGGTTCTTCTCTGCGAATACGAAAGGCTGGACAAGCAATCTCCATGGGTTAGAGTGGTTAAAACGCATCTTTGAGCCAACAACACGCGCAAAAGCAGATGGTCAGCACCGGCTTCTTATATGCGACGGCCACGACTCACACATTAGTGGGAGTTTCATTGCGCATTGCATGCAGAACCGTATTGTATTACTGATACTTCCCCCTCATACATCGCATTTGCTACAACCGCTAGATGTTGCGATATTCAGCCCACTAAAACAGCGTCTAACGGCAGCGCTCTCCCCACTCAACCAAGTGCAACTTGCGCGCATACAGAAGTATGAATGGATGGAGGCATACATCCAGGCGCGGCTTGATGTATGCAACCATCAGAACATTGAGTCAGCATACCGTGGTGCTGGCTTGTTTCCATTTAATCCCCAGTGAGCGTTGCGTACGCTGCTCAATGATGAGCCATCAGTTGAGGCTGAGCGACCAAAAACACCACATCAGTATGATGTTTTTGACCGAGTCTTTATTAACAGCTCCCCCCCTGATGGGATGACCTTACGCTCTGCAAATGCGCTCCTTACAACTACGATTAATGGTAGTGGGTGTCACAGTTCACCAAGGCATAGGGCGCCAGTTGGGTATTATGAATTAAACTCAATCTAGAGAAGAAAGGAAAGAGAAGAGGAGCACTCGAGCAGTGGCTCGATCTATATACAGCTATGTTGTTGTGGAGTGAATTCTCTTTAGCGAGACCAGTTCTGAGAATTCACTCCACAACTGAAAACTTCGCTCCAACCTGTAATGGTGGGTGCACCACATGTGAGAATCTAGCCACCCAAGGAAGGGATGATTTTACTAAGACAACACACTGTCTTAGGAAACAGAGCCAAAGGGTTATAGCTTAGACTATTCCACAACGCAGCAATCAGGTGTGTGATGTAGTGAAGTGGTTCAGACAAGTTGCAACAAATGTTGAGTCTGGGAACTCAGGGGTAAGTCAGAGGTTAGCACCTCACTGACTTTTCAGAAACAAGGAATAACAAGATGAATGCTTGGAAGCTTGGAAAAGACGTGGAAGTATGTGATAGTCGATTTACTGTATTGTCTGCTTGCCCTTTCTTAAGGAAAGGGCAATCCTATTTATGCCAAAGGAGTGTAGTTCTCTCATTTTCCATGACTTTCCATGACTAACCAGGCTTGGTAAATGTATTAGAAATCAAGTGCGACCCACAACTAGCTTGCTAATCATGTAGTGAACGTAAGAGAATCCCATAGAACCATCTCTTGGGTTCCTAGCCTATAGGAAGTGAAAAGGAGGTCCAAGGTCAGAGTACCTATAGACAAATTATGTCATAACTTAACCAATCTTGTGGGTAACTAAGGAGCGATGACGTGTAATGAATCATAGAGGGTTGTAGAAGCTTCTAGAGCTATCGTTCATGTTCCTAGGCCTCTAGTTGGTAGAGATATGCCATGTGGTAGTATTGGCCCACCCCCTTAAGGAGGAGATTTTCTTAATAACTTGTTCAATGAGTGTCCAAATGATATGCCGTGATGTATGTAGCATAAACAGATGTAGTAGAAGAGTTTGCAGCAATCGTTGAGTAGTATTGCTTCTGTTGTTGGTGTGATAAGCCAAGATATGTATGGTGACTTGTAGGTTTGAGGAGGAGATTTCTAAGTTTGCTCTTGAGTTTGATAGCAAACTGAGTGCAACGAATGTCAGTATGACACAACCCCGGAAAGCTCCCCACACCCCTGAACCCCCACTCGAGCTGCAAGGCGCACTTGATATCGTAACAGTGGGGTGCTGTCAACACCAGTGCGGACGTACATCCAAAAACTCACTGTTGGATCAGAGCAACTTAGAGCACGTAGCATTGTCCACCAACTCGATGCCAACAACTTGCGATCAGTTATGAAGCGACGTACGATACGTACAAAGGGGAAAAGGGTTATTCTAAAGGGTCACTTTCATATTTCTACGCAAGAATTGTGTGATGCAGTGATGGAGGCAGAAAAGATGACGCATAGTGCAAGTAAGAAAAAGCACAAAACAAAGGACAAGCACGCCTCATCAGACATTGAAATTGATGAGTATATTGAAGAGGATGCAGGGGAACAATCTAAGAGTGACGGTGGATCATGTATCATTGTTAATTGTAGTTAGATTTACAGTTTTGTTAGGTCGTCTTCAGAAATCCACCACGTTACCCAGTCCCCCGCAATACACCGTCACTTACGTTATGGCATGCCGTGGCTATTGGCAGAAGGGTGACACTGTGGAAGGTTATACGAAATTAGGAGAATATGCTTCTTAACAACTCCAAAGTTCCATGATATGTCCGGCTTTGTTGCTCTGTGGCTCCCATCAACAATGTTTTTTGTAGGCCGCTGGATTTCTAGAGGTTCGCTATGAAGACGTACTTTCTAGAAGAGCGGTAAGACTTTCGTCATCTGTGCATCAGATTTCTGACATTACTCTCTGTGCAGGATCCAGCAACTACACAAATCATAGCTGTGGACAAAGTCCAGTATCAGATTATGAAAACGAATGAGTTGTGCGCGAAGGGCGAGTTCATATCCGGCGGAGCATCAGGTATTGTGAAACGCTTGCCGTCAGGCGACGTGGTCAAATCGCCATGGACAGGCTATCAAGCTGCCGATTGTCATAGAAGCTTGATGACTGAGGTGTCATACTGACATTCGTTGCACTCAGTTTGCTATCAAACTCAAGAGCAAACTTGGAAATCTCCTCCTCAAACCTACAAGTCACTATACATATTTTGGCTTATCACACCAACAAGAGCAATACTACTCAACGATTGCTACAACCATCTATGATTCATTACACGTCATCGCTCCTTAGTTACTGGGCCGATATTACCACATAGCATATCTCTACAACCCTCTATGATTCATTACATGACATCACTCATACTACCACATGACATATCTCTACCAACTAGAGGCCTAGGAGCATGAACGATAGCTCTAAAAGCTCCTACGAACCTCTATGATTCATTACATGTCATCGCTCTTTAGTTAACCACAAGATTGGTTAAGTTATGACATAATTTGTCTATGACATAATTTGTTTATGACATAATTTTCTATAGGGGTACTCTGACCTTGGACCTCCTTTTACTTCCTATAGGCTACGAACCTAAGAGATGGTTCTATGGGATTCTCTTATGTCGACTACAGTTACCAAGCCTGGTAAGTCATGGAATGTCTTGGAAAATGAGAGAACTACACTCCTTTAGCATAAATAGGATTGCCCTTTCCTTAAGAAAGGGCAAGCAGACAATACAGTAAATCGACTATCACATACTTCCACGTCTTTTCCAAGCTTCCAAGCATTCATCTTGTTACTCCTTGTTTCTGAAAAGTCAGTGAGGTGTTAACCTCTGACTTACCCCTGAGTTCCCAGACTCAACATTTGTTGCAACTTGTCTGAACCACTTCACTACATCACACACCTGATTGCTGCGTTGTGGAATAGTCTAAGCTACGACCCTTTGGCTCTGCTTTCTAAGACAGTGTGTTGTCTTAGTAAATTCATCCCTTCCTTGGGTGGCTAGATTCTCACATCTGGTGCACCCACCATTACACATACTTCCACGTCTTTTCCAAGCTTCCAAGCATTGATCTTGTTACTCCTTGTTTCTGAAAAGTCAGTGAGGTGCTAACCTCTGACTTATCCCTGAGTTCTCAGACTCAACATTTGTTACAACTTGTCTAAACCACTCCACTACATCATACACCTGATTGCTGCGTTGTGGAATAGTCTAAGCTACGACCCTTTGGCTCTGTTTCCTAAGACAGTGTGTTGTCTTAGTAAACTCATCCCTTCCTTGGGTGGCTAGATTCTCACATCTGGTGCACCCACCATTACATCAAGACGAAGTTCATAGAAGCACCTATCTTAGCCACATTTGACCCTACAAAGAAGATAGTCCTTGAGATGGGCTTTTCTAACTTCACGATTAGAGCATGTCTAAGTCAACTAGACAAAGGCGGAAAGCTTAAGCCAATCACATATTACTCTAGAAAACTGTCACCGATAGAGCTCAACTATGACATCTATGATAGCTATTGTCGTTGCTTTTGAGCAGTAGCGAGTATATCTTAAAGGATCAACCTACCCTATATAGGTATGGACAGATCATAAGAATCTCATATACTTCACCATAACTAAGGTTTTAAACCACAGACAAGTCTAATAGGCAGAGACACTCGCAGCCTACAACTTCATGATTACATATCATAAGGGCTCTAAGAATGCAAGAGCTGACACTCTTAGCGGATGGACTAACTACATTAGCCTAAAAGAAGAAAGACCTAGAGCCATATTAAAGAAAACAGACATAGGAATATAATACAATGAGTTACTAGCTACAATTGCCACTATAGAGAACTCGGAGTTGGAAGAAAGACTCAAGAAAGCTTATGTAACAGACGAATGTGCAAAGCGAGTCTTAATTAAAGCCAAAGGGCAACTTCGCCATTAATGAACAAGGATTGATCTGATTAAAAGGATTAGTGTATGTCCTAAACAAAATGAGACACCTACTAGTGTAAGAACAACACTTGCTACTAGCACACGGACACGGCCATTAGGGAGTAACACAGACCTTCGACAAATCACCTAACATTACTACTTCCTAGGTATGAGGAAGCAGGTGGAAACAGTGGTAAGATAGTGAGACATTTGTAGCAAATTGAAATCTAATAGGCACTTGCCATATAGACAGCTTAAGTCAACACTAGTACTAATAGGAGTTGGAAATCTATAGCTTTGGACTTCATTGTCAAGCTACCACCCTCTCGGGACCTCTGAATAGGAGTAAGTAGTATACGATGCTATCCTCTCTTGTGTAATAATGTCAAACACCTCTGCTTTTTGAATAATGTATCGAGGGTTCTGGTTACTACTCCGTTTATCGCTCTGTTTATATAGCTTATCATTCATAAGTATAAAACCAGATAATGTATGGTGCTTAAGGTTTGCACTCTCTTTATCGTATGGTATGAAGGTAGTAGGATCCTCTAGTATAGTGCGTATTTGGCTCCATTTTTCACATGGGAATCGCTCTCGATTATAGTAAGTAGGACTACTTATATAGGTCTCAAAAGCAGGGCGTACATCATATGGAAATGGATTGATCGAAGCAATAGTAGCCATAATTGCTATAGTTGTAGGATGTAGGATTTGAATTTTCTACGATACTATTCTACACTGCCACTTTGGTTGGGCTGGGCAGCTCACGGCTGGGCCAGGCAGCTCGCGAACTGGCCTAGCTTACGGTTGGGCCGGAACATATACGAGTGTCTAGCTTCTCTCTTTGAGCGTGCAATCTCTGAAACAGGTCAGACATCGAATGCACATTTACGACGAGACGGAAGAGCAAATCAAGTAACAGCGAAGTATATTTTATTGATTCCTACAAGACATAACCAAGCCAAACGCCCATGCTATGGATTGCACAACAGATAGGGTCACAATAAGTGGATTTACATCCAGAGACGACAAGTGCCATCCGCACCAGCACTAACACACCATGGCTCCTTTGGATGCCAGTCGATATCCATGACACCCAGCGCACTCTTGACCTTGTGGCCCTTTAGGACCTTAACAGGGACAATTGTTGCGTTCTCCATAAGGTCGCTGACAACCTTGCCGTGGAAGATTTGAAGAGAGCCATCGTCACTTGCGTCAGCGAAGAGAGGGTATCCACCCTTGTGGTATTTGACAGCACGGATGGCCTTGTCGTGGAATCGCAGGGTTTTGTAAGGGCGGCTAGAGAGGTCAAGATCGTGCCACAGGAGGCGACGATCATATGAACCAACGATAAGGTTGTCACCACCTGGGTGGATATCGAAAGACGAGATCCAGCGGGCTCCGGGCTGGATGATCTTAACAAGCTCCTGCTTCTGGAGATCATAACTGCGGATTGTGCGTTGAGTGGCGACGAAGAAAAGAGGGCGAGATGGGTGGAACTGGACAAATTGGGGAAGTCCGGGAAGGCGGCGGAATGGAATTTGAGTAAGGTGCTTGGAGAGGGTGTGGATGGCGACAGCACTCTTTTGGGCGGTTGGTGAGACTGTCGAGAAGAAGTCTCCACGTCTGTGCCAGCTGATAACTTTGACGTTGGCGCGGACGGTAATTTTGATGAGGACACCTTCGTCTTCAAGCTTGGCTCCGGGGCGGGTCCATCTTGCCGGCGGCTCCTTTTTTAAGCCATTTGCCGTCAGAGTTTGAGACTGGCCCGTGGCATAACCAAATCCAGCATCGAGAATGGCTCTGCTTGCCAGCTCGACTTCAGGGCTCAATATCGGAGGAACAAGGAGGTAGATGTCCTCGCCTGCTGCGGCGGATAGGATAACTCCGTCTCTCGCTGGTCGCCACCTTACAACATTAACAGCCTCGTCATCTCCAATCTTAGCACTCCAGATCTGTCTACCACTCAGAAGCTCCCAGACACGAACGGTACCATCGTCACCTCCACTTGCAAGCCAGATTCCGGACGGGTCAACTGCTAAGCTTCTAACGCGGCCCTCGTGACCTCTGAACAGAGTGGCGCAAACCGTTGGGAAAGGCCTGAGTTCCTCTGGGCGTGGCAGCTTCGGGAGAAGCGAGGCAGGGTCGATGTTCAACCTATTCTTGCGAACTCTGGGCGCAAGGTAAAGATCCAAAGACCTTTCAAAGCGCTCATTAATGAGTTTTTCGTAAGCAGGAACCTTGCGCAGTGCATCGTGTGCTGTTGGCAAGTACTCCTTATTTCTATCTTCCGGATCCAATGCCTCATATGCTTGTCTCTCAGCCTTTGTAGGGAGGTACTCAGGCGGTGGGTTGTAGCTCATATCGTATCCTGGAGGTGCGGCCTTCGGTGCTGGGATATTCATGATGTGGTCTGGTCGAGGCTGCTCGTCTTGCCAGATATCGTAGTGCACTTCCTCATCTTCCTCTTTCTCTTCCTCCTCTGGCTTATGCGGCAAAATACGTCCCTCACGAATAGCACGAACAATTTTCATGACTCGCTTTGCTTCGTGCTTGGAAGGCAGGAATCGCCGTTTGGGCTCAGGTGCGGCACTCAGAGGCATAACCTCTTGAATGCTCGTGAAATACTCGACAGTATCCTGTGTATTTGTTAGATTCATTCGAAATATAAGTGAAAAGGGCACCATACCGGGTAAGGATCGTAGCCATCTTCGGGCATCTCATTCATTTGGATTCTTTTCAAGACCTCCAATTCTTCCTGGCTGAGGTTCAAAGGCTTTCCGGTTGCTGGATCAATGAGACCAGTCCATCCCTTGGGCACGTCGATGCTATCCAGAAGAGCATCCAACGCTTCACCCTTCGCAGGGCGCATAATTCTCTTGCCATTGATGTTGTAGCCGATGTGAGGATACGAATCATAAAACGAGAGTGGAATATCTCCGATAGTATTCTCGTGATCTGCGGCATCCGAGTCGTCGGAGTCGTAACCAGGTTCAATTTCCTCATATTCGTATCTCTCATTGCCATTCGCATCTGTGGTTACCGTATAGTTTGGCGCGTCGTCGTCCTCGACGTGATGGGGAAGGCCGAGAACCCTGCGGTTCGCAGTCTGCCTGGCGACAATATTTGTATTGATTGGCCTTTTAGGCAGTGCCGCTCCATTCGACTTAGCTGCCTCACTTTCGGAAGGGATTTCGTCGCTGTCCAGCGCCTCTAGTTCCCCATCCTCGAGGTCGCTGTCGTCGTCCTCTTCGCCCTCGCTCTCATCCGAGCCAGTTTCGCTTTGCGACAGGACTCCATCAAGGATGCCATCTCCAAAATCGCTATCGCTCTCCACGTCAGATGTGATTATTTCCGCCTCTTTCACAGACTTCCGTTTTCTTGAGTTTGTAGAAGGCGCCATGGTGAGTTATGCCTCTTGCTGTGTTTTCTTCGAGGCTGTGAAATTTATTTTGCAATTCCAATGCTCTATCGTTATCAGAAATCTTGGCGCAAAATTTCTACTAGCCTTTTTAGGATAAGCCGATAAGTCACTGGTCACAACTAGCAAATGCCCATGAAGATTCAAGCTTCAGATGATATAAAATAATAATATGAAGATAAGAATGCGAGACTGCTTTAATTAGTTCCTTCGGATGTGCACCCCGCAGCTATCTCAAATTACAGAACAACAGGTTTTTAACAATGTCTTCCGGATCTTTGAAAATGGTAATGAGAACATGCATGCAACACGCTTGATATCAGCACTTTACTGTAAGTTGGACCACTCGCTGTCGTTATGTAAAATGCAAAGTTATCGTCTGCTCGACGATAGGGAATTCCTTGGCCATGCATACATGAAATTGTGGAGTCTTCTATATATAATTTACAAAATACAGATGCGCTGGTAACTCCTTGCGCCAAATGGTATCACCCTAATACTGGGTCTGCTGATATTGTGACTTATATATATTGCCAATCTAAACCCGGACCTGTGGGACTCGATTAAGGCCTGGACGAGGACAAGAGCCATTGCTTCATTCCATGCCTTCCATCAACTCAGTCCTGTCAAGGATCATTCCTCTCCTGGCAACCCACTCTCTGAGTGCTTCCCACTCCTCGCCTTCTTCTTCTCCTCTACGCCAGACCTGGCGGAAGCCCCATGCGCCTGCTATTTTGTCAATGGCAGCACGCTCTTCTTCTCGAATCCACCTCTCCCTCAGAGGCATACCCGTGGTCCAGGTGATGCGCTCCATTTGGTCGTTTGCTGTTGTCACGGCCACGATGCCAACAACTGTTGTAAACCCGATATATCCTAAGATACCAACGAAAGCAACGTTGGTAGCAACAGTGGGGTCCATGGTCGTCTGAAAGTGAGAGAGCTGGGTTGCAACAGCATAGGCAGCTGCAGGTGCTAATGCGAGGCCCGTGGCTGGTAAAAGCGCTCTGCGAATAAACTTGGTACGGCGAAACGCCTTGGTGTCATACGTTGTGTCCACAATATCCATCGCCGTGACTAGGTTCTTGGCTTCGATAGCAGTTTGCAGAGCAAGGTCCGCCATCTTTGCTTCAATTGAATTGGCGCTCTTATTTGGATTGACCTCCTTGTATTTCACAGGCGATGAGCCGTCCACAGGGGCTGGCTTCGTAGAATACAGGTGGAATGCTGTAGGCAGCGTCTCCGGACGCTTTAATGTCGACTGCAACTTCACGTAGCGGCGAAGTATGCTGGGAGTAATAAAAATTGGAGGGTGCTGTAATACAGACAGCGCGAGGTCCGATAGCTTTCTCGAAGCTCCGTCCACAATTGGAGAGTGTGCATGGACAGCCGGGCGTGGCTTCGCAGCCGTTTTGATCGAAAGTAGCGCAGAGGTTGCTGATGCATCTTTTGGCAATGCTGCGGGATCGGGGGGGTTCATTAGGTTGTCGGCTATTTTTTGATACGCGTCAAGTACGGCCTCCGTCTCATTGTCGGAAGGAATGCCATCCTTCTTTATAAGGTCGTCTCGGAGTGATGCGGCTTTGTCCAAGTCGCTCTGGACCACTCTCGCATCAATGGCCCCAGATAGCTTTGCGCCATCATATTGAGCTGGTATAGTAGATTTCACAGAAGCCGGGCGAGCTTTCACGTCTGAATTGGTGGGGTTTCGTCGGTCATTTGCAAATGTCCTTTGGCTAGAACAGAATGGTCGGAGCGTCTGGGACGACGTTGGAAGTCGTAAAGGCCGTGCTCGGATCGACGGGCCAGTCGAAATAAAGGAGCATAGTTGACAGACTGGGGCCTCAGTCCTTAGAATTCGAGATCGCATTGTCGCGGATTTAATTCTGGGCCCTTTATTTTCTGGGAAGCAATTGGAGGCTCGATGGGCTAGAAGATAATCGTCGCGCATAGGAACCGATAAAATCGCCAACCCTGGTCCCTTGGCCCAGTTTAAATGCGTGGCTGATACCGCGCCACACCTAGCCGCACTACCCCAGTGACGTCCACGAAACATCCCAGGCGGTCACCAATCTTTCAACGCTCATCTCTCATGCGAGCTGTTGGACTCTTCCACACGTCTCTGCGCACACGTCAACGCAGCACAGCAATATCCTCATGCTCTTCACAACCGTGATAGAATTCTAAACGTACGGTCTATCGCAGGCAAGCCTCTCGCATACCACACTATCCATCATGCCTCCTCCACCACCACCTCCGCCGCCGCCGCCAATGATGGGCGGCCCTCTTCCTCCTCCACGTCCTCCGCCCGGGGGAGCTCTGCCTGCCCAACCCCCTGCTGGCGCGGCAAAGACCAGGGTAAGTCTACCGCCTGTCATTACTTTTCCAGGCGCTTTCAGGGCTTGTTCCTAGGCAAATGCTGATGTCATGTTCAGGGTGCCCTTTTAAGCGATATTGGGAAAGGAAAGCAGTTGAGAAAGGCTGTTACGAATGACCGTTCTGCACCTATAGTAGGAAAGACCGCTGGCGGTTCGTCAGGTCCACCAGCAGGTGGAGCTCCATCAATCCCGGGAATGGGAAGACCTAGTGGATTGGCACCACCCGTTCCAGGAAACCGTATGCGAAGCAACAGCGACCAGGGGCGTGATAGTGGGAGTTCGGGAGTAGAGGCTCCGCCGCAACTAGGCGGACTCTTCGCCGGTGGAATACCGAAACTGAAGAAGAGGGGGGGTGGGGTTGATACAGGAGGTGAGTTTCTGAGAAGATCATCTAACAGCGGCTGAACTATGCTAATGATGTTACAGCAAATAAGGATTCCTCATACGCATCAGATCCAGAATCATCGCGGACATCCGCACCGAGGCCTCCTGCAGCAGCAGCCCCGAAAATTCCTACAGGGGCCGCTCCGCCACTGCCAAATAATCGACCCCCAGCTCAGAGCGCGGGGACCGCACCTGGAGTTGTTCCTTCAGTAGCGAATCTTCGCAAGACTCTCGGCCATGCGGGCCCTAGACCTGCTTCTTCTGCATCTCTTCGTGGACCGCCCCCCCCAATAGGCAAGAAGCCGCCGCCCCCGCCTGGATCACGAAAACCATCCTCAAACGTCACCTCAGGGCCACCTCCTCTTCCGCCTTCGGCAGCTCCTTCAGTACCCTCAGCCCCAGCTCCTCCTTCCCCTCCCCCCGCGTCCGTATCCGCGCCACGGCCACCTACCAACGGAAGGCCGCGTTCAGAAGCTCCGCAGCCGCCCCATTCTCCATCTTTGCCTCCATCCAATGGAGTCACTCCTTCTCTTGCTGTCCAAGCCGCCATACGCGCAGCCGGACAGGCCTCTCCATCATCTGCGCCCCCGCCGCCACCCCCAAGCAGTCCTCCTTCAGCACCGTCGTTTTCACGACCTGCGCCACAACCACCGCATATCGAATCCCCCCCACAATTACCATCAGCACCGCCTCCCCCAGTGTCCAGACAGCGTAGTAACCAACCTATGAGCACAATGCTGGACGCAAGTGCATATACACTCGCTCCCAATGGCTCAACACCGAGACCGGGAGGTGCTCAACGATCACCACTATCGCAAGAGTCAGGAGGAAGAGTTAACATACAAGATATCCGGTGGAGATTCCAAGACGAAAGCATGCTCCCTAAGCCTCGAGAATACACAGGGACGCAGAAGCGCTATCGAGCTGGAAGAGGGAGCAGTGTGCCGTTAGATTTGAGATCTTTCGAATAACCCGCAAGCTACTAGATGGCTGCCTGGGTTGTAAGCTTGTTTGACATAACTACTGGTTACTCCTTATAATGAATAGGATGAGTCAGCCGAGGTTTTGGGGGGAGTTTTCATGGGGGAGGAAATGGTGTAGCGAGGCGCGGGGTAGATCTGTGCTTGGTGCCAAGATCGGGATTGATATCTGGGCAATGTCACAATAATGGGGGGTCAATTGTAGTTGAATAAGTCACATCTGCTCCAGTACGTCGTGAAATAGTGTGAAGCTGCGCGTCATGTATAAGGCGTTTTGATCTTCCTGTTATAATACCCATTCTATCAATTGGAATCTGTTAATAGTGGCGATTCTGTCATTTATGCAGGAGGCTCGATGTTTCAGTTGTACCGAACAAATTAGGCTAAGTTAGGTGCCGCCAAGCCATCGTGTCACAGTACAATTGTCTGACAAGCCTGGAAAGGCCACGGTTGACCAAAGTTTAAAGACAGCCACTAGTATTTCAACTTCTGCTCTCCAGGCACACAAACACAGGGCAACTTGAACCAGGTTACTCTCTTCAGCTTCATCTTTGCAAATTAACCCATATTTCGTGGGCGAACAACTGTTCGGTGCCGTAGTACTTCATTGTTACCAACACCCCTTCAGTCCGAGGAGCTTCGTCGCGACACAGCTGTTTTGCGACCTCAATAACCGCGATCCAGCACTATGGCACAGATACGGGGAACAGCAGGTTACAACCTGGGCGGCCAGCAGTTTGGAGGACCAAGCAGGACTGAGGCCAGCGACCCGAGCCCATTGGACGCGATCAGACAGCAAACAAGCAAGATTGAGGATGTTCTGGACACCTTGAGTGAGCCGTTGAAGCCGTACGCGTCATGGTCCAAAGAAGAAGTGGATGATTTTTGCTAACCTCGCGCCTGACAGATATTTACCAGCTATTGGCCGATTCTTGATTGTCGTTACGTTCCTTGAGGACGCGCTGAGAATAATCACACAATGGAGTGATCAGCTGTCATACCTCCGCGATTATCGCCACAGTGAGTATTCTACTTCGTGCATATGGGGCCTCTTGCTGATATATACAATTCTAGTTCCTACCGGCCTCAACCACATCTTCCTCATAGTCAATGTCATTGCCATGACCTCATGCTCGGTGCTAGTTATTGCCCGGAAACAGTCGGACTACGCGGTTGGAGGTCTCATTGGCGTCGTTGTCACTCAAGCTCTCGGTTACGGTCTCATCTTTGACCTCAACTTCTTCCTCCGCAATCTGTCTGTCATGGGAGGTCTTCTCATGGTCCTCTCTGATTCGTGGGTTCGCAAGACAAAGGCGTTCGCTGGGCTACCGGAAATCGATGAAAAGGATCGCAAGATGTACTTCCAGCTTGCTGGGAGAGTTCTCTTGATCTTCTTGTTCGTCGGCTTTGTCTTCAGTGGCACCTGGAGCTTCTGGCGCGTGCTTGTCGCGGCGCTCGGCTTCGTAGCATGCGTGATGGTTGTGGTGGGTTTCAAGGCGAAGTTCAGCGCGACCATGCTCGTGGTTATCCTGAGCATCTTCAACCTTTTGGTCAACAACTTTTGGACTGTAAGCAGAACTCCCCTTCATTTATCCATGCTGCGACTAACAAGATATAGCTCCACGAGGCGCACCCCCACAAGGACTTCGCGAAGTACGACTTCTTTCAAATTCTCTCGATTGTTGGCGGTCTCCTCCTGTTGGTGAACAGCGGACCCGGAAAGTACAGCATCGATGAGAAGAAGAAGGTTTACTAAGTTCATTATACGGAGGCGCAAGGTGCCTGAATCTCGAAATCACGATTGGAAAAAAGGCCGGCGAGGGTCTGCATTATGAGGAGTTATCTTGGCAAGAAATATCAGAGCTGATTTACGGCTGAGACAGCAGCTCATACATAGGGTGGCAGAAAGAAGAAATTGCCACAGTGAATCCCGCGCGTGTGTTGTGTTTTCCACAGCATTTATGTTTGCTTTGGTACTGGCTTCAGAGTAAACCACCGAATTGCCAGGGCCCATGAGTGGTACATGATTTCGGAATACCTCGTATGCGGGTTGAATTTGAGGCGACTATTAGCTATGTGTCGTCTTTATAGATTTTTTCTCAGCTCATTATTTAGAATCGACAGGTTGAAACGATCCAATAGTAAAAAGTCGTTATGCGACGAATACAGTTGTAAATACGTTTTAAGAAACCTCTTCACAGAATTACAATTGTAACACTCTCTCCGTGAGTTTTTGTCTTTCCACTAGAACATAGCTACGGCCTGCAATGAAGCTTGTTCCAAATCATTTTACCCAGTCCATCGGTGTCCGAATAAGCTCAGTGTTCGGCGGATATGTATCCGGGTAGTATCCGTGATTCCCACGGGTAGGGTATATACCCGGCCAATTTCTTACGGGTAGAGTAGGTATATATCCGGATATATGAGGCTAAATGGAGTATATAAAAATGAAGCTTTTGGTAATAGTAATAACCTAACCTAACCTAACCCAACCCCTATTCGTGTGCCCCTATTCGTATGCCTCATCGTCAGCATCATCGCCATCACTGTCAGCCTCTTGTATGCGACTGTAAGAGAGCCTTCGCTGAACAGGGCAATGGGAAGTCACGTTGTAGATAGTTACGTAGTCCAGCTCTCTATTGATGCGAAGACTGAACGCTGAGGGAAGACCCTCCGCCTTGGCACTATAGCGCACGTGACAGGTCCTGCACGTGAGGCTACTCGTGACAATTATCCCCCCTTATAAGGCTCAAGCCCCTTTGAGCCCGAGAACTGAGGTCGGCCCGTATTATTGTTTTCTGCCTGGAAGTTGAGTTGCCTAGCCTTGAGTATGGCCTGAGGAAGCGGGCCCGCTTCGCCTACGCATTGTTGTGGTTGTGTTGTTGTGGTGATTTCCTTCCCCCTTTCGCTTCTTCTACCATTGTAGGGTGAACTTCTCATTAAGATCAAGTTTGATAGTTGAGAAAAATCGCTGCCACCAATAGAGCTGTTTTGCACTATGTGATAGAGCTAGAATCTGTAGTTGAGGTTGATATGGTTTTCTGCTTTGTACAGCACCAGTCAATTGCTCCTCCAAAGAGTGTGAAGAGATACCCTTCTGTACTCTTTCTTGTAGCTTCGCAATCTGCGTACGAAGCATCACTAGAGCATTTGAAGCATGGTGTATTGATCTTTGGTCCGTCCTGGAGGGCTAGATGTTTCGTCTCCTTTAGATAGAGTATAAGTCGATCGACTGCTGCCATGTGGTCTGGTCCTGGGTTAACAAGGTATTCAGATAGTTTCTGCACCATATGGGATATATCTGGTCTTGTATCCACTGCAGCGTAGTTGGTAGATCCTACTTTCTGTTGATATAGGTGGATTTGCTGTTTGTCTGCTTGCCCATCTGTCATACTGACATTTGTTGCACTCAGTTTGCTATCAAACTCAAGAGCAAACTTAGAAATCTCCTCCTCAAACCTACAAGTCACCATACATATCTTGGCTTATCACACCAACAACAGAAGCAATACTACTCAACGATTGCTGCAAACTCTTCTACTACATCTGTTTATGCTACATACATCACGGCATATCATTTGGACACTCATTGAACAAGTTATTAAGAAAATCTCCTCCTTAAGGGGGTGGGCCAATACTACCACATGGCATATCTCTACCAACTAGAGGCCTAGGAACATGAACGATAGCTCCAAAAGCTTCTACAACCGTCTATGATTCATTACACGTCATCACTCCTTAGTTACCCACAAGATTGGTTAAGTTATGACATAATTTGTCTATAGGTACTCTGACCTTGGACCTCCTTTTCACTTCCTATAGGCTAGGAACCCAAGAGATGGTTCTATGGGATTCTCTTACATTCACTACATGATTAGCAAGCTAGTTGTGGGTCGCACTTGATTTCTAATACATTTACCAAGCCTGGTTAGTCATGGAAAGTCATGGAAAATGAGAGAACTACACTCCTTTGGCATAAATAGGATTGCCCTTTCCTTAAGAAAGGGCAAGCAGGCAATACAGTAAATCAACTAGCACATACTTCCATGTCTTTTACAAGCTTCCAAGCATTAATCTTGTTATTCTTTGTTTCTAAAAAGTCAGTGAGGTGCTAACCTCTGACTTACCCCTGAGTTCTCAGACTCAACATTTGTTACAACTTGTCTAAACCACTTCACTACATCATACACCTGGTTGCTGCGTTGTGGAATAGTCTAAGCTACAACCCTTTGGCTCTGTTTCCTAAGACAGTGTGTTGTCTTAGTAAAATCATCCCTTCCTTGGGTGGCTAGATTCTCATATCTGGTGCACCCACCATTACATATGTTTCCGGAAGACGTCAGCGTCAGGGTCACGGTTCCAAGTAGCTCCTCCGTCAATAGAATCATATTTAGTCTACTTATATATAATCCTTCTTCTTCTCCTATTATTCCTTGAGTTTGCCTACTCCTTTGTGTAATGGTGGGTGCACCAGATATGAGAATCTAGCCACCCAAGGAAGGGATGAATTTACTAAGACAACACACTGTCTTAGGAAACAGAGCCAAAGGGTTGTAGCTTAGACTATTCCACAACGCAGCAATCAGGTGTATGATGTGGTGAAGTGGTTTAGACAAGTTGCAACAAATGTTGAGTCTGAGAACTCAGGGGTGAAAAGGAGGTCCAAGGTCAGAGTACCTATAGATAAATTATGTCATAACTTAACCAATCTTGTGGGTAACTAAGGAGCGATGACGTGTAATGAATCATAGAGGGTTGTAGAAGCTTCTAGAGCTATCGTTCATGTTTCTAGGCCTCTAGTTGGTAGAGATATGCCATGTGGTAGTATTGGCCCACCCCCTTAAGGAGGAGATTTTCTTAATAACTTGTTCAATGAGTGTCCAAATGATATGCCGTGATGTATGTAGCATAAACAGATGTAGTAGAAGAGTTTGCAGCAATCGTTGAGTAGTATTGCTTCTGTTGTTGGTGTGATAAGCCAAGATATGTATGGTGACTTGTAGGTTTGAGGAGGAGATTTCTAAGTTTGCTCTTGAGTTTGATAGCAAACTGAGTGCAACAAATGTCAGTATGACACTTTGCCCCCCTCCTTCTCACAGTATACTGAGAATCTTGCTGACTTCCTTTTGCAGATCCCGAAGCCCTTCTTCAACAGCTGATATCCTTGATGGTGCTGCACCTCCACCCCCTTCTAGGGAAGTTGCAATCCGATTTGCAATCGACACGAGTTCGGCAGCTGCTATTGGAGGAGAAGAAGCCCTCGTATAACGCTTTCGCTTTCGAGAGGCAGTCGAAACTGAAGGGGTTAATGGCGATGTTGGAATAGGGGGCGAAGTCTGTGATAACGTCGCAGTTCTTTCTCAGAACCGTGATGTCTGCGTCCTCCTCCACATCAAAGACGCTTCCGTTTCGGCCTCCTTCGTGCCCTTTGCAGCGTCAAGCACTTCTTTCCGGGCGCCCCTTACTGTTACAACTTCAATCCAAGTGTCGATAGCTTGGGTATATGAAGTTGGCGGATCTTCTTCTCCGCTTGTCACGGTTCACCAAGGCATAGGGCGCCAGTTGGGTATTATGAATTAAACTCAATCTAGAGAAGAAAGGAAAGAGAAGAGGAGCACTCGAGCAGTGGCTCGATCTATATACAGCTATTGTGGAGTGAATTCTCTTTAGCGAGACCAGTTCTGAGAATTCACTCCACAACTGAAAACTTCGCTCCAACCCCGGAAAGCTCCCCACACCCCTGAACCCCCACTCGAGCTGCAAGGCGCACTTGATATCGTAACACCGCTCTCCCCTTCCAGCCTTGTCGAAAGCTCTTCCTGGCGCTCACGAACGAGAGTACTCACAAGCCGCCCAAGGGAGTTATGAGTTGTGCTTTGGATAGACTCAAACTCTCGAGTCACAAGCCTCCAAAACGCCCGGTCGGCCATATGGCCGTACAGCTCTGCTTTATCAAAGCAGATCTGTAAGACTATCGTCTTCTCACTTTCGGTAAGCCCCTTTCCAGCCTTTCGCCCCTTTCCCTTATCATTATTATTGCCTCCTCTTTCAGTATCAGTTGCTAACTGAGTATAGCTTTGGCTATTATCACTTATGAAGCCTTCAGTTTGGATATATTCAGCAGTATGAACGGTATCGGCTTCGTCTGCCAGAAGGAATGCATTAGTATGCGGCTGTGAATATGGTTCGCTTTGGAAACTAGGCGCTGGCGAGTGGAAACGGAAGCTATCCGGAGGATTCGAGGGTACTGGACGGGATGAGGAGGCTTGGGAAGTCGAGATATCGACTTGAAACGACGAATAATAGGGGTTCATATTGCTGTTATAGTCTATATTATCGTTATACTACTCATACAGCTTCACAGCTTCACATTTGCATGTTGAATCAAAGTTGTAGTCTAACCTATTATAATTATAACTAATCTATATACAGTAATGATACCCGCTGCTACAGTGTATCACCTCAGTGCTACACTTGCGCGCCAAATGGGTCATCGGTGACAAAGATAAATTCCATTTCTTCCTCCAAGATCTGAAAGACTACAACGATGGGCTTGAGCAGCTCTTCCCGCCCTCCCGCCTGGCGACGCTACACCGCAAATGGCAGAACGAACTCCTTCAAGGAGGACCTCGCGAAGTTGGGCCTGCTTGAGAGCGCTAGCAATGACGTCTACCCGCAGCTAACCGCCTCTAATCTAAAACAACTGCGCATAAACCTGGACTCCAAGCCCACAGCTAATTTCAAGCCAACGTTCGCCTTAAAGATTCAGCGGCCGCTGCTCGAAGTCACGGACAAGGAGACTCGGCGCAGCCTGGCTGCTTACAATAGCCCCTCGGGTGAGAGGGGAATGGTGCATTCGGCCTCGGCGCGGCACCCAGATCTTCATACAATCGATTGCCTAGGATATACCGATGATACCAACTAGTCACGTTTCGGAGTCGTGTACGACTCTCCGGCTTCCCAACGCTATATTCCGTCATCTCCTCCAACGACTACCGCACCCCCGATTTAGGGGAACGCTTCAAACTCGCTCATAGCCTGGCTGTTGGCCTGTGGTCCTTCCACTCCCTTGACTGGCTGCACAAGTCGGTTTGCAGCCACGATATCCTCTTCTTTCCCTCCGCAATCTCGGATTTGGCGAGCAAACCGACAGTAAATGCCGCCCTAGTGCCGGACATATCGTCACCGTTCCTACTGGGATTTGACTCTTCCCGTCCAGAACAAGTGATCAAGATGAACGTGGCTAGTCGGAATCCGTCGTCGTTGGACCTCCACCGGTATCCGAGTAGTCTGGAGGGGATCGATAGGAAGTCGTATTCCAAGGGGTTCGACATATACAGTCTTGGCCTCGTGATGCTTGAGATCAGACTATGGAAGATATTGCAAGCTTATTACAATATTGCAAGCTTATTACAATATTGCAAGCTTATTACAATATTGCAAGCTTATTACAATATTGCAAGCTTATTACAAGCCGCGCTACACAGCTCAACGGTTCAGGGATCGAGTGGTTGTGGGGTTGCTGGTCCCAGGGTTAGGGAGTAAGACTGGGTCCGTATATAGACAGGTCGTGGAAGATGCTTGGACGCCAAGGACGACATGAGCGGTCTTGAGTGCCACCAACTTATGGAATGGGTGGTAGGCACTTTGGAGAGCTTAAGAGTTTAAGACAGGATATACTGGTGTATATACGCATACCATATATGATACATGAGAGATGACAAATGAGGGACGATACCACGTATATAGATAACAAGAAGAATATGATGCAGTTAATCCTCCTATCGTTCTATTCGTTTGTATATCAGGTTGGAACTACGCCATACCTGCCCGTCCAACCTGAAAAATCTCTCCTGTCCTCTTCTCGTCAGCCCTAAGCACAGGCCACGCCTGCCCATCGCCCTTCACCAGCGTAAGTTCTAGCTTGGTGCCCATGATCTTGAAGCTGCTCGCCTCTGGATCAATGGGCCCAAAAAGCTCCAGGGTCTTCGCGTACCTTTTTGGCAGAGCATCTGAGGTTTTGAGGTTCAGTTCTACAGCCTGGGGTGTGAATTTGACAGTCGACTCCTCCTTCACGATCTTCTTTAGGAACAAGCTCGCGATAACGGTGGCTCCTGTTTGGTAGTAATCATGCCTCACAGTCTCAACCTTCTCCTCTCCTCCACTGAGTTCGTCCTTCTTATCCTTCTTCCCACTGCCAATAAACAGATGTCTATCTTTCTTCTTGCACCCCTCAATTCTCATGAACTCGTCAAACTCCAGAACGCGTCGCTTACAGCAGCTATAACCCTTGCTACCCTCATGGAAGATGGGCGCCCCAGGGTGGTGAGTGCACTTCTCGCCCTCTCTGCTCTGTCCCTTTTTATATGTGGCGCCGCAAGCCTTTCGGCGGCAGGTCTTGCCTTCGGAGATCTCAAGGCTCTGGTTGTCGGACTCGGACGGCGGCTCTGGTGGTGGTGGGGTAGGTGCATTTTGCGGGGTAACGACAGGCTTCCGCGTAGGGCCCTTGTCCACATCGAGGGACGGTTGTGGTGCCTCTTCGGGGGCTTTTTTCTTCTCAATCGCAGGTGGGAGATCGGTGGTGCTGTGCGTGCCAGTTGTGCAGGGTGGGATTGTCATGAATTCGTCGAAGGTGAGAACGCGGGGCTTGCAGCACTTCCAGCCTGGTAGGGTTTCGTTAGCAGGGGAATTTCGGGGCCTATATTGGCAAGGGCCATAGTATTAAACCAATTCTACAAGCCACATGGGTTCATAAAGACCGGAGATCTCTGTTGTTGAGCTCTAATCCACATTCATTTGTTGACGTACCTTTCTGCCCCTCATGGAATACAGGCGGTCCGGCGTGATATGTGCAACTCGCCGCTGGCTCAGTGTACATCAGCCCACAGCCCTGGTGAACACATTTTTGAGCCATTGTTTTCGTCTAATGGGTCCCAGCTTTAGAGGCGTTTGGATATTCCCAACATGTGTGTTGGATGAGAGTTCTTGAAGCTCGCCCAACCTCTCTGGAATATTCACGTCCATTGCTATCTAATCGAGTTTGGTAGGTTGAGCCGTAGGCGGTGGCAGAATTTCACGGAAACGAAACCAAAATGTTAAATATCGACTCAATTACGTCACATTTTGCTTAAACTGCATTGTCTTGGCAAGATGCCGTTCACATTTCATTGGGGGGCATTAAAAGATGCAGTAAAATAATACAAATACAAGTTTAAATTCACTACCCTGCATTGTAGAAACTAGCCGCCGGTTTCTCACTCGCAGTGGCCAATGCCGCCCGTATACATCGCTATATTAACTCCCGGATATGCAAACACCTTACTCGTCGTCCTCATCGTCTTGAATAACCTGCCTTTTCCTCCTTCCACCACCTTCACCCCCAGCCTGAGCTGAAGCGCTTGGTACGGCACCAACGTCCTCATCCTCTCCCTCCGCATCCTCCTCTGATCCTGCATCGGTTTTCTGTTTCTTCGTCCTGTGGCTCTCTCCTTCATACTCCTCTTCCTCACTTTCGTCCCCGGTCTCCGGCTCCTGTTCCTCATCACTCGGCGCCAAAAAGTCATCCTCCAGGTCATATTCATCGTCCCTACCCCTGGACAAATCATCATCGGAATCATAATCTGCCCTGCGTGCTTTACGTCCTCCTTTTGGCGCAGGCCTCTTCTTCTTCGAAGAGATGCCACGTGCTCGGCCTTCAAGATCATCAAGGGATAGCCCACTGCCGATAGCTCCGCGAACGCGTCCCACTGCCTGGTCGGCGCGTGCATTGGCTGCCTCGCGGCGCTTCTGGGATTTGAGACGCTCGCGTTCAGCTTGCTCAGCTTGCCTCTTCTGCAAGTCTGGATCATGAGTGACAGAGATAAGTGCAGTGCCATCTTTATGGTCATTATGGCGGCCGGACTTCTCCATTGCAGCCCTGAGCTTCATGATTGCTGTGTCTTGGAGGTTGTCGTTGAGCGCAACTGTGTACTGGTTGGTGACATGGCCAACGACCTGCATCACTTGAGACGCGATGTATGGGGTCGCAAGATAAGTGTGGGAATCAAGGACATCGTTGTACTCCTTGGAACCTGTCGGTGCGAGGGGTTTAGACGTCAGTTCGTAGGTAACGTCTCCGATGCTGATCGTAACTGATCCATCGCTCCATTTGTTGAAAAGGGTGTTGCTTTCAAGGAGACCAGTTGATTCATTCTTTCGGTAACGGATAGTAGAAGTAGCTGTTGCATATGCCGATTGGGATTGCGAGTCTGGTATTGGCGCAACAAAGCCCTCCTTGTTGAAGGCGTCCGCTTGTATTTTCACAAATTCGGGAACGCGCATGGTGTGAAGCTTCAGCAAGGTTAGTCAATTATTGCGCCAAAGAGAATTCGCACTCACTTCGCCATCTGTGGGAGTTGGGACTGGATGCGGCACGGCATAGACATCCATAAGGCGTGCCTCTCGTTGTTCTGGCAATACGGGCTCATGTCGATCGATTCTGTCGTCACGTCCTTCATCGTCACCTGAGTCCAGTTCCCTATCACTCAGATCACGAGCAGCCGGTGATCCAGCAGCATCATCATCATCGCCAAACAAGTTATCTTCATCAATGAGATCTTCGGGCTCGGAAGACATGTCGCCAATGTCTGCAGCGTGTTAATTGCTTGGAGCCTTGCAGCGTTCTTTGTGAGTGATAAAGTATCAGAAGCGTATTTGCGCTGTGAAATCCAGAGAAGCGCTGGTAGGAATTGACACGGGTCCAGACAGGTGAAGGACGGTAGTGTCGGAATTTGTTACTCGATGATTGATTTCGGGACCTGTGGTCACCTTGCAATTCAGCAAGGCTGATATGAGCAGCTGCGACTGGTACACCTAAGGAAATGATTGGCCAATAAGCGAGCGTGTAACTTGGACGTCTCAGCCTTTTGGAACTCCTATATTGGGCGCCGGTTCAAGAATCAGTACCAAAGTGACTTGTCCATATTCACGTTTATAAAGAGGATTGAGAACTTAAGCACCGTTTATCGTTTAAGGGCAGAACTTATCCGATACCATTCTGCTCTTTCAGGGCTCTATCTGTGGCACAACAACATCCACCCCCGATCGTTTGACCGAGTTTCAGACTCGTGACCGGCCTCAAGATGTCCAACCTATTCAGTGGCATGTAAGTTCTCAACTGTTTCTTTTCTTGAATGAAGATCGGAGAAGGGGCTTGACTATGTGCCGGAGGCTGTTACTATTGGGCTTCTATGACAGCAAGATTCTGTGTTTGACGCTGGTGCCGCTTTTATCCTTTCTCCCCTCAGCGGGGGCTAAGCCAACGGCACACGAATGATATATTGATATATGTCACCCTCAAGTGAGGAGTTTTCAGCAGAATAGAGTTTACGTTGTCATTGGCGGGACTTCCGTCTTCACTTTCATGGGCAAGCAGCTACTTTCACTCTCGAAGTGGCGTGGACGTTGACCCAGATTGTATGGTCACCCTCCTCGTTTTAGACTTACACTCCTTGTCCAATTCTCCATTAGAGGATGTGTTGAATATTTTCGAGAGGGATCAGTATGAGCGAGCAAAGCAGCCAGCGCAGTCTTGCCCTTGTGTCATTGTCACGATCGTCGAGCTGAAGATCTATGCTGACATTCCTGCTACTATAGCAGCGGCCGCTTTCGCGGAGCCCAGAGTAAGACTGGTCAATCTAAGACTCCAGTGGGATCTAACGATGGTCAAGGGCCCCCTCCGGTCCCCAACGTTCAAAACAGCAACCCCGCACCAAACCTAGCACCGCGCATGCCCCCTCTCCCAGCTTCGCCGTCCCTTTCATCGTCTATGTCACTAGGTGAATCGGCTGCTCCTCCGGCCACGAACAGCTCCGACCCGCTGTCTGGATACAACCTACCCAGGCCAAAGCCATTATGGCTGAACGCAATGCATGCCAAGCATATTGTCAAGGGTAACTTTATGACCCTGTCGGCCAAACCAAAGACTTTGGAACAGGGTGAATGGGTGGCACATCAAGGTGAGCTACTCGATACTCGCTCTAATTGTTCTGGAGCTAAACATTACAGTGGTTGAGCACTATCGCAATCTTTGGCTATTTGTTCGTGTGATCCATGAGAAGGATGAAGATGGAACCACCATCTGCAACCCAAAGACCTGCTCCCGCATGTCAGCTGGAGCGTAAGAACCCCCTGGCCCCTTTCCACATCTCCTATTTCATATCCTAACGCACACAAGAAACCACTCTTTCACCTGGCTTAACTCCCGCCGTGAACCTGTTGAGGTCCCTGCGCACGAGTACATCTCCCTGATGCAACGCTGGATCTCTGGCAAGGTCGAAAACACCGATATCTTCCCCACAGACCCTGCCTCGGTGTCGTTCGCCTATAACACTGCCGCTCCCGGCCCCGCCTCCGCCAGTACCTACCCCTCAGGTTCGGGTTTATCAAACGCCGGAACACCCATCCCCGCCCCACCGACCTCCTCGACCATTCCTATCGCCGCCTTGTCTGGTTCCGACTGGGTCGGCAAGTCATCCGGATTCCCTCCCGAGTTCGTCCAAGTTTGCCAAGCCATCTTCCGCCAGATGTTCCGCGTCTACGCCCACCTGTACTGGGCCCACTTCAGCGAGCCCTTCTATGACCTGAGCCTGGAGAAACAACTCAACAGCTGCTTCTCGCACTTTATCCTCACTTCTATGGCGCTGGAGATGCTAAAGCCGCATGAGCTGGACCCGATGCAGCCTCTGGTTGATCTCTGGGCTGCAAACGGCACATTCCCTCCCGAGAGCCGCGCATATGCTTGCGCCAACGTCGAGGCGGGAAAGAGGTTGCTGGAGATCAGCGGCGCTGCCTAGATCGGCAGTTAGACGAGGGGCCTCCCCGATTGTTGTGCAAAACGTTGGGTAGTGTCGCAGCATAACAAAGCGTGGTTGCCTTGGGTAATGACATGATCGAGGGATACACATCGCACTCGGAATGAGAAATGAAAGGAAGGGATGGGATGGGATGAGATGCGTGCGTCTCACCCATTGGCCTAGTTGTTTACATACATGCGTACTTCATCACAACATCAACATGTTCACTCAAGCCAGCACTACATGAGCGCATTTAAGAATGGATAAAAACATCAACGACGGAAATCATATTTGATTCAACATCGTTCTATTTGCTTGATACTTTCATGTGATCTTTAACGCTTGCTAACTACGAAGACGTGATTAGGCCTGCACCTGACTGATTTTGTACTCGACGGTTAGGTTTCCGTCCTCGACAATGAAGCGACCATTGCCAACGTAGATCTTCTGCTCCAGAGGACGGAGTTCTTCGGAGCCGGTTTCAAAGGTTACGTGGGTTGCTGGAAACAGTATTAGACAAGTATTATGGGCGGCACAGGAGGCGTGAGGGACAGGGAGTTGGATAGGTGAAAGAGGCAGTGAAAGTGTTTGAGGATCTATTCGAAAATAGGATATAGGAAGGTGTGGTACTCACAAATATTCCCGAACTCGATAGTCTTGGCATCTGGAGCCCCGCCCAGGACTTTGAAAATAGCCTCGGTCGTCTCGATGTGGCCTGTGTAGTAGAGGGTGATCAAGGCGCCAGACTCGTCTTTGAGGAGAGACTTCACGTCGAGGCGAAAGAAGTCTCCGGACGTATCAGGCTTGATGTAGTCGCTGCCACTAATGAAAGAGGCATTGAGTTTAATCGGGTAGCCAGGCTCAGAGGTTAGGCTCCCAGATGTGATATCAACAACTGAGATGCCTCCTGGGTGTTGACTGGTAGCACCTGTAATTGGGTGAGCCTTGATATTGGCCTGCGGGATGTTAGTGGTGGGCATATGAGAAAGGGCATTAGGTCGTGATTTGACGCATCGCAGTTGAGAGGGGAAGAAAGAAGCTCGGCTGACAGGGCGGCAATGGACGAAGGTGAGTAAAAAATAAAAGCGACAGATGACAGGTCACAGGTATATAAACGACAACAAATATTTCAGGATAAGTATACTCATAATTTGACGCCACGAGCAGAGAAGACCAGGGGTAGAAATCGAAACCATCGCTGCTGACGCGATACCCCGCAGCCCAAAGAAGAAGACAGATCGCATACCTTCAGAGTAAACGCAGGGACTAAGGTGGAAAATCCGTCCGACATGATAGCAGCTTTTGTTGGGGATTCGGAATAACCTGGAAAGATCGAGTCTTAAAAGTTAAGGCGTTAATATGGATGTTGAAACGATTGATGTTTATGGGAGCTGACAGTGTTACACTTCCCCGCCATGGTGGTGCATTGTGGTACTCGCGCTAAGTGCGATCTGGTGCTCGGGTCGCGGGGTGGTTTTGCTCTGGCACTGGCATCTTGCGCGGGAAATTATGGCGCAAGAGGTCATGGAATGGAAAGTGCTTCAAGAGGAATTTTAGAAGAAGAAATGAATCTTACTGCTCTCTTTGCGCATCAATATTGTTATTTATATTCAGAGAGCCTATTTACTTAATCGTAGGTGGAAGCAAAGTCACATAGTAAATTAACGTATTTCACATGCGAATGGCCGCCCACACAAGCGAGTGGCCCAGCTCATTTTACAAAAATCACAAACTTTGTAACTAAATATCTTAACAACAGTTAAATAATAAATTATAAAACAATGTACTTGGCCTTTTATAGGCGTTTAAACAGCACTAATTGAATTTTAAGGCAATTAGCCTTATGGTTATTAAGATACAGTAAACCCCGATATAAGGATACCATCGGGGCTACAATAAAATAAGGATAAACCGAGGTATCCTTATATCGGGGGTCACGAGTTTCAAGACGTATTTTCACAAGTATTGTTCTATTTACATACAAAAAAGTTATCTAGAGTCCTCTGGTTCTTTTTGAGACTTTTAACATCAAGAGCTCTCTTCCAAGTCTATCTAACACCTTAATATTGTGTGATCTGTCCTCCCTAGCTATCTCAAATAGTTATAGAGTCTCAAGAGCACAAATAGCCTTAGATATAGAGACAGGAGGCTCTATCTCTTCGTCTCCCTCTCCTATATCATTCTTGATCTCGACTGTAAGTTTCGATAATTGCCTCTATTACATAGTCATCTAGATCATTGATCTCTTCAGCAGGAGGGTTAACAGTCTTATTCGGATCTTTATTAGTCTAGAGGATTCGGAGGATATAATCAACCCATTGTCGTTGATAATGGAGTTTGAAGGATGTGATTATCCCTTGATCTAGAGGCTGCTAGTAAGAGGTAGTATTTGGCGGAAGCCATCAAATCTTGACATTTTCAAGGCTGTCTAGCCCTCCTATCTTTTGTACACTGAGTTCATGGCCTGAAAAGTTGTCAAGGAGTAAGATGACCTTCCATCCCTGCATCTCATTATCAAACCACTGTAGGAAACGCTCGCATATAACCCCTGTCTGTTACGATTACAGCTCACAGCTTGTCACAGCTTGTTACGGTTGTTACGGTTGTTACGGTTGTTATGGTTGTTACGGTTATTACGGTTATTACAGTTGTTATGGGGATTGCGGGTGTAGCCTTAGCCACAAGGTTACAACCGCTGAGCAGACAACTGTATGTTATGAGGAATAGCCTCACCTTCCTTCCTTCTTCTTCTTCTTCTTCTCTCTTTAGATTCAATCTAGATTACTTTTCCTGGACTGGCATCATGACCTCTATGACCATTGTAACATAAGATTGAATCTCTTTTCTTCATTAGCTCATCCTGAGCAAGAAACTAGAAACCAGCACAAACCTTCGAGCAACAGAACCCTCAAACCAGAAACCAGCACAACCTTTGAGCAACAGAACCTCCAGAACCAGAAATCGAAACTCGGACCAACCAGAGCTACACATTGAACCAGAACCAGAACCAGAATACCAGAACATCAAATCCAGAAACCACAAGTCAACTCAATACCACACTCAAGCATCAGAACCCAGAACTTTATATCAGCAGAATTAGACCTTTCCGTGACGCTCCCTCAACAAGGATATAACTGTGACGGAAGTGCGCTCCTCTTGAGTGGCTCGTACGGCCGACAACTGCAAATAGGGCCTTCACCACATATGTGTCTAGTTCCTGATACCAACAAAGTCAGAAGAAGATCCTGACCTCAACAATTCCAAGGACAAGAAGTGAAGCCTGCTATAATGGCACGCGATGCACAAGAACTTGTCATCCGTGACAGGAGTCAAGATCAAGGACAAGAAACCCAATCTACTACAAGCAATGAGGACTGCTTAGAAAGCCACACCTACAATAGAAGGGAAACACTACTCGAGGATCCAGAACACCAAGCTACCCTTCGCATTTGGTAGCTTAAAGACCTCTCAGTTATGAGCACCTGGAGCCAAGCCCAGAGAGAGGCTGCACTTCAAATCCAAAAGCAGATGATGGAGGATTATGATCATGTCACCCAGCTCTACAATACTACCCTCCAGAAGAGTCGAGAGGAGAAGGCTACATATGATGACAATATCAGCCAGCTACAAGAGGTTATCCAAGCTCATGAGCAGACAATGGTAGGACAAGCTGCTGTTGTGAAATATCTTGAAAATGAGAAGTCAAAAAGCAGCACTACTCGCAATAGAGAATCACACCAGAAATCCACTAAGATCCCAGACCCTCCTACTCTCACAGACGGAATAGAGCCAGCTTATGACGATTGGAGCATTAAGATAAAGATGAAGCTCGAGGCGAACCTTGACCATTTTCCTACTCCAGCCCTTCAGATGGGTTATGTGCAAAGCAGACTAGGTGGCAAAGCCTCCTCTCACATCAATCCACGCCTTCGATCTACTCAGAACAAGTTTCAAACTGTAGAGGAAATGTATGAAGTCCTAGACAGAGTTGTTACGGCTACGGTAACGTGACATCATGGTTACAGGACCAGGACCTAGTAACGTGACGTGTGAGTCACAGGGGGCAAGCGGGGTAGGCTGCCATGACGGGGCTAATGGATAGTTGCAGAAACTAGTGGATATTGGATAGTTGAGCTATCCATGAACTATCCTGAATATCTAGCTATCCGCCAACTATCCAGATTACCCATGAGGCACGACGCCACTATATAAGTAGATAGTATTTCCTTAGATAGGAGCTTCGTGCTCAACTCAATATAGTATTCTTTACAATACTGTAACGTGTTACTTGGAAAGCCTTTGTGTCTAATCCCCTGCCTCCTCTGTCAAGTCAACCTTACGCAAGAAACCTCTGTGTCTTCTATCGTTTAGAAGTCAGCGTTACAAGAGTCTTCAGTGATCCAGAGCGCCGCTTTACTGCACAATGCGCTTATAGAAAGCTCTTCCAAAACAAGGATAACTTTCCTACCTTTTGGGCAGAGTTCCAGAGACTCACTGTTGAACTGGATTACTCAGAGGAGACCCTCATTGATGACCTCCGCCATAAGGTTAATACGAAGATGCAGACTGCTTTAATAGCAGAGATAAATCCAAGCTCTCTCCATGCCTTTGCACAAAAGTGCTTACTGATTGATCAGAATATCCAGCAACTTCAAATCCAAGATGCTTGCACTGTCCCTCGAGTTATTCAGCAAGCCTTTAAGCCACAAGACTTTCACAGTAAGGCTAAGCAGCCTACTACAAACCCACCTGCTGGCTTTAGACCACCAAGACTATATTGTGCACCACATCAGAACCCTGCAACTAAGAAGTTAATGCAGGAAAGCCGCTGCTTCCATTGCCAGCAAACTGGACACCGAGCTTATGAATGTCCTACCAAGAATGCTCAAGTCCACGAAGTTAGCACTTATGATGCTCCACTTTCGGGAAAAGAATAACCTTCAGACAAGACGTCACTGAAGGTGTCATGACAGCCAGAATGCAACTTCTTCCTCAAGCTTTGGATTAGATCCAGATACTCCATTCATAGTTACTTGTATGATAGGAAAATCAAAAATCAAAGCACAAGCTCTTATCGATACTGGAGCTACTGGAGGAAACTTTGTGAATGCTGTTGACACAGAACGAATTTGTGAGATAGAAGGCATATCACCAATAGAGCTTTTAAAGCCACGCCCTATTCAAGGCTTTGATGGAACAGCAGCCCCTCCCATCACTCATGCTATATACCCTCGCCTACAGGTCCAAGACCATGTTGAAAGTCTATGCCCTCTATTCATCACCACTCTTGGGAAACATTCTGTCATTCTTGGGAAGGCTTGGATGAAGCAACATGGAGTTATACTTGATATGGTAAATGACCAAGTCATATTACTAAAGGTCATTGCCAGCACACTACACCAACGAATACTCAAAATCCGAAACCTACATTACCCCAAGTCAATAAGCAAATACAAGATGACAAAGCTTGGTAGCCAGCCCTCCAACCTCCTTATAAGAACAAGAACACATGCACTGTCGCAATGATTGGAGCCGCACCATTTAATATGCTTCAGAAGCAGAAGGGAGCTGAGGTTTTTGCAGTATCATTTAAAGATATACTCGCTGAACAGGCAAAGGAGAAAGTGAAGGAAATTGACCCAAAACTAATTCTCCCAAAGGAGTTCCATGAATATCCGATGTGTTCTCAAAGCAGGCTGCAGATGAACTCCCCCCTCACCGATATGCAGACCACCACATCGTCTTAGAACAAGATTCGAAATTAGGACATGCACCCCTTTACAACATGTCAAAGGAGGAACTTGATCTTGTGAAGAAATATATTGACGACAACTTGTCGAAAGGATTTATTGAAGCTAGCAAAGCTCCCTTTGCCTCTCCTGTCCTTTTCGTCTGCAAACCAGGTGGCGGATGATTACCACAAGTTAAATGCCATTACAAGAAAAGACTCATACCCGCTACCCCTCATCGATGAAACATTGGCTCAGATCACAGGTGCCAAATATCTTACAAAGATTGACATTCGTCATGCATTTAATCAAATCCATATGCAAACAAAAGAAGATGAAGATCTCACTACCTTTAAGACGAGATTTGGATCATACAAGTACAAGGTCCTCGCTTGGCCTTACAAATGGCCCTGCAATATTCCAGCGATATATGAACGAAACCCTTATGGAATACATAAACAAATTTGTTACAGCATATATGGATGATCTTCTCATCTATAGTGCGCATCGATCTGAGCATACCCAGCACGTGCAAATGGTTTTACAGAAGCTCCGCGAAGCTGGACTACAAGCAGACATTGCAAAATGTGAATCTATGTCCAAGAAACAAAATTCCTAGGGCTTATCATTGGAATCTACGGCATGAGAATGGACCCCGCAAAAGTCCAAACTATACTTGAATGGAAAGCACCAAGATGTAATGGTGGGTGCACCAGATATGAGAATCTAGCCACCCAAGGAAGGGATGAATTTACTAAGACAACACACTGTCTTAGGAAACAGAGCCAAAGGGTTGTAGCTTAGACTATTCCACAACGCAGCAATCAGGTGTATGATGTGGTGAAGTGGTTTAGACAAGTTGCAACAAATGTTGAGTCTGAGAACTCAGGGGTAAGTCAGAGGTTAGCACCTCACTGACTTTTCAAAAACAGAGAATAACAAGATCAATGCTTGGAAGCTTGGAAAAGACGTAGAAGTATGTGCTAGTCAATTTACTGTATTGCCTGCTTGCCCTTTCTTAAGGAAAGGGCAATCCTATTTATGCCAAAGGAGTGTAGTTCTCTCATTTTCCATGACTTTCCATGACTAACCAGGCTTGGTAAATGTATTAGAAATCAAGTGCGACCCACAACTAGCTTGCTAATCATGTAGTGAACGTAAGAGAATCCCATAGAACCATCTCTTGGGTTCCTAGCCTATAGGAAGTGAAAAGGAGGTCCAAGGTCAGAGTACCTATAGATAAATTATGTCATAACTTAACCAATCTTGTGGGTAACTAAGGAGCGATGACGTGTAATGAATCATAGAGGGTTGTAGAAGCTTCTAGAGCTATCGTTCATGTTTCTAGGCCTCTAGTTGGTAGAGATATGCCATGTGGTAGTATTGGCCCACCCCCTTAAGGAGGAGATTTTCTTAATAACTTGTTCAATGAGTGTCCAAATGATATGCCGTGATGTATGTAGCATAAACAGATGTAGTAGAAGAGTTTGCAGCAATCGTTGAGTAGTATTGCTTCTGTTGTTGGTGTGATAAGCCAAGATATGTATGGTGACTTGTAGGTTTGAGGAGGAGATTTCTAAGTTTGCTCTTGAGTTTGATAGCAAACTGAGTGCAACAAATGTCAGTATGACACAAGCCAACTCACGGAAATTGACAAATCTAGAGGAATCAGTCCTTGTTCAATACATACTCGACCTAGCTACAAAAGGATTTCCTCCTCAGTTGTCTATTGTTGAAGATATGGCAAATCGGCTACTTGCAACATGCGACGCGCCACGCGTCGGGTCGCGTTGGGCTTCAAACTTTGTTAAGCTGCGTGTAGAGCTCCGGACACGCTTCCAGCGCAAATACGACTACCAGAGGGCTAAGTGCGAGGACCCAGAAGTCATCCGTTGTTGGTTGAGCTTCTACGCAACACAATTGCAAAATATGGCATCAATGAAGCAGATATCTACAACTTTGATGAGACTGGGTTTATGATGGGCATTATCTCAACTGCTATGGTTGTGACAAGCTCAGATGGGCGTACAAAAGCAAAGAAGGTACAGCCTGGCAATCGGGAATGGGTTACAGTAATCCAAGGTGTTAGTTCTCAAGGTTGGGCAGTGCCGCCATTTGTCATTGTTGCAGGCAAAAACCACCTTGCATCTTGGTATGAGAACAGTGGATTTCCAAGCGATTGGGTAATTGCTGTTACAGAAAATGTCTGGACTACAAACGAGAGAGGCATGGATTGGATTCAGCATTTTGAGTAGCATACAAAGACCCGGAGTGTTGGTGGTTATCGCCTCTTAGTCCTTGATGGTCATGAGAGCCACCACTCAGATGAGTTTGAGGAATACTGCAAGGAACACAACATTATTACACTTTGTATGCCTGCTTGTAACGCTGACTTCTAAACGATAGAAGACACAGAGGTTTCTTGCGTAAGGTTGACTTGACAGAGGAGGCAGGGGATTAGACACAAAGGCTTTCCAAGTAACACGTTACAGTATTGTAGAGAATACTATATTGAGTTGAGCACAAAGCTCCTATCTAAGGAAATACTATCTACTTATATAGTGGCGTCGTGCCTCATGGTGTCATACTGACATTTGTTGCACTCAGTTTGCTATCAAACTCAAGAGCAAACTTAGAAATCTCCTCCTCAAACCTACAAGTCACCATACATATCTTGGCTTATCACACCAACAACAGAAGCAATACTACTCAACGATTGCTGCAAACTCTTCTACTACATCTGTTTATGCTACATACATCACGGCATATCATTTGGACACTCATTGAACAAGTTATTAAGAAAATCTCCTCCTTAAGGGGGTGGGCCAATACTACCACATGGCATATCTCTACCAACTAGAGGCCTAGGAACATGAACGATAGCTCCAAAAGCTTCTACAACCCTCTATGATTCATTACACGTCATCGCTCCTTAGTTACCCACAAGATTGGTTAAGTTATGACATAATTTGTCTATAGGTACTCTGACCTTGGACCTCCTTTTCACTTCCTATAGGCTAGGAACCCAAGAGATGGTTCTATGGGATTCTCTTACATTCGCTACATGATTAGCAAGCTAGTTGTGGGTCGCACTTGATTTCTAATACATTTACCAAGCCTGGTTAGTCATGGAAAGTCATGGAAAATGAGAGAACTACACTCCTTTGGCATAAATAGGATTGCCTTTTCCTTAAGAAAGGGCAAGCAGGCAATACAGTAAATCGACTATCACATACTTCCCCGTCTTTTACAAGCTTCCAAGCATTCATCTTGTTACTCCTTGTTTCTGAAAAGTCAGTGAGGTGTTAACCTCTGACTTACCCCTGAGTTCCCAGACTCAACATTTGTTGCAACTTGTCTGAACCACTTCACTACATCACACACCTGATTGCTGCGTTGTGGAATAGTCTAAGCTACAACCCTTTGGCTCTGTTTCCTAAGACAGTGTGTTGTCTTAGTAAAATCATCCCTTCCTTGGGTGGCTAGATTCTCATATCTGGTGCACCCATCATTACACAATTAAGTAGGCATTACCCTACTTAAGTAACTAGTGATTTCCTTAATCAGCAAGACCTAAGGGACTAGGCCTTTAGGAGGGGGACCTAGTGTTATCGCTATGGTAATGTGACGTCAGTTATAGGGCTAGCAGAACTTAGCTTGGTAACATGACCTAGGAAGTCACAGGGCTAGCGGGGCTAGGCTGCAGCCTAACTATACCCGCCTTAACCCTACTAAGTGGCATTAAGCTGTTTGCTATACTTTTGTCTACCGTCCCCTTTCTTTGATTGCTTGCAATTTCGCGCTATATGTCTAGGCTTGTTATAGTTAAAGTAGAGCCGTTCCTTAAGCTGTCGCTCCTTGTTAGGGTTGTATAGGCGGTTGCTTTGCTTAAAGGTAGCATCGAGTTCTATTAGGTCTAACTACTAGTTGTCTTAAGAATGGTTGTCTCTCTTTCGACCTTTGTTACCTCAATATTTATAACTCTTTCTTTAGGTTGTCGCAAGTTCGTCGCTCCTTCTAGAACTCGTACAGCCGGTTGTAGGTCCTATATGTTTAATAAGCAAGACTATGTCTTTTAGTTGATGTTCTATACACGCGAGTTCTATACGGACATGGCTCTTTAGTCCACGACGGTAGTAGCTAATGAGCACGTAGGTATCCCAATTAGTTTGGTTGCTATATCTTTAGAACTCCGTAGTGTACGTGAGGGCGCTACTAGTCTGCTTCAGTCCGTACATATGGTCTTCTGCGGTCTTAACCTCGTCGATATTGCTAAACATAGAGCGGATCTCCTTCTTAAACCCCTTCTAAATGCTGTTGGACCTTTGTATCCCTCTTGTTATACGCCTGCGTAAGGTGTGCTGCTATTGATCGAGTGCCTCCTAAGTGCTTGTAGCTCACTAGTATAGGCATCGCCAATACAGCTCGCCGTTAACCAACAAGACTGCATCTAGACCACCTTCCATATGCTGCCAAACCCATGAAGTCCTTGACCGCTGCTTTGATAGAGTGCTTCTTGTTGTAGATTCGGTAGATGTGAGCGTTTGAGAGACCCCAACTGATCGATTGCGTATTCTCTGACATTTTTCCTTTTGCCTATTATGAGAACTACGGTTCTCATAATAGGCAAAAGGGGATGGTTTTGCTCAGATGCGGAAATATCTAAATCCTCAAATTTCCGAGCGAAAAGAGGCCCTTCCGGGGTCTGTAAATCGTGGCTGCATAGTCCGCAAGCGCCCAAGTTAGCCTTGCGGCTTCCGAATACCGTCATCGTGGCACCTCATGCACAGTTGCCCGGACTGCAGCCTTGAGTACTCCTAGACTGCGAAATCGGAGACAGGGGCTTAATATCTGGCAAGGGGGATATGAATGAGGGATTGAAGAGGGTGTGCAGTCGCATTTTAGCGTGTAGTGGCGCTGAGGTGGACGGATGACCAATCTGGAATGATGCAGTTGATGTGGCAATATATTCTCATTACTTAGATTGAATATCCATCGAAGATTTTCGCTATGCTTCCCCTTTGGCTCACCTTGTTCCGTACAGGCATGCCGAAACACTAACTCTAGCTTTGCATCTCCCCCGTGCTTTTTACATCGGATTTCCAATTTCCACCAGAGCTACTCGTCCGCTCCCTCGTCTCGTGGGTCGCATGGCTCGTATCTAACGTACTCGCTCTCCTCCTCAGTCCCCCGGCCTTTCTTCTCCTAACGAACTGGTATCCTCGGTCCAACTCACTTTCCACAGCACACCGAACCTTCAACGCCGAAACAGCGGGCCACACGCTTTTCTCGCCACAGAGGATCCAATGATCAAGACTCCCACAAGTGGGGGTCTCCAGGAGGCGAAGGAAATCCCCAGTGCTTAGTTCTGGGACAAGCGTCACACTTGCGCCGGTAACTGTTTCGTCAATGAGGAATCGTCTGGTGCTCGCCGGAAGAACGCCAAGAGAGTCAAGCTGCGAGAGACGATGATGTATTTCCATGGTTATTAGCCTCAATAGGTGACTTGTAAAACTCGTCCTGCCCCGTCGCGCATAGCTGCCTGATGGACCATGCATATCGCTTTGCAGGAATGGTACAAGGTATGGGCGTGCCTGTGAGATGATAAAGTGGTTTACGTTGAATAACTCGGCGACCCGCGTCAGGGGCGAGTCCCGGTCCGAATAGGTGGCATGCGTCCAGGGACGGAAGGTGGCGGATTCGGAAGGGAACCAAGGCACGATAGTGCCATCGAGGGACTTCGACAATAGATTGACAGAGCGGCCATAGAGCGTCGGGTTCGACACGTTTGATGCAAGAGCGGCTGACCAAATAAGAACATTAGGTGCCGTGAGGTAGTTCAAAAGTGACGGTACACTACCATGGCCTACCGTAGCCACCGTGATATTGAGGACTCGTTTCGTGCGATTGTAGGCCTCCTCGAATGTTAAATCTCCAACATTGGCCCTCACGCAATCTTCTAAAACGGAGATATCCAGGAAATATCCCTCCCGGTAGAACCTCTTCGTTCTCTGTTTCAGCGTCGCCCACCAGCCGCCATCTTTTGGTGGCCTCTTCTTTAGGTCCCCATCGTTTCCGCCTCCAAAAGCACTCAGGTCAATTCCATCGCCCGTTAGGAATTCTAAGAGCTCGTCTTCGGTGTGCACCCCCACTAATGCGGCAATTAGCGCCCCAGTGGCAGTTCCTGTAATGATCCTAGGTAGAAGTCCCCTCAGATACAGCGCTTTTACAACGCCCAGGTGACACATGCCAAATATCTCTCCTCCTTGCAGCACCAAAGTACTCCTTCCAAATGCTTGTCTCGTATCATGAAGTACGTCTAGTTTTGCTTGGTTACTAAGCCCCGTTGCCGTTACATTTCCATCTGTGCCTGCTGTTGCCGGCAAAGCTGCCACAAATGAGGTGGCAAAGGCGACCTGCGTGATATAATCTTCGATAAGTAATTTCGTGCCAGCAAAGGCGCGGTTGAAGAGTCGTGGAGCAGTGATGTTGCCGAGGTTCCTGACGAGGCCAGAGCGAAGTAGATTGACGAGGGTAATAACATCGTTGTCTTCGCGGGCAACGATTATGGATTGAAGTCGCTCGTGGATGAGGCGGTAATCATAGTATTTTGAGATTGGATTCTGGCGCCTATGCAATTGTTAGTTTCTTTGAAGCTTGCAGTGCTACACAGCCAGCGGGATCGTGCCGTACCATAAGTCATTCCCGAGCAACACGTCTAGTTGAAAGGCCGCCTCTTCCCACTCCTCATATGATTGTGCATTCTGGAGAATATTGACCCACACATCTGTTGGCTTCTTCCATGTCAACCAACTCCAAAATCTCTAGAGACCATGTCAGCGATATCCATAATATTATCGAGTTGGTCTTCTTACACTCATCCACAACAAGACGACTTTCACGATCATTCTCCAAAGGGCGGCGAGAACGGTAGCCATTTGTCCTTAGACGCACCCGTCATCGTTCAATCAAAAAGCAAGCAGATACTTTGGTCTACGCAGCAAATTGGCAGTCATGCGGAATGTTCTATCGAGTCAAACCCAGTGGGTGGTCTACGCCGGATAATTATTACGTAGCTCCGAGAGGTATCCACGATAAGCACATGCTTCCGCAAACAAGCTATAAACTTTACATTACCACCATTCAGCGCCTTGTTCACTTGAGATGCGTGCAGCTACACGGCTTTTCCAAGCCTGTCGTATAACTTTCTTCACGCGAGACGGCTGTAAACTCTGCACCGATGCGAAACAAACTCTCTCGGATGTGTGGGATGTCCGGCCATTTGTATACAGAGAGATCAATGTCATGAAGCCAGATCAGACAGTATGGAGGAACTTATATGAATTTGACACCCCAGTGGTTAGTATTTCAATATCGATCAATGCAATAGCTAATTTTAGTCAGATCCACGTCACCAACGCGTCATCCCCTGAGGAAGACCCTGAGCTATCCGGAAAAGCAAAAAAGCTTATGCACCGATTCACTGCCGAAGAAGTCCAAAAGAAGATGAACGACGCGGAGGCCCTGCCTTAAGGAATACATATTCTATTCGACTATATCGTCTATTTTCCATATGGTCCGGTCATCTTCTCAGTTGACTGCCCACCTTTAGCCTTGCCTACTTCTGACCCCAAAAACACCGCCAGCGCAATCGCGTCTGCCGTGATATTGATCATGTCGAAGCCCAGCCTGGCCATCTTATTCGCCTGTTCACCACTTGGGGTGTAAATCCCCGATTTTTTACCCGCCTTTTGCGCAGCAGCTAGAACCTTTGCAATAGCAGCCTCCAGCTCCGGGTGCATTGTTCGGCCCGTAATCGGATAACCCAGTGCATTTCCAAGGTCGAATGGCCCCACAAAGAGGACATCCACGCCAGGGACTGCCGCGATCCCGTCAACGTTCGCCAGGGCCTCGGCAGTCTCAATTTGGACGATTGTGAGGAGAGCGGAGTTGGCCTGGACAAGATACTCCCCAGCTGTCATCGTTGCAGAAAAGGCTCCCTGGGAGAATGGAGAGCCAAAGCCTCTGATACCTTGAGGTGGGAACTTGGCAGATTTGACGAGTTTCTCAGCATCCTCAACTGTGTTCAGGAGAGGGACAAGTACTCCGTGGGCTCCACAGTCCAGCGCACCTAGATACTTTTAATATTTTCTATCAAAGAGAGTTGTTCAATCCCACTCACGCTTTACGAGCCAACCCTGGTTGTCAGGTATCCTGACAATCGGACTCACCCCAGTTGCAGCAATGGCTCCTACGGACTCGTGCATAGCGGCATCTGCAGACATCATTGTTTAGCCTTATAAATGCAGCATAAATGATGAGAATTGTGCCATACCAGCGATATTCCCATGCTCACAGTCAACAAGGACCCAGTCCACTCCGCTATTCGCACAAGCCCTCGAGACATTGGTTCCTGGGATGGTCTGCCAGATGCCCCAGGCCTTATCTCCGTTGTCCAAGACCTTCTTCAGTCTGTTTGCCTGTATCATCGCCATGGTTTCGGTTAGTTGCTATTGATATTGATGGATTTGTTGCCGGTAATCATCGGGTGTCAGCAATGTCAGTAAGCCAAAGGGTTACACCTCTTTATACCCCGCCATAACCCCCACTTTGTCTAACACGCGGCTAAGGACTGAGATACCTCCGCACCAGACCCCGCCCCATATGGAGCATAGACTGAAAATCGTCTGAGATTGTGGAGATTTTGGAGATTTTGGGGCCTAATTAGAAATCCTCGGTCAGAAGCAATATAGCCTAATATTTAATACGTGAAAGTGCCTTTGCAAGGGACGATAGCTTGGTCGCGATTGCTGTATTCGGCACTTGTGGCTGAAGCTTATTGATACGGAACCGAACGACGGAGCTGCTCTAGAACACCACACATCAACCCCCACGCTATCCAAGTAAACAATTATCAACCTCATACACCAACAACTCCACTACGGAGCTTCGCAGGATCAACCCACCATACCTTCACCACTTTACCGACTATAGAGTCAGATCTTTCCTTGGCCGTCCTACTCAATCTCTCTCGTCATGTCGTCTGACGCACTTCCCATCGGCACCGTAGCGTTTGCGGCGGCCCTTGAAGCTCTTCCACTCTCAACCCTCCACCTCAAGGCAGCAGAGCTGCGCAACTCTCTCGCCCACCTCGAATACTCAAACGCACAGCTGGAGCCCTATGCACGCCCACCAACAGGTCAGGAGCCGGATATCGTATGCGTCGAAGCTATCGCGGAAAACTCCATCGTGATGGAACGTATGAGGGAGCGGGTGGCGCTGCTACGGCAAGAAGCGGAGAAAAGAGGTGTGGGGTGGGGAGAGTTTGTGGGAGAAGATGGGATTGACCTGTTGGGCGGAGAGAATGGAGAATCTGGAGCTGGACGGGCAGCTGCGACGGGGTCTTCAGAGGAATTGACGGCGAGGGAAAGCGAAGATTTGCGGACCCTGCAAGGGCTACTTGCAAGACGTGAGAGCGGTTCCACAGAGCGTCTGAGTGATGATTCTACTAGGGCACACTCGGCGTGGACGGATGGCACATTTCAAACCGGTCGGATTACCAATGGTGTTCTGGCAATGGACGACGACATCACTAGCGTGCAAGGAGCTATACAAAGCGCAGGAAATAATACGACCGGTACAGCCACGAATGACACGAATGGTGCTGATGGTGCGGATGGTGTGGATGGTGTGGATGGTGCGGATGGTGCGGATGGTGCGGATGGTGCGGATGGTGCGGATGGCGCAAATACAGCTCGAGGAGGCACATTGTCAGACGAGGAGCTCAGGAGGAGATTGGAAGAGAGGCTGACCACCGATGATGATGGAGGCTTGCATCTATGATACCCCAAGAGTATGGTACAATGTAATCAATGGCGTTGACGGTTTGAATTATACGAAACGGCAATGGGTAATAGGAACGGAGGCAGTTGCGCCAAAGATTAAGGACAACGGCCAATGCAAGAGACTACGCCTGCCGAAATGTCTGGTGATGCAGCATCTCAATATCAATTGAGAGCCATATCCTACCTCGAGACGACAGGCTCCATAATCACTAAGGGGATTAGGGAAACACCTAGAATAGCTTCACTAGGAGAACATCAGTGCCTATCAAAAGGGTTTAAATGCATTTTTCAAAGCCCGACTATCCCTTCGAATGCTTTTACTCCAGCCCGAAACCCGTGTTCCCACTCCCATACTGATCCCCCTTCCTTCCAACTTTCCTGGAGACGTTTTCGAACCCATATTTCCAAGCACCCAATCTTCTCTGCACCGCCAGAGCTACTCGCAACCTCTCCCATGTGGCCCTCGGATCTCGCCAGCCAGAAGCACTTTGCATCCTCCCACCCTGCATCCCACCCTTCACCGTACCAGTGATGCTCAAATTTCTTGCCAGGCGCTGTTTGGCTCCAATACTCAACGTGGCTCCCCAATGCTCGACTGAAGGTAGATTCTTTGGATCTCGTTGCCTCATCCGCACGGTGCTGTACGTCACTCGGATTCAAGAACAGCCACGGAGGCGCTACAATCGTACGCTTTTTAACCTGCTCGAAGAAACCCCACTCACCGCCGTCCATCCATTCCATCTTTGCAGTCCAGAAATAGGTGCCTCCGGTCTTCTCTCGCCATCTTTCACTCTGAGCATTCCCAAATTGACGAACGAGATCGTCTTTCTGAGATGGGTCAGATCGAGACCAGGTCTTGCCGTCTAGTACGCAGCTGTACTCCCCGATAACTATTTGCGCTGCCCCCCGATCATGGACTCTACCAGAATACTTGTCAATCTCTCCTAGCTCATGGGGCACTTGCGAGATAATATGTTGCGGTGCCTTTGCGCGATCGGCCTCGCTGAAGGTGTAGTACTTGTGCGTGTCCACGACGACCGGATTTCCACCCCGATGCCTTCTGTTCTCAACCCACCTCAGAGAACCGTTCAGGTCCCATGCATCGCTCACATAAATTGGCATCGTCGGATCAATGTCCTGTATCTCCCTCAATACGTCGTCGTACCATTCATGCAATTTATGTGCGCCTGCGACGGCCTCGTTGACAATCTGCACTCCTACAATACCTTTCATGTTCGCAGCTTCGCTGACGACTTGCAATACCACCTTCTTGGCCATTTCTCGGTTCTTTCTCCCTGTATTCCAATGGTCCCAGAGCTCAGCTTTCCCACTATCAGTCCCTGAGTGCATGTCCTTATTTGCGCCCCCAGGGAGCGCGTGGACGTCAAGGAGAACCCCAATCCCAGCATCGTTTACTCGTCGTACGAGATTGCACACAGCCGCCCATGCCGATACGTAGACATCCGCGGCGGCCTCAAACGGCGTCCCCTGGCAAAATGCAGGGCCGAGAGTGAAATACCCAATGGGGAGCCGGATGCTGGTACATTTCGCCTCGTGGACAAGAAATTGAATATCGTCGTCTGACAACGCAAAATCCCAATGGTTTTTCCAGCGTTCTTTGGTTTTATCAAGCCCAATTTCGGAAAGAGAGGATGTTACAGCAGCGAGCTCAGAGTCTCCTGGAGCGGAGAACAAGGAAGGGAACAGCCAACGCTCTAGGACGAATATGGAGCCAAGGTTCGTGCCGTGGTGGTACCGGTAGCGAAAAATATCTTGGCAAGTTATGGGACGGATAGATGAAGCAGCATGGGGCGTACTGGTGGTGGTAGCTTGAGGAGATTGGGGGGGGGGAGGGTTGGAGTCCGTGAAGTCCGAGATGCGTCTTTTCGCACGGTCGATGATGGACTTCATCGTTATAAAAAGAGATAGTTAAGGATGGCACTTAAATCGTAGTCGAATAAATACTGAGAAGCACAGAGATAATAGTTTATCTCTGGTTCTGGACATAGGAGTGATTATCTATGATGATAAGTATTCTATCAATACTTATGGCAAGACTGAAGATCGACAGCCTACGTCATAGGCGACGTCGTCGGTCTTGCCCCCCAATCGCCACCATGTGACACTTGTGAGAAGTTAACCAGCAGCAGTGATGCGTGGGAATTACAATGCCAGGTGGAACATGTGAACTTATATGTCATTATATCTTTAATTAATTTACAGTAGATATTATGTATTGGAGAGTGTCTAGTATTCCTCGCCTGTGTCCCTTCGCCTTGGTTTGATACATGACACATTTAAGCTCCACCTTCTCTTTTCTCGTACTCCAGCTCCATCCGCTCTAGGTACTCTTTCGTCGCCTTATCTTCTGCAGCCTTCTCTGCCTCGGTCTTGTTCGAAGTAATCCCAGGCTGTCCTTGGGCCGTTGTGGTGTTGTTTCCTTGGCTTGGTTGCTCTGCCTTCGGCGCAGGGGATCTGTTGTCTGCGATTGGCATTTTGGTCGGTTTTGTTCTTCAGCAGAAGTTGTAGTTTGAGGAAGAGGGTGGATATTGAGGAGATTCGGCTTATTTTTTTGGTTGGAGTTTATAAAGAGCTATCGAGGGGACTGGATTTCAGCCACATTATATAGTCATACCAGGCGCTAGCGGTCAACAGGGGTGGGTCCCTCAGCCACACTGCACAACTTCGCCACCACCAAAACTCTAGGTGCCACGTGCTTTTATACCCATTGAATTATGAGTTATGAATTTATGAATTATGAAGTCAGTTGGGGGAAATAGATAGATCAAGTCAAGTCAGATGAATGAAACAAATCATGATCGTCGGGTATCCTTAATAACTCCATACATTTTTATATAATACGTTCACAGCATGGATAACAGCATCCTCGATCCCGCATTCCCAACTGCTTTCTGGGTGGGTGCAGCCTTCTTCTTTCCCTTCTTCGCCTTGACATCACCATTCTCCTTGCCAGCTCCTGCAATCTCCGCCGCCTTCGCCTTCTGCTCTGCCGTCTCCTCAGTAGCTGCCTTTTGCAGGGCGTTCTTTCCCTGCTTCAACTTCTCCAACACCTCCGCTTTCGAGGAGAAGTTCTCGGTTTCTAACAGAGAAAGAACAACGAAAGAACTCGAGCCAGTTGCCCACTCAATGATGTGTTCCTCAATCACTGGGTAAAGTATGTCTGCGAAGTTAAGAGGCGGCGACACTGGGATAACCTTCTTCAACTTGTTGTCAAAGCGACCACCAGCGATGAGGGAGCGCAGCATCTTGCCGCCGAATGCGGTATTTGCAATGTGCAACCTTGGGCCACCTGAGTGATCGTTGAACGGAATATCAACCTCCATTGCGTCCTCAGCCGAAGCAGCGGCGTCGACATCCATGGCATCTGCCTCAACAACAACAGCCGTTGGGTCTCCTGCAGCTACAGATGCGACAGCCTCCAAGGCAGCAGTTTTGTCGCCCACAGATGCGAAGAGAACCTCGGTGATGAACTGGCAGCCGAAGGAAGTAGTGGCGAGTTCGCCAGCGGCGGAAGCAATGGCATTGAGAAGAAGAGGTGAGAGTGCCTTTGCGAGTTCAGCGCGCCTAATTTCGGGGTCTTTCTTGGAAGTAGTTGCGCGAGCGACGTCAACCTCGTTGAGGACTTCGATGTCGGCGGAGAGGCTGGCGGGGAAGAGAGAGCTTGACCGGCCTTGGAAAAGGTAGAGTAAGGTCGTGCGAGCATTTAAGTCGTTGGCGGCAGTGACAACCATCTCAGCTTGTTTGTCGGCATCCTTGGTGAGAAGTTCTGGGAATATCGACTTGGCGGTGAGAACAGTATCGTCGACTGTCTCATAAGCTGCGAGAATAATCCTGTGGCCGTTCGGGTCGCCTGCCATAAGATGAATGGTATCTTTGTAGGCCTTCAGGATGTGCTTTCTATCCTTAGCAACACCGTGTGCAAACGCAAGGCAGACTACTCGCGCTCCAGAAGTTGTGAATGCCAAGTTCTTCAGAAGATCACTCTCTTCGTCGCTCTTTAGCAGCTCCATGAACTCAGTATCTTCTTCGGTGCCAGTTTTAACATTCAAGTAGTACTGAAGCATCGCATCGTGTAGTAACGTGAAACCAGTCATTTTCTTTTGGACGAGATGGTTGATCAACTCCTTCAGCTCGCGCATGATAGGAGCACGCTTTCCAGGCTCCTTTTCGAGCACGTCTGCGAGGTCGCCAGAAACCTTTTCGCCGTCGCGGAACAGAGAGAACTCAGCACCATACCACTCTCTAAGAATTGTGGCCTTCTGTTGCCTGTTTGCAACCCCACGGTAAACATCGTCCAAAATCCAAGAAGCCTCGGCATGCTTAATCATCTTGCGCACATAGCCAAAGAATTCTGGGACAATCAGATCTCTGATCTCGTCGTCTCCTTGAATAAGCAGCTTTCCAATGAGGAACTTGGCATATTTGGACTCTGCCAGTTGGCGGTATGTTCCCTTCAGCTCCTTTGCAATCATTCTCTTCTGCTCAGGTGTAGAGTATTTGATGGCAGTCTGAATCACACGTACAGAGTCATGCTTCAGGACGAAGTCCTTGACCTTGCCGGTTATGATCTGGAACAGCTCCTCGACAAGCTGCTTTCTCTCGTCCTTTGGAACATGAGACTTCCTTCGAAGTCTCTCCCAAATCTTCTTCGTTCGTAAAAGAGGGTCGGCGAGCGGCTTAGCCGCCTTTCTTTCTGCAATTGTCGCCTTCTGCTTTGCGTGTGCCTCTCTGGAGGAAGTACCTATAAACGAATTAGATGAGAAATGTTGATCATAACGGCATACATACCATTGGGACCCTGGCCAGCAGCAAACTGCCTTCTCTCAGGGTGTATTCCATCATTTGCCTCTTCCATTGGAGTATCTTCTTCCTCCGCTCCGTTCAATGGCACACCGCCATCGACATCCATGTCATCAGAGTCCTCATCGTTAGACTCTACCATCTTTGGCTTCTTTGACTTCTTCTCTGGCTTATCTTCCTTTGATTTCTTCTCTGGTTTATCCTCTTTCTTGGAGGACTTCTTCTTCTCAGGTTTCGTAGATTCTGCCTCTACCTTCGATTTTTTGGTTCCCTTAATGTGTGCTTCCTTCGACGGCTCAGCCTTCCGCTTGATGCCCGAAGTACTGCTTTTCTTGGTTGTTGCCGGGGCAGCCATGGCGAACAGAGATAAAATTCCGTTAGCAATATGCTATGATTGTCGCGGCTGTGGAATTAACTGTCCAAATTAAGAATACAAGCAACCCGGTCGAGTCGCAAGGTTCACGTTGTAACTGTTCTGCCACAATCTTATCAAGAACTTTTTCTTTTACCTTCAATCGCGAGGCTTTTTTGCAGGGGTGTTACTCCCACTAGTCTGCTATAGTACTCGCGCTGTCCTGGCGAGGCTATGGAAGTGTCCCACGTGATTCGTCGATTATCAACCCCCCACTATCACCAATGATTCTCATACTTCTACGTCAATAAGCCTGTCTCACAAGGCAAATCCTCTTACAATGGGTCGCGAAGATCAACTGGAGGAGCGGGAAGTCCTGGACTCTATTTTCCCGGACGAAATAACTGGTATGTAGTACCTTGCCGTTCTGTCTCAACCTCCTTGAACACACAATTTCAGAGGGAAGAGGTGAGAGCCCATTGCTAATGCGGCGTCACAGATATTTCAGAAACATCTTACACGATATCAATCCTTCTCGATGTCACCAACGAAGCCGGCAATGAGGCCGAAGCTCCAACCGTCATCCTGAAGATCGAATACCCGGAAAACTACCCAGATGAAGCCCCGCTTGTCGAGATTTGCGCACCCGATGATGCGATAGCACACGAACTTTTCGACATCGAAGTGGACAGAGAGCGGTTAATCGATGCCCTGAATGATTCCATTGAGGAGAACATGGGCATGGCCATGATTTTCACTCTCGTTTCGACTGTCAAGGATGCGGCCGAGCAGATAATACAGGAGCGCCAAGAGGTGCTGAAGCAAGAGCACGTCAAGCGCGTGATGGCTATCGAGGCCGAGGAGAACAAGAAATTCCATGGAACGCCGGTGAATATCGAGACGTTTTCGAAGTGGAGGGACGCTTTCAGGAAAGAGATGGACGATATAGAGCAAGCAGAGCGTGAAGTTGAGGAAGCTGCCGAGAAGAAGAGAAACAGAGGGAAGGAAACGGAAGTTAAGCTTACAGGAAGACAGCTGTGGGAGAGCGGCATGGCTGGTAAGGCGGATGAAGATGACGACTTGGAGGATGCGGCTGTAGCGGCTGTGGAGAAGGTCAAGTTTTGACGAGATACCTTCGAGTTTTTTATTGCTTAGGTCGGAAAAACCGGTCTCCATGATATATGAGGCGTTGCATTGGAGGCGTTTTGGGTAGAGCTGGAAAATACGCGGACCATCACGGCCTTCGACTCTGTTAGTTATCTATAGTTGCAAACATGAGCACAAAACGCAGCTGACAGCTCCCTTTTTTGAACAATGAATAGGCAAGTGTATGAACACGTGTATATAAAACTAAATCGCAATAGATCTCTGGATCAATCTCTGGGTCTGAGATTTTGTAGTTTATTGACTACATAATTTTCTTAATTCTTTTGGCGATGCACTTGGCATTAAACCCGAAACAGTGATTTCATAATCCTAAGGGATCACGCCTAGATCTAAACTTTTATAGCTTTCTAGAGAGCCCCCATACACTGCTATGCAGCCTATCAGGCTCCCAGGGTTCACGTCGGCCACAGTATAGTCCTGATAAACTGATCAAACGCCACCCATCTCCTCATCTTCCTCACCTTCCTCATCTTCATCGCCACTATCGGACTCGTCATCCTCCTCTTCACCTTCCGCCAGTACCCCAAGGTCTTTCTCCAGATTGGAAATAAGTTCTTTTGCGTGTTCTCCGAGGCGCACATCCTCATAATCTTGTTGTTGAAACAGCTTTAAGCTGTGATTCAGCCATTGTCGACTCGAGATCCAATAAACCTTGTGACCCTCCCCACTAACATCCTTCTCCTTCTCCTTCTCGCCCAAGATATAAAGTCCCCAGCCACCAAGGTACCATACCTCAACACTGCTATCATCTTCTCCTACCAGTCTCTCCAGCACCTCAATTGCTTCCTCTTCCATCCCACTCTCCATCAACAATCTCGCCAAGCTCACTCTCGTTGGGAAGTCTGGCACCAGTTCACTCTCTGGATCCTCATCCTTCCAAACTTCAATGCTGCGCTTTAATGCAGCTTGGGCGTCTTCGAGTCTCTGCTGTGATATGCGCACACTAGCCAAAGTCTGCCACGGCTCTGCGAAGCCTGGTCCGACAAGCGTGGCTTCGGTGACAAGTGCCTCACACCTCTGTTCCGCATCTTCCTCCCAACTCAAATCAGTCATATACACCTCGACAACTCCACATAGCGCAGTTGCTAGCTTTCTCCTCTTCTCTGCAACCACAGCCTTCACTTCTGCTGCTTTGTTTGCATCCGCTGTCTCCACAAGCTTCTGTATCTGAGCCCGTAACACCTTAGCACCCTGCTCGAACCACTCCACACTGTCCCGACCTCCCTCTTCACTCAGCTGCGCCAGCCAGAGGAACTTCTCAGCCCCGCCTCCGATCTCCTCATCGACCTCGCCCTCCTCGTCGATTTCGACGGCTTGTGTGAAATAGGCCCTCGCGGCCTCGATATCGCCGAGCTCAATGTGGATTTCGCCCAGTAAATTCAACGCCGGAAGCGCATCAACAGAGTCTACATCAACTAGTCCCAAGGCGCGTTGTGCCAATGGAACAGTGCTCTCAATATCGCCTTCCAGAAGCTTAGAAGTGGCCTGGTCGAGGAGAGACGACGAAGATGCGGGCGGTGAAGAGGCCTTGCTGGGAGTGGCTATTGTGCGGTTTAAAATATTTTTGGACTCCCGGTTGGCCTTCGACTGTTGGGGCTTCGTTTTCGCCATTGTTGCAATGTATGAGGTTTTTGGAATGAAAGGGCGATGTCTGTTGACTGAAATAGTTTATTCCTGGCCACGAAGAACTTCGCGGGGCGGCAGAATTATTTTTCAAGGCGGGGCTTGGTCTGTCGATGACGGCAAGCGCTTACCGCTTTTGGAACAGATTCAACCCCAAAAAGTGCTCCAGAGTATGAATAGTAAAACCAGTATACGTAAACACGTAGTTGAGTCATTTGGAATAACGTGGTTTATCAGTACGTCGGACATATCAGTACCTCGGACACTTTTCATTGGCATTCTACTTTGAATATCAATAAATCAACCATAACATATTAAATTAACTATAACTAAGCGGAATCAGATGAACTAGACATATCTATAGCTTCTTGACAAGTTCGCGCATTATGACCAGCTTTTCCACAGATCCCACAGCATCGCCTAGACGGTTGCCCCTCCTTGTGACTACCCCCAACAGCACGTACGTCGCGTCGTACCTGCTCATCCACATCCTTCTGTGCGATAATAGCCTGTGCATCCTCTACTATAAGTGCACCTCCTTCACGGACACGAGCCTTTTTAGCCCTGCGGCGTTTGCTAAGGGCTTCGTTGGCTGCTCGAAGGGTACGTACCTCAGCAGACAGAAGGGTGTTCTCATGTGCTAGTCGCTCCGTACCCTTTGCCAATGCAATAACTGTCCCGAAGAGTGGAGTTGGCGAGCTTCCTTGGTGACGGGCAATTCGATTTCGAACGAGGGTTGTTTGTGAAAGAGCTTCAGTTGGGTTGGAAGGGGTCTGGGAGACCCAAGGGTTGGTGTTGGCAGTAGAGGGTCTAGAGGGAGTTGGAGTCCGTAACCTCACGTCAAGCTTTGAAAGCACTGCTTGCGGGTCGAAAGGCACTAAGCCAGCTCCGCGGAACCCGGACTGGGCGTTTTGGGCTGTCATGGATTCCAGATATGCTGCTCTAAAGGCGAGAAAGAACTCGACCTTGGTAATGTGGTTGATATGAGCCTTAATGAAGGTCTCAATCTGCCGACCATATGCCCGCTTCAACACACTAAAGCACCCGACATCAAGTGGCTGAGTTAAATGAGACGAGTGGGGAGGTAGTCCAAGAGTTATAATGTTGTGTGCCTTGCAGTACTCTTGGAACTCGGCCGATTCATGACTCTCGTGCCCGTCTAACACCAGCATTCGATATGGACCCCTTGCACGAACAGCAGTATGTTTGTCGAAGTGTTTCAACCATTCTAGACCCGTCTCATTGTTTGTCCATCCATTGCTTGTCGGTTTAACAACCCAGTTGTGTGGAAGGCCGCCGTCTGTATACCAATTTGCAAGATGATTCTTGCCTTTAACTACCAAAAATGGAGGAATACTCCAGCCGTCACTGTTGATACAAGCAATCGCTGTAGCCCATTCCCGATTCCCTGGCTGAACTGCCTTACCTCTGCCAAGTCGATCTGCACGGGTAACAACCATTGCAGGGCAAATCACACCCATCATAAACCCAGTTTCGTCAAAGTTATAGAAGTCGCAGTCCAAAACACCATATTTTGCCCTCATATTTTCCACTAGTCGAAACCACGCGCCAATTAGTTCAGGATCTTCGCACAAGGCCCTTTGGAAGTCGTAAACGCGATTAAAACGCGTCTTTAATTCTGGACGTCGTTGTACAAATCGGTGGGCCCAGAGCTTCCCGACGCGCCTCCCTCCACGCGACTCGAGTATAAAATTTGCCATATCTTCTACACCAGCAAGCCGGGGTGCAAATCCTCTTGAATCCATATCAAGTATATTCCGAATAACCACCTCCTCTTCTAGTATAGTTAATTTCATCATTGCAGGCCGGCGTTTGTAGACAGTAGTTCGGCCGTTCATTCTGTCGCAGAGTGTAGAATGAGGTACTTCATAGAGCTTAGCAGCCTTCCGACGACTTAGATTTTTTGATGTTCGGATAGCCTCGATAGCTAGAATGATTTTTGCTTCTTGGGTAATCACTGACATAATAAAAGGTGGAAAAAACGCGTTGTGAAGTTAGAGGGTAGGAAATTCGGGAAAAGTGTCCGAGGTACTGATATGTCCGACGTACTGATAAACCACGTTAAGCTTATTTTGACTATATTTGATGTTTTAATTATTGAAATATAGCATCATAGTAACCAGGATTCGTTAAACATAGATAAATTGGTTGAGTCATTTGTTTTGACACTGTTTTATGGATTTATTGTTGAAATAAATAACACAATGATTATGTAGTCGTAATCATGACTATAATCTATACCTTATTAGGCTTAGTTATTACCTAATTGGGTATAGTTTAGATAAGCGATAAGATAAGATAAGAAAAACGAAATGTTTCTAGAGAATTCTATCAAACTTCTACAAACTTCTAGAGAGTTCAAGATGCTTATAAATGCTTATAAATATATCTATAACGTACATGTATAGCGAACCGGCCAAACAAGCGAACCGGCCAAAATGATGCGGTGACAATAACCCCCAACTAAATGTTAAATTCCTCCATAACAAAACATGCTGCCAAAAAATGATGAAAGGCAATTACTGCTAGCTATCCAAGCTCTACAAAGCGACCCAAAGTTATGCCTTCGAGCTGTAGCTAGGACCTTTTCTGTGGACCACCATAAGCTAGGTCGTCGATTACTAGGCATACCTTCACGACGCGATATCCAAGCTGTAATGGTGGGTGCACCAGATATGAGAATCTAGCCACCCAAGGAAGGGATGAATTTACTAAGACAACACACTGTCTTAGGAAACAGAGCCAAAGGGTTGTAGCTTAGACTATTCCACAACGCAGCAATCAGGTGTATGATGTGGTGAAGTGGTTTAGACAAGTTGCAACAAATGTTGAGTCTGGGAACTCAGGGGTAAGTCAGAGGTTAACACCTCACTGACTTTTCAGAAACAAGGAGTAACAAGATGAATGCTTGGAAGCTTGGAAAAGACTGGAAGTATGTGATAGTCGATTTACTGTATTGTCTGCTTGCCCTTTCTTAAGGAAAGGGCAATCCTATTTATGCCAAAGGAGTGTAGTTCTCTCATTTTCCATGACTTTCCATGACTAACCAGGCTTGGTAAATGTATTAGAAATCAAGTGCGACCCACAACTAGCTTGCTAATCATGTAGTGAACGTAAGAGAATCCCATAGAACCATCTCTTGGGTTCCTAGCCTATAGGAAGTGAAAAGGAGGTCCAAGGTCAGAGTACCTATAGACAAATTATGTCATAACTTAACCAATCTTGTGGGTAACTAAGGAGCGATGACGTGTAATGAATCATAGAGGGTTGTAGAAGCTTTTGGAGCTATCGTTCATGTTCCTAGGCCTCTAGTTGGTAGAGATATGCCATGTGGTAGTATTGGCCCACCCCCTTAAGGAGGAGATTTTCTTAATAACTTGTTCAATGAGTGTCCAAATGATATGCCGTGATGTATGTAGCATAAACAGATGTAGTAGAAGAGTTTGCAGCAATCGTTGAGTAGTATTGCTTCTGTTGGTGATAAGCCAAGATATGTATGGTGACTTGTAGGTTTGAGGAGGAGATTTCTAAGTTTGCTCTTGAGTTTGATAGCAAACTGAGTGCAACGAATGTCAGTATGACACAAGCCAACTCACGGAAATTGACAAATCTAGAGGAATCAGTCCTTGTTCAATACATACTCGACCTAGCTACAAAAGGATTTCCTCCTCAGTTGTCTATTGTTGAAGATATGGCAAATCGGCTACTTGCAACATGCGACGCGCCACGCGTCGGGTCGCGTTGGGCTTCAAACTTTGTTAAGCTGCGTGTAGAGCTCCGGACACGCTTCCAGCGCAAATACGACTACCAGAGGGCTAAGTGCGAGGACCCAGAAGTCATCCGTTGTTGGTTGAGCTTCTACGCAACACAATTGCAAAATATGGCATCAATGAAGCAGATATCTACAACTTTGATGAGACTGGGTTTATGATGGGCATTATCTCAACTGCTATGGTTGTGACAAGCTCAGATGGGCGTACAAAAGCAAAGAAGGTACAGCCTGGCAATCGGGAATGGGTTACAGTAATCCAAGGTGTTAGTTCTCAAGGTTGGGCAGTGCCGCCATTTGTCATTGTTGCAGGCAAAAACCACCTTGCATCTTGGTATGAGAACAGTGGATTTCCAAGCGATTGGGTAATTGCTGTTACAGAAAATGTCTGGACTACAAACGAGAGAGGCATGGATTGGATTCAGCATTTTGAGTAGCATACAAAGACCCGGAGTGTTGGTGGTTATCGCCTCTTAGTCCTTGATGGTCATGAGAGCCACCACTCAGATGAGTTTGAGGAATACTGCAAGGAACACAACATTATTACACTTTGTATGCCTGCTTGTAACGCTGACTTCTAAACGATAGAAGACACAGAGGTTTCTTGCGTAAGGTTGACTTGACAGAGGAGGCAGGGGATTAGACACAAAGGCTTTCCAAGTAACACGTTACAGTATTGTAGAGAATACTATATTGAGTTGAGCACAAAGCTCCTATCTAAGGAAATACTATCTACTTATATAGTGGCGTCGTGCCTCATGGTGTCATACTGACATTTGTTGCACTCAGTTTGCTATCAAACTCAAGAGCAAACTTAGAAATCTCCTCCTCAAACCTACAAGTCACCATACATATCTTGGCTTATCACACCAACAACAGAAGCAATACTACTCAACGATTGCTGCAAACTCTTCTACTACATCTGTTTATGCTACATACATCACGGCATATCATTTGGACACTCATTGAACAAGTTATTAAGAAAATCTCCTCCTTAAGGGGGTGGGCCAATACTACCACATGGCATATCTCTACCAACTAGAGGCCTAGGAACATGAACGATAGCTCCAAAAGCTTCTACAACCCTCTATGATTCATTACACGTCATCGCTCCTTAGTTACCCACAAGATTGGTTAAGTTATGACATAATTTGTCTATAGGTACTCTGACCTTGGACCTCCTTTTCACTTCCTATAGGCTAGGAACCCAAGAGATGGTTCTATGGGATTCTCTTACATTCGCTACATGATTAGCAAGCTAGTTGTGGGTCGCACTTGATTTCTAATACATTTACCAAGCCTGGTTAGTCATGGAAAGTCATGGAAAATGAGAGAACTACACTCCTTTGGCATAAATAGGATTGCCTTTTCCTTAAGAAAGGGCAAGCAGGCAATACAGTAAATCGACTATCACATACTTCCCCGTCTTTTACAAGCTTCCAAGCATTCATCTTGTTACTCCTTGTTTCTGAAAAGTCAGTGAGGTGTTAACCTCTGACTTACCCCTGAGTTCCCAGACTCAACATTTGTTGCAACTTGTCTGAACCACTTCACTACATCACACACCTGATTGCTGCGTTGTGGAATAGTCTAAGCTACAACCCTTTGGCTCTGTTTCCTAAGACAGTGTGTTGTCTTAGTAAAATCATCCCTTCCTTGGGTGGCTAGATTCTCACATCTGGTGCACCCACCATTACACATGGGTAATCTGGATAGTTGGCGGATAGCTAGATATTCAGGATAGTTCATGGATAGCTCAACTATCCAATATCCACTAGTTTCTGCAACTATCCATTAGGCCCATCACATGGCAGCCTACCCCGGTGTAATGGTGGGTGCACCAGATGTGAGAATCTAGCCACCCAAGGAAGGGATGAATTTACTAAGACAACACACTGTCTTAGAAAACAGAGCCAAAGGGTCGTAGCTTAGACTATTCCACAATGCAGCAATCAGGTGTGTGATGTAGTGAAGTGGTTCAGACAAGTTGCAACAAATGTTGAGTCTGGGAACTCAGGGGTAAGTCAGAGGTTAACACCTCACTGACTTTTCAAGGAGTAACAAGATCAATGCTTGGAAGCTTGGAAAAGACGTGGAAGTATGTGATAGTAGATTTACTGTATTGTCTGCTTGCCCTTTCTTAAGGAAAGGGCAATCCTATTTATGCTAAAGGAATGTAGTTCTCTCATTTTCCAAGACTTTCCATGACTTACCAGGCTTGGTAACTGTAGTCGATGTAAGAGAATCCCATAGAACCATCTCTTAGGTTTGTAGCCTATAGGAAGTAAAAGGAGGTCCAAGGTCAGAGTACCCCTATAGACAAATTATGTCATAGACAAATTATGTCACAGACAAATTATGTCATAACTTAACCAATCTTGTGGGTAACTAAAGAGTGATGACATGTAATGAATCATAGAGGTTCGTAGGAGCTTTTAGAGCTATCGTTCATGCTCCTAGGCCTCTAGTTGGTAGAGATATGTCATGTGGTAGTATGAGTGATGTCATGTAATGAATCATAGAGGGTTGTAGAGATATGCTATGTGGTAATATGGGCCCAGTAACTAAGGGGCGATGACGTGTAATGAATCATAGATGGTTGTAGCAATCGTTGAGTAGTATTGCTCTTGTTGTTGGTGTGATAAGCCAAAATATGTATAGTGACTTGTAGGTTTGAGGAGGAGATTTCCAAGTTTGCTCTTGAGTTTGATAGCAAACTGAGTGCAACGAATGTCAGTATGACACCCGCTTGCCCCCTGTGACTCACACGTCACGTTACTAGGCCCTGGCCCTGTAACCATGATGTCATTGTAAGGACACAGGGCACCCAGCTCACAGTAATAGCATATGAGAGTGCGAGTCGGAGGCTAAACGGATGCTATCCTATAGGTCTACTATGAAGGATACAAAAAAGATGAAGGGGGAACCCCATTGAGTCTGTTTCCTTGAGTACCCGAAACGGGCCTGACTTGTTTATCCCAACCCTAGCCCTGATCCTTCCACCGCAACAGGTCAGCATCGACCCTGAACCCTACACCCTTACCATCCCCCACTATAGTGTAACTCGCTATGTGCTCCTCTACTGGTTCGAAACCACACCGAGTCAGATTTCATGCTTGTAGTGACCGTAACAGTTCTGAGACAGGTTCTTCGAGTATCTAGGTAAGGAGGCATCCTTACAGTCATGTTACTGTAGCCGTAACACATTAAGGCTCATATCAACCACATTACCAAGGTCGAGTTCTTTCTCGCCTTTAGAGCAGCATATCTGGAATCCATGACAGCCCAAAACGCCCAGTCCGGGTTCCGCGGAGCTGGCTTAGTGCCTTTCGACCCGCAAGCAGTGCTTTCAAAGCTTGACGTGAGGTTATGGACTCCAACTCCCTCTAGACCCTCTACTGCCAACACCAACCCTTGGGTCTCCCAGACCCCTTCCAACCAAACTGAAGCTCTTTCACAAACAATCCTCGTTCGAAATCGAATTGCCCGTCACCAAGGAAGCTCGCCAACTCTACTCTTCGGGACAGTTATTGCGTTGGCAAAGGGTACGGAGCGACTAGCACATGAGAACACCCTTCTGTCCGCTGAGGTACGTACCCTTCGAGCAGCCAATGAAGCCCTTAGCAAATGCCGCAGGGCTAAAAAGGCTCGTGTCCGTGAAGGAGGTGCACTTATAGTAGAGGATGCAGATATTATCGCACAGAAGGATGTGGATGAGCAGGTATGACACGACGTACGTGCGGTTGGGGGTAGTCGCAAGGAGGGGCAACCGTCTAGGCGATGCTGTGGGATCTGTGGAAAAGCTGGTCATAATGCGCGAACTTGTCAAGAAGCTATAGATATGTCTAGTTCATCTGATTCCGCTTAGTTATAGTTAATTTAATATGTTATGGTTGATTTATTAATATTCAAAGTAGAATGCCAAGGAAAAGTGTCCGAGTTACTGATATGTCCGACGTACTGATAAACCACTTTAGATTAATCCTTTAGACTATTGGAAAATAAATCAATCTCGATTTCCAATTCTAGCTACTATAGCTAGGCGCTATTTACAAATCCCTGCTACTAGTGCTCCTATAGAGAGCTTTTTTAGTATAGGTAGCCTTATTATTTTAAAGATTAGAAATAGGCTTTCTAAAGACATTTTTAGAGTAATAGCTTGTTTAAAGAGTTGGGATTTTATAAAGGAAGAAGAAGAGGATCTAGAAGAGGAATTTATAGCTAAATTAATACTTTAAGAAGTATTTAGATAGATTAATGTATATTTGGTTTCCTTTTCTACTATACTAGATAATTACTTAGGCCACGTGATTATAACATCATGTGATAATCATGAATATTCATGATTATTATGATTATTTGTGCTAACCCTGCAATGAAGTATCATCCCGACAAATTTGGCTGAATTATTTGAGTCTTTTAACATATGCTTATTTGAATTACTATTCGTGTTTATTATTGGAAGGGAAAATAAATCTCATAGTTCGTGGTGTCATATTATGCCTAACGAAGGATATCTCTATCGGAACAGGCAACTAGCACATCCCCCCCCATGACATGTAATTCCATCCAGTCACCATCATATGTATGTTCTATCCACAGAAATCAATACCCAAACGTTGCCAAACACCGTACCAACTCCCTCAAGTGTCAATATAAAGTACAAAGCCCGCGTAGGCAAACTCTCACACGGGTATCTACCGCACTTCAGTAACTTCCTGATAATTAGCTGTCACTGGCCTCTCCATGTTGCCTAGATCTGCACCCTGCCCACTAAGATCTCTCTTCCTACTTGTGAAGTGGAATCTGGAAGTCAAAGGTGTCGCTAAGGCGGGCTCATCTGAGCCCTGGTCGCCCAGCCTCGAAAAGAAACCCTTTTTCTTCGGGGCAGGTTTGTCTTTGACCGGGTTGTCATTCAGACCCACGTCTTCAAATCCTTCGCCTTCTTCTTCTTCTGTTGGTGGGCCCCCTTGAAAGCGCCCTTCGTGAAGTGATGAGCGCGGTAAGCGGGGTAGACGCGCATCGAGAGATTGGCGCCCATTCACAGACGATGAACTCTCCATTACGGGAGACCTAGCAGAAATATCCTATTAAAAGTATTAGTCTATGCTTTGTGAATCCAATGAACTGTGCCACCCCCGGAGGGCAGAGGGTGGAGGGGGTAGAGGGTGTAGAGGGTAGAGGAGGTATAAAAAGACTGACAAATGAGCGTCTGTACGAATCAAAGGATTCCCTGGAGATGGAGAATGGCTCTATCTCTGCGAAACTTCTAGTCGCACTGGAAGATGCATTCGATGGGTTGGAGCGGCGAGGCCAAAAGCCCTTCTTTTCGGGTGGTGATGGCTACCATAATAGTCAGAGTTGCTCTACGCATCCAAGTTTTGATGTTTGCTTACTGGTAAGTATACCCCGCTATCATTGACGACTGTTTGGATATGAGTAAGGTTCTGGAGCGAAACTAATACTCAAGTATCATAATCTAGGGCATAATTTACCGCTCATTTTATATTCCGGGGGCTGTTCAACCTTCTTGCTATTTATACTCAATGAGGAGGACGTTTTAGACGCCTTTATATCCGCATTGTCAACTGCCAAGCCGTGGCCACCAGGAGATTCGGGCGTCGCATTTTCGTCCGGCAGACCCTCGAGGCCAGTACGCTTTGCAAATGGATTCCGAATAGGCATATTGATAAGAGTACAGTTGTATGTATACAATTAGCAATTATTGAGTCGTCGAAGGACTTGGAGAGTTGTGTCGCGCCTATGGGACACGGGATGGCTGGTTTGACCTCGGACCGCGACCTGTTCCTGGACGTTGGTTGGTTCAATTCTCTGTTATTTAGGCTATTGGAATCCGTGTGGCTCTAAAGTCTGGGGAACATATATACGAATTGATACGAAAATCGAAGCTGATGGGATTCCTCTCTTTGCTTGATCTCAAAGTAACCAACTTAGCAAAGGCTCATAGTTCTAGTTGTTTAGAGCCTTATTGTTACAATTGTTATGAACACTTTTAAATGGCAATTAAGCTCAGAGTGAGTTGTACACAGCCCCATCATCGATCGGGCTTTTGGGCTGTCGCACAAGTAACATCTTGCCATTGCTGCCTTATGAAACGTTCGTGGGTTGGGCGAGTAGAGAGTATAGCAAGTACGTTGTAGGAGGAGCCAAATATGTCATGTGACACCGCGTACTGATTACAAACGCGAGCCGACAAGGGACGCGTCCACCCAACAAGAAACAACAACTAACACGAATTTATCGATTCGAATCGGCTGGCCAAACTGGTCTAATCACGTAAGAAAGGTTGTTGTGCTTGGCTCGGTAACAACAACAATGGCGGCCGAGGATATGGAGGGATCGCAAGGCATTGGTGAGGGTGGAGTTGGAGGGCCTGGTGCGCCTACGCCTTTGTGGTCACTCGAGGTATGATTATTCATACTTGCAGCATAAGACACGTCGGGACGAGCACTAAAATTGGAACTATCAGGGCGTTGCTGGACTTACAAAGCGCGATATTCAACTTGTTGTTGATGGCGGCTTTAATACGGTCGAGGCTGTTGCCTACACTCCCCGCAGAGTACTGGAACAGATCAAGGGGATCTCGGAGCAAAAGGCAACGAAGATATTAACAGAAGGTCAGTGCCGTATATGGGAAGTAATTGTTTGACTACTAATTTGGAAATAGCTTCCAAGCTTGTTCCTATGGGCTTCACTACGGCAACAGAAATGCATCAACGCCGCAGCGAATTGATTTCCATCACCACTGGCTCCAAGCAGCTCGATACCTTATTAGCTGGTGGTATCGAAACAGGCTCTGTCACAGAAATATTCGGCGAATTCAGGACTGGAAAGAGTCAGATCTGCCATACATTGGCGGTTACTTGCCAACTTCCTTTTGATATGGGTGGTGGCGAGGGGAAGTGTTTGTACATCGACACAGAAGGAACATTCAGACCAGTTCGTCTATTGGCTGTGGCAAATCGATACGGACTATCAGGAGAAGAGGTCCTCGATAATGTAGCATATGCGCGTGCTTACAATTCCGATCATCAGCTCCAGCTTCTGCAACTTGCCTCGCAGATGATGTGCGAAACCCGCTTTTCACTACTCATCGTTGACAGCGCCACATCTCTATATCGCACGGATTTTGTTGGGAGAGGGGAATTGGCTTCAAGGCAAACCCACCTGGGGAAGTTTATGAGAGCGTTACAGCGTCTTGCCGACGAGTTCGGCATTGCAGTTGTCATTACCAACCAGGTCGTGGCCCAAGTCGATGGAGGACCCAGCGCGATGTTTAACCCAGATCCTAAGAAGCCAATAGGTGGACACGTTATTGCTCACGCGAGTACAACCCGGCTCAGTCTGAAGAAGGGAAGGGGAGAGACGAGAATATGCAAGATTTACGACAGCCCTTGTCTTCCGGAGAGCGACTGCCTGTTCGCCATCAATGAGGATGGCATTGGTGACCCAAGTCCAAAGGATCTCGAGAAAGACTAGATCTTTTAGGCGACACGAGGAATGGGTCCACAATCGTATGGGTATGGAGAACGTGCATTGTTGAGTTACGAGGCTATGAGAAACTTTGTTACAGAAAGAGCTTGGCGTTATAGATATTGTGTGCTTTAGCATGCCGCGAATTGTACATTTAATTGGCCTAGCATTATGGACTTGGGAACAATAAACTGCCTATTTGCATTTGTAGCAATACCATCTTATTTGAAGGCGTAGTGCTGCCCATGGTGATGTGGAAATGTGAAGTTTGGAACTGGAGTGATGAGCTAAACTCTATTTTGGGACTAGCGCGTATCTTCAAAAGCTGCTACCAAACAAAGTTGACGTGCAGCCATACGGAATACCAGCGCCTGCGCCCAGCTCCTAGCTCCTTCTTCATGAGTTCTATGATTGCTTCTTGATGGAGGAAAGATGCAAGCCCAAGCACCACCGTATCTCTTCAAGGAGACGCGTATAAATCTCGACTCACCACTTTCCAATTCTACAGTTATCCTACGCCTTCCCGTACCAGGCGCCTCTACCAGATTAGCGCGGACACAAAAGAGACCTCCGGCGACTGAAATCGCAATCACTGAGGATGAAAATGCATTTAAATCGAAGCATCTAGCGTCGGCCTCCTCGATATACCACCGCCTGCACCATACCTCACCTCGAAGCTTCCATTGGCGCGTGTTGGAAGATGGGAAAGCATTGTCTATAACCGCTGTGGATGTATGCAAACGAGAGAACGGGCCCGAGAACCCTCTCACACTCCGACTCTACTTTTCGAGCCCAATTCGACCTGGCTGCATTGCATTGGCCGATCACGAAGAGCACGACACGTTGAGCGTCTTGGCTTTGACAGAATCGAATCACTTGTATACACTCACGCTGAGACCCGACTCCTTCAGACGACGTGCAAGCACGGAAAACAATGTGGACGACTGGTGCAAGATTTACCTGTCGACAGCGTTCAGCTTTAAGCACCCCCACCGCCTCGTTGCGCGAAACCCAGGAGAAGTTCTCATATCTCTCCACGATGGAGGCCTATTGAGGTTAAACCGACTAGCTGGTGAAGATGCTTCATCATGGAAGGAGACGTTTTATAATGAAGGTGGTTGGGCGCATGGGCTGAGAAGCCTGATTCCCTTCCAAGGGGGCAACACCATCAAGCACGGGAAGATTAACATCGAGCTCTCAGCGGTTACTGCGATTGCTGTACCAAAAGCAGATATCGATGGTGATAATTACGCTTTTACCGTGTCTTTGGATCATCGAATCAGAGTATGGAATCTCGATTCAGGCAAGATTGCGTTTACAGGGGACCTCTTAGGCGCAGAGAGGGAGCCGAACGACCTGGGCAAATGGGTATTACATCCGTCCCAAGCCCAGCTAATCAGGGTATTCCAAGACGACGAGAGAACTACTGTCGTTACCTTTTCTCCTATCGGCGCCGGAGAATTCAAATTTTGGACGATGACATTGAACGGAGACGGCACTGCGGAGTTAATTGATATGTTTCCAGAGATTGTTTTGAAGCCATCGCATCCGATGGCGGGGGATCCCATGACGGATGTTTGGACCGTGGCCGATTTCTCAGCCACCGTGCATAACGATGAGCGTGGCAAGCTATCATTGTGGGTACTATGGAAGAACAATATTACATATCGGGTCCAGACCGTTGATGTCACGCTTCAGTCAGCCAATAACACCAGCAGCTATTGGAAAAATGGCTGGTCTGCTGTGGCGACAGATACGGTGTCACAGGCACCCCTACCTGTTATTCTTCCATGGGACCCAGAAGATGCTACAGAGAAGTGGCTCAGTTATATACTGTATCCCGGCAAATACACAATAGCGACCGTGGAGACAGCACTTTCTATTTATGAAAGGAGTCTTGGACGCCCGCAGAAGATATCGGCGCGTGGCAACAAAAATCTATCTGAGAGAATTTGTGCTATAATTGGATCTTCTATACCATTAAGCAGTTCGTCGACTGGGCAAATAGATTATGAGCACTTCAAAACAGCGATGGATGCCCAATGGCGGCGATTTTACCGACTTATTGTTGAACTGGACAAGCAGCGCGGCGAGGCTTTGGCTCTGAGTTTTGATGCGGATAACCAATTGCACGTTGTTGCTACAGCCAATGGTTTGTCGGTAATCCGAGAGTGTAGTCCCATCGAGGAACTATACTTTAACCCGGATAATGCTTTTGGTGGGAAGTCGGAGGGGCTCAGCAACCTTATTTCAGCTGCGGCAACGTTTCGCGAAAACTTCAACGATGTGTTACAGCACTCTTGCAAAGCACAGCTGGCGGTGCAACTCTTCCAAGATCCCTCGCAAACAGATTCCGAACATCTCCGATCATTCTACGACAGATGCAATTTCGCTGGTCAAATCGGTGACGATGATTTCGAGCAACTGCTGGCATACTTTGGTGGGGGCTTCAAAAATGTTACGCTTGGGAGCTATGAAGATTTGTTCAGAGAAATGGCTGGCACAGAAGACATGGCAGCACATCTCGAGCGGTATCCGTTGGCTTCCCTTGGCAGAAAGGTCGCGGTAAAAGGAGTCCAGGAGATAGTTGAGCTCCATCAGTCAGTCTGTTTTGATCAACTGGCCCTTTTAGCCTTCATTGAGGGCGAGATCGATCAACAAGAAGAAGGAATGCAGCTTGATACAGCTGCTGTTCATCGACAGCTTATCACCGTGCTGAAGCATCTTGAAATATTAGAATGGCTGCTGAAGACGCAAATCTCCATTTCACCTCTGAAGTCTGAGAGATCAGAGTCAATCGCCAGTTTAAGCGACGCTCAGAAGCACCAGGAGTTCAAAATAGTAACTGTGTTTGAAGGCACTGTTAACCACCTACTAGGACTGGCCAAGGATTCCGACGTGTCTAATTTGACTGCACTGACCAAACTCCTGGGCCGTGTCTGCGATCCAAATAGCGAAATAGAGCTGCAACCGGCACTTATTCAAGCGTTTCTTCTGAAGACCGAACACCCGGATCTAGCAGTCTCGTTTTCCCGATTCTGCTCCCAAGAACCTTTCTCAGTATATATGCAGGGCCGCAGCTCTCTGGCAGTCAAAGATTTGTCCGTAGCAGCAACTTACTTTAAGAAAGCTGCGTTTGGTCTTGGTAAGCTTCTTCCGTCGCCGGGTATCTCAATCTCTAATGTAATGGCAGCGCATTCCGAAATACAGGCGACCGATCGCCACTCGTCTGGGTTACTTAATGAATCTGACTGGAACTGTCTCTGCGGTGGCCTTCCATCATACTATGCACACATTGCCTCTCTCTTCGACTCCTCCAAATCGCATTCATACGTCATCGACTTCGCGCGCCTTGCTCTCCAATTCCTGCCCACTCAATCCAAGGTATCTCCTGCACAGTCGAATAAGGACACCGCACTCCGCGCAGACCTCCTCTCCCGCCTCTTCTCGTCCGCCCTCCACACAGCCCGCTACGAGCTCGCACACTCAACTCTACATTTGATGCCCGACGCTGCAATCCAAAAATCCAACCTCCGCAGCTTAGTCTACTCTCTCTGCGAGAACTCTGCTTCAGCGGAACTCATCGAGCTGCCATTCTTGGGAATGCATGCCCTGGTCGACGAGGCATTAAGTCAAAAGTGCGCGAGTATCGTTGACGTCAATATCGGTGTGCCATGGCATAAAATCCTTTACGCGTGGAGGATACGCCGCGGCGACTTCCGTGGAGCGGCAGCAGTAGCATACCAGCAACTCCAGAAGCTGCAGCAGCTTGCCAATGGTGGGCATGGCAAAGATCTCGCGCTGTGGAGCGGAAAGAAGAGCGCTGGTGCAGGGAATGACGAGCTGGACACCCCGGTCACGAGACAGTATCTGCAGTTTATCAATGCGTTGAGCTGCGTGGAACCAGGGCAGGCATGGATCCTAGCGGAACCAGTGGGAAGGAAGAATGGGGTTGTCGAGAAGAGAAGAGTGATTACACTGGAGGACGCGAGGCGCGGATTGCAGGATGAGATGGATCGGGTTGAAGGGATCCTCAGAGGGCGGTTTAGCTTTGTTGGAGGAGAGGAAAGGTATGTGGATATGGATGTGGATTAAGGGGTTGTAGGCAGCTGTGAGCGGGTTCTGTGTATGATACGAATGGCGTTCAAATGGGAGTTAAGGTACAGATGGAGCGAAAGAAAGGAAGGAGCTAGAGAGGGAGAAACTAGGAGGAATATACCAGGTTCTTGTAAAAAATAACACTGAGGCGATGATGTCTGGGTTTCAATATAGGGAGATCATCGTAGAGAGTGTAAATGATGTCTTACAAGTTCGTCGAATGAGAAGGGTTATACTCAACTCAGTGAAGTGTCGTGAACTACCAGCTGCGGATGGTCTTGTGCAGGTCAATATTAGCTTTTTTTGCAGCTACGTTCAAAGGTTTTCCGAGACCAATAACATGTTTAAAACGGCAGGGACAGAGGTTCACATATCTCGAAAAAAAAGTCACGAGTCGTCACTCTCCTGAGGGTGAAATGCTTCAAGTCATGGTAATCGGGAAAGCAAGCAATATGCTAATTCATCTGGATATACACCTATCAATGACTCCCTCATTCCCAATTTTCCAACCCAAACACTCCACGTCTCATTGCCCGGCCATTTAAGCCTTGACGGCGTACTTGCGCTGGGGGAAGTGGGTGTTGCGCTTGGTGGTCTTCTCGAGGACACGGGCGGAATCCTCCTTGGACAGGCGGCGACGGATGGCACGGGTCTGCTTGGGGCGGAGGTCGAGGGGAAGGTACTTCTTGTTCTTGTAGAACAGGCGAAGCTGGGAGCGCTGGTTGGCGTTGATGACGGTGAGGACCTTGGCGATCGACTTGCGGATATCGTGGCTGTAGAGCGAGAAATGTCAGTGATGCCGTGCCACTTACAAGCACCGAGTATTGCCATCGGAGTTCTCGTGGGAGACAAGGGAGTATTGATGGGCTTATAGACTCGGGGGCATTGAGACGGGGGATTTGAAGACGCACATCTTGGTGAGCTTGGATGCGGATCCACCAGCGATCTTCTGGGTGCGGAGTTGACCGAGCTCAGTCTTCAATTCGCCGAGCTGCTTCTGGAGGTCCTCCTTGTTCTTGGTCCAGAGGGCACCAGTCTTAACTTTTCCGGACGACTATCGCGACGTTAGCTTTTATCCCCTTCGATCCAGTTGTAAATCGTTTCTTGAGCGCGCGCGTCGCATCGAGAATCGAATATGTAAGAGGTTCCGTACCATTATGAATGATTGTCGAGGTTGTCGTGATTGAGATGGAGTGGTGGTCGGTATGGGCGTCGTCGTCGGTCTTCGTTCTGGGCGCGGATCGCTGGGTTGTTTTTCGTAGTAGGGTTTTCGTATTTTATGCCCTAAGCGTGTGATTGGCTTAGCGTGTGAGCTGGGACAGACCTGGGGACAACTCAGTTAGCGCAAGGCTGAAAATAAGTCATGTGATGTCAATATCTTGGCATCCATGTCAGAGCCGCGCACAAGGCAAGGCCGAGTTGGTCAGGATATCATATCAACCACTGAGACAATGATGGCATAGGAAAGATCCGCTCTTCAAAATATCAAGAACCTATCATGTCTGCCTCAACAGGGACGGGCTGGGCGCAGCTACGCCAACAAGCAAGAACACTTGAGACCCAAGTAAGTCATCGTACTCCTCAAGGTTGACCAAACTAACCGGACCCCTAGACGGAATCTCTCTTCCACACCTACTCACAATTTGCGCAAATCAGCAACATCCCCCCCTCACCAACCGAAGAACAAAAGCAAACCGAATCCAAAATCAACGAGCTCTTCGAAAAGGTTAGTCCCCCCTCCCCTCTCTGAACTGTCCCCTTTCTAACACGCCCTCCTCCCAAGCGCGAAACCCTCATAAACCAACTCACCCGCCTCCTCGACTCCGAAAGCACCCTCACCGCCTCAGCCCTCAAGCAAAACAACCTCTCCCGGCACCGCGAAGTCCTCCAGAACGACCGCCGCGAATTCAACTCCCTGAAATCCACGCTCCATTCCGCCCGCCAGCGTGCCAACCTCCTCACAAACGTCCGCTCAGACATCGACGCTTACCATGCCTCCTCCCCTTCCGCTGAAGCGGACTACATGCTCGGCGAGCGCAACCGCATCGAGAACTCGCATAATATGACTGATAGCGTGCTAAGCCAGGCGTATGCTGTTAATGAGCAGTTTGGGTTGCAGCGCGAGACGTTGGCGGGGATTCAGCGAAGGATTCAGGGCGCGGCGGCGCAGGTGCCGGGGCTAAATAGCTTGATTAATCGGATTAGTGCGAAGAAGCGAAGGGATATGATGATTTTGGGGACGTTTATTGGGGTGGTGTGCTTGTTGTTTTTGTACTTCCTGTGAGCCAGCGAATTTGGGATGTAATGGGGAGTCAGTTGGCGGCTGTCAACAGTTTGAAAGATTGGGCTGGTATACCTACTGAAGTGACCCGAGAGGCGAGGCTAGGCTGTATATGGTGGCAAGAGGTTGGGGATAGATACTGGCGGACGGGATCACAAGACAGATGGATGTGTCAGATAGACATGGGAAGCGGAACTTTGCTAATTACTGTCGTTATACCGCGCTGCTTAATGCCAGGACACGCAAGCGCTTATGTATCTTTGCGAAGCAGGAGTTAGAAGCGGATTTGTATTTGTACACGAGGGTATTATTTGACAATATCATACAACAGTGGCAGCCACGAGCTTTCCACCTTCAATCAAAATCCTCAGATCGCACTTTTCGTCCCCCCAGGCGAACCCTTCTTCCCCTTTGCCTCCTCAATCAACTTCCTCACACCCCTAACCAACCCCTCCCTCTCATCCCCCTCCGCAATCCCACTCCCCGCCCACCGAACCCTACACGCCCCATCCAGCAAATACGTATACCCAACCTTACTATTCAGCAACCCCATTGCATCCCTCATCTCCCCCGTCAAGCCCCTTGTGACCACAAAATACTTCCCCCATGCGTCCCGCCCCAGCTTCGCCCGCAAACTCGGCTTGAATAGCTTGATTAGCGCTGCCTTGAGAGGGTTCTCCTCCACATTAATCTGCACCATCTGCGCACGCCCGCCGCTCGCAGCCACCACTTCATGCAGCTCCGCGTTTTCCTTCTTGCCTACAAAGGATGTAGCCTGGTGCTCGGCCCAGGCGCTGGAGAAGACGGAGACGATGGAGATTTTATCGCTCAACACGGGTGTGGTGTCCCGCACCTCGGCGTCTTTGAGAAGGGTCTGGCCCTGCAGGTTGGGGAAGTAGAGGGCGCGCTCGGCTCGGAAGAGGCGGGGAGGGGCGACGAAGGATTTCCCTTTGTGGTGACGCATGTTGGACCATTCGCGGAAGTAGGGCGTGGCCATCCTCTCCGTGCTGCGTTGGATGTTAGCTATTTTTCTCTGACTGTTCGGGGGCGGTCATCCGGGGTCAAATAGGAGACCGTTATTTCGACGGGAAGGATATGCGGGAGAGAGCGTACAGAATCTTCCTCTTAACAATATGTTTATCATAATCCACAAAATCATCACGCCTCTGCTTCCACGACCTCGTATCAACCCCGGCATTCTCGCCCGCCCGCGGCGGCCTCGGAAGCCCGATTGGCCGCGGTAGCGGCTTCGGCGTGAATTGCTCTACTGCTTTGCCTGTTGCTCGCGGCGCATCGGCGAGGGGGGAGGGGAGGTCGGCTGCTGATACCGGCTTTGGGTCTTCGGGAGCTGGTGCCAGTGCCGGTGCTGATGTCGGGGGGGTGGGTTTGTCGGCATAGCGGCGGAGTGTTGTGCTGAGGGGTTCGGACCGAATGGGTTGGACTATGGAGGCGAAGCGCTCGGGATGGAGGAGGGCGCGCGCCAATGGCGCTTTGGTGGCATTCATCTTGAAGTACGTAGTAGCTTTTGAGAGCGCGAGGTTCAGCCTCGTTGTAGAGGCTACAGAACAAAGATCTCGACGACCGGAGAAACACTATCACCGGCCGCCGCGTCGTTGCCGTCGATTGGAAGGTGGGACGTCACCAGCGGCTCGGTCTAAGACGACGGCTAGAATCGGCCAGGCGGGTTGTTAAGGTCGAACGCGGGGACTGTGGTTTAAAGAGCGTATGCCGCACAATGAGGGCTTCTGCATAGTTTTTTTTATTGGGATTACTATCGTCTTCTTGAGTAAATATGCCTGTCAGGATACCCTCGATCTCGGCCGCGCCGCTGTCTAGAGCTTTGTTGAACCCCGCCAGGCGGAATGGGTTGAGGAGGCATCCTACGAGGCTGTTTACCGCGACTGCGAGGGCAGAAGTTGTTAAGCCGTTTTTGCTTGCTGATATTGGAGAAGGTGAGGATTTTCTGTCTTTTGTTTTGTTATGTTTGGTTGTTACGCTTGTCGAGGAAGTATACTGACAGGCGCAGGTATCAGAGAGTGTGAGATCATCCAATGGTTCGTTGAACCCGGAGCGCGGGTCGAGGAGTTCGACAAGATATGTGAAGTCCAGAGCGACAAAGCATCTGTTGAAATTCCATCGCGGTTCTCAGGTGTGATCAAGAAGCTGCACTATGATACTGGGGAGATGGCAAAAGTGGGAAAGGCCCTCGTCGACATCGATGTGCCAGAAGAGGTCGCCGAGGCGGTGGAGCAGGCAGGTGCTGCACCACTAGGGAGGGAAGCAGGTGCAGAGAGTGTCAGGTCTGAGGGTCTAGCAAGCACCATCCAGCCAGATACTTCCTCAGTTCCACCACCGGAGATGAAGCCAGAAAGTGACAAGCCAGTGGTGGCCAAGGGAAAGCACGCCACGCTCGCAACACCAGCAGTGCGGCATCTCACCAAGGAGCTCAAAGTTGACATCTCAGACATCAACGGCTCCGGACGCGACGGACGCGTAACAAAGGACGACGTGTACCAATTCGCCAAAGCCCGCGACGCAGGACAAGCAGCACCAACACGCCAAGCAGCAAGCACTCCCCAACTCGCGCGCCCAGCACCAGACCATGGTCCACCGCAAGAGACCCCAACACAGCTCACCAACATGCAAGCCCAGATGTTCAAAGCCATGACCGCCTCCCTCAGGATCCCCCACTTCCTCTATGCCGACGAAATCGATGTCTCCTCCCTCTTCCACCTTCGCCAGCGTCTCAACAAATCGCTCGCCAAGTCACCCCCCGTTGACGCTCAAGCCACAAAACTCTCCATCCTCCCTTTCCTCATCAAAGCCATGTCCCTCGCCATCGGACGCTACCCCATTCTCAACGCCCGCGTCGACGTCGGCGCAGACTCTAAGCCATCCCTGGTCATGCGCGCACAGCACAACATCGGCATCGCCATGGACACCCCCCAGGGCCTCCTCGTACCCGTAATCAAGAACGCCAATGCCCTCTCCATTCTCTCCATCGCCTCCGAGCTTGCGCGCCTCCAAGCCCTCGCCAAAGCCGGGAATCTCACCACGGCCGACCTAACGGGCGGCACCATCACGCTGTCGAATATCGGGAATATTGGCGGGACGTATGTGGCGCCTGTGATTGTGGAGAAGGAGGTTGCGATCTTGGGAATTGGAAAGAGGAGGACGGTGCCAGCGTTTGGGGAAGGGGGGGAGGTGGTCAGGAAGGAGGTGATGAATTTTAGTTGGAGTGCGGATCATAGGGTTGTGGATGGGGCGACGATGGCGAAGGCGGCGGAGGTGGTGAGGGGATTTGTGGAGGAGCCGGATATGATGCTTGTGCATCTGCAGTAAAAGGTGGTTGGATATGATGGGTGTTTACCTGCTTAGATAGGGAGATTTTTGATGTGAGAGAGGTGCATCTGAAGTGATGCGAGGAGGTTTGGATATGATGGATGGTATCGGGCGGGAGGGAACAGACCCAGCACACGATGCATCTGCACCTCAAATGAGGGAGAGCACATTGGATATGATAGACTTGAGAACGCCTCTTTGAGGGCTCGAGGGGGTGGTTAGCTACTGCATATGTGGTGTTCAGGAGGTAGATTGTGATGGATACTGTCTGATGTACGCCACAAGAATAACACAAACATAACCCAAACCGGTTCATTCAAATAAGCGTGTCTTTGAACTCCTTTTCCCCATCATCTTTCATCTATATCAAGCATTTTCGTACTTTTCATTACCTGTAAAATAGTCTTCTCCTCCGACTCGGACGCACATAACTCGCAACAATGGGCGGCCCGTGGACCGCCGCCCCACCTTTGGATTATTCCCAGAATCTGGGTCGCGTATGCCCCACGCACCGCCTAAGTGGGGTAATTTATCCCTGCACACACTCCACCCCCACGCACTGGGCCCCGGCGTGGGGTGGGACATTTAGGGTCGAAAAAAGAATGAGGGCTTTTTTCCCGTACGAGATGACTGCTTACACTACTGTAGGAGTAATGTAAGTATGCACTCTAATAAACAGGGTTGTTATTGGGGTAATATGTGCATCATAATATATGCACACGACTGTATTGGGGGTATGCGGGTATGGCGCACGACAGGCATGCGCGGCAGATTGGCCGCCTGCATTGCGTCGTGGGGAAGCACCACCCTCTATACCCTCTATACCCTCTGTACCCTCTATACCCTCTATACCCTTTATACACAAGTAACAACGCCCTACGCTCGGATACGATGCGGGTTAAATATGGATCAAAATGTACAAGTCACTTGACCCCCCTCCACTACCAACCAACCACGCCCATATTTTGCCGCCCCCCCTCCAAAGCGGCAATTAGCCAATTATCCCTCCTCCTTCTCCTCCCCGGGGCTCGATCTGCCTCGGGCTCCGGGCGGTGTGTTGTCCGGGGGCTACCCCGTCCCACCCAGGTGTTCTCTCACCCTACGTCGTACCTGTCGTTACCCAAAGGAGCGTGGAGGGGTCCCGCACTAGGACGGCAATATAAGGGTGACATCACGCCCCCCCCCCCCGCCTTTTGTTCGAAAAGGGTTTTTGGAAATCTTTCTGGTCTTCCTCTATACTGCTGTGTTGGGACACGCTGCGAGTTGCGTTAAGACGAAGGGATGGGCGCGTGCGACTGGTAGCACCAACTTTTGACGGCTGAGAATCAAACGATCTACGACCTGTCGTTTTTCCCCTTTCCCCTGGCTCTGCGAGTCTCCTAAGCTCATTTATACCGAACGATATTTACACCTCTTCTTTTCCTCCGTCCCACCATCCAAACCGCTCTCAGATCGACCAAATTCGTCTCCTCACTCCACCACACCACTCAGACTGCCGAAGTCTTCTCACATCCTACTCTAAGACTACAAAACCCGAATCCACGCCCTCACACCTACGAATTCACAAACATACCACACACAATATCCAACACAATGGCAATGGAGTCCATAACCACCCCCTCCGCGTCCTACACCTCCTCCGGACCCTCAGCACACAAACACATATGGTTCATAACCGGCCCCGCCGGCTGCGGTAAATCAACCGTAGCCTCTCACCTAGCCTCCACCCTACACCTCCCCTTTCTCGAAGGCGACGACGTATGTCCCCCCTCTCCTCCCCTTCCCCCATCACCTCGTAACCTTGCCACCCCCCAACTAACAACCCCCCCCAGTACCACACCCCCGAAAACATCTCTAAAATGGCCACCGGCACCCCCCTCACCGACTCCGACCGCTGGGACTGGCTCTCCGCCCTCCGCACCGCCTCCCTCTCCACCCTCTCCCCCCCCTCTCCCTCCGGCGTAATCGTCACCTGCTCCGCCCTCAAGTGCAAATACCGCGACGTCATGCGCGTAGCGCCCTACCACGATCCTCGAGTTCTCGTACACTTCATCTTTCTGTCAGCGAGTGAAGAGACGCTACTAAAGAGAGTAGAGGGACGCAAAGGGCATTACTTTGGGAAGGATATGGTGAAGAGCCAGTTGGAGAGTTTGGAGGTGCCGGTGGGGGAGAGGGATGTGGTGGTTATTGAAGTTAGTGTGGGGAGGGAGGAGGTGGAGAGGAGGGCGCTAGAGGTTGTTAGGGAGACGATGGGGGTGGAGAGGGCGAAGCTTGCTTGAGCGCGAGTGAGAGGTTGGCGTGGGCTTGAGCATTAGGTTGGCGTGAGCGCGAGGTCCGCCTGGGCGTGAGGAAATGGAGGCAGCCTGGCTAGGCACATATCAACTGCCGCCCGGGTTGCCGGAAACCCCCAGCGCAGCCTCGTCTCACCCCGCATTCTCGGAGAGGCCTCCCGCTGCGTTCCCCACGCATATGGAAGGGTTTCATTGGTCACATAACATGGCGTTGGCGTATTTTGTAGCATAGATGGACGAGTTGGTTGGGTTGCAATGGGTTGCAATGGATGGGACATGTACGTACTAAGATGGTTATACGAGAGATTTTACCTTGTTTGCTTGCAGCGGTGAATGCGTGTGGACGTGAGGTGAACCGTGCGCTGTCACGCTGGGGGGACGGGGGTTAAGTGGTGTGATGGTGTGCATATCTCGGGCCGGGAGGTGATACAGAGTGCGGACGGGAGGGGAGTGAGTGAGGGGCTGCCGATGTTGTATCCCTTTATGAACTTGGGATTATGCTATTCTCATAAGCCCTATGGAGAATTAGGGTGGGCAAGAAGTGCTAGTTAACAATAAACATGCCTGCCCCCTTCAGCCTAACGAGCAGAAAGTGAGAATGGTTTACGGCGGCAGGGGTTGACAAGAAAGCACGTGATATGGAAGAATAGGTCGCGTGACTATGTCGATAAATGCCTAGATCACGTGGTGTCATCTACCATGTAGTCACATGATATTGACAGGGTATATCACCTGACGCAAATCACATGATCTCAGTCATCTTTCCAATTCCAAATCCAAGTCGCGTCGCGTGACAGGGGGAGATGAGGGATTCCCCAAGCGACGGCAATATCCTTTCCCGTATCCCTTACTGCTCTTGTGCTCTTGTGCCCCTGTCGCCTATAGCCTATCGCCTGTCGCCTATAGCCTATCGCCTGTCGCCTGTCGCCTGTCATGCTGCCATGTAGGCGGTACGGTACTGGAAGGAAATATTAGCCCATCCATTGCTCTAACCATGCATCAATCACGCATTCATCATTCTACAGTCTATTCTTTTACAGCTGCTCTATAATATTATCGAATTTACCTATTTACGATTAACACCCTACCGTACCTCGCACGTGAAAGGTGAGGGGGGTTGCTGGGGGATGCTAGGGGATGCTGGGGGATGCTGGGGGATGCTGGGGGATGCTGGGGGATGCGACAAGAATTCCCTCTCCACGTTCCCCATATCCACGCCTCATTGGCCAATTCGAACCCAAAACCCTTCACAACGGTGCTGGATCGACCACTTTGACCAACACCGACCACATCGACCACTAGTTTTGCCACGAAGTGTCGCGTGCTTCCAGCGTGAAGCAACAACAAGCTGGCAACAGAGCACATGGTGAGGCCCTGGAGGGCTATGGAGCTACGATCGACTACCCACGACTACCCACGACTACCCACGACTACCCACGACTACCCACGACGATCGACTACCCACGACTACGATCGACTACCCACGACTACCCACGACTACCACCGACTACCCACGACTACCACCGACCATCCAGCTACCATTCAGCTACCATCCAACTACCAGAGGCATGGACCATCAGTACCTCCCATCCCTCAGACATTTCACTGTCCACGCGTGTACCTTGCACCTCACACGAGTGTATCATCTGGTATGGTCACAGGTGGGTGGATAACACCACTGCCACTCCCACTCCCACTCCCACTCCCACCCCATTCTCTCATACTTCCTCACAACACAGATAGATAATCCTCCCTCCCCTCCCCTCCCGTCTTCTTTTCCCCTTTCTCTCTCCTTTCTTTTTCTCTCTCTCTCTTCTCCACTCATTTCCACATATCCCCAGATCCAAAAGCTCAAGTTCATCTGTTTATCGTTTCTCTCTTCTCCTATCTTCTCACCGCACCGCTCGCCTCGCATAGCCACACTCGCCTTATCGCTCCAGTCGATCGATCGCCTGCTGAGCACGCGATTGCTTGCCACGTCCCAGCACCACCAGGCAACCCTCATTCCTGTCGAGGATGCCCCGTCCCACGGCTCCCCCCACACCGTCCTCCTCGACCGACCTCAAAAGCCGCGATGGCTCCCTCTTCATCTCCTCGCAGATGTCCTTTGAGCTGCCTCCCCCAGCTCTAACATTTGACTCGCGGCCCTCCAGCACGTCCGCCGCCTCGTCCTCCTCCTCATACCACCCGCACTCGCCCATGTCCGGCGCGCAGCCTGCTCCGGCGGCCAAACCCCGAGCCTCGACCGGCAGGAAACGCACCTCCACTGCGGGATCCAGCGCTGCCAAGGGCGCCGAGCCATTCGACCTGCCTCCCCCACCCACGCGCACCCGCAAGATCATCCAGATGAAGCCCGCTGATGCGCCCGCCAGCGCGCCGTCCGCCGATGAGCAGCCTGCCAAGACCGCCGCGGCGAGCAAGCGCAAGCCGCCCTCCGCAACGAGCGCTGCGGGCCGCAAGATGGCGCGCAAGACGGCGCATAGCCTGATTGAGCGGAGGCGGCGGAGCAAGATGAACGAGGAGTTTGGGGTGCTGAAGGATATGATCCCCGCGTGCAAGGGGGAGATGCACAAGCTTGCTATTCTACAGGTAAGCTAGCTATATGCCCTATCTACCGCTGTCAGATCGACAGGGTTGTTGTATTATGAGACTAACCCATCCACCAGGCCAGCATCGAATACGTCCGCTACCTCGAAGACTGCATCGCGCAGCTCAAATCCCCATTCAACACCCCCACCATCGCCATCCGCCACGAATCAACCTCCATCGCACCACACTCCTACGCGGCCTCCTCCAGCGCCTCCGAAGCCTCACACACAGATACCGAGATGACTACCGCGCCGCCTGCGTTCGCCCAACAATCCGCGCAGCAGCACCAGCAGCACCAGCAGCAACATCACCACCACACCCAGCAACCACAACAAATCCCCCAGCAGCAACATCACCACCACACCCAGCAACCACAACAAATCCCCCAGCAACAACCCTCGCAATCCCCACCCCTCCGCGCCGCGGAGGACTTCCAGCGCACATACAGCTTCTCGCACTCCTCGTCCACCTCCCCTGCTTTCGGGCCTCAGACCTACACCGGTGCGCCCGCATGGCTGGGTAGTGCAGCCAGCTCAGCGCTGACGAGCCCAGCCCTCGGGCCGATGGCGGAGGAGGAGACGGCTACTGTCGCGCTGATGATGTTGAATGGGGATTGGAGGATGGGGGAGCAGAGGGAACGGGAGAGGGGGGGGCTGTGGCGGGGGGGGAGGTGCAGAGGCCGAGGGGGATGAGTGTTAGGGATATGTTGAGTACGTAGACTTAAGAGCGAGGTGGGGGAGGGGTGTTTTGTTGGTGTTGGAGGAGGGTGGATGGCGTTGGAGGGATTGGGAGTTTTGGGAGATTGGAAGGGGGGGGGGATGTTTGGGGATGGGAATGGGATGGGACGGGATGGGATTCTAGAAAAAACCGATGATTTATATATGTCAAGGTCAACGAGGTGTTTGCTTTTCGCTACGGGCCATTTGTTTTTGTACATCTTGATACGGCCATGGTTACGACCAGAGTATCGCCTCGAGCCATTCATCCAGTAGAGTACCACAAACCACCACCTCATCAGCAACCATCGTCCCTCACTCTCCCGTCGAGGCCCGATGAGGCTGAGTCTACATAAATCACGCACACAGCTCTCGCCCATCCATCCCATACTCCACCGCCCCCACGCAACCCTGCTGTCTCCCCTGAAACACATATTTTCTTTTTCGCCCCGTATCATAGATACCACCACGCACATCTCCCCTTCTACGATTCCGACGCTGCCAAAAAAGAGAGACGGAGAGGCCTGTATAGAGCCCCCAAAGTCGCCGTCCTGTGCACCCTAGACCGACCCCGTGCGTGCGGCATCCAGACCATCCCCATGGTGTGTGCGCGCGCCCCCAATAACTCCCCGCGTCTCACCACGACCGATTTGCGATCTCACACACGACCGATTTGCGATCTCACACACGACCGATTTGCGATCTCAGGTGCGAACATATCACCATCCACACCACAGACATGTGCGCAGTTTCTGTTACGGTACTCGCCAAGGGAGGATGCGCTAGTGCATGTGGGGGTGCGGCGGGGGTGCTTTGATCCGAGTCTTGGCGAGGTGTGGAATTAATTAATTTGGGGATAAGACTGACGAGGGGCTCGATGGTGGACAACATCACGACACTCGACAATTGACACGCGACACGCGACACACGACATAAACGACACACGACACAAACGACACACGACACAAACTACCAAAGGACCTTTTCTTCATTGTTGTTATATACAGTTGTGGTTTAGGGCTGTGTATTGGATACTTTTTTGTTAGGGGTATGAGACGGGAGCTGGTGTGATTGGATATGCGCACTCTTGTGATCCTGGCTGTGGCGATTGTGGCGGTGGCCGTTGGGGCGCTGTCGGAGGATGGCGGGCAGATTGTTATCGGCGGTCACTCGCGTGCGAAGGAGGGGAAGAAGTTCAGTGGGCGGTTTTTGCATATTACAGGTACGATCATCTCTCTCCATCTGTCTCCCTCACCATCGTCATCACCGTCGTCGTCGTCGCCACCATTACTTTAAACCCCTTAAACCCTCAGCTAACACCCTCCCCCTCCAGACCTCCATCCAGATCCCTACTACAAGCCGCATACCTCCCTCACCACATGCCACCGCACTCCCGGCCCCTCCCTCCCCTACGGCACCCCCCTCTCCGACTGCGACTCCCCCCTGTCCCTCGTCAACGCGACTCTCTCCTGGATCGACGCCCACCTCCCCGCCGTCGACTTCGTGATCTGGACCGGCGACTCCGCGCGCCACGACAGGGACGAGCAGATTCCCCGTACCGCAGCCGAGATTACCGATACCAACACGCAACTCGCTGATGCGTTTCGCGAGGCGTTTGCGGATAAGGGCGTCCCGGTTGTGCCGACGTTGGGGAATAATGATATTCTCCCCCATAACATCCTCCTAGCGGGTCCGAATAAGTGGTTACAGACGTATGGCCGCGTATGGCACCATTTCATACCCGAAGCGCAACGCCATGGGTTCCAGCGCGGGGGGTGGTTCACGGTAGATGTTATCCCTGGGCGTTTGGCGGTCGTGAGTCTGAATACGCTATATTTCTTCGAGCGCAACAGTGCTGTTAATGGATGCGCGAAGAGGAGCGAGCCGGGGTGGGAACAGATGGAGTGGTTGGGGATACAGCTTGGGTTTATGAGGGATAGGGGCGTGAAGGCGATACTGATGGGGCATGTGCCGCCCGCGCGGACGGGGCGGAAGAAGTTGTGGGATGAAAGTTGTTGGGGACGGTATGTGGTGTGGGTGGAAAGGTATAGGGATGTGGTTGTGGGAGGGGCATGGGGACATATGAATATCGACCATTTCCTGCTGCAGAAGGGGAAGAATGGTGTCAAAGCTCTGATGGGACCGCAGAGTGAGGAGGTGGTGGAGGGGTGGGCGATTGGTGATATGGGAGGGGACGTCGCGATAGCGTCTGTGGACGAGTATCTCGGAGAGCTGAGGGATGGGTTTGCGAAAGTCCCGGATCCGAGGGATGCGTTGAAGAGGGAGGTGGAGGGGGAGTCGAGGGGGGAGAGGGAGAAGAGGAAGAGGGCGCTGAAGAGGATGGGCGGGGAGTGGGCGAAGCGGTATCAGGTGTCGCTTGTGAGCCCGAGTGTGGTGCCGAATTATTTTCCGTCGTTGAGGGTGGTGGAGTATAATGTTAGTGGGCTGGATGGAGCGGTGGGGGGGGAGGTGGAGGAGAGGGCGACTGCTACGTCGTGGGGGTTGCCTGGGGAGGATGAGGGTGAGGATGAGGACTTTGATGAGGAGGATTCTGACGACGAAGATGAGGTGGAGGATGAAGAGGAGGACGGAGACGCACACACCGATGGCAAGAAAGACAAAAAGAAGAAGAAGTACCGCAAACCCACACACCCCAAACACCCCGACCTCAAGATCCCACCTCCACCCCCGCGCGGCTCACCACCGGGTCCAGCATACTCCCCCCAGCCACTGTCGTGGACGGGGTATACGCAGTACTTTGCGAATCTGACTCGTATGGCTGAGGCTGAGGCTGCGGCCGATGCTGCTGCTGCTGCTACTAATTCCAACGGTGTGGATGTAGAAGGAGGCGGCAAGGGGAAGAACGGCAAGGGAGGCAAGGGGGGGAAGGACAAGCCGAAACATGGAGATGGCGGCGAATTCAAATACGAAATCGAATACACCACCTTCAACGACTCAAAGGGGTTTGCACTCCCGGACTTGACTGTGCGGAGTTTCCTGGGGTTAGCGCATCGGATTGGTCGCGCGAAGGGGGGGATTTCAAGTTTTGGCGCTATGGAGAGTGCCGAAGAAGTTGATGCCGAAGCTGGTGCCGAAGTTGATGCCGAAGCTGGTGCCAAGGAGGATGAGGTGCGGGGACTGGTAGAGAGAGTACGAAACTGGTTCTCGGACGACGACGAAGATGTGGAGGCAGAAGGCAAGAAGAAGAAGAAGAAGAAGAAGAAGAATGGGAAGGGGAAGAAGGGAGAAAACAAGAAGCGCGAGAGGGCGTGGAAGGTGTTTGTTAATAGGGCGTTTGTGGGGACGGGGGCGGAGGAGAGGATGGGCTCCTCCGGTGTGAGTGAGAGGGAGAGGGGGGAGGGGGGAGGGGGAGGAGTTGTAGATGGATGGATGGATAGATGAGGGGTTGTAAATGGATGGAGGAGGTAGCTGTTTGTAGATATATACCCATTTGATGCATTTAACACCAACTCATCATCAACTCACCCTAACGCATCCATAATCACCTCCTCTATCAACCCTAGAATCATGAAACGGGCCAAATTGATAGAGTGATTCATAGTAGAGTAGAATAGCTATAGAATAGACTTAATAGATTAGTAATAAACTAATAATAACGTACTTGCATAACGACTGGCCATGTATAACGACTGGCCACCTCCACTACACTTAATCCCTTTTATAATAGCTATTATAGAAACCACAACACCAAATCAATTAAAACTACTCGGAATCCTCTTCTCTAGAGGTTACTAGTACCACTTAACAGGTTCGTGCATTATGACCGGCCATACTGCAAACGCTACAGTGCTAGGCGCGTACTTGAGCCCCCTCTGCGCGACGACTACCACGATTTGTTTCAACCTTCAACTGCTCACCTACATCCTTCTCAGCTATTAGATCCTCTGCTTTCTGCATACTAAGTAACCCTCCTGTCGAAAACGCGTAGTAAGCTCGGGATGACGCTTAACAAAGTTCTCTGCCGATCGTGGTCTAACACGCGACGCGTCGCGGTCCGTACGAAGGCGATCGGCCATTTCTCGAACGTCTTCAAGCCGGGGCTGAAATCCTCGCAAATCTAGGTCGAGTATCCGATTAAGCAGCACCCTCTCTTCTAGGTCGGTCAACTTTCTTAAGTTGGCGGAGATATCGCGTCGTGAGTCTTGCCTAGCGCGTCGGTAACGAAGGGTTGTACGAGGGACGTTGTAGGTTGTAGCTGCAGATGAGACTGCAAGAGCAGGGTCGTTTTTAAGGGCTCTAATAGCAAGGATAATGCGATTTTCAATTGAAGACGTTTCCATCTTTTTTCGTGGAGAAAAGTACTGTGCAATGTAGAAGTAGTAAAATTGGTGGTGGAGGTGGCCACTTGTCATACTGACATTCGTTGCACTCAGTTTGCTATCAAACTCAAGAGCAAACTTGGAAATCTCCTCCTCAAACCTACAAGTCACTATACATATTTTGGCTTATCACACCAACAACAAGAGCAATACTACTCAACGATTGCTACAACCATCTATGATTCATTACACGTCATCGCTCCTTAGTTACTGGGCCGATATTACCACATAGCATATCTCTACAACCCTCTATGATTCATTACATGACATCACTCATACTACCACATGACATATCTCTACCAACTAGAGGCCTAGGAGCATGAACGATAGCTCTAAAAGCTCCTACGAACCTCTATGATTCATTACATGTCATCACTCTTTAGTTACCCACAAGATTGGTTAAGTTATGACATAATTTGTCTATGACATAATTTGTCTATGACATAATTTGTCTATGACATAATTTGTCTATAGGGGTACTCTGACCTTGGACCTCCTTTTACTTCCTATAGGCTACGAACCTAAGAGATGGTTCTATGGGATTCTCTTACGTTGACTACAGTTACCAAGCCTGGTTAGTCATGGAAAGTCTTGGAAAATGAGAGAACTACACTCCTTTAGCATAAATAGTGTAATGGTGGGTGCACCAGATGTGAGAATCTAGCCACCCAAGGAAGGGATGAATTTACTAAGACAACACACTGTCTTAGAAAACAGAGCCAAAGGGTCGTAGCTTAGACTATTCCACAACGCAGCAATCAGGTGTGTGATGTAGTGAAGTGGTTCAGACAAGTTGCAACAAATGTTGAGTCTGGGAACTCAGGGGTAAGTCAGAGGTTAACACCTCACTGACTTTTCAGAAACAAGGAGTAACAAGATGAATGCTTGGAAGCTTGGAAAAGACGTGGAAGTATGTGATAATCGATTTACTGTATTGTCTGCTTGCCCTTTCTTAAGGAAAGGGCAATCCTATTTATGCTAAAGGAGTGTAGTTCTCTCATTTTCCAAGACTTTCCATGACTTACCAGGCTTGGTAACTGTAGTCGACGTAAGAGAATCCCATAGAACCATCTCTTAGGTTCGTAGCCTATAGGAAGTAAAAGGAGGTCCAAGGTCAGAGTACCCTATAGACAAATTATGTCATAGACAAATTATGTCATAGACAAATTATGTCATAGACAAATTATGTCATAACTTAACCAATCTTGTGGGTAACTAAAGAGCGATGACATGTAATGAATCATAGAGGTTCGTAGGAGCTTTTAGAGCTATCGTTCATGCTCCTAGGCCTCTAGTTGGTAGAGATATGTCATGTGGTAGTATGAGTGATGTCATGTAATGAATCATAGAGGGTTGTAGAGATATGCTATGTGGTAATATCGGCCCAGTAACTAAGGAGCGATGACGTGTAATGAATCATAGATGGTTGTAGCAATCGTTGAGTAGTATTGCTCTTGTTGTTGGTGTGATAAGCCAAAATATGTATAGTGACTTGTAGGTTTGAGGAGGAGATTTCCAAGTTTGCTCTTGAGTTTGATAGCAAACTGAGTGCAACGAATGTCAGTATGACACTTGGGTGGCTAGATTCTCACATCTGGTGCACCCACCATTACATTAGTGGTGAGACTTCCTAATTAGGGTCATAGATGTAGACCTATTCTATATTAGTATTATAAAGAAGTTAAGATAAATGACTTACTTTTCTCTCAAAGCTAGACATAGAGCTTCTTCTCATTAGTAGAAGCTTAGTTTCTAGCATTTCTCCCCTAATCACCACTTAACAGAACAACAGCACCCTTCTGCCTCATCCCCTTCACTCCTTTAGAAATGGTATCACCTTCTAAGGATTCCTTAACCAACATTTAAATGGTCTGTTGGTCATAGTTGGCTGCCTTCATTTTGTTGGTGTAGGTAGCCATCTTCTTAGTCTTATCTGCCTTGTTATTGAATTCAACTACCTAGGGGTGAACATGACATCTACGGATGTTGAACTCAGCCAAGACCAAGTTGACTTAGGGAGAGAGGCAGTTGGAGTAAGATAGGAAGACATTGTAATTAGTAATAGTTGAAGTAAGAGTTAAAGAAGTGATATTATAAGGAGAAAGGAAAGGCATAAAGAGGAATAAGGCAAGTAGAAATAGGGGTATTCTTACTATGAATTACTTCTTATTATGCTAGGGTTTGCTAGGGTTTGCTAGGGTTTGCTAGGGTTTGCTAGAGGGTTTGCTGGGGTTTGCTGGGGTTTGCTGGGGTTTGCTGGGGTTTGCTTACATATCCGCTTACAAATCCAGGGGTGTCGGCGATGTCGTTCGCTTAGTATACGGACACTGGTGTCCGTATACTGGAACTCGTGGGGAGAAGGGGGGGGGAGATGACATGGTGCAGTATAGATGTCGGGGATACTCTAGCTGGAGAGGTAGACAGCCCAGCGTCGTCCGTTCGTATGCAGCTGTTTAACTGCAGCGAGTCGGAATGGAGGTAGATGAGATGAGAATAGCAGGAACTGCCAAGGCAAGTAGACGAGAGAGTAGACAGCAGATGTACCTGTACCTCCCCTCCCCAAACGGCGGCACATCTCCGCACCCAATCCTGCCAAACCGGCATCTCCAAAACCGCCAGATCCGAGTTCGTGCCGGCGCAGCGGCTCTTCGCATGTGAGAGGGGGGTTTTTTTTTCTTTGTGGGAAGGATGGGGGTGGGGGTGGGGTGGGGTGGGGTGGGGTAGGGGTGGGGGTGGGGATGAGTATGGGGATGAGTCTGGGGATGGGTACGGAGTACGGGTATGGGTATTGTCGGTTGTAGTATGTACCGGTACCTTTGTGCACGGTGGTGCGGGGAGGGGAGTGGAGCGAGGCTGGTGTTGGTACTTTGCTGTGCTTTGTTGCGGGGTACGAAGGGGGGATTGTACACGTAGGGGGAAGATGGGTATCTTATCACATGCTGGGATGGTGGTGGATCCATGTATCTGTACCTCACCAGCGCAGGAGTGAAGGTAGCTAAGACTTTTACCCCAGCTGCCAGAGTGGGTGGGTGGGATGTACTGGGTACGGGTTGAGGAGGAAGGGGATTGGGGAAATGGGGGAGGGGGGGGGGAGGGAGGAATTGAGGTGGGATGGGGGGAAGAAGAAGGGGGATGGGGGGAAGAGGGGAAGAAGGGAAGAGGGGAAGAAGGGGAAGAGGGGAAGAGGGGAAGAAGGGAAGAGGGGAAGAAGGGGAGGAAGGGGAAGAAGGGGAGGAAGGGGAGGAAGGGGGTAACGTTGGTTGGGGGGGTAGTTGGGTGCGGGGTGCGGGCTTGCTGGACATAACTGGAGATAACTGGAGATAAGTGCTGAGTGAGGAGGGTATGGTATACCTGCAACCTGGTCGGCGGTTGGGACAGGCATGTATGTACCCACGATGGGTAACGATGGGTAGGGGGAGTTCCCCAGATCTCCGAGGGGCTGGGGGTTGTGGTGGTTGTAGTGGTTGTAGTGGTAGTTGTGGTGGCAGTTGTGGTGGTTGTAGTGGTTGTAGTGGTTGTAGTGGTAGTTGTAGTGGTTGTTGTGGTAGTNCTACTAAACTAACTAAACTACTACTGAACTACTACTAAACTGCTACTAAACTAACTAAACTACTACTGAACTACTACTAAACTGCTACTAAACTAACTAAACTACTACTGAACTAACTAAACTACTACTGAACTACTACTAAACTGCTACTAAACTAACTAAACTACTACTAAACTAACTAAAACTACTACTAAACCACGACTCCTAAAACATTCTCTCTATTCATTCCCTCTTACCAAACCCAATAAGTACTCGGTACATCTACTCCCAGTCGGAGAGCGGGGAAATCGGGGAAATCACCCACCATCCACCACCCCCCCACATTTCCTACCGTTGTTCGCTGGTTGTACACGATACAAACCACAACCTACACAAGTACAAGTACCACATCTCACCTGTGCTGTGGTCTGGGGAAATTGCATCTGGGGAAATCTTACCTCGTACCTCTTCCTGCCGACCAAACCTTACTTTTGCTCGACCACCTACATCCCAACGAACATAACGAACATAACGAACATCTATTCACCTGTCGCCCTTTGCGCAAAAGAAGCCAGGCAGGGCCCGGCGACATCAACATCACCCCTATCACCTCCCCAAAAATCCCAACGAACGACACTCCAAATCGAAAGCAACCACACGACCCATCATTCTCATACTCCTCCAAACTGGCTGCACACATCCGCCCACCGCCATGATGCCGCTCCCAGCTGTCGTCGATACCGCCAGCCAGAGCCAGGCCTCCGACCCCGACCCCGACCCCGCCGCCGCCAGCAGGCAGAAGGCAAAGACCCTGCCCTGTCGCTACTGCCAGAAGCGCTTTCGCCGCCTCGAGCACGTTCAGCGCCACGAGCGCACTCACACCAAGGAGAAGCCTTTCCAATGCCTCTGCGGCAAGACTTTTGGGCGACGGTAGGCCTTCCCCCCCCCCCCCTCGCTCGCCCCCCACGCTCCAGCGCATCAGGGACTAACATGGGAATTGTAGGGATCTCTTGGTTAGACATGAGAAACTGGTACATCTGAATGAGAACAAGCACGATGCGAATCGGCACCATGTAGCCACTGCCGTGGCGCGCGCAAACGCTGTTAAGGCACAGAGCAGACCGCAGATCACAGCCGCCATCCCGAATCTCATCGATCCGGATCTGCTTGCGCAGCAGTCCAGCTACCTGCGTACGGGGCCGCCCCAGGAGGTTCCCATGCAGCAGCAGCCACAACGACTACCCTGTTCGCTCGACCTCCTCTCCGACGCAGCAACCCACATCGCTTCATCAAACAACCACACCAACCAGCTCCCCCCCATCCACTCCCTCCGCACCGACAGCAGCGCCGAGCCCGAGAGCAAGCGCGCGCGCACGACGAGCTTCAACAGCCGAGCCGGGGGGGCCAAGGACGGAGCGCGGAGGGGCTCATATCACCACCACGCCACGCTGGGCGAGGCACCGCAGCCGCAGCCGCTGCTGGGGGATTATAACATCTTCCTCGACGATTTCGGGATCAGTTCGCATGTCTTCCCGCCTATCGATGCGGAGGGGCCGGGGGGGTCGACGTGGTCCCGTCCGATGGCACATGTGGGGTACGCGGACACGTCACGGCAGAGCTACGATGCACGCGTTGGTGGACCGCCCGAGCAGGGCCAGCACAGCCGCTTCGACTCGCGCTTCTCCTCCATAGCGTCCGAGTTCCAGTCACCCCCGCAGCACCCACGCACAGGCGAAGACATCCGCGCCGCAGCCGCCGCCGCCGCCGCCGCTCCGCCATGGAAAGTAAGCAGCCAGGAGCACCGACACATGCAAGCGAAGGTCGACGAGTTCGCGTCCGTGCTACCAGGGGGCTTTGAGTTCCCGTCACGCTACACGCTCTCCCGCTTCCTCGAGGGGTACTTCAACGGGTTTCACGAACACGTGCCATTCATTCACCTGCCGACGCTTTCGGTGGCTGCGCTCGCGCCGGAGCTACTCCTAACGCTCGTGGCGATCGGGGCGCAGTATCGGTTCGAGGCGCATCGAGGGAATGGGCTGTGGTATGCGGCGAGGGCGGTGGCGATTGAGCAGGCGACTAGGAGGAATAGCGCGATGGTGGCGGAGATTGTGTCGCCGCCGTTGATGAGTGGGAGTGAGAGTGCCGGGTTGAGCCCGCCGTCTACGGGGAGGAGTTTGGGGGAGGGGGTGGGGGTGGATGGGGAGGTGAATGGGGAGGTGAATGGGGAGGTGAATGGGGAGGTGAATGGGGAGGTGAATGGGGAGGTGAATGGGGAGGTGAATGGGGAGGTGAATGGGGGGGTGAATGGGAATGGGCATCGGATGGAGAGGGTTTCTAGTGAGACGAATGATGGAGAGAATTTGTGAGTTCCTTTTTTTTTCGGAGGCGTTTACAGGCAGGCTTCTGTCCAAGGGATACACATACTAACTACAACACAGCTCCAACTCCCACTCCGCCCGCCTCGAAACCATCCAAGCCCTCTTCCTCCTCGTCGCATTCGGCACCTGGGCCCCCCGCGTCCTCCTTCGCGAATCCCTCACCCTGCGCAGCTGGCTCGCGCACCTCGTCCAAGAATCCGGCCTCACCCACCCCTCCACCTCTCACCCCTCCTTGAGCTGGGAAGAATGGGCACGCCTCGAAAGCGAGAAACGCACCAAGTTCCTCGTCTACTGCTTCTTCAACCTCCATTGCATCTGTTACGATATGCCCTCCCCGCTGGCGTCGACTTCTATTCATATGTCCCTCCCCCAGACGGCGAGGGAGTGGAAAGCCCCCAGCGCGCGCGAATGGTCCGACATCCGCCTCTCCTCCCCACCAGTCGAAATCCCCTTCCTCGCCGCCCTAGCCCGGCTCTTCGACCCCCACACCTCCCCCGCCGCCGACCTCCCACCACCCTTACCCCCGACGTCCGCACTGGGGAATTACATCCTCATCACCGCCCTAATCCTGCAGATCTTCCTCCTCCGCCAAACAACCGCAATATCCCACCCCCATCTCGCCCCCCACTCCCTCCCCGCCAGCCACCTCGCAAGCCTCTCCCACGCTCTGAAGAACTGGCAAGCCTCCTGGGAACGCACTCCCGAGTCTTCTCTCGACCCCACCGCCCCCGCCGGTCCCATAGCATTCAACTCCACCGCCCTCCTGCGCCTGGCCTACATCAGACTGCACAGCGATCTCCCGCCCAACCCCTATCTAGCGCAGAGGGACCCGGTGATGATAGCGAAGGCGTGGGCGGAGGGGGGGAGGGTGGGGAGGGGCGAGGGGGTGGGGAGGGCGGTGCAGCAGGCGGTATTGGCGCTGGGGGTGCCGATTAGGATTGGGATTGCGTTTGTGGCGAGGACGCAGACGTTTGGGTGGAGTATTCAGCATAGTCTTTGTAATGTTGAGTGTGCAGTTTTGCTTTGTGAGTTTTTCTTCTCTCCTTTCTCCCCCCCCCCCCAATCCTTTCCCCTTATGTTTTTTTTCGGTTGTTTTTTCGTTGTTGGTTTGGAGCTCGGTGGGCTCGGTGGGATGGGTGATAGGGTGGAAGACCAAGGCTAATACGTATACAGGCAAATGGCTCGAGACCATCTCCCTCACCCCGCACTCCCTCACAACAGATGAACGCAACATCCTCGCCATGGTCCGCAACATGCTCGAGGAGACCGAGTACGCCGTGCCCGCCTCTAACCCCAACCCCTCCTCCACCTCATCCTCTTCCGGGGATGCGTCACCAGAAGCAGAAAGTCAGCGCATCAGAGCCCTCGGTGCGGCGGTCGTGAGACTATGGGCCGAAACGTTTAGGGGAACGCAGATCTTTGATATTGTTGGGGCTATGGGGAGGGGGTTGGAGGTTTATGGGGAGGGGGTTGAGAGGGGGTTTGGTGGGGGTGGGGGGGGTGAAGTGGGAAAGGGGTTGGATGATGTAAGATGTGTATTTTCAGGCGCGGTACGCGGCTGCAAGTAGGTGGTGGAAAGGCAACGGAGGAGATGCCTGTGCATCTACGATTGAGTCGGCGGCCACCCTTGTTAGCACGCCCATACACGCCTCACTACGCAACATGGTGCGGTAGATATGGATGGGCGGTACGGATAGAGTCTACGCTTGCTGAGGCTGGCGGCGCGGTGGCTGCGGGACGGGTGGCAGGCGTGGGAGCTGCCAGAGAGGGCGGGAGGCGTAGAAGAGCGCGGTGGAGGGAGGAACCGCGTCGAGGAACGTGGTCTAGGCTACTATCTAGATCACACTCCTCGGTGCGCCTGTTAGGACCTGCCTCCCGAACCCAGGGTCTGAGGCTGCGTTCCAGGATTGACGAGGGGAAAAGAGGGGGGGTTCTGGAGACGATGGGTCCCGCCGAGGAGAGAGCGAGATTAAAATAAAAGATATATCAAAATTTCGCTAGCGGACTATCTGTCTATCGGGGTCATTGTACGATACAATACTCTAGCAGACGTGACTACACTAGTGATATTCTAGCTATGTATAGTAGCAACATCCTCTTCTCCTCCGGCCAGGGTTGTCGGGTTGTAGATGCACAGATACGAGAGTTTGACTTCTCTATGCTATAGGGACGGGTTCAACAGAGTTAGAATCGCAAAAGCAAAAGCCACCGTACACTACAATTTGGAGGTGCTTTAACTGCTGCTCATGCACATGCTACAATTCAACAGAAGGCACAAAAGGAGGTTGATAAACAAGAGAAGCAAGTTGCTAGAATAGCAAAAGCAGAGGCATCACAAGCAAAGAAAGCTCTTCATCAAGCAGGTGTAGAAGCACGGAAGAGAGAGAGAGAGAGGAAGAAGGAGGTTATAAGGCTTACTCGGGCAAAAGAGTTTATACCAATTGAGCTCTTGACCCCTATTCTAGATCCAGAGATAGAGGCAAGAGCAAAGGCAGCAGAGGAAGTAGAAGGAATAGAGATTGTAGATATGGCTAGTGATAGTTCAGAGGGAAGTGATGATGAAAGTGTAGTTTTGACATTGCAGAATAAATGAGAAGAAGTACCTCGCTATATGCTTTTCTATATACAGCTACCTACTTATTTTGCCCTGAGAGGGGACACTTGGTTGTGGGGGGACACTTGCTTGATCCGACTGTGAGCGAAGCGAACAGGCGGTCCCGACGATTACTCCTTACATTCGTTCGTTGATGAGTCGTGTAAATAGGAGGGAACTTTCTCCGCTCGACAGGCACTCTAAAGCAATACAGCCGACACGACAAACTCAATGATAACCGCGTGTGCAATATCTAGGCCGCGCCGTGCCCTGTCCGAGTATTGCATTTTGTCGAGTTAAGTTGTAAGATGAGACGGGATTCTTAATCAGAACAATAGAATCTACACGGATTATTCTCTACACTTCGTACACGTCATCAAGCATATTAAGGTTGACAAGAATGGTATTCTGGCTGCGGAATTACAGGAGCGCCGAGGGCCTGGCTAAGGACCAGGCTGCGCTGTGCTGTGCAGTACAGTCTCATCGATACTAGGACGGGAGCGTCTGGATGGCTGGATAGGCCGTGGCGGTCTCACCTGATGAGAGGAGATTGCGCGTAGGTGCTGTGGGAAAATAACCGTTGATATGGGGAATATTGGGTTTGGGACATATATTGATATTGCGTTGCTTCGATGCCATGTCGCGGGCTTTATTTACTTCCCAATCTCGGGGAGAAATTCGAGATTGCAAATATCTGATATCTGGCCCGATGGGGGTGTAAGACATGGAAAGTGCGTTCCTGACAGGTAGGTGAGGTGGTGGAGGTCTGGCCAGGGAGGGACAGGGGATTTTGGTTAAGAAGGTCTGGATCGTCAGCAAGAAGCAAGCAAACCATTACAAACTCCAGCACAGACAGCCAGACTCTTTCAATTGACACAGCCAAAGTCAAGTCAAATCAGCTCTTCCTCAACCACCACCACCATGCACCACCCCACCCTCCCCGCCCTCCTCACCCTCCTCCTCACCCTCCTCCTCACCCTCCTCCTCACCCTCCTCCTCACCCTCCTCCTCACCCTCCTCCTCACCCTCCTCCTCACCCTCCTCCTCACCCTCCTCCTCACCCTCCTCCTCACCCCCCTCGCCCTCGCCGACGCCTGCGTCGAATCCGGCCCCGCCGCCGAAGTAACCGCCGTCTCCTACTGTTGCGCCAAAGTCTCGGGCACGTGGTACCAACTCTACCCCGTTCAAGCTATCTGCGTCATCGCTGAGTATCCCGGGGCAGGGGGAGGGGTTAGGGGGTGTGGGGACGGGGACGGAGGCGCCGAGGACTACTATTGTTGGGTAGGTGGGGGGGAGAGAGGGAGGGGTGAAGGGGCGCGAGGAGAGAGGAAGAGATGGGGAGGAGAAGGAGAGAAGGAGAGAGATGACGATGAGAAAGGTGAAAATAGGAGAGGTAACAAAGTTTCGGGGAGGAAGAGACGCGCGATACGATGGCAGTGGCAAGGAGACAGCGAAGTCAGAGGTGTAGTAGTACGAGGACAGACAGACAGGCAGTGGATTGTACATTCCCCCCCCCAAAAAAGGCATTCGCAGTTCCAAGAACCATTTCCTCGAATGACCAAATATACCTACCCATCCCAGTGGTCCACGCATTTCTCCTGCTGATCCCCTCCAAACTCCCTGTCCTCACGCATTTCTCCGGCTGATCACTTTCAAACCCCTTGTCCCCTGACCCACTCACTCCTGTTCCCTCAACTACAGACTTTCTAGAATACTTGGCGCCAGCAGAGTGGATGTTGAGTTTGGGGATTTTAATTTACTATAAGAGAGCACAGCACACATTCTCGGGGTATTACCATACTATACCTTCACACCACGAGGCGGACATCAAGGCGGACAATTGAGTACTCCTCCGAGACTCGTCCCCCGGCTCGGCGTGATAAGAGCCGGGAACGGCATTATAAGACAGGGGCATCTCGCCGTCCTCCGCGAGGCGGGCCGCATTTTCAGCCTGCGTGAGAAGTGTAATCTAGACCGGTATTCTCCGCGGCGAGGAAGGAATTGATTTTGATCGTTTTTAGGCGGAGGTTTGCCGGGGGGGGGTTAAGTGGAAGGGGTGAGATACCAGCGCTTGGGCGCGAACTGTCTTGAACCGAGCGCCTGGAGCACGTCGATTGTGATTCGTGTCGATTCTAGCGTCCTAGCTCCTTGAAGCTTTGAGCTTCTTCGAACGTTGGTCTGGTGGGAAAGCCGTGCATTTTGCGGGGGATAATGGCGATGGGAAAAAAAATATATTAGGGGGGGTTGATGGAAGTATGGAGGGGATGGAGATACTTCCTGATTTGGCGGTTGATAATATAATCACTTTGTGTAGGGTATTGGATGCGACTTGGAGTATATTGGTACGCTACAATATTTATTCGTATATATCCTTTCAGCGGTTGTTTATTTGGTTTTATTGATTGTCTATGTTATTGGGGTCGTATTAAGAGTGTATTGTGTCTAGAGTTGAATAAAATCACGTCTGAAAAATTAAATATTATGGTAGATAGTGAGCAGAAAATAAAATAAATATATGTTGCAGTCGAGCGAAATACTACGAACAATAAACTATCTATAGAGCGAGTGCTATTGACCTGCATTTCCGCCGGTAGATAGCAGCTTAGGATATCTCGGACCTTTTACTCCAGACCAGGAATGGAAAGGAAAGCTCTAGGCCGTGGAATGATCACTCAAAAATATTTGACATGTATGCCATGATACAGAATGCATCTTTACACAATGTTGGTTTCCATTATGCCGCTTGACTACATCACAAGCTTTGCCGTCAATATATACATGTTGGCCTCATTCGACCAGCCCAGTACTGATCTGAAAGGACTCCCTCTATCATGATTCATTCCACCCTCCATTTACATTCCGTATCCGACCACCACACCCTTTCATGCTGCTTTAACCTTGTTCCATTCCATTCCTCCCTTTTCGACCCATGTCCGATGAATGAAAAACTCGAGATATCCTGACCAGCTCCCAAATCCAGGCAGTCCGCTCATCCCCAGATCGGCCGCCCAGTGCTGAACCCACCGATTCTCGGAGTAGGCTGCTTAAACTGCAATCCGACATCCCTCCTCAACTTATCACCCAGAACAGCCAAAGCCTTGACAGCTACAGACTGCTCCAGCGCGCGCGCCGGAAACACAACTAGCGCGACGAACATCGCATGCCTCCCAACATCCCCATAGAACTGCAGGAATCGCTGCTCCGAGTTCTCAATCATGGCCTTGAGCACCGTATACTGCGTATTCGAGGCCTCCTCCGGCGGCGTATCGACTATACTGGCTAATGTGCGCCAGTAGTTTGACGGCGACCACGGATTCTTCATCTGCGTCTTTGAGAAATCTCGTAATGCGATGGCTGCGTATCCCGCTCCAAGGCCAGTCATGCGCGTGTTATGGACCTGATCACTAACCCACTGCCCACCGTCCTTCTTCCACCCTAACCGCGCGCGTCCCTCCTCTGTCTTCTCGTTTCCGCGAAGCCCAAAGAGTACGGGGCATGAGACGCGCATCTTGCACATCAGGATGTCGACGAGAGATTCGTTGCGCCAGACAAAGTCTTTGTTGGCGAATATGGAAACGGCGACGACGCCGATTGGCTCGGCTGCCTTTGTTGTCACGCCGGCTTCGTCGATGAATTGAGCGACGACGGCTTTGGCGAATATGTTCATGAGGTAGATGAATAGCGCTGGGAGTTCGCCGTTGTTAACTGCTCCCTCCACTGGAGCTCTAGGGGTGACTATGACCATGTTTGGGTCCACGGGCGGGCTTTGTAGGCCTCTGAGTGACTCGAGAAGCACACTGTGGATCTTGCCTTTCTAAAGAACGTATTAGTCGCATGTTTAAACTATGCGATCCAATTTTAATAAACTTACGGGTATCGTCGTTGCTCCCCTCCCGCTCGTAAGCTGTCCGACAGACTTTCTAATTTCACGGCGCATCTCGCCCGTCTTCTTTTTAAGCCCTGGATCTCTCTTGCCATTGTCGATAATGAAGTGGCGTAGACGTTTTAGGTTTTGGTGTATTTCGAGGTATCTTTGTGCTCCCGGGAGGATGTATGGTGGGGGTTCGGTGCTTATCGTGATAGGCGCAGCTGCAGCTGGCGCTTGTGTCGCAGCCACAGGTTGAACTTGGGTTGTAGATGGAGCAGGTTGTATTGTTTGAGGCGCTTGTGACGCTGTTACCGGCTGTGTCACAACCGGCGCATCTTGAGGAACAGCAGCTTGCTGGGGAGCTTGGGGCTGCGCTACTGCCGGCGCAAGTTTTTGAGGTGGTTCTGGAGTCGGGGGAGTAGGTGGCGCTGGAGGAGGAGGAGGAGGTGTTTTCACGCGCGGAGGAAGCTCGGGGATTGGTACTGTCTTCTTGCGCAGTTCGATGATTCGGGCGCGGTCGTCTGCGAGTTCTTGTTCAAGTCTCAGACGCTCCTTCTCTTGGCGCTCCTCTTGTAACAATTTCAACCGCGCCTCTCGCAGCTGGTTGTTTTGGAATACGCGGATAGCCTGTTCGCGGACACGGTTGTGCTCTCTCAAAGCAGTGTCAAGCAGGTTCTCGTGGACTGCCTCAGGGCTCATTGAATGGCCATCGGGACTGGGAACGGAGCCGAAGGAATTGAAGAATCCCGACCTGGGCGGGGTGTCATCCACCGACCCTCTGAAATGAGCCATGTCGGCAAACCCAATGTGCTGTCGTTTGCCGTTGTGAAAGATGTGATGCAGCTTCAATGGAGGTGAGAGTCGGTAGGTGAGGTTGGTTGGCGTCCCTTGTTAGAACGCGTTTGGCACAGTATCGAAAAGGGTGGCAGAAATGTGGGACTAGTCAGACTATAGTGTGAGGGCGGTGTATCACGTGCCACTACCCCATTTACGCCCAACTTGGAACACAGCTCCCAGCTTACATAAGCTACTTTTTACCACTGTACAAAAGGCAACTAAGCCGCTTTCAGTTACGAAACAGGTATGTGAGGTAAACCCCATACCTCCCCGTACCGCAAGCAAACCCTCACTTTCTCTTCCGTCATAGCACCTTCCTCCTTCCTTCCTTCCTTCCTTCCTTCCTCAATACCACTCCTTCCACAGATACTATCCATCTCGATCTTCAGAGTCACTCCTTCAGAGCTCCAGATTCTACCCATCCCCTCCTTTTGCCAGCTATCCAAACAGCTGCCAAATACGTCACCAATTACAATACATTCACACTTCAAGCTATCAGGATCGTCATTCGCAACATATCTCAGCACTCCATCATGGAGCAGCAACCGCGGCAGCCATCCAGTGGCATCCTCGGCCCAACTGGCCGAAGGCTTCATATTGCCCATCGCAGAAGTCCATCAGAGTTGACCCCCCTTATGAGCATGTTCTCGTCTCCAGGCAGTATGTCATTCCAGTCTGTGTCGTGTGCGCAAGGGCAACTTAGCTGTCTCTCGCCATCAGGCAGTTTTTTTCTATTGCAACTAAGATAGAGTCACTAGCTAACATTATCTCAAAACGTAGTGGAACAACTTGCCATCCAACAACAGATTGAATTGCTACAGCAACAACAGCAGCAGATCCAAGCTACACACCAGCAGTATGTTAACATGGGAATGATCCCACCAACTCAGCACCTGCCTCCTGGTGGCGGTTTCAACCCCCTACAGCAGCAACAAGGGCCGAATATGCCTCCACAAAATGCATTTCAGTTTCCAAACCAGCCTCAGCAACAATTGGGTGTGCCGATGGGAGCTCCGACACAGCCATTGTCACATCGCCGAAATCAATCGGCAATGCCAAATATGGGAATGGGCCCTCCCCCAGCGCCCTCATCAGGCACTTCGGGGACGGGTTATAATGATTACAATCCACAACATGGGCGGGAGAACCAGTCTACACGCGGAGGCCGTGGAGGTGGCCCGCCCGGCGGTGGCCACCAACGCCGCCACTCGCTCGCCTTACCTGAGGCCAAGAAAGCGGCTGAGCTGGCCCAACAAAAACGCACTACGTCTGGCTTCCAGTTCCCAATCCCAGGGGCACCTGGTGCCGCCCCTGCAACTGCCGATGGCACCAGCCCATCAGATGACAAAGCAACCCCTCCACCACAACCCACAAGCACGTTCCCTGGTACTTTTAATGTGCGGGGCGGCCGCGGTGGAGCGCACGGGAGAAGCCAGAGTATGGCTGTCGGCTCCGCTGGCCGTGGTGCTGGCTCCATGCGTGGCGGCGGTTCCTTCCAGTTCCCAGCGACCACTATCAATGAGGGCGCGGCTACCAGCCAAGGTACGGACTTTCAGCGTAAGGGCAGTGCAGGACACGCTCGAAACTCGTCCAGAAACTTTGAGGGCAACTGGAGAAATCAAAGCATCTCGGGTCCTGGTCAGCCACAGGACCAACAAGCTCAGATGGGTAATTTCGGCCAAGGCCAAGGCCTTCCTCAAGCTGGAGGATTCCAACCAGGTCACCGCAACCGCGGAAGCGTTAACCAGCCTATGGGATCCGTTGGATCTTTCCAGTACAACGGACAGCCACAGTTGGTACAGCTTCCTCAGGGCCAGATGGCTCTGGTACAGCAGCAAATGTTCCCTGGCCAACAGTTGAACCCACTGCAGATGAACCAGCTTCAAGCTTTGCAGGCGGCCCAGATGAACAACCAGCATATGGTTAACATGCAGGGCGGCCAGCACGGTGGACAACAGGGCCAAGGGCAACAGCAACAACAGCAGCGCAAGACGCTCTTTACTCCTTACCTTCCGCAAGCCACTCTTCCAGCATTGCTTGGAGATGGCCAGTTAGTCTCTGGTATCCTTCGTGTCAACAAGAAAAACCGCAGCGATGCATACGTATCGACTCAAGACGGCATCTTGGACGCTGATATCTTTATCTGTGGTAGCAAGGACCGAAACAGAGCTTTGGAAGGCGACTTAGTCGCCGTCGAATTGCTTGATGTTGATGAAGTGTGGGGCCAGAAGCGCGAGAAAGAAGAGAAAAAGAAGCGCAAGGATATCACTGATACTCGTGGCGGCTCCAACAGTGGCAACGCAGAGAGGTCTCACCGTGATAATTCCAATGGTGACGATAACTCGAATACCGGCGAAGGCGGAATCCGACGCAGAGGTAGCTTGAGACAGCGCCCAACACAAAAGAAGAACGATGACGTCGAGGTCGAAGGCCAAAGCCTTTTGCTCGTCGAAGAAGAGGAGGTTAATGACGAGCAGAAGCCATTGTACGCTGGCCACATCGTAGCCGTCATTGAACGTGTTGCCGGCCAGATGTTCTCAGGAACTCTCGGCCTCCTTCGCCCTAGCAGCCAGGCCACCAAGGAGAAGCAAGAAGCTGAGCGACAAGCCCGTGATGGCAATTCTGGGCGCCACCATGAGCAGAGGCAGCAAGATAAGCCAAAGATTGTCTGGTTTAAGCCTACTGACAAGCGTGTTCCATTGATTGCTATTCCGACAGAGCAGGCACCAAGGGACTTCGTAGAGAAGCACCAGGATTATGCCGACCGTATATTTGTCGCATGTATCAAGCGCTGGCCTATCACCTCCCTCCATCCATTCGGCACTCTTGTTGAGATGCTGGGTAAGATGGGCGAACTGAAGGTGGAGACTGATGCCCTATTGAGAGACAACAACTTCGCATCGGACGAGTTCTCTGATGCCGTAATTAGAAGCATCAATCTCGATGAGTGGTCTCTGGCCAAGGAGGATGAAGCTACTATAGCTTCTCGTCGTGATTTCAGAGACGAGAAGGCCTTCACAATCGATCCTAACGGCGTCAATGAGTTGGATGACGCAATCCACATCAAGGGCGAAGTAGATGGAAAGATTGAAATAGGTATTCATATTGCGGATGTTGCTCACTTCATCAAGGCGAACTCGCTTGTTGACAGAGAGGCCAAGAAGCGTGGCACTGCAGTTTACTTGATGAACAGGTCGTGCAACATGCTTCCACCTAAGATTGCAAGCGATGTATGCTCTCTGATCCCAGGAGAGGACCGCCTCACAGTTAGTGTTGTCTTCAAAGTCAACACTCTCACTGGAGCGGTGGCAGATGATGATATTTGGATCGGTAAAAGTATCATCAAGAGCAGTGGCAAGCTTTCTTACCGCGAAGTCGATGCTGTTCTTTCGGGCCAAGGAAACGTTAAGCTTGACGGCATTAGTGATAAGGATATTCAGATACTGCAGGTTAGTACATCCATGCCAATACTTACTTGCTGGCCATTACTAACTCTTCTGAAAGGCTGTTTCCCGGAAATTCCGTGAAGCTCGTTTGGGCTCGGAGGGTGAAACGATTGCGCCCCTGCGGCTGATGTACCAGCTCGATGATGAGAATGTCCCAGTCGAAGCCAACATCTTTAATTCTACGCCTTCGCATGAGCTGATCGAGGAGCTTATGCACAAGGCCAACACCTACGTTGCCCAGAAGATCGCTCAGGGCCTCCCTGAGAAGGCACTCCTGCGACGACAAGGGGCCCCAAACCCCCGCAGGCTTCGGACATTTGCTGATCGTATGACCGCACTTGGGTACGAAATCGATACCACGAGCAGTGGCACGCTGCAAAATAGCCTTTTCAAGGTTGACGACTCCGAGATCCGTAAGGGAATGGAGACTCTTCTGGTCAAGGCCATCCCTCGTGCAAAGTATTTCATTGCAGGTAGGACTTTGGAGCACCTCCACCCTCATTATTATCTCAACCTTCCGCTGTACACTCACTTTACGAACCCGTCTCGTCGTTACGCAGACATCGTTGTCCACCGCCAACTTGAATCTGTGCTGTCGGAGGGCAAGATCGAGTATAACGAGGACATTGACGCTCTTGTCAAGGCTACGGAGTCGTGTAACACCAAGAAGGACTCCGCGCAGAATGCCCAGGAGCAGAGTGTCCATATTGAGTCTTGTAGAATCATGGATAAGAAGAGAGAGGACCTTGGAGAGGACCTCATTAGCGAAGGCATTGTCCTGGCCGTCTATGAGTCCGCATTCGATGTCTTGATCCCTGAATATGGTTTTGAAAAGCGTGTCCACTGCGATCAATTGCCATTGAAGAAGGCTGAGTTCCGCAAGAATGAGCGGGTCTTGGAATTGTACTGGGAGAAGGGCGTTCCATCTTCGGCATACGTTCCTGAGGATGAGCGCCCAAGACCTGGTGTTTCTCAGCGCACCGCCAATGCCAGTATTGCGGCTCGCGAGGCGGCCGTGGCTGAACGCGCAAGGAAGGATCGTGAGGAGGCCCAGCGTAAGCAGATGGAGACTGGAACCATGTCTACTGATGCCGTTGACGCTCTCTTCGACGATGATGATGATGAGAACGTTTCTGATTTGGCGGAAAGCGTCCAAGGCGTCTCCCTCGGGAACCGACCAACGCAGAGCGTTCCACCGTCGCCAACCAAGAACTCCTTGACTGCGAGCGGCGACCTTCACCGAACTCGTTCAGACTCGAAGGTGCCTATTGCGGAGTCGGCGTCGGCCAAGGCGGCCAGCAACAAGGAGAAGTATCTGAAGTTCTTCTCTTTGAGAGAAGAGAACGGAGAGTATATTCAGGATGTGAAGGAGATGACCCGTGTGCCTGTTATCCTGAAGACTGATCTTAGCAAGAGCCCTCCGTATGTCACCCTTTGATGTACTTCATTTTGAATTCCCAACTAACATTGTTGTAGTTGCCTTACGATCCGCTCTCTCAACCCGTACGCTCTTTAAACGGCGTAGCATGCCTCAACTGGCCATATAATAACGATACGCGATAACTATTCGCCGTCCACTCGTTTATACCATACACCCCCCGCGCTGCGTACGATGCAACGCGGGCGAATTATTAGCGCTCGTTTATAGAATGGCTGAACCAAACACTTGTTGTCCTATTGGAGGAAGGCAGTTCAAGTTTGTCAGAGAGGATGGGGTAGAGAAGACGGCCATACTATTGGGTTTGGGCTTTCGGACGGGAGTGGTGGAATAAAGCAATGTTGGCACAATATGGTGTTATGGAAGATGTCCATAGCAGGTGCCGTACTCTGGTCTTTCTCGCTATTAGCGTTGTGCATTTATACAAAGTAGCTTAAATCCAGTATCTCTGTTAGTCTCGCATCAACTTCATCTCTAATCAATCCAAATTGACTAGCCACAATTGGCCCCAAAGTGTTCGTTCTAGATAAACTGTTCGTTCTGGATAGACCATCTGCCAGGTAAGTGAACCTTCGGATGAAAACTGTTCCAGAGGCCGGTATGTCCTGTCATCCCTGTCTGTCCCGTGTGTTGAGCCTCAAATGTGAACCAAAACCGATATAAAACACTGACTTTGGTGGGTCTCAGAGACGGCTCATCACGATCCGTGGTGGCAGGGACCTTCAGGGGCCACCAAGGGCCACCTGCAGCCCGCCTAATTGGTCGCACGCCCCGCCATCATGCGAGGCTCCCACATCCCAAACAAGGCTGACTGACATCTCTGACCGCGTGCAGTCTCATCCGACCACATCTGAGGCCCATTGAGTTTCACAACGCCAAACGTCACCGCCGCGCTCGAACTGTCGCAGTACGGAGTGCGCGCTGCGTAATGCTTTCGTCTGCACACCTGATTCGGTGGGTGATTGGAGTTTGTTCGCATGCGCGCGGCCTGGGAAAACAAATTGCGCCCCTTGAGACCGCTGAGTGGCTGCTTATGAGGCCATCGTGGGTAGACGTGATGGAGAACGGAAGGTCGTCGTTCCTGAGCCCAAGGAGCCAAGGGAAGGGAATGGGGGGAGAGTGAGAGACGCCGGATAGACCGAGAGGTCTTCGTTCCGGGCTGGGCGGTAGGCTTTAATGGGGGTGGTCGCCCATATTTGTGTCGGTTCTTTTTCTCTCTCCCCGTCCGTCTACACATCGTCGTCACTCATTCTTGCGATACTCCAAACATTTTCGATTCTGTCCAAACAAGCGCTGGTTCTGCTTTATTTTATTATTATAAACCTTACACGACCCATTTTTGACACTGGCCTGAGTCCTGTATACAACCCTTTTTTTTTCTTCTGAGAATCAAACGGAGCTGGTCTTGTTATATAACCTTCATATTTTTAATATTCGAGAAAGAGGAGAAAGTTGTCGCTCAACGCCGGTCTATCTGCTATACACTTTGAATATTACTCATTACAATCCCGTTTCTCTTCCCTCAAAATGCCGAGCTTCAAGACCCTCGCCTCGGCCGCCACTCTCGGCCTCGCTGCCTTCGGTGCCGCCCTTCCCTCCGGCTCCTACAGCACTCTCAGGTCCCGCGCGCTTTCTAATGATCTTGCCACTGCAGCAGGCATCAGCGATGTCGACATCCTGCAATTGTGCGTTCCCCCTTCCCCACTTTCTTCTCCGTCCACCTACTAACATCCTCCAGCGCCCTAACCCTCGAATTCCTCGAAGCCGAATTCTACCGCAGCGGCTTTGCCAAGTTCCCAGACGCCGACTTCGCCGCCCTCGGCCTCACAGCTGAAGACCTCGTATCCCTCAAACAAGTCGGCGCTACCGAGCAAACCCACGTCACCACCCTCCTCGCCGCCATCTCCGCCCAGGGCGTCAAGCCCGTCGCCCCCTGCACCTACAACTTCGGCTTCACCACCGCCGCTAAGATGGTCGCCACCGCCTCCGTTCTCGAAGCCGTAGGCATCAGCGCCTACCTCGGCGCCGCCCCTCTCGTCGCCGCTCCCGCCATACTGACGGCTGCGGGCAGCATCCTCACCGTCGAGGCGAGACATCAGACTCTCATCCGCACCCTCACCAAGGTCGCTGCGGTGCCAAACCCCTTCGATACCCCCCTCGGCACGCGCGCGGTCTTCTCCCTCGCTGCGCCATTCATCACCGCTTGCCCTGACGGCTCGAACCTAGCCATCAAGCCCTTCCCTGCCATGACATCCACGACCCCCGCATCCGCCATCGTCGCCGACGCACAGCTTGCCGTAGCCAGCACTGCGCAGGGCGCAACGCACTGTGCGTTTGTGAACGGTGGCGCTCCTGGTGGAGCCGTGTTCGTCCCGCTTACGGGGGGGAACTGCCGGGTTCCGCAGATCTTGAAGGGGGATGTGTTTGTGTTCTTGGCGAGCGCGGGACCGGCGACGGGCGTGCTCACGGATGATATTACGGTTGCAGGACCGATGGTGGTGCAGATCTCGTAGAGCGAGATGCGCCACTGGGGGATGGGGGGAGGTTAGATGTTACGTTAGCTGTTACGTAGAGATAATGGAGGATTTTGGAGTGTTAGATTTTGGAGTTGGTAGGGTGGGAATTATACTTCTTCTTCTTCTTCAGTATCTGATGTGCCAAAGCGATTCTACATTGTGAACTATTATTATAGGAGGGGGGAAAGCGTAGGAGGAAGTAACCTCCCATTGGCTCCTTCCTTTTAAAATATTATGTTAAGATAAGTTACATAAAGGGAAAGAGCGATGGACATAGCTATGGCAAGGGAAAAAGGGAAGGAGCCAACATAAATCCGAATAAAATGCATGATACGGAATGGTATGTTAAACACCAGCAACGGCGGCGGCGTACCACCTCGGCGTACCACCTTCCACACACGATCTCCAACCCTGACAAAATCAAAAACACTACTTACCTAACTCCCCTCCACCCCCAACAGCTGCACAAATCACATCAGCGCACCACGATCATCCAATCCATATGTCCCTCGCATCGGCATCGTGAGATTCGGTTTTTGGGGGTTTTACCTAAAAAGTACGGGTCGCTTCCCCACTTCAGCCCCCTGATTACGTCTGCATCGTGTATGTGCAGCCGCGACAAGCCGCGCGCTGGGGGATGGGGCGGCCACTCACCGCTTTTAGAGGAGGAACTTATATTATAAGTAAGTTGTGGACGCGCTCTTGGTACTGTACGACGAGGCGCTACTATCGAGGCCGAAGACGTCCAGGCGCGAAATGGCACCGGGAGGGACTGGCAGGGTCATGCGAGGACGCAGGTGGACACAGCAAAAAGTATTTTTTTAACGTTTTTCATGAAGTTCGTAAGCTATGTACAGAGGACGGATCTTGCAAAGACCCTGACCCAGCGCCGCCCCGCATGCGCAACGACAAACTTTCATGCATTCTATACATTTCCCATTTCATTTCAGATATTCCGCCAGCCCCAGCAGCGTGAAAGCAAGTTGATATCATCCGCAACCCAGCGCCGACCCAAACTCGCAAAAAGACAAACTCGCAAAAAACGCACGACAAACAATCAGACAGGCCTAGCTAGACGCGCACAAAGCATCTACCACCAGTCACCCTGGTTGTGCATGGCGTCGGCGACCTTGACGAAACCAGCGATGTTGGAGCCGGCGACGAGGGATGGGAACTCGCCCTCGGCGCTGGGGACGTACTCCTGCGCGGTCTTGAGACCGTTCTGGAAAACATCCTTCATGATGTCCTTGAGCTTGTTGTCGACCTCCTCGGTGGTCCAGCTGATGCGCTGCGAGTTCTGGGCCATCTCGAGTCCGGAAACAGCGACACCACCAGCGTTGGCGGCCTTGCCTGGTGCGTACCAGAGAGCACCGTTCTTCTTCTCCTTGCGGGTAGCCTCGAACACGTCGATGGCCTCCTGGGTGCAACCCATGTTGGAGCCCTCAGCGATGAACTTGGCGCCGCTGGCGACGAGAGCCTCGGCCTCCTCCTTGGAAACCTCGTTCTGGGTGGCGCAGGGAAGCGCGATGTCGACCTTGACGTGGGTCCATGGGCGGGCACCCTCGATGAACTCGTACGAGGCGCTCTCAAACGAAGACAGAGACTCGCGCTTGACCTTCAGTGCAGCAATGGCCTCAATATCCTCGGGTGTGAAGTACTTGCCCTCCTTGGCAATGAGCGAACCAGCAGAGTCGGACAGCGACAGAACGGTGGCACCGAGCTCAATGGCCTTCAGCGCAGCGTACTGGGCGACGTTTCCAGATCCGGAGATGGCGACGGTCTTGCCCTTGAACGAACCCTGACCGGCGTACTCAATCATGTGGTCGACGTAGTAGACGAGACCGTATCCAGTGGCCTCGGGCCTGATGAGAGATCCACCCCAGCTTCCTCCCTTGCCGGTCAGGACTCCCTCCCACTTGTTGCGGTGCGCGCGGTAGGCGCCGAACAACCATCCGATCTCGCGTCCGGAGACACCGATATCGCCAGCGGGAACATCTGTGTACGCGCCAATATGCTTGCTCAGCTCGCGCATGAAAGCGACACAGAACTTGCGGATCTCATTGTCCGACTTGCCCTTGGGGTCGAAGTCTGCCCCACCCTTGCCACCACCGATGTTAACTGTTTCATGACGTCAGCGCTCTGTTCTTGGAAGAAAGTTGGTCTTGCTCCGGTTTCCGCCGAGTGGGGAAGCGGGTCACGTGCGAATGGGGCCTGACTTACGACCGGTGAGAGCGTTCTTGAAGATTTGCTCGAAGCCGAGGAACTTGAGGACCGACAGGTTGACGGTGGGGTGGAAACGCAGTCCACCCTTGTATGGGCCGAGGGCGCCGTTGAACTGGACACGGTAGGCGCGGTTGACCTGGGGCTGGAGCTTGTCGTCTTCCCAGACGACGCGGAACTGGATGACACGCTCTGGGATGGAGACGATCTTCAGGGCGGTTTTGTATTCGGGGTGCTTCTCGAAGAGGGAGGAGTGCTCGAGGGTAGAGGCCAGCTCTGAGGGGGAAAGTCAGTTGCAATTCGATTTTTTCGGGCGAGGAAGAGGCATTGATTGTGGGTGGCGATTTGGGCAAGTGTGAGGGCAGGCTGGACATACCATTGTAAGCCTGCTCGAACTCGGGCTCGTGTGCGAGGTTAGACATGTTGATTTGAGGGTTTGGAAGGTGAGATAAAGTTGTAAGTGAGGATTGATGTCTCTCAATTGTCCGTCTCTATAATATCACGGGTTGGGTATATGGCAGGTATGTCAATGGAAGAGAGAATAGTTTTTGGTTTATAGATGAAGTGGACAGAGGAGGATGAAAAGAAGAAAGAGAAGATGGTTGTGGGAAGTCTTGGTCTTTTTATCTCTAGGAGCCCTTAGGAGGAAGACGGAAGGAGAGGACAAGAGCGTGGCGGGTTCGGTGGGGTAGCTCCGGATGGAAAGGGTAGGGGGTAGGGGGGGTAGGGGGAGAGTGTGGGTGGCAGAAGAGAGTGGGGAGCTTGATTTCTTTTCATTGCAAGGGTTTGGTCTTCTATCTCGTCAAGATAGGGCCTTTTTCGGTCGAGTAACAGGCACGACTAAGAGAGACTTTGGAGGAGGGCTAAGTCGGACTAACTCGACGAACAGGGTTCCGGTGTCGATCGGGCAGTCCCCACACTCTATCCGCGGCGGCGGGTAAAAGTATCTGTCTGTCGGGTACGGTTCGCCGGCGAGGGCGTTTTCGGAGGTAGGAGAGTGGAGGAGAATTGGTGCTGGTGTCGCCACGGGGAAGTGCTCGTGTCAGTTGCGTCTAGCCGCTGTAGAAAGGAATTTCTCCTCGGCGAGCCGAGGATAGAACATACACGAGGATAGAACACACACGACAATGGACACAACAATGCTGCATCTACGGTCTCGCACGCATCCCCCAGCCATACCCCATACTTGTACCCCATATCCCCCATCTTCCCATCTTCCCATCTTCCCATCTTCCCATCTTCCCATCTTCCCATCTTCCCATCTTCCCATCTTCCCATCTTCCCATCTTCCCATCTTCCCATCTTCCCATCTTCCCATCTTCCCATCTTCCCATCTTCCCATCTTCCCATCTTACAACTACACCGAGCACATACAATATACTGTACAATACGGTATCCTCAATCGCATCCCCCTATCCCTCCCCTCCGTCCCACCACCACCAGGAAATAAGCATCAAACCCCCTCCAGTCTAAATCCCCGCCCCTACCCCCATGTAACTCCGTACTCCGATCGGGCACCTCCATCCCCCCCCTCCTACTGGCCCGCCACCACCATGACCGACATGTCGATGTCGTCCCTAACCCCCCCCGGGCCAAAACCCTGCATTTCCTTATCTCTCCCTCCCTCTCCCGTCTCCCGATTGGCCTAAACCCTCTCAGAGATAAAGGTAGTACACTATATCGCCACAGCCGACGTTCTAGCGCGCTCCCTGGCCTGCGTGCTCGCAGCAAGCAGAGGGGTCTTCAAATCTGGGCGCTAAGGCATGTGGCGAACCCCTGTTTGCGCCCTCGGTCGGACACGCGGCTGCGCGTGCGAGGGGTGGGGATGACGACGGTGGCGGTACGGGGGGTTTACTGTACTGTAGGCATGTATCTCTTCCTTCTGGGTTCCTTGGAACGGGGAATGGGAGTTGGAAACTGCTGCGATCTGAGTTGGTAGGGCATAGGCGGGTGGGAAATGCCAATGCTCTCGGCGATGGGAGATGGGAGATGGTATGGGATTGGGGGAGAATGTTGTTATGTGATGTGTGTATGTTATGAGATTATGAATTATGAGGGGGGGAGGTTATTTGATGTGTGTATGTTATGTGTATCTATAATCTCATTGCGCTTCTCGGCCACAGTGACATCCCCAAATTACTCACTGTGCCCCGCGACAATCCAACCAATCACATTTCTCCCCCCCACCTCGCCTAACCACAACTCATAAACCCAGCGAGAAGGAAAAACCGGACATCCCGCCTCTGCGACTTCGGAGCTGTCCAAATCCGGCTGGAACACAGGCGCGCGGGCGGCCAAGACCTGAGTCATCTCCATTTCTCACGCCGGAGCAGAGATAGAGAGGGGACCTTTCGGGTGAAGTCGGGCGGCCCTTTAATTTCGGATCTTTCTTTTCTTTCCTTTCTTTTCTTGCTTGCCTACTCCGCAAGTTTTGGCCCACGGACTTGTGGGATTCGGGGCTTTGGAGAGCGAGCGGGTTAGAGGGGGACGAGGACGCATGGATGGATGGGGGTTCCGAAAGGGAAGGGGGATAGGAAATGAAGATGGGTTGGAGGGGTATGGGGGAGGTAGATCGGATTTTGCTTTGCAAGTTCATAAGCTAATAGTAAGTCTGGAGATCAGAATAATATCAGACAATAAGAATACCAGGGCGAGCCATTTATCAGAACTGTAGCGATACGCTGATGGTGACACCACCAGAGACCCCATGTGCGCGCCGTCACGGCTCTGAACTCGAGGATAATAGCCGTAAGAAGAAGCGGATGCTCTTAACTTAGTTGGGAACCTTGCCACCACTGGTGAGAATTAGGAATGCCAACAGGAAAACCACGGTGACAAGAGATTCTGTGACAGGCAGTATTCTCGTCGTGGATGCGAGACTTCACTCCTCCGAGTAGCCCCCACTCCCTTATCCCACACCCAAATCCCGTTCCTATATTTTCGAAAGAAAGCAAAAAGCCTCACGAATGCACCCTTCCTCACGTCTTTCCTAAGGCATCAAGGGTAGCTCACTGGAGTTTTATATATAGATAGAATTACCACGATTTTGGACTCGGTGCAAGGGTTGAGTTGTAGAAATGATGGATGCGATCACTTAGTAAGTGGCTTACATGTTATATTGCTCGTAGTTTGGGAAAGCCATCCTGTCTGAAATGTAGCCATAAAACAAGGTGAATCTCATTTCATGTCCACTGACTGGGTGGTATGGATTTGAAACACACCCCCTCGTATGCCAGTTTCCAACGCGGCCCGGCGTGAATGACACAGGAATCTAGGATCTTTGGCTAGAAACAAATCGTGATCTACTTACGGCACTTCCAAACGGAGAGTTTCTGGGGCGCAGCGTAGTTTATTAGGACGATGCCCTGGATGACGCTGACGTGGACAGCAACCACAATGGCAACGCCACCTCACCTCAAGTTGGTACTGGTGAACCAGCTATCAGCCTCAAGGTTACCTTGAAGTACGATGATCCTGTTCGGGCGAGCGTCATGTCGTAATGATGGATTGTGCTGGGCTGACGACGACAGAGGTGCGGTAACGGTGGGGAAGCGGTGACAGAAGGATAGTGACAGGAGTGATTCGGTGACAACCCTGCTTCGCATACTGCGTGGAAATCGCTTAACATCGTGACTTCCCCTTGCCTACACTGCTTGGCTTGGGTTGTCTGGTAAGTCTAGACATTTCGTAGACGTGTAGATAAAACATAGGAGACCTCCATTGCTGACTATGTTAAGCGGGCCTCCGCAGGAGCTCGAGAGTGCGGGCGGGGGTCATGCGGGCAGCGTGACCCCAGATAATGTGAGTTTGGGCTTCGGCAGTGCATCCAGTCTCAGGGAATGGGGATTATATCCGTCAGATGCAGTCCATTTAACAGGCGGAAGCGAAACACGACGAGCACGGCTGTGTTAAGGAGAGGAAGAAAAGGAGCTCAGCATCATACGTAGGGCCCCGTACAATAGAACAAAAGCCCTTCATGAATCTTGCTTAAATAAATGAAGATAAAACGATTTGAGTCTGGCCGATATGTTAATGAAATTTGCTCGAAGGGCTGAAGTGGCAAGGCCACATAAGACTTGAAGGATACCCGTTTGAGACGAACAAGTAAAAATCTCATCTGGTGTAGGTCCCCTTGCGATAGAAGCAATCAATGGAAGTAGAAACTAAAAAAATGTACATTCTTGGTTGGATACGCACTATTAACGAGAGGTACATTGGTAGCCTGCCCCTGTTATGAGCTCCTAAACAGTCTAAAGTAAAACTCGTGAAAGGCTCTCTGACACAGCTTCCAATGTGAGACGGTCTTATCAGGAGAGATGCCGTCCTTGAAATTTGTACGAGAACTTGATGGATATATGGGATTTTTGCCCATCAAGGAAACGGTTGAAACGCAAACGATACATTGGCCTTGTGACAGGAGAATAAATAGAGGTTTCCTGAGATACAGTTCTGCCCAACCCTAATTTTGACCTCTTCGCAAGTAAACTCTCCTCTGTGGAATTACAAGAATGAAGATAGAGACACGGACTCAAGCCTTCTCAGTTGCACAATGAATAAACCCTCGGTAGGAACCCCCATCGAAGAGAAGTCTGACCATGGACAAAACCCCTACTCAAAGAAACGTCTGAGGAACTATCCGGCAGACTGAATAAAAGGTATTCTCTGCGTCCAGGGTGCCTCGTAAATGCAAGCTATTAACAACGAGAGGCGAATGAATGAGAACTATAAAATGAAAGCGATTCAGGGGATGTAAAGATTATATCCAACTGACGAGACAGAATAATACCCGAATAGGGGGGGGGGATGAGAATCATCACCCCATACTATGAACTGGCGAGAGAAAGGAGACAAGGCAAACACCTGATTTTTGGCAGCTCAACGAGGGCTCTCCTGAACTCCTCTCAGCCACGGCAACATTGCCGATCACGGAGACCTATTTCGAGGATTTGAAAACACAAAAAAGCTGCAAATGCATACCCACCGACTGGTTTAGATTAACCTCTGAGAGAATATATCGTACTGCTAACCCCACCTCATCCCCGGGTTGATCCCCAAAGCAATACGGGCCACAATAGCGGTGAATCCGGCGAAGAAAGTCAGCCCAGTGACTATCACCACAGCCCAGCACACCTCCCACCTCTCTGAGCTAAGAGAAATAACCAGTTAACTCCGCACCACCACACAAAGTCCGGGCCAAATGAATCCCATCAAATCACCGCCAAAAGCGCCAATCGACCCTGCGTCGTAGGCAGCCTGCAACCACCCTGCGACCCCTCGTGCCCTGGCTCGGCCGTTCCACTGAACCCTAACCGGAAAGGTGAAGGGAAATCGGGATCTGGCTTGCGACCTGCCTGATGACCTCTCAGACACGCTGCATGCCGCGTATGCATGGATGCAGCAGTTGCACCGGCAGCGAGAGGACGGCCGAGGGGGGCTGTGCAGGGCTTCGGGGAGGGAGCGGATACGCTTACTACACCCACTTCTGGAGTATAACCAGTGGGTATGGGTGCACGGCAGGAGGTTTGGGGGATTTGGAATGGTATTGAGATACTGAGGTGGCGCACTTGCGCATGTTTTTCATGGGTTTGGATTGTCATGCAAGTAGAGCGATGTACTGTACTTTGAGGGGGTTCGTGATGGGGGAAGGGGCGAGGGGGGACATCGCAATCAAGTTCAAGTCCGCGAGTCCCGTTGTTTTGGTTAAGAAACGGCACTATGCAACTTATCGCATCGAGCGTATTTGATGTCGGAGTCCTCGCGGATCCTTGCGGGGAATACTTGTTCCGCTCTTCCGAACATACTACTACCCCCCTTATTCGGACGTCGGGCAACCATTTGAGACAGGATGAGATCCTTCAAAGCAACCGCTCTTCCGCCTCAACGGTACCCAGCCCTCGGCTGGCAGCGGAAGAGGCGCGGAGAGCTGCGGTATCGAACCCACTGATGGCTATCGGATGGTACGGCATAGGAGGTAAGGTCCGGTGTCGATCGCATGGTCGAGGCCAGCGATCTGCGAACCGTTACGAGCCTTTAGGGGCGGACTGTCGGACAAACCACCACCACCCCTCCAAGTCAAGGCCGCCACATATCTGATCACTCAACAAGCAACCTGGTAACCCCTCCAATCCAGCCAAGAGGGCCGGTGCCTACCTCAACGACATGTCAGGTCCCCCTCCTCAGCCCGCTGCCAGTCGGCCCTTCTCCACCCGTCCAGCACGCGTCGGAGCCAGAGAAACGTCCGCTACATCACGTAACTACCTAACTTTAATCTCTGCTCCCACCGTTTTGGTGGCGTGTCAGTGTCAGTTGGCTATGAGTCGCGCCTGCCCGCAGCGTCCGCCACGTTAGATTAGAACAACTACGCGCGGCACTTCCCGTGCCCAGTCGTCCGGTAATAAGGGAATAGCAGGAAGCCCGAGCTGCGAGGTACCGTGATAATACGACAGGAGTGGATAGTATCCTCACCTGCAAATGGCGATGTACAGACGCGCACGTTTTGCTTTGCGATAGAGGGGCGGGGAAGAGTGTTGCTGAAGGATTAGGAAGCTTGCTTGCGCGTCTTATCCTGATTAAGGGGTCGAGCTCGTTCATGATGCAGCTCTCACGAAAAAGCGGGTTTGGCAGCCGTTCCCAATCCTTGCAATCCTTTCGCTTGCTATAGATAAATCGATCATTTCCGCGTTTCGCGCGCGAGGCGGCTGGGGGCGCCAAATATAAGTTGTGTATATCCACCTTTGAAGGAAGGTGGGCGTAGGGTGGAGTTTGACTCTGCCGCGGAAGGTGAACACATGGAGAAGGGGTATTCATATTTTGGGAGTGTACGAGAGTAGCTGTGGGAGGGGACTGGAGGGTACTTACTATTGTAGATGTGCCCGTGAACAAGAAAGTCCCCTATATGTCAACAAATATCAATAAACTTCACGATCCTACCTCACCAACCCCCTCCTTATCCCTCCCCCCATCCCACACCGATACCCTTATCCCTATCTCCTCCCAAATAGCCACCTCCTACGCGCCGATAACCCCAGCCGCCGCGCCAGCCCCCTTTTACCCGCGCGACCCGCCCAAACACAGCCCCCTCGTGATTTACGTACACCACCACCACCGACAGTGGGGATGGACGAGCAATATTCCTCAATTTGTGTTGTCATATGTTGTCTGTGTCCCGTGAAGCGCACAGAGGCCGAAGGTAACGTCTCCTCGCCCGCTCTGCTGGGTCGCTGCTGCCATCGCGGGCGTGAGGTGGTGAGAACCTAAAGCTGCGTGCTCGCTTCGTCATCCAATTCGATAGACATGACGCGGTGCTTGACCTCGCACCCGAGGGGAGGGAGAGTTGGGACGAAGCTGACACAGTTTCTTGGCAACAACAAGGTCGTGAGATGAGAACTGGGGTTGGGGAGATGAATTGACGTGAAAGCTGCAAAAGATGTGGTAGGAACTCGACAGAGAGGGAAGGTGGTGTGCCTACAAGTACCTATCTTGGGATGGAGGCTCCTTAGGTTGCTGTTTTGGTAGTGCTCCCCCCTAGTCCCATTGCCAGACGTCTAATAATGGACGGCTGGCTTGGTACTAAAAGGGCTGACATGGTGACCTGCAATTCGCGAACGCCGTCTGCTCCTTTCGACGAAAACGGAACGAAGGGTGCGCCTCCTGCCACAGAAGAAATCACCCTGGTATCTGGAAGGAAGGGTCGCGATCGAATCACAGCGCCAGGCGGGAGAGGCTTTGGGAGAAGCCGCTAAATGCAGCGGTACTGTAATGTACGGTTCCAGCGTTGCACCACAACCACGCTGACTGGCGTATAGTACCAGCCGTTTAAACCTTCCGAAACGTGGATGAGATCGGGGGTGCGTGCCCCTGAATTCTTGAGCTTGATGTTCGAAGGTTTGGGGTGGAAAAGGAGAGGGTGATGCACGCCTCAGGGGCAGGTTGGACGACGTTTTGGACGTTGATACCACGTCCAGGCACTCCGTAGGTCTGGGATCGTAGTCTTCTGTAGAAATGAGTACACTCATCAAACTGTGCTGTACGAGTAGTACGTACAACTTCTCTGTCAAAATTGACAACCCGACAGGGCGTAGGGCTCAGTGGGCCACCTGCGGACCCGGTAGGATCCGGTACCTAAACCATAGCAAGACGGCACAGCAAAGCTGTGCAGAAAGAGTCGACAGTTTGAATACCACCGTATCGGGTATAGCAGCCCCCAATATGCCCTCTTTCTCATCCAAGACGTGTCTGGCCTGTGTACCGCCCATGGCCTCGGGCACCCGCTGGTGATCCCAACGTGCACCAAGTCACCCCTCCCAATCCCCCATCCCACACGAAGCGCACCAAGCGGCCGCAATCTTTCACGCGGCAGCAACCCAACGGCCGGCCGCAACCGGGTGCCAATAGCTTCGCTTTCCGTCTCAACTCCGCATGGTCCCCCCGCCAGTCTGGCGCTCTCCGACCCGCTCTTTCCCTCTCCCCAACACTGTCGGCGTCACCGTTCCCCCATCGCGCCTCATGCGCGGCCATTCCGGTGCATCTCCCCTCCATTTCATTTCTCGTCCCCCCGACCCCATCTCAAACCGCCGCATATTGGGGGCTGAAGCGCGATATCATCTTCGTCACCACCATCGCGACGATCGCCGTTCCGCCACTTCGCCGTTGTCCACCTCCCCTGTCACCCCGCTTGGTGCCGATTCAGAGCATCTGGTTGGCTGTAGCAGGGATTGAGAGGGCTGCAGGAGCCGCTAGGCGATTTTGGGTGCGGTGAAGTGTCGGGACAGGGGGGTGTGTGGGGTTAGGGGTTAGGGGTTAGGGGTTGTCTTGGCTGCGAGGCTGAAATTTGGGGTGTGGTGGGGAGGTGTAGCCTCGTTTTTTTTTTGCGGATAGGGGGGTTACATACGTGCGTACAAGTGACATAGTTACCTTGAGTAGGCGGTTTTTTGCTTGTAAAGTGCGACGGGAATATGCTAGGCGCGGAGTTCGCTGTTCGGTCTAGGGAAGGGCGGAATACCCGTCGGAAATCTAGATTGGGGAGCGAGCGGCATTTACTCAATCCGTGACGGGTATGGCGCCTGTTGGACTGGCTGGCTATTAGATTAGATTGACTGGCTGGCTGTGATGGATCGCGCTCGATCGAATCGGCATACAATATGTACAGTGGCGTATAGTACGGAACTAACTGTACTGGATACTAGGCGGTACAAACGGGTCGTGATCAGTCATCAGGCTTTAATAGATTCAGAGTGCTGACAGACGACCGTGCATCTTTGCGGAAGGCAGCTTGGGATACAGGAGATATGTTGTTAAGGAGAGAATATTGTTCTTGGCATATTGGATGTTCTCTGATCTAAGTTTAGAGACACTTCATATCATACTTGGTAAATTATAGCATACGAGGAAGGATGAAGGACGAGTCTTGCAGGCCCCAAGGGATCCAGAGGAGTTCATCATCTCGCGACTAAATAGGGAATATCTAGATCCTTCGACTGGAAATTAGTGCATTAGTGCTAGAGCAGGGTAGAGTAGCGACTAGGATGAGGCAGGAATAGGATGAGGCAGGAATAGGATGAGGCAGGAATAGGATGAGGCAGGAATAGGATGAGGCAGGAATATTCCTGCCTCATCCTAGTCGCTACTCTACCCTGCTCTACCACCTCTATCACTCCACCCATCATCTTCATGAGAACGGGCCGATGAGGACAGCCGCTACTTACTGCATCTGGGGTAGTGGGGTGTGACTGACGCGCCCAACCCCCCGCCATGTGTCTTTTGGCTACCATGTACAGTAAGTAGTAGTCGAGTACAAGCTGCTCTAACGAGTTCCTGGTATGTTTGAAGCAGGCCGCTACTCTATCGAGCGGAACTTGCGACGACGACGATACCCTCGCTCGCTGTGGCTGATGTTGTGCATCCACGTCATAACTCTATCACAGTAATCGGGACGACATCCTTCCCGTCGGATACTATACAGGACGTATGCATCCACGGTTCTGCCCAACACGAGCGAAGTGACACAGAACACCATCATAGCAGAAAGCAATCGGCGACCAATGTCCCAATATCCCGCACCAGAGCCCGTAGTCGTAGTAGAGTACGTATAGCTCCTCTCCTCCATACTGCACGAGCGGCTGACGACCGACGTCTGACGGCGACATGAACAACCCACGGACGGGTGCTCGAGATCTCCCTCCCCCACCACCATGACACATGGCCAGGCGACAGCGCCCCTGCCTCAACCCATGGACTTTGACGTAAAAACGGCAGCGCGGGGCTCGACCGTCCAATTTCCTAACCAAGCATGGGGAGCAGCTCCTACCAGCCACACCGGCCTATGGCGAGCACCCCCCTCCCCCTTCTACCTTCTACTGATATTCACAGCCCAGGCCCTGAACGGTAAAATGTTTCGGCGCCATTGCGAGGACGAACCGGCACCGTAAATTGGTAAATTGCCTTATTAACCTTTTAAACGGCAGTCTGGACGAAACTAACTCCACAGTCAGTAAGTCAGCATAGCTTTGTACTGTACTGTACTCCCTAGCAGGCATTTATTTTCAACCAGGTATTTGAATTTGAAATAGCTCTCTCCTCCCTCCTGATTTTCCGTACCGGGACTCCGTATCTCCGTGCATAAATGTCTGACGCGTGGATGGCCAATCACTAGGTCCTCCATCGCTCGCGACTACGATCGTCGGTGCTTCCGCAGCACTCCGAATCGCCCGAATCGCCCACATCATCAGTGGTAGGCGCGGACCCCACGCTCTCCGGGCGGGATTGAAACCGCAGCTGAGGTGGTTGCGTGCTCTGCCATTTGTCCAGAACACGATGCCGGCTCCTTCCTTCTGCCACCACACTCACTGCCAGTACGATACGTATGTATACAGTAGGGCTGGAACTTCTGTACTTACTGAGTGACCAAGTGGAGGGAGATGAGCGAAAGTGCCGGAGATGAGACACGTTCGGAGGGATTCGCAGCGGCCGATCATGAATGATTAAAGAAAAATCCCAAGTGACTCTTCACTTCTTCACTCTTCCCACTCTCCCACCATCAGTGCGTTTACCAAGTAACGCACCCCTTCTTGTACAACAACCATAATTATGCCACCAACTCGGAGGGCTTTGGCTCTGGTTGATGGGAATCGACAGCCCGGTGGCCAATTAAGCCCATACTAACGCGGTCAGATTATTAGGAGGCAGTCAGAGGGTGCAACACCTACTAAGATTGCACACGACCTAAATCTTGACCGAAGCACCGTAAGATATACTATTGCAGTTGACCTAATACGCACCGAAGGCTAGAGCCTACCCTATACACCACGGGGAAAGTCATACACAGAAGTAGAGTAACGCCTTATACTCTGCCACGTACGCCTAAACCCAAAGGATATATACCAAGAAGTGAAGGGTGCTTGTAATGTTACTTGCTTAACATCAACTATAAAGAGGATACTACAAGAAGCAGGCATAGGCAATTAGACTACAAAGCGTCGCCCTTTCCTACTGCTAATACATGTAGCTAAACGGCTTGCATGGTGTTTAGCACAGAGGAATTAGACAGCAGAGGATTGGGGTTAAGTTGTGTGGAGTGATGAGTGCTCTGTTAAGCGGGGGCGGTGTAACATAGAAGTGGCAGCAGGAGATGATCTAGACCGTGACTACTACAAACTTGTACCTTGAGGTTCTAGAAGCAGAACTCCTCCCTATTTTTGAGTCTCAGCTACTCATTTATGCAAGATAATTCTCCTATCCACATTTGGTAGCACTTGAAAACCTAGGTGTGTGAGATGTTCCCTGAAATTGCAAAGGATAAATCAAACTTAGAACATGCAAGATAGCGTCTAGAATCATGTTTGCAAGCAGCATAGGACACATTAGACAAGTCATTGTTTGATAAATTGTATGAGAGTAGAGTATGCCGAGTAGAATTGAGGCGGGTGCATTCAAGCAGACGGGTGGCATACAAAATACTAGAATACTACTCGGTAATTTTTATACTATATACTATAGGGCTTATTTTGTAGAGCTTTCAATTCTCATTACAATGGATCACCTTTTACATCTATCGCTCTAAAACTGCATATGTTACGAGCAAATCAATTATCTACGTTCGGTGGCTTCGGGGGTAATAGCAGTAGTGGTGGGTTACTGTATAACACCGCGTGTAACAGGATGCGCCCTTTTCCCAACAACTTTTTACACACGAGTTTGATACGGGCGCTACGACAGCGTTCGCGGCTGTAGATGGCTATTGCCCAGTCTATTCCCTTTGGTCATGTCTTCGTCAGGGGCTCGGTTGCGCACACGGCCCTCGCCGGGCGTGACTGGTGAGGGATCAGGATAGGTAGCCTTACTAATGTACTTACTGAATTGGGTGTAGGAAGACGGTTTGGCAGGGGAGGGGACTTGGCGCGTAGAGAGGGCTATTTCCAGCGGAAGTTGGCCGTGGATGTACTGGGGAGTATTTTGGGACGAGTTTGGTACCTGTACTTCTTTGATGAGTGAGTGAGGGTGAATGAGAGGGTTTTTGGTGGTCGTCCGTATATCGAAAAGGAGGTGATCTGATCTTGATTACGGAATCAAATACCTCCTTACTCTATGTAGTATCCTTTCTGTTTGTACAGGCCAGTCCCCGTCCAGTCCCCGGCCAGTCCCCGGCCAGTCCCCGGCCAGTCCCCGTCGGCGATACTCGCAACGCCGACCGTGTCCCATGCTACAATGGGAAGGGAACGGCAACGGCAACGTCAACGGCAACGTCAATGTCAACGTCCCCACGAATGGCTGATCACTATCTACCTAGCTATCCTCCACCTATCCACCACCTATCCACCACCTATCCACCACCTATCCACCACCTATCCACCACCTATCCACCACCTATCCACCACCTATCCACCACCTATCCTATCCAATATCCCCAATGGCGTGTCTCTAAAACAGTAAAAACAGGCCAGAAGCTCGCCGGTGCCACACCCACTCTCAACCACACTATGTCCCCACCCTAACGTCCAAATTCGTACCCATTCTTCAAGCCCGCGAATGTCAACGTACTCCGAGTACTTCAAAGTATGACCGCGGATTTACCTGGTGGGTATGGAAGAGACACCAAGACACCATGTATCTTGCGCACACACACGCAACATCCCCCACCCCCTCCCTAACCCCCCCGTCACTCCTAACAGCCAATGGCCCACTCACTTCACAGCCTTACAAGTTGTGTATATATAAGTGGGCAAAAGATCTATATACCATGCACCACCCCTGTAAATATCTATATAGCCAACGCTATCAATAGATTCTGCCGCATTTTGTTAGCCTCGCTGGCCCCATGCCTCACTGTAGCCAACCTCGCTGCTGCCACTAGCACTCGAACCCCCCCCCCAAATGACGTCCCTTCCGCTGCTTGTCGTGCCAGTAGATGGCGCAGAGTTCCTAGACCTGGATGCCGTTGTCCTTGCCCTCGACGACTAGGCAGTCAAGGAGAAATTCGCCTTACAACACCCTAATGCCTCCCATTGATGTTTCTAAGCTTAGAGCTCACGAAACAGACCCATGGTTCCCGCCTATAACACGGGTCCCACGGGGGAGGCCAAAGAAGGAGAGGTTCCAGAAGGATGACCCACGGAGGAGAGTTGGGAGGGGAGAGGGAGCTTCTGGTGTTGGGCGCTGCTCTACTTGTGGGGAGCAGCGCCACAATATGAGAAGCTGCTGGTGCTCGCATGAGTAGGGCGCTTTCATGGGAGCAAGGACAGTGGACCAGCGGTGTCAAATGGGAGATCAGGGTCAATGGAGTCACGGAAAAAGCCGAAGCGGCAGCAGGGTATATAAATCTTTTATTAAAGCTGAGGGTATATGAATCTTTACAGGGGTGGTGCAGGGTATATATATCTTTTGCCCTATATAAATACGTTTGGTTTGGTATGGGTACTGCGTACTGGAGCAGGCTGCATTGCATATATACCTACGAACGAAGGAATATATATATTCGGCATCCTTCCACCCCAAGGCTGTCTCCCAAAAAGCTTGCCTTATCACTTCATTCCCGTCTCCATATCCCTCTCTTCATCCTTCAGACGACGCCATCATACGTTGCTGTGTACATCACCATTTGTGATATATTGCTCGCATTCTCATCCTCAACTTGCTTTCCTCTCTCTCTCTCTCTGTCCTCCTCACCCTCGCCATCTAATATCTCCACCATGTCTCAACAATACTCCTACCACCAAACACCCGCAGCACCGCACCGCCTGCCCGCCAACCACGGCACCATCAGTGCCTTCTCCCCCTCCGCCAACCCCGACGAAGACTGGACCCAGATCTCCGATCTCGCCGAGCGTCGCCGCATCCAAAACCGTATCGCCCAACGCAACTACCGTTCGTCCCTCCCTCATCCACCCCCTCACTCCCACCCTCCTAACACCCACCCTCCTAACACCCACCCTCCTAACACCCACCCTCCTAACACCCACCCCCAGGCAAAAAGCTCAAGCGCCGCCTCGAAGACCTCGAACGCCGCGTCGGCTCCTCCTCCGCCTCCCCCCCACAATCCCACACCGAGCTCAAGCCCTCCAAGCCCACCGCGACAAACATGCACAAGACGCCCTCCTCCTCGCGGAACCGCCCAACCAAGCTCTCCCCGTGCGCCATATACCAAAGTCCACACCAATACACCCCCCCGCTCCAACTGGCTAACGACCTCTTTCCCCTCGACCGCGCCGCCTCCCACACCCCCCCGCTCTTCAGCTACGCCCCCTACTCCGCCCCAGACGAAACCTCCTTCTACCCATCCTACGCCCCCTACTCGACGGGTACATACGAGTACGCCGCGCCGCCGCGTCCGCCGTTCGAGCCGAAGCGGAATAACGAGGAGCTCAACGCCTTCGGGATGAGCTATGCTGCTATGGCGGGACTTGATATCCAGCACTCTTATGACGACCCGCTTGTGAGTCCGCGTCTGCCTGATCTGCGACTGGGCACTTTACTGACGACAATTTTAGACGCCGCCGCTTGGAGAGGGGTTTGAGTTTGAGGTTGTGGGGGAGGAGGAGAATTACGCCTTGTTTCAGACGGGGAGGGGGAGCTGGTCGCCGGAGCCGTTGGTGTGAGGCTTCTCTGCCGAGATAACTTGCTGGCTGGCTGGTGGGTGTAACACCTTTTATGACGAACTGGAATGGGAACTCGGTGCATGGGATTTTTATTGACCCCCGGAGCGGTGTTTGGTAGATGGAAACGAGCCGGGTTATGTAGCGGCTGGTACTGGGAGCATTTGGTTAAACAACAAACTGTTGGGATAGGGATGGAATACCCGCTCGGTGTTTCGGCGCCAAAATTGCTTGCTTTTTTTACTGATTTATGGAATATTCTGTCCTACTCTGCTGTCTGTTTGTTTGTTATGTGTGTGTATTTTTTTGGGTGGTCTATTGCTCCTTAAGGGAGGGGTGGGGGATGGGGGTGTTTAGATTTATGAGGGGATGAATTAGAAGACTGATGGCTACATTATACGATTTACATTATGTCGCTCGGTATGAAGTCGTGATATGTGCACATCGTGACTTCCTTAACGGTAACCAGACCCTCAAGAAACATGATCAAACCACATGCTTTGACGTTCTCCCCTTGGGTTTTCCTCAACACCGCCCGGTAAGCTGACATACTTGCAAATTGCTATTGCAGATGACAACAAATTATTCTCGGTTTCCCCGTTGTGTCCAACGCTCGTTCAGCACTTCACATGCCAAGTCCACTCTAACACTCTAATGATACCACCTCACAACTCTCACATAGCAATATCAGACCGCAAATCATCTATTAGGTCTCTGTCCCGGAGCCACGTTCATAAAAGTGGTAAGAAAGAGCAACCAACCAAGAGCGTTGTATCAGAACCCTCTCATAGCCCTCACCATGAAGTCACCCTTCGAGCTAAGGCCTCCCATTCTCATATGCCCTACACCTGTTTATTCTCTTACGCTGTACGGGCTCGATATTATACAGCTCAAATAACACCAGTTCGAAGCCCTCAAAGCCACCCAATACCCAACCACCCCGTCAAATCCTAAGTAACACCCCCACCCTCCACCCGAACTCAGCCCAAACCACGGCTCCAGAAGAGTGTTTGTTGCTATAAAAGACACGTGGGTGTTTCTGCACCACTTCGTCACATCAGCTATTTAGCACCAGTATATTCGAGTCCTAGCTTAAGTTTTTAGATGTGTCGAGGTGGGTGGCGGGGTAGGTGGTGGTGGTGGTGGTGGTGGAAAGGGGGTGGTGATGGGAGGGATGGTGACGGTGAGTGTAAGAGTGCTGGTAAGAGTGCTGGTAAGAGTGATGGTATCGGTGACGGGTTAGTATTCGGTGACGATAACTTCGATCTACGGGCTGCGGCTGCATCCTAACAATCCTAGGCTCAGACAAGACCGTTTCTCGGACGGCAAAGAGACAGGGTAGTTCATCCGATTCTAGTGACTTTGGTACGTTTTACTGCAACCACCTGGATAAGTGACAGTATTAATATATTATCTGACTACGGCTACAAGAGGGACCTCTATCAGCCTTATTAGCACCCAAATCACCATTTCTGCCATCAACACGGGGCGACTTTGCCTCTGGCGTTCCCTCCCTTATGAAGCGCACAGCCTAGAATGATGCTCCCACAAGACAACATCCCCCAACAACCACCGAGCTAACATAAAAAAGGAGACAAAGATATAATAGAGAGACCGGAGCGCAGTAAGAAACCCCCCGCCCACACCGTGCCGAGCGGCGTGCATTTCTACCCCTGGGAACAACCGGCAGCCCCTATTATAGTTTAACTTCAGAACCCCTCCAAACCTAGCCACTTCGTATCTCCAGTCCATACATCCCCCATCACCAAATCTACTACCAACTCCTCTTCGACCTCACCCCCCTCCTCATCTGCCGCGCCGCGTAATCGATCCCGCAGTATCCACCCCTAATAACCGAGAAGGATGCGACTCCTTCGCCGGACTCCACCATCCCAACACCCACCTAACTAGAGGCAGTTCAATCTTGCGCTGCGCATCCACCGGCCCTCCTACGGTATGTAAGTAGTTCAAAAGGGTCAAGGGGTTCGTGACTTCACCCCGAAGTCGACCTAGAGTCCCCTTCGCTACGACGAAATCGATCCATCTCCGCCCGATTCTCCCAAAGAACGCCACACGCCATCGCCTCCCCCCCTCCAACACCATGCAGATCCCGACCCCCCCCTCAGCGCCTTGTAATTAGCCCCGCACCACATCAACAAAGGAAGCATCCATTCCAAACCCAGCCTCGCCCAGGTCTCCACCCCTACACTAACGCATAACTAAGCATTTATGTCAACACCCGATCGGCGAGGGGCACTCGAGGTGGGCATCATGTAAGACCTCAAACTATTCGTTCATCGGTGGGGGGAGTCCCTGGGATGACGAGGTTGTGGCGAGGGAGGGTCGGGATGGAAACAAGCCGAGGGGTGTGGAAGGTGTGGATAGGGGCTGGGAGGTGGAGATGTGACGCGTGGATGTAGGAGGGTCCCTTCTTTACTCCCAATGGCGGATTTAATGGAATGAGTTGTGTTATTGGTGTAAATGTGGGATATCCCGTTTCCACAATTTCACAGCATCACGCTTCACAATCGGCACAAAAACAACCATAACACAGTGAGTGATATATATTATCCCCTTCCCCCCTCCATCTAGAAACCTCTACTCCGTATGGAGAGAATCTAAACACTACCCAATATCCTCTTCCAGTACCATACCATACCATACCATATAGTATAGTACGCATAGCACAGCAAGAAAATCCAAACCCCCCTTCCTATCCCCTAATCGAGCACAGCTCCTCAAGATGATCCAACCTTTGTCCTCCAACCACCAACTCACTCAGTCAGTCAAAAAGAAAAAGATATATAATCCCAGCCTCAGATCCAGTCAGGCTCTTTCCTTTCCAAACTCCATCCCAACGAGTGGCTGATATAACGCCAACCGAGAGTGCTCGCCTCATTATCCATATCCCCAAAATTGTCGTTTCGTTTCATGCCTCATCACCATATAGATTTAGCAAGCCCCCGAAACGCCCCCATCAAAACACCCCAAAACACCGTCTCCCCCATTAAACACCTTTTGTATCCCCACCGACCATTACTCCATCCCACCATCTATTACGACATAGGCCACCAAAACTCCAAAATAGCACATCTCGCAAACCAACTCATCGCCCACTCTACCAAAGGCGGGAGGAACCGATGCCCAAGCTGCAGCGTCTACTGCATATGATGTTGATTATGCGGGTGCAACCCCAACCCCGCCATCCCAACAACCGCACTCCCAATCATCGACTCCCTTCCCAGGGCCCCAAGGCGCAACTGCTGCCACATCCCCCATAGACTCCCCTCCGACGCCGCGACCGGCATCGGCAGCACCGCCCTCCCCCGCTGCGTGCGCCAGAAGTTCGCGCGCTCGGCCCATGACGGCCCGACGAGCCACCCCCAGCGCTCGATCATCTCGCGCGAGAACTCCCAGCTGAACTCGCTGTACGGCTCCTCGCCCCAGATGGTCAGGCGCTGGTGCTCGTCCATGTTGGGCGTGAGGAGGAGGTAGTCGAATTCGTGCAGGAAGGCGGCGGAGACGTCGGGGCCGGCGCGGCAGAGGCGGTCGCGGAGCGTAGGCGAGGGGAGCAGGTCGACGCCGTAGTAGTGGGTGGTTGTGAGCTGCGTGGCGGTGGGGCGGAAGGGGATGGGGAGGGAGGGGGCGATGGCGGCGAGGATTTGGAGGTGGCGCGGGCAGGGCTGGTTGGAGGTGGGAGAGGGGAAGGATGGGGCTTCTTGAACGAGTAGCGAGAAGATGGCTGAGATCGCGGTGGTGGTCTTGATGCGGCTGGCGGGCACCATGGCGATGAGGCTGGTGGGGTGTTAGTGTGAGGGTGGAGAGGGGAGGATGGCAGACTTACTTTGATTGATCGGCCACAAGTCGGCTCGAGGATGCCTGCTGGTTGGAATGTGACAGCTGCGCTGCAACTTGGGACGAGGTGGCCATCGAAGAGATAGTGAACGGCATGTTGCTCATGGTCTGGAAGGTCGATGAGCCTGATGCTACTGCACCGAAGTCGAAGGCGCCTGAGTTGTCCTGAGCGCCAGCTCTCGAACCTGCCGGATGCCCCATGGAGTACTGCATGCCATGCATGTTGCCCGACGACGGCATAGTGCCGGCAAATGCATTCATGGCGCTTGGCAGCATCGATGAGGTCATAGCGAGCTGGTTCGCAGGCAGAATATTGGGCGTCCCAAGCACCTCCATCATCGTGCCATCGTTGGTCATGGACTCCAAGATGCTCGAGGCAGAGGCAACGGCAGGCTTATGGCGGCGCGACGACATCGACGGAACGGTCTGTGGAAGGGCCGTGCCTTCGTTGCATTGCCAGCCGGAGCCGAAGACCTGTGCCTTGAGGAACTCGTTCTGTGCCCGCAGTTCTTCGTTCTGCCTGCGAAGATTGTAGATCTCATTGCTCTGCTCAGTAACCGTGACGCTCTGGGTTTGCTCAAGCTTGGTCATTCTATCTTTGCGGCGTCGACCTTAGACAGTGTTAGCTACTATGTAGTCAATATATATAGTTTTTTTTGGGGCGGGGGCCGTCTTACGGAATTCTCGCTGCGCGACGCGATTATACTAGAAAGAAGTGAGTATTATAATCATGCCACAACAGAAGGACAGAACATACCTCTCTTTTCTTGCGTAGCTTCTTCTCCTCTTCGACATCCGACCTAGCATCCTCACCCACGCTGGCCTCCGTAGTGGCCTCCATGAGTCCATCCATGTTCATCTCCGGATCCAAGTACGGCTCCGAATCAATGGCGGGCTCCGACTTAACGCGCGCGTTATTGCCTGATCGCAACGGCAAGCCGGCGGAGGAACCACTCATAGTGGCCACCTAAACGTGGCTCTTCACCTTCGTTCCTTCCCAAATCTAAAAAGCTGTTCGATCAAGCGTATCAGTTTTAGTCAAATAGCCAAGTATCCGTATGTCTTATCCAGTAACACCGGAAAAAAACAAAAGGAAGGAAGGCACTAGCAGCAATATATTACCACCCGCCTCGCTCCTTCCACACAACAACTCTGAGGAGGCAGGACGAAAACCTCGAGACCCTCCGTGTGCGCCCTTCCCACCATTCAAGGTTCATGCCCCTAGCCCTGCCCTCAAGCTGCCACCGAGACCCAATCACAACCTCGGACAGGCATGGCATGTTCATGATGCTGCCCTCAGCCCACCCCATGGCGTGAGCGCTAGACGGCGTGACGTTGGTCCCCGACGGCCTGGAGCGACGGCGCGGCGGCACGGGCGTGTGCGGTTCATCATTGGGCCAAAGGACGGGGGAGGCAGCAGTCGCAAAGTGGGAGGCAGTAGCACAGAAACCGGGGGGGAGGTTGGACACAGCAAGCGCGGCGGGAGGGATGGGGGAGGGGAGATGAGGTGAGGCTGGTGAGGCTGAGGCGGAAGCTCTTCATGGCGAGGGGGTTTCGGCGTGGCCTGAGGGGACTGCTGCAGTCGGGCATTGGTGGGGTGGTGAGCCGATCTACCTCCTTCCTTCTCCCGCCCCTTTCGCAGGGTAAGTGAGAGAGAGAGCGGAGCCACACTGTGGCCCGGGGAGTTGAAAAATGAACGTAAAATGAGCCCGTTTAGCCATGGGAGGGGATAGGGTAAGCGGTAAGCGCAGGACCCATGCAGAAAGGCGGAGCAAAGGAGTAGGGTTGTAGCAGGCGGCGGCGGTGGCGGCGGGAGCACAGGTTAAGTTGGCAGACAGGGGGGAGGGGTGAGAGATAAGTAATCGTGGGAATTCCCTGTTCGGATTCATCGTCTTTTGGGAGGGGAAGGGAGCATGTGGCAGGCGGGAGGGCCTGGAGGGCAACAGGGTGATATGGAAGGGCAGGAAGGAAGGAAGGAGCAGTGAGAAAGAGCGCCACCTGCTCCGACGTCTTGTGTCCAATTTGACAACCGCCACGATCCTTCAGCAACTCTCTCTCTCATCCTCACCTCCTTCCCTCACCTCCTTCCTCACCTCCTCTCCCCATTACCATTATTCCCCTTCCCTCAATCCCCGAACCCCTTCACCTCCAATCCCCTCATCCCCTCATCCCCTCATCCCCTCATCCCCTCATCCCCTCATCCCCTCATCCCCTCATCCCCTCATCCCCTCATCCCCTCATCCCCTCATCCCCTCATCCCCTCATCCCCTCATCCCCTCATCCCCTCATCCCCTCATCCCCTCATCCCCCCAAAACCCGAACCCCACAAACTCCACAAACTCCACACCAGATACAGTAATCCTCGCTGACATCACCCCCGCCCCACACACAACCCCACATTCCCAGCCAGAGCGTGTGGCCACGCCCGCCCGCGCGTCTAGTATCCCTGTCGCTGATAATGTATCTAATCCAGATACAGCAGTTCGGCCATATCGTCGTATCTGGAGGCCGAGGATTGGGGAGGGGGGGCGAGGAGGTGGGGTTGTGGAACGGGTTGATAGATGACAGAGCTTAGACATGTGGACTACAACTGACTGTGCTTGCTTAGGAAGTCGGAGATGTCCCAGGTTAGCTGGGCACGTTGTCAGCTAATGACCAAGCGTGCGTGCTTGGATTAGTGATGATTGATGGATCAGATGCTCCATGAACCAGATGCATCACAATCCCCTCTCCTCCTCCGCCCGCCCCTCCTCCCACCCCAACTACGTTGGCTTAGAATTGTCATACCAACCACCCAGCACCACTATGTATACCCCCCCAACCCACAAACTCCCACATACGACCATAGACTCAAGAAACCTGGGCATCCCGTCCGCTCTGCCATACATAAACTTGAGATCGGTGGATTAGTAGTTGGGTGGGTGACCACCAGCGAATACCCACTGTTGTATGTCCTTTCCCTTTTTCTTTGCCTTTTTCTTTGCCCTTTTCTTTTGCCCGTCGTACCCCACCACACCCAAGAGCGCCTCAGGCGAAGCCGCTGCCTCTGGGTTACATTTCACATCTACACCATCCAACTCCACATTCCCATTCATCACTTCATCTCCTACTAATTCCCCGGAGCAGGGCATGTCGAATCACCAGCCCCAACCCAAGCAAGCCAGCAATAGAGAAAGTATAGCAAGCAATGCAATGTAATGCCGACCCACTTCAATACTATATTATCAAAAAAAGAACGAGCTTAAAGCAACACAACAAAAATATATCTTTCATCTACAACACCACCCCGCTGTTCCCTTTGTCTAAATAACCAAAAAACATCCCCGCAAGCCATTCATCCTTGCATGCAATCCATCCATCACACAACCACTACACTCCCTGCTTATAAAGCGAAGAAAGCAATGACGGCACCAACCATCGCCAAGTTCGCGCCGAGCTTGGTACCCGCACCAGTGGAGTTCAATGGGGTCGCTGGGCGAGTGGAGGTAGACGAGATCTTACCAGCGGAGGTCGGGGCATTGGTGGAGCTGGAGACGACGATGGTGCTGTTAGACTGCTTGGTAGAGGTCGAGAAAGCCTTGGTGGAGGTTTGCGCGACAGTGGAGGAAGCCTTGGTAGAAGTAGGCGCGACAGTGGAGGAAATCTTGGTTGAGGAGTTCTCGGATCCGGTTTTGGCGTTTCCAGTGGTGCCGGAGATCTTGATGCTCTGCCAGCTGCCGGTCATGTCGCCGTAGGAGTACGACTTGGCGCCAGTGTTGGCATCGGTGATTTTGACGCTCTTGACGACCATCTTGTAGGTAGGGTTGTTGGACCACTCAGCGAGGCCGCCAGCCCACTGGACGGTTCCCTTGGGCGCGGTGGAGGACCCAGCGACCCAGCTGCCCATCTTGACCTTCATGGGAGTCTGGGGGTAGCGGGTGCCGGCCTTGGCATCAGCGTAGAGGAGGGTGCGGACGACGGCGCCATCGATGGACCAGACGAGCTTCTCGGCGGTCCAGTCGAGCTTGTAGGTGTGGAACTGGGCCTGGGGGTTCGAGACGCCGTGGAATCCTCCGCGGTCAAAGGTGCTGTCGTCGCCCTTGCCAAAGTAGTTGGACTGCACCTGGGTGGTGTCGCTGCCGATCCACTCCCAGTCGACCTCATCGAGGTCGTCGGACTCGAGCACGAACGAGGACACGATGCCACGGCCGTCGGAGGCCTTCATCACGACCTCGACGCTGCCGAAGAAGAAGTACCAGTTCGACTCCATGGTGGGGGCCTGCTTCTCGCTGGTGATGTCGAACTCGACACCATCGGCGGTGTGCTTCAGGGTCGTGCCGGCGAGGGCGAAGAAGTCCTTGGACTCGCCGGCAGTGAAGTCGATGGACTTGGTGGTGCCGAGGGCGAGGTCATCGGGGCATGCTAGAGGGGAAAATGTTAGTCACTTGCTGGACGCGTCAGCTCGGGTTGTGGGGGGTGTGAACGTACTCTTCTTGAGAGGCTGGCACTCAGTGAAGGTCTGGGCAGCGACGAGCTGGGCCACGGCAAGGAGAGCCGCAGCAGAGAAGAAGCTGGAGCGCATGTTGACTTGATGTCGATATTAATGTGGAAATAAAGTAGTACAAATGTGGTTTGAAATAGATCTGGTAAAAGGGGAAGTAGGGAAAGACGACGGTAGTTCCTCTTCAAGCAGTTAAAAACGTGTAAAACGAGTGTGGTGAATCTGATGAACAGAAAAAGATGAGAGAGAACGGACGATGCAAGGGAAATGCAACGCTTTGATGGATTGTTCGTGGGTGTGGAGATGGAAGGGAGGAGGAGAGGAGAGGAGAGGACAGGAGAGGAGAGGAGAGGAGACGGCAGATCTTTAAATGAATTAATTCGGCGTGGGAGGGTGGGGGTGGCTGGCTGTTTTGAGAAACCGACACGAGGTACGTACCGCGACAGGGGGGAGGAGGGAGTAGGGGTACGAGGGGGTACGGGTGAGGAGGTACTCGAGTAGGGGTACGAGGGGGTACGGGGGAGGGGTAGGGATACGAGTACGAGGGTACTCTACGGGGGGGAGGAGGCACCGCCACCAACGGTAATCCAGCTGGGTGGGCTATAGAAGCCACCCGCGACGATCGGACCAGCATAAGGTATAGTACAGTAGCAGCACTCCGGGAAGAGCCATGTGTAAGGCAAACCCCGTTCATTCCACTCTATCAACGGGTAGGAGGGGGAGGGTAGGGGGAGAGGGTAGGGGAGGGTAGGGGAGAGGGTAGGGGAGGGGGAGAGGGTAGGGGAGGGGAGGGGGAGAGGGTAGGGGAGGGGGAGAGGGTAGGGGTACGAGGGGGGGGTACGAGGGCGGGAGGGGAGAGGGTAGGGGGAGAGGGTAGGGGTACGACGGCAAAATATTAACCTTACCAACTACCCAATCGAGCCCAAATCCGTCAGAATGGGGCAAAAACTACCTACTATTATTAAGTCCCTTATTGCCTATTGCCCCCACCTGCTGCTGCGCCGCATCATCTCCCCGCCTGACCGAACGGCAAATGGGGTCTATTTTAGGAAACGGCCACTGGGGAGAGCTCTGTCCCACCGACGCTCACTGACGGGGCGTGATGTGGCCCGTCATGTGTGCCTCGTATCGGCGGGACGTTCCCCATCCCCCGCCCTGACGCGCCCAGACGCGCCCAGACTCTGTCTCTCATTTCGATACCTCAGCCTCATTGTTCCGTCCCCTGCATGTTGGGTCCAGCTCGCGCTGCCGGGCAGGGGGTGAAGCAGTGCCGATGGCTGATGACTATCCTGCAGCGGCGGTGATGGGATGGGGAGATCATGCATCACCAAAAGGATACCGGCATCCTGAACAAGACTCCATCTGTTCTTCTATGGTCCATGCTGAGCCGTTACCGCCCCAGCCGCGGTTGAAATGATATATATCCCCACGCTCATGGCACAGATCCCTTTCATCAATAATCATTCCGTCGTTCTCATCCCCCCGCCCCAAAAGCCCTAACCAACCCCATCGCCGCCCCCGCCGCCACCCCCCCAACCACCACCATCTCTCCCCCCCCTTCACCCTCTCCCAATTCCCCCCCCCACAAACCCCCGTCTTCACCCACCCAAACACCCACAACGCAACCGCCATAACCGCCACACTAACCCACAACCCCCTCTCCACCTCCTCCACAAAAAAATACGGCACCAGCGGCACCAAGCCCCCCAGAAAATACGCCGATGCGATCGTCAATGCCGATGCGAGCGCGCGGTGGGGGGAGGGGGGGGGGAGACAGTGTTCGATTCGCATGAGGAAGGGGAGGAGGGATGGGGAGGTGAGGAGGTGTGCTGTGAGGGGCGCGAGGGTGCTGGGGGGGATGTCGTAGGGTTCGAAGAGGGCGGTTAGTTCGTCACCTAGACTCGCTGGCGCTGCTGCGATTCGCGCCGCTGTCTGGGCTTCTGTGGCGTTGTAACTGGCACTATCAAGCATCAAATCAGCCATTGCTTTGTTTATTTACTTTGTCACCCCATCACCCCATCAACCCATCAACCCATCACCCCATCAACCCATCAACCCATCAACCCATCAACCCATCAACCCATCACACCGGAGAGGAGATATTTCAATCGTCACTGGTCGGGTCCACGGTAACAGTCGATATCGGGAATAGGAGGATAACTCACAGCTCACTCTTCGCCCCCAACCACCCCCCAAGTCCCATACTTATCGCCCCAGCAACCAACTCCGCCAGCCCCCCATAAATCACCACCCTCGTATCCCCCAACGCGCTCAACCCCGCTGTCAACGCAAAAGGCACCGTTAACCCATCGCTCAACCCTATCGTCGCATCACTTATCAATCTTGCATCGATGCGCGGGAAGGTGAAGGGGCTTGGGTGCGACGAGGGCGTGAGGGATTCGATGTCCGTGGAGGTGGTGGTGGTGGTGGAGTAGGTTGATGTTGGTGGTGAGGGCGGGGAGGAGAGGAGGGGGGAGTGCTCTGTTTGCGACGCGTGGGCGCAGAGCGATTTGTTTGATGCGGGTGTGTGGGAGGGTATTGACGATGGCGAGGACGAGGTGCTGGAGGGGCGGGAAAATAGAAATAGGTTTTTGAGAAAGACGAGCGACATCGCCTTCCTTGTCTCGTGAGCTCGCTGGTGAGAGGCGTAGGAGATGCTCGGTCCCAAAGATCTGAAGCTCGCACCTGCTCTGACTGGACTGTGGGAATAGCGTAGTAGCGGTAGGGATATATTCTAGGTTGTTGGTCGAGAAGTTTTATTCCATAGGTGAGGAAGGTTGTTTCGTTCTTGACGTCGTCGTCGTCCCGTTCCCATACCACCACTGTCGTTCTTTGTAGTTTCCGTAGGAGAGAGATCAATCACCACTTTCGTTCTTTGTAGTTTCCGTAGCAGAGAGATCAATCACCACTTTCGTTCTTTGTAGTTTCCGTAGGAGAGAGGGCCACCAACATACGTCCTGATCAAAACAGAACAACAATATGAAACTGTTCCCCTCCCCTCCCTGGGCAGAAAAGTCCCTTTATACCCCCCATCCTCTTTCCCATCTGTACCATCCAGACCCCCCAATCCATCCACTCCCCCCCATCGCGGTGGTCAGCATCAATTACATCCTCCCCTATTGGTCGATGTAGTGCGTAATCACCTCACCGCCTTCTAGTTTTGGTGGGGGGAGACGGTAAGGCTGCGGTTCTGCCCGTGCAAGTTTTTTTGGTGGGAGGCGGACTCGGTCATAGGACGGGGTCGGGGTGACGCCGTTGTATGGTATGGGGGGTTTTTTCTTATCTTTGTCTTTGGATTTTTATGAGGGGTTGTGGATTTGTGATGGGTTTTTCTTTGTTAGGTTATATGACGTTGGCGGATTATATCCGCAACCCATCTCAAATGGTATACCAGTTCGCTTTATTAAAAGCTTGAAGACAGAAACGTCACCCAACATAAGAATGCACCCTCCTCCCAACCGCACCCAGCAACACGCAAGCACATAAAATAATACCTCATCTTGATCTATCTGTCTATCCATTCTATCCCCCCGCCATCTCCGTTGCATGCACTCTTTCAACCCCCGCGCCCCCCCCCCTCATCTCTCCTCCCCTAAACACACAAAACGCCAGCGCTCATCCCCATTAAAAGACAAACAACGATAACAAAAAGGTCCCAGTACGACGAAAACAGCACGGCGCCACCGACGGAAGTGTAGGTGGACGCTGAGGAGAATGTATGTCCATGAATGGTTGGTTAAAATGAGTAGTTCGAAAGAAGGTAACGAGCGCGTGGTGGCCGTTTTTGAGTGACGGTGAATGAAGGGTTTGAACGATGTAGAAGAAAATCCTAACCCGGTAGTAGTGATGGTTAGGGTGGATTGGTAAAAAGATATTATAGTTGTGTGTGTGTGTGTGGCGGCGCGGTGGATGGTTCCGGCCGGTGAGAATGCTTGTGTGTATTGGTATGTCAGCTTCTTGAGAAAGTGGTGCTAATGGTGCGAGAGAGTATAGGCGTGTTGCGTGTCGTAGGAGTCGAGGGGACATAGCGGTAGCTCAGGCGCGACATATCTCGGCATATACGCAGACAAATCGACGAGGTTCTACACCACAACCCCCGCCTCCTCGCTCTTCAACTCCAACCCCTCCACCTCCCCCTTAAGTTTCACCGGCGGCGGGCTCTGCACCCTCGTCTCCTGTCCCTGCCCGAGACTGCCAAGCGGTAACCGCTCCGGTCAGCTCTGCGGACTAGTCGGCCTCTCCCTCCAGCTGCGCTCCTTCTTCCTCCTCTCCGCCTTCCCCTTCTTCGATCCTGACACCGCTGGTGCCACCCCCCCCTCACCACTAGCCAGTGCCACATCCTCAATCGAATCCTGGCTCACCCTCCTCTGCGCCGCCGACGAGAAGATCGGCGACAGCTTACCCTGTCTGTTTTCTTCGCTTTTATACCCGTTCCCTCCTCTACTCGGGCTGGGGGCTTCACTCTCATCCTCCGCATCGCTCGAGGAGTAGCTCCTCGTCCGACTAACCCTCTGCAGCGGCTCCAGCGATTTCACAGAGCTAAGCGTCTTCGCGCCCGAAATATACCGCGACAGCACGCGTATCTCCGCATCCGACGGCGTCTCGCCCCTGCGCAGCTTCTCCTCCACCACGCGCCCAGTAACCTGACGATTCAGATTCGGCGTGCTCGGTGGTAGCGTACTAGCTCTGCTGCCGCTGCGACTGCGCGGAATCGAGATACTACTCGCAGACGGATGCTGCTTCCCCGACATAACGCTCGCCGACGGCGGCGGCTGCATCATCCAGCGCATCCCGCCCTTCTGGAACGGATGGCTGCTCACGACGGGAGGATGCAGGTCGTTGACGGGAGGGTTGCGCGACACGTAGTACGGATGCGTGTCCTCCTCCTTGACTGTTCCAAACTTGCCCAGCCGCTCCTCCATAGCTCGCAGCTTTGAGCCGACAGAGACCTGCGCCGTGGCAAAGGCGTCGCGTACACGCCGTTGTCCGGCTTTGATTGTGTCGACGCCCCAGAGCTCTTCGTCTTCGCGCTGGTACCGCTTGCGGTTCCAGTCACCCCCGCTCAATCGCTGGTCATCTGGGACTATCGTTGGACTACTCGGCGCCTGCGAACTCGGCGCCACGCTAGCCGCTATACTGCTCGCATTCCCCGCGGTATGCAGCGCTCTCGAACTCGTGTCCTTGCTCCCGTTCTTCCGACTCGATGGGCCAGGACCCAGTGTGATTTCCTCATCCCAGAAGGGATTCGTGTTGAATGGCGACGGGTGGTGGTATAGACCCGGTTGGTCTGTTTCCAGCTTCCTCTTTTCGGCGCGCTCGCGCTTCGCTTCGACTTTGGCTTTGTGGCGGTGGGAGATCTTGGAGCAGGCGCTGCAGGATAGGACGTAGAAGATTACGGACTGGATGCCGACACCAAGGGACATTGCTATGACGGTATGTCGAGCATGAGGGCTCAACTGTATCGGTGGTAGGTGTAGTGGATGTTCCTAAGCAGACATTGGGCGTGTGGGAGATGTGGCCATAGGTGTCGCGTGGATGGTGGGACACCTGGTTGTCGGACTACACTACTTCGTGAGGGGCGATATGGACTAGATGACAGTCGAGGCGAGAAGAGGAGTATATAGATATATAGTATGGAATGCGCTTCGCTGTATCGTATGCAAGGGGTTCGGTTTGTATGTCTGCTTGCTGGGCTTGTGGTCGTCGTCGTGTTATATTGCCGTCAGTGTCCGTTGAATGGCTTGTCGCAATGTTTGTACGCCTCTAAACAAAGCAGCGATAAGTGGCGTCGGGCGAGGCTGTCTTGTCGATCGAGGGGCTGAGACTCGAACGATACAATTCCAGGGGTCGCGTGGCAACCGCCAACGGATCGATCAATCGTGCTGCTTAGGGTCTACAGTAGGAATAACGATGTTCGTTGAAAGGTTGCGGGTTGAATTATATACACTTCACGATATACAAATGGAGATGCGTTACGTTGATAGAGGGGGGGCCGGCACGGCAAGGGGATGTGGATATCCTCGCTTGTCGCTGGGGGGTTGGGGGGGGGTTGAGGTGGTCTACTCTGGTTCTACTGTAGACGAACAGTCCACCCATCTTGAAGCATCTCTATAAAAATAAAACTATAGCATCCCACTCCCCAATCCCAATCCCCAATCCCAATCCCAATCCCAATCCCAATCCCAATCCCAATCCCAATCCCAATCCCAATCCCAATCCCAATCCCAATCCCAATCCCAATCCCAATCCCAATCCCAATCCCAATCCCAATCCCAATCCCCAATCCCAATCCCCCTCCCCAATCCCCCTCCTCACTAAATATTCCCATGCCCGCCTTGATGGGTTGGTGTGAATGCTGATTGGGCTCTGCACCCCACAAGCACAAACCACGGCCCCCCAGTGGACACGCCGGAATAGTACGTGATCCGTTGAATGTCGACCGTCGAGCCATGCGTAATCCAGTGGTTCAGAGCGCCATGCAACGTTTCCTGTGGTCATCTGGATTGCGCGGCGATGACTGCTTCCTTTGCCTAAAGTTAATCTGCATCTGACATGTCTTGAACTCTATCTACCGCGATTGATTGCCGTCTGGGCAGTCAGCAGCACATATTGCACATTTCACTTTGCGCCCTGTCTTTCGCATCCGTCTCCACAAGTCAAAATAGCCGCCAGGATGATGGGTATTGTAGATAGTTTGTATCCGTCACAGACCCTGGAGAGGCCAGCTATCTAGTTGGAAGGAGGCCCTGTGATGGTACAATTCGCTGCCCTACGAAATTACAAAATAGAAAATCCGCCCCCGATGTGATCCTGCCTCCTGCCCGCGCATGCCGTACTTAACATACACTCGTCGTTCGTCGCAGAAAATATCGTCTCCGGTGCATGCTCAACGCCTTGCCCTAACTTGAATGCACCAGAACATCTCATAAAAGCACACCACCGGCTAGATCGACGGCAGAGTCCGAAGGGCCATTGCGAAAGAAGAGCGAGCAAAGGGGATCAAAGCGAGGTCGCTGACTGGTTGGAATAGTAGACGTCGACAGGCCAGTGTCGAGGCTGCTACTCCCCCAGCTATGATAAAACGAGCTTATCTTACGCAACCTCCCAGTCGTCATCCGCAAGGTCGTACTTGGCGACACCTTGCTCGTTGTTGTCCACCCAGGTGAGCTCCACAGTTCGCTGCTTTGGGAGCTTGGTCTCTGGCACATTTGGGGCAGGGGTTGGTGCCTCGACAGGCTTAACTGTCTCCACCGCCTTCTTCTTTCCCTTCTTCGGCTTGGTGACAGTGTTCCATGCAGAATCCTCTTCGATAAGCCTCAGCTGCTCTTCTTCGGATGGTAAGGTCGCATAATCGTCGCTTCCCTTTGCCTTTGGCTTTGTAGCAGCTGGCTTGGTTGCCGGCTCGTATGTGTCGAGTAGCTCCACCTGTCCATTGGCAGGCTTGGTCTCAGCAACGGCCTGGTCTGCCTTCCAGATTGAGGCGGCTGCAGCCGAGTTTGTGTATAGGCTCCCATCCTTGGCAGCCCGGCCTTCAGCTTCGCGGGCTGTACGGCGCTGGGACTCCAGGAGCACCTTGCGGTCTGTCTCTGATGCCGCCAGAGCCAGCTTCTCAGCTTCTCTCTTCTTGCGGTTCTGACGTTGCTTCTTTGTTTCGACTGGTTCGGGTGCCTTTGCTGCCTTCTTGTCCTTCTTTGGTTGAGGGTTGACTGGAGAGGTGATGCGAAGGACGGATGGGCCCTGGGAGGCGGGCTCCAGCATGTCACCAACGCCACCCAGGTTGTTTGAGGATCTTGCGTTCAAAGCTGGCGACAAGTCATCATCAGCGTCAGCACCTGCATTGGATGAGGTGGCGGAAGCTGTGTTATCATCAAAGCTGTTGGATGCCGCAGCCTGTGCCCGAGATTGCTTGACAGACTTTTGACGTGCCCCTGCTTGTGGTTTCGACCCGATGACAGTGCCTGCTTTGGCATTGCTGAGCTGGCGGGCAAACTCTCGATTGTCGATCTCGTCATCATCGTCATCGTTTGAGGTTGTGGAGGGTTGAGGAGTGATATTCTGCACAGCAGGTTTGGCGTCGATCCTGACTGCCTTCCGTGCCGTTTTGGTTGTGCTCTTCTCTGATGCTTGATCGCCACTGCTCTGAGCCCCCTCGCTTCGTTGTTTCTTAGTCTTGTCATCCTTCCGTGCTTCTGTTTGCTTGGTCGCTGGTTTCGTTGGTGCAGCTTTTGTTTGCTTGACGGCTGGCTTCCGATTCTGCAGGTACCAGTATCCAGCACCAACGACGGCGATGCCCGCCCATCCCCCATAGAACGATAGGCTCGACGACATTGCTTGCAGGAACGGTGGAATAACAAGACAGTAAAGATTGCCCTGATAGGCTTCTGTTGATGGGTTTGGAAAATCGATAGCTAAACAGCAATTGGATGTAGTAAAAGTAGTTTTTTCGAGCTGGAAGGCGTGTGATGAGCGTTGTGATTCTCGTTGCGTGTCCCCTTTGGAAATGAACTAATGGATCGGCACTAATCTGCGACGGCGATTCTGCCGAGGGCGGTGTGGACGTGACCTGATACGGTCTCGCCGAATTGGGAAGCTCATTCGTCGTATTACCGTCATATCAAAGTGCCCTATCAACAATCCTTTCACTAATATCAATAATGCTCGTCTCCGCAAGTTAATAGTTAATCCGTTAATCCCATGCTATCCTACTATACGGGATATGGTACGTGCATAAATCTTGCCTTACTTACTCCATACTCTAGTAGTAAGTAAGTGGCTCTTGGTAGGTGGGGGGGTAAACTGGGGAATGATTGTCACGAGTTTGATAGACCGTCGCTTTACCCCTCCATAACACAGTAAGCAACTTTGCGACTCTGTATCTTTGGACATCTATATACTGAAGGAAGCTGCTACTATTACAGAATACCGTGCCGCTATTCATTACTTTACTTTACTTGTATAAAACACTAGAGAATCCAAGTGACAACCGGCACTTTCACGAACATGGCGCCCCAGCAACGCATCATTATTGACACTGACCCAGGTAGGCTGGACGCCATGGTATGCAGGATCCCTTTCTAACTGTGCCGAAGGGGTCGACGATGTTCTTGCCTTGCTCTTGGCGCTGTCAGCTACCCCAGAGGAGTTTGAGGTTCTTCTCATCTCGGTAACCTATGGAAATGTCGAGCTCGATAGGTATGGCGATACACCCCCCAGTTAAGAAACCGCGTTGACAGGCAACAGCTGCCTCAAGAATGTGGTGGCATTGTTCCACGTCCTCGAGAAAGAAAAGGAATGGAGGAAGAGCAAGGGCCTTCCCCAAGGCTTCACCACAGCGGAGACATTCAAGCCCATCGTCGCAGTTGGTACAAGCCACCCGCTGGCGGAGGAGATTTTGATGGCAGACTTCTTTCGTATGTGCACCTGAAACATTGTGCCTTTGCCCGACAGTTGACAAGCAATCCAGACGGTAGAGACGGATTGGGAGGCGTTCATTCTAGCGTGGGTGTCCATTGAACAAAGTCGAGGCTGCCCGTACTGACATTCCCAGCATCCTCACCTGTCGCCATCCGATGCGTGGAAGTCGCTCTTCACAGCAGCCCCGCCAGGGTCGACCGACTCCGAAGTCGAGAAAGCAAACGAACTTGGAACCCCATCGACGACGTTTACCGCCTCAAAAGCTCCAGCATACCAGGAGATTCTACGACTACTCCGTGAAAACGAACCCGATACAATAACAATTATTGCCGTTGGGCCCTTGACCAACCTGGCGATTGCTGCTGCCGAGGACCCAGAGACGTTCCTCCGAGTCAAAGAGGTGGTGGTGATGGGTGGCACGATTAACTACCCAGGAAACATTACCCCCTTGTCAGAGTTCAACACCTACGCAGACGCCTCAGCCACCGCTCGCGTCTTCGCCCTGACCTCGCCCTCTCCTTCATCGACCATGCCTCCTGCCCTGCCAGAGGCCAAAACAGCTCTCGCCCCTTACCCAAAGAATCTGTCCAAGCAACTAAAGCTCTCCCTCTTCCCCCTCGACATCACCGAGCGCCATCTCCTCCCGAAATCCCTCTTCGACGCCAAGGTCGAGCCGCTCGTTGCTGCTGGAAGCCCCCTGGCAGAATGGGTCACGGTGTTCATGAACACGACCTACAAGAAGATCAACTCCCTAACCCAGGGCTTCGCTGACCCCGGCCTCTCCCTGCACGACCCCCTAACCGTGTGGTACATGCTCACCCAATCCAACCCGGCGTGGAAGGCCGCCCCTGGCGCACCTGAGGACATCAGAGTCGAGACTGCGGGACAGTGGACGAGGGGCATGCATATCGTCGACCGCCGCAACAGAAGGAAGCTGGGTGGGCCAAAGCCGGACGACGCCAGCGCGCAGGCGCAGGTGGACCCCTCTATGCAGGGGGATGATGGGGAGGGCAACCTGGTGAACGATGAATATGGATGGTTAAATGTGTGGAAGGGAAACCGCATCAATAGGATTGCAGAGTCACCGGGAGATCTTGAATTTGCCCCATACCTGCTAAACCGTATATTTGGTTAGGAGATATCCGAGAGTATAAATCTAGATCACATATTCAGTATTTAGAATGCCAGATTTTCAAACTTGTAACCGTTTGTAGTCTAATTGAATCACCCCATTTCTTTTATTTCAAAGTGTAGACATTATCCTCGACAAGGGCGTCCGCAGCCGCATTTATATCAGATCCATTCATATCCTCATAACGCCGTAATATGCATCAGACTTTTGTCTGTCCTGTTTCCCATCTGTCTTCCGTCGCAAATAGCCTCCCCCTGAGCAGCCTTTTGTCTTGACTTCGCACTCATCATCCACCACCTCCTGTCCGCGTTCCCGTCCCATCTCACGCTGAGTGCTTGACACCCCCAATCACAGCCCCCCGCACCTCATTCCAGTTTATGCTCTCATCCAGCTCCTCATCCACCAGCCCAACCACCGTCACATTATCCCCCCTCACAATATACAATCCGTGCTGCACCTCGCTCGACGGCTCCTCGTCGTCATGAGGGCGAATAATCCGCTCAGTCGTCTGTCCCAGGACCTTCTCCACGTTAGCCGCAATCCTCTCCAAGCTCTTCTCACTCTTCCCAATCCAGCCCCAGCTCAAGGCGTCACCAGGATCCAGAACAGAACAAACATACCAAATTCGTCATCTGATCACACGACAACAACATCCCAACTAACGTCCTCGAATCACACGTCAAAACCACCACCTTCTCTGCCATCTGTCAGAACCTGCAGTCGTAGCGCACTCACCGTGGTGGCCGCCACTGGATCATTGGAGGGGTTGTTCCAGCGCGGGGCAGGGGGTGGAGGGGCTCACTATTGATATAACCCTCAAGAGACATGGTAAGCGCCAGCCGGCTCGAGGCGCGGCGAGATGGCTGCGCGTGCTACTTCTTGCTCTGCTGCGGGACTTCTGAGCGTGTTGCGACGGGGAGGAGCTGTCGTTATCGTCGGCGGCGGAGGGCGTGTGCAATGCGAGGGAGCTGGTGCGCTGTTGCGACTCTGGACATGTGCGTTCATTGGTGGGTCCGTGCGCTGGATTTTTTCGGGAAGGGGGATCGTTATCTGGGTAGACGCGGCGTTCGGGGAAGCCAACTTTCTTGATGTTGCAACATTGTTTGTGAGGCGCTAAGATGATTATCTCAGGGCCTACGGTCTCGAGAGCGCTTTGTAAGCGGCCGAGGCCGCTGCATTTGCGGCAGGTGCTTGGGGGGTTTGTGGCGAACCTGAAGTCGGCGACGAGGCCATACGCTGGTACTGCTGTAGCCTCGTCCCTCCGTAGGAGTCACCGTGATGTCGCGGCATCTTCTACTTCGACGCACCTCGGATTATACACAAGACTGACACCAGGGAAGCCTGGGTTACAATCCCGATGGCAGGAACGCGCCTACGCGACCGCGGGACCGAAGATAATCACGAAATTCGAGGAGTTGCCACGGACATACACGGATCTGGACGGACTGGCATACTATGCGCGTCCGCTCGCGAAGAAAGAGGTCGCTGCACTATTTGGACGGGAAGTCGACCCGGTTATCGCGGACAAGGTGCTTAGAGTTCTACAGGGCCGACGTGTGGCGGGGACGCTCGCGGACCCGTCGCTGCCGCGCCCGCACCCGCAGATGGATAAGGTGATGAAGGTCACGGCGCTGAAGTGGCTGAGGAGGAATATTGTTGTTAATGAGCGGCAGAGCGCGGGGAGGAGGGCGGAGACTGAATTGGCTGCTATGGGGGAGGATGTGTCTGCACCGGGAGAGGGCGGCAAGGGATACAACCCACAGAGCAAGAATACCCCGACCAACAAGAGCGTGCTCGACGCCGTGCGAGAGGCTAAGAAGAAGGAATGGGAAGAGAAGATCGCGAAGAGGGATGCACTGCGGGCGAAGCAGATGGCAGAGATGGGCGAGAAGTCGGGGGGACTGGTGACACACGACGACCGCGGGGTTGAGCTCAGGCGGCCGGGAGAGAACGAGTTACTCAAACACTACACCGCGCTCGCTTCCAAGGTCGTCCCGGATGCACCGCCGGACTACACGACGTTCCAGCGCTTGTGGCCGTCTGCGCTCGTCACCCTGGCTGTTATCGCTGGGTGCGTCGTCTACTCTGGCTCGTACGTGCCCCCGGCGGCAGCAGATAGGATGTTCAAGGATGTACCCCCCTCCGTCGTGACTATTGGGTCGATTATAGCTTTCAACGCCTTCATACTCCTCGCGTGGCATCACCCACCGGCATGGCGGGTGCTGAATAAGTACTTCCTCTCTGTCCCGGGGTACCCGCGGGCGCTGGCGGTGCTGGGCAACGCATTCAGCCACCAGAGCTTCAAACATCTAGCCATTAACATGATGATGATTTTCGTCATGGGCACGCAGCTGCACGACATGATCGGACGCGGCAACTTCCTCGCTCTGTACTTCGGGTCGGCGGTGACCGGCTCCTTTGCCTCGCTGGTATTCCACGTCATGACGAAGCGCTTCCACGTCTCCAGTCTGGGCGCTAGTGGCGCGCTGAACGGAGTCGTCGCCGCGACGCTGTACCTGAATTGGGGGAATTCGATGAGGCTCTTTGGAATCTTGCCGCCGGAGCCGTATTCAGGGCCCACGGGTGCATGGTGGCTCGCGGCTTGGATCGCGTATGAGGTGTGGTCGTTGAAGCGGAATAAGTTCCAACCGAGTCAGTATGATCATCTGGCGCATTTGGGAGGGGCGTTTGGGGGGTTGGCGGCGGTGGAGGCTATTAAGTTGAGGGTGAGGTATAGAGAGGTTCAGAGGAGGCGGTTGGTAGGGAGCACGAGGGGAGGTCCGGCGAAGGGATGGTAGTCTATGTCTCTATATAGTAGTGATGGGTATGATCGTGTAAGATATTAGTGTACATAGTATGGCATAAACAGAAGTGTCATCAACTCACCTCCTCCCCTTCTCCATCCCTCATAAACAAACTCACTCGCCTCCTCTTCAAAAAGGAGCAATAATCACAAGGAAGTGCTGCTGACAAAGGTACTATTTTTAGTTATGCAGGACCAGCTGAATACCCCCCTGTCCACAGCAACGTCGTCATCACCAAGAACCCAATTCTACCAGGGGGAAGCAACCAGCCACAACCAGCCAATATCTCTAAAATGCCCATTAAGCTGCGCGGTGCTGCATCTTTTCTCCTCTTTTAACCCTTACTTTAAAGGGCAATTAAGTCGCATTATATCCCCATCGCAACTGCCTTCTCTATACTTTTACTTTTTTCGCGGTCGCTCCTTCTCAAAAGTGTTTATTTAGCACTGACAAGCGCGGTTGCTGGGTCACATTGGTGTCAGTCACCCTCGACCCTTCCCTTTGCGACGTAAACAAACCGGCGGAGCAAGCAAGCTGACCACAACTCCAGCCTCGTTGTCCTGTGCCAACACTCTGACTCGTCCGCATCAGCACGTACCAAGAGAGCTGATTGAGCTTGGCGGACATCTATTTCTGTTATAATAATTCGACTCCGCAAGTTCTCGTAACCAACGTTCCGGAGGAACAGTTCTCGCAACCATGAGCCACCCACTCAAAGCCAATCAAGATGACGGCAAAGACAACAATCGGGGTGCATCTTCCAGCAGATGGCGCCATCAAGAATCTTCCAGGTATGCCCGACATGCCGCCGGCATGGTTGGCAACCCGCCGAACAGCGAGATCCGCCCCGCTAACGAGCACACCGGCACGAGCGACCTCGCGAACTTCCTGAACACCACACGCATGGAGGGCACAGGCCAACCTCTCGCTGAGGCGAGTGGTCAAGCGCCGCCGCCGGTGGGGGGTAGGCCGTACCGGCCCATCGCGGCCGACAGGCAGTTTGACGGTGCGAACGAGCCCGTGGCTACGGCCAATGCACCATCGCCTGTTGGACTTGGTGGTGCCGCCCAGTCCACTACCGGACAAGCCCAGGTGTATGCGGAATTTGTTGACGGGAAGGAGGTTCGCTGCGGACCTCTGTTGAACTATAGACGCATGGAGGGTAACATATGGTATGGAAGTGTCCTCATAGTTGTTCAGGGAGGCATTACCGAGCCAGCGCACGAGGCATGGATTCCCGAGCTTCTGCTCAAGAAGCTCGCGCCGAGAAGACGACCAGAAGAATTGGTGGGACCGGTAGGCCACATCTATGCATCGGCACATGGCCCGGTCACAGAATACGACACTGCCGTTGATGCCAGCATCAATGGAGAGCTGCTCTACTCCGATCTGCGTAACAGATTCTGGAGATTCAACCTTGCTCTCGAAATGGAGGAGCTCGAGGCAGAGTGGGCCTACCAGATTCCATTGCTGCGATTCCCGAGCGATGGAAAGACTGATCACCAGAGCTTTTGGGTGCCCTCGATCAATGAGTCCATGCGCATCATGTTCCATTCCTGCAATGGTTTCTCGGTTGGGACGGATGAGGCTGCTTGGAGTGGCCCGGCGTTATGGAACGATGTGCAGAGAGTACATGGCCAAACGCCTTTCCATGTCATGTGAGTAGCATACTTCCTATCGCGAGACCCGAATCTAACTTCTCAGGATCGGTGGAGGTGATCAGATTTACAACGACGGCATCAGAATCCACGGGCCATTGCGAGAGTGGACTTCCATTTCGAACCCGAGAAAGAGGAGAGACTATCCTTTCCCAGAAACTCTACGCAAGGCGTGTGACGACTTCTATGCCGACAACTATATTAGATGGTACTCAACAGAACCATTCGCAGGTTCCAATGGCCAGATTCCCCAACTCAACCTTTGGGACGATCATGATGTAAATATTGACCTCCAAAAGCCCAAACCCATAACTAACAGATACAGATTATCGATGGCTTTGGCAGTTATGTCAGCGATTTCATGCGGTGCGACGTCTTCCGAGGAATCGGTGGTACTGCTTACAAGTACTACCTACTGTTCCAGCACCACCTTCCCCCCCCCGTCTCAACATATACGACCGATGCGCCTCAAACTATGAATAACGACGGTACTGGAGTTGGTGTTGATCCAGTTCAGATGAGAGACACCTTCGTGAAGCAGAATGAGCCGCAGGATCCCAGCTACGTCATTGGGCGCCAGGCTGGGCCATATGTCGCCGAGCACTCGAGAAACATCATTAGTAGACTTGGAGCAAGAATCGCCTTCTTTGGATTGGATGCTAGAACTGAACGTACTAGACATCAAGTCAACTATCCAGAAACTTACCAGTTGATTTTTGATAGAATCTCGAGCGAACTCGCAGCAGCAGCAGCTTCTGAGAAGCCCATTAAGCACTTGGTTGTTCTTCTGGGAATCCCCATTGCATATCCTGTAAGTGTCTCAAGGCGGATGTATTCTTCAGAAACTAATACGTGATTAGCGCCTAACATGGGTGGAGAACGTCCTCTCAAGCCCTCTCATGGCTCCCATCAAATTCCTTAACAAGCGTTTCGGCATAGGTGGAGGCTTCATCAACAAGTTTGATGGCTCTGTCGATCTTGTTGATGACTTGGACGATCATTACACAGCACGCACTCACAAGGCTGAGCGCCTCCAACTGGTCAAGATGTTGCAAGACATCTCTGCCACTTACGGTGTTCGTGTAACGATTCTCTCCGGCGATGTGCATCTTGCCGCCGTTGGCCGCTTCTATGCAAACCCCAAATTGGGCATACCTGTCGAAGAAGACCCACGCTACATGGCAAACATTGTGTCTTCTGCCATTGTCAACAAGCCGCCACCAGCTGCTATCGCCAATCTGTTGTCGCATCAAAATAAAATCCACCATCTCGACAGTGAGACGGATGAGACTCTATTGAGCATATTTGATCGCGAGCCAGGACAAGGGCAAAAGAAGTCCGCATCGAACAAGGTCACGATGCCCAGCAGAAACTGGACCATGATCACCGAGTGCTCAGCCACCACCGCTCGCGTCAACACTGTCCGCAACAGGACAGAGTCTACCCCTCTCCCTATCCCCCAGATGGACGGTTCTGTTGACGATGGGCTACTCGCACCAACTTCGAACACCATTGCCACGGGCGGCGCAGACCAGAGACCGCAAAGTGCTGCACCAGGTGGGGGATCTGCAGTCGGTACTACTAGCTCAGGCAAGGTGGACAAGAAGGCAGGGATGTCTCCCCTTGGCCAAGGAGAGGTCGAGGCTGGAACCACAAACCGCGCTTCGGATCCCCTGGTTCACGGTTATTCTGGCGACGGAGCCCTCGACGTGGCCATCCGTGTCGAGAAGGACCAGCATGATCCGTCCGGCCAGACGCAGTCGTACGGCATGTACATCCCAACCCTGACCACGGGCAACGCGATCCCAACCATCCCCGTGCTTCGCGACTGGGCGACGGCCTTTGGTGGTGGACGCCGCGCGAGAAATAGCCAGGGGAGCCGCTGGGGAAGCGTTGGTAGCAGGGCTGGGAGCAACGCCGGTAGCAGACCTGCCACTGCCACTTAATGAGGATTGAGAGTTGAGAGTTGAAGAGCTTTAGAGCTTTAGAGCTTTAGAGTGGAGGTATCCGGTATATTTATATTCTTGATGGGGAGAGGGAGAGGGCTCCGAGTGTGCGTGCTTTTTGCTTGCTTTTCTTTTTTACTATACCTAGGGAGACGGTTATGCACGGGATGGTGCAGGAATGAATGCGCTGGGTAATGCGGTGGAAATGGCAAGAGTGCAGAGGGTGTATTGTAGGTAGTACAGTATTACGTATAATCATGATGGTTCTTTACTTTTGAAAATGCTGCGTGCTGTGAAATAAAATTGGAATTGTTGACGATTTATCAGTACAAAACCCCCCCTTACCAACCTCGAACTCCAAAATAGACACCCTAAAACCCCCATTCCACCATACCAATACATAGAACGCCACAACTCCTCGCCCGCCGGTGGCGACATCATCTATTCCTTTCTCAGCTTCGCCAGCGCCGCCGCAACGCCCCCACTCAGCTCATCCTCTTTCCTCTTCTGTTCCTCCTCAATCTTACGGCGTTTCTGCCGTCCCTCCTCTCCAATTTCCGCCGCAATCAGCGCCTCCTCACCCCCTGAATCTGAGTCAAGCTCTAGAAGCTGAAAAGGCTTCTTCGGCTGTGATTGTGGCTCCCTTTCCTTGCCCTTGATCTGTGCCGTTTCCGATTCTCGCGACATCCCCGGCGATTTGGGCCTCGTATACTTGTCCATATCCCTCAGCGGCACCGCCTCAACCGTCTCAACCGCCTCAACCCTCCTCTCACCCCCCCCCGCTCTTCCCCCTCACCCAACCCCCTCTTCCCCGCCTTCGCCACCCGAAACGGCTCCCTCACCACCTCCGTCCACCTACTCACCTTCTTCTCCCCCCACCCACTCAACACCGCCACCTCCTCCGGCCTCGCATTCACCGCCGCCCTCACGCTCCCAAACGCCCCCACAATCCCCACCGCATCCGTCCGATTCACCCCCCTCGGCACCGTCACAAACTCCACAAACTGCTCCGCGTACCCCTTCGCCTGCACCCCCATTATCCCCGCCGCAGACGCGTGCTCGAACCCCTTGTAGAGCTCTAGATATCGCGCCCCCTCCGCGGCGCTCCAGCAGAGAATGATGGTTACGTTGTTGACTAACCCCGTTTTGCTGAGCTCCTTGACGGACTCCTCGTGGTTCGGGATATCGACCAGCGTCAACAGCACGCGGAGCGCGTATTTCCCCCCCAGCCCGCGGATGCGGTTATACACGTACTCCGGGTGCAGACGATGGTACTTCAGACTCAGAAACAGCGCGCATGTCGTAGCCCCCAACACATAGTCCGCAGGCGTGTCGCGCCATTCCCACGGCTGCGCGCGCAGGTACGCGAGCATGGGATTTCCCTTCTGCCGGTGCGAAACGTAGATTGCGGAGCCGCTAGAGCGCAAGGGCAGGGCTTGGGGGGTTGGTTGCACGATCTTGGTGCTGGAGGGGGTGGTGGTCGCGGGGTCGAGGCGATGGGGGGTGGGTTGGGTTATGCGTGTGGTGGGGGGAGGGTTGTCGGAGGCGGCGAGGGCGGCGAGGAAGTCGGGGTCGGCCCCGAATTGGTCGTCGTCGTCGGCCATAGTAGTGGCTGTCTCTGTTGTCGGGGAGGTGGAGGTGGAGGTGGAAGGTTGGAGGATGTGACGCAAGGCTGAAAAGATGGTCGTAGCCTTATGATGGGTGCTAGTTCGAACTGGCACCCGTCATAAGGCTACGACATGGTTGGCGCTTGCTTCTTCTTAATAGCTTGGGAATGGGAGCCACCAAGTGGGCCGGCCCCAACCTGTAGCCACCCCATCAACGCGCTCGCGAGGCCTCAGAAGGCTCGTTCAGGCCGAGTTTTGGAGATATAGTATAGGGTAACGACGAGCTTCCGTGTAAATTAACGTCTTATATAGTAATACACGTCTGCTACGTCTACGTCGGCAACTTTTTTTACGATAAAATGGGGTCGCCGTAGGCGAGGGAAAATTTGAGTTTTGGAGAAATCACTTCCGCATTGCGCATCGTATTTTTCTCACCTGCGACTTCGGCAAACTAGTGAAAAATCACCTGCGCATGCGCAGGTGATTCCTCGTTTCCAACGAGAATTTTGATATATAGCCTATATAAACATCATTTTTCGGAAGTAAATTGCTCTATATAGCCTATAGTCTACTATATACTAGAAGGTATGCCACCACTGTACACTTCTATTATTGTTTTCTTGCCATAAACGAGCAATATCAATGTCCTTCTTCATAAGTACTGCTCTTTTCCCTCATGCCCCACAATGCATTAAGTAGCTATAAAGTCAACCTCTTGCTTTGCTAAGTCTGCATCTGCTTTATCAGCTGCTATACGCTCCCCCCGGAGAGTACTATATAGCCTCGTTATAGACGAGAATTCGCCATACTTCTTCCAAAATACCTCGCAGTCCCTCTGGCAGGCAACAAATGAGTAATAAACAAACTAAAATAGTCGTTAGTATCGAGGTAATAAGGTGTATTATCGTAGCTTACCCTCCATTGACACCAGTTATTCTTAATTACCTTCCAGTAAGTTGGAAGGCTGTCTTTATATAGTATCTTCCAATACTTAAGTGGTATACTTTGGTCGTTAATAACGAGGGTTTTTCCCTTGTCCCAGTTGAGGATAAGTTGTGGTAATTCCTTGTATGCCTGATATGTTTTTGATGGTGGGATAGGAATTAAGGAAATAAGAACAAGTTCTCCTTTGTTAAGGAAATCAAGCTGTATATAACCCTCTTTGTCATTGGTAGCGACCCTTTTTGATGAGGTTGGTGGTAAGTAGAGTAGCCAAGGTCGCTGAACTATAGTAGGTGACGACCCTACTCTCTGGTTTTCCTCGTTGTCAACGATCCTTCCGGCTTCTTTGTCTGCGTTATCCCTTTTCCTTTTTGGCTCATTGTAACGCTGACTTCTAAACGATAGAAGACACAGAGGTTTCTTGCGTAAGGTTGACTTGACAGAGGAGGCAGGGGATTAGACACAAAGGCTTTCCAAGTAACACGTTACAGTATTGTAAAGAATACTATATTGAGTTGAGCACGAAGCTCCTATCTAAGGAAATACTATCTACTTATATAGTGGCGTCGTGCCTCATGGGTAATCTGGATAGTTGGCGGATAGCTAGATATTCAGGATAGTTCGTGGATAGCTCAACTATCCAATATCCACTAGTTTCTGCAACTATCCATTAGCCCCATCACATGGCAGCCTACCCCGCTTGCCCCCTGTGACTCACACGTCACGTTACTAGGCCCTGGTCCTGTAACCATGATGTCACGTTACCGTAGCCGTAACACTAGGTCCTCCTCCAAAAGGCCTAGTCCCTTAGGTCTTGCTGATTAAGGAATCGCTTACTTAAGTAGGGTGATGCCCACTTAATTGTCGAGCAGGTTGCGCTGCTTACCATGTCTTCTAGTAGACACATAAAAATCAAAGAACGTCATCTTCTTGCAGACCGTATTGAAAAGAACGGAAACCTAATGTCGCCATGTTCCAGCTGTCTTCACAACAATCGATTCTGTATTGTTGTTGCTGGTAGTCATCGTTGTAGTGAATGTACTCGTCGCAATTCCAAATGCAACGCTTGCGCCCCTTCTCCAACTGATTGGGAGAAGCTTCGAAAAGAAGAAGAGCATCTTGAGGTAGAAGAGGAAGCGGCGGCATCTCAGGAGCGAGAGGCTCACCTCTGCACTCAAGAAGCATATGCCTGTCGCATGCGTCTTCGCAAACAGCAGAAGGTGTTACGATATCAAGTGCGCCTTGCAGCTCGAGTGGGGGTTCAGGGGTGTGGGGAGCTTTCCGGGGTTGGAGCGAAGTTTTCAGTTGTGGAGTGAATTCTCAGAACTGGTCTCACTAAAGAGAATTCACTCCACAACAACATAGCTGTATATAGATCGAGCCACTGCTCGAGTGCTCCTCTTCTCTTTCCTTTCTTCTCTAGATTGAGTTTAATTCATAATACCCAACTGGCGCCCTATGCCTTGGTGAACCGTGACAGAAGGCTCTCAAAACCTGTGGAGTTGAGATGCTGCATCGTGGTCTGAAATCTTTGGACGAATTGGATGAAGCAGAGGAGAAGGAGTGTAGGGAGGCAGAGGTCAAAGGGACTCTCTTGCACAGCCCTTCTACTGCCGTTTCCGAGGGTGCTGCCCCTGACCAGGACCTTTTCGTGGCCCTGTCTCCTGGCTTCTTTGATCGCTTGGGTGTCGACGGCGAAACGCCTCCAGTAGCTCTGGACAGCTAAGGTTTCTGACCGTTTCCCATGAATTGTTCATAAGTTCATAACCCTTCCATGTTATCAAAAACTCTTCTTTGCGTCCTACTAACCTTCTGTCTAGGATCGCTTCGACTTCGTATTCAACAATCTCATTCTCTGGTTGGAGTTCTGTATCGGTCGCAATTGGGGTGCTTCCTCTTGCTGGTTCCAATAGTGAGACATGAAATACCGGGTGTAGTCTAGACTTCTTGGGTAGCTGCAGTCTGTAATTAACTGAGCTGACTTTGTTCAATATTTTGAATGGTCCCAATTTCTTGAAGTCCAACTTTGTACTTGGTCGTTTCATTTTGATATGTTTCCGGAGTAGGTATACTTTATCCCCCTCCTTGAAGGCAGGTTCTATACTGCGCTTCTTGTTTGCATATGCGGCAGATCATTTATTTAAGAATTGGATGTCTGTCATGAGTTGTTCATGGAACTATTTTGTCATACTGACATTCGTTGCACTCAGTTTGCTATCAAACTCAAGAGCAAACTTAGAAATCTCCTCCTCAAACCTACAAGTCACCATACATATCTTGGCTTATCACACCAACAACAGAAGCAATACTACTCAACGATTGCTGCAAACTCTTCTACTACATCTGTTTATGCTACATACATCACGGCATATCATTTGGACACTCATTGAACAAGTTATTAAGAAAATCTCCTCCTTAAGGGGGTGGGTCAATACTACCACATGGCATATCTCTACCAACTAGAGGCCTAGGAACATGAACGATAGCTCTAGAAGCTTCTACAACCCTCTATGATTCATTACACGTCATCGCTCCTTAGTTACCCACAAGATTGGTTAAGTTATGACATAATTTGTCTATAGGTACTCTGACCTTGGACCTCCTTTTCACTTCCTATAGGCTAGGAACCCAAGAGATGGTTCTATGGGATTCTCTTACGTTCACTACATGATTAGCAAGCTAGTTGTGGGTCGCACTTGATTTCTAATACATTTACCAAGCCTGGTTAGTCATGGAAAGTCTTGGAAAATGAGAGAACTACACTCCTTTGGCATAAATAGGATTGCCCTTTCCTTAAGAAAGGGCAAGCAGGCAATACAGTAAATCGACTAGCACATACTTCTACGTCTTTTCCAAGCTTCCAAGCATTGATCTTGTTATTCTCTGTTTTTGAAAGTCAGTGAGGTGCTAACCTCTGACTTACCCCTGAGTTCTCAGACTCAACATTTGTTGCAACTTGTCTAAACCACTTCACCACATCATACACCTGATTGCTGCGTTGTGGAATAGTCTAAGCTACAACCCTTTGGCTCTGTTTCCTAAGACAGTGTGTTGTCTTAGTAAATTCATCCCTTCCTTGGGTGGCTAGATTCTCATATCTGGTGCACCCACCATTACATATTTGAGTTGTTCCACGGCGATCATAGCTTGTTCTGCTCTTGATTCATCCGGTCGTGGTTGTCTATATGCCTCTGGCTGATAGCCGTAATTGGCAAAGAACGGTGAGACTTTTGTTGCTTCGGTCATCGTGCTGTTATATGCAAACTGTGCGATGGGTAATATCTGAACCCAATTGTCTTGTTGGTGGTTGACATAACTCTGTAGGTATTGTTCAAGGGTTTGATTCAGTCTTTCTGTTTGACCATCTGTTTGGGGATGGAAAGCTGTTGATAGCTTATGATTTGTTCCCAAAAGCGCCATTAAAGATTTCCAAAATTTTGAAGTAAAAAGCTTGTCTCTGTCTGAGATGATTTCTTCCGGTAATCCGTGATCGGCTAATATGACTCGAAGGAAGGTGTATGTGAGTGCTTCAGCATCGCTAGCTTCTAAATGTGGCACAAATATTCCATATTTCGTGAGTCTTTCCGTAATAACCAGGATAGCGTCAAATACTACTCCTGTTAACGGGTCCCGAGTGTAAGGATGCCTCCATACCTAGATACTCGAAGAACCTGTCTCAGAACTGTTACGGTCACTACAAGCATGGAATCCGACTCGGTGGGGTTTCGAACCAGTAGAGGAGCATATAGCGAGTTACACTATAGTGGGGGACGGTAAGTGTATAGGGTTCAGGGCCGATGCAGACCTGTTGTGGTGGAAGGTTCAGGGCTAGGGTTGGGATAACCGAGTCAGGCCCGTTTCGGGTACTTAAGGAAACAGACTCAACGTGGTTCCCCCTTCATCTTTTTTGTATCCTTCATAGTAGACCTATAGGATAGCATCCGTTTAGCCTCCGACTCGCACTCTCATATGCTATTACTGTGAGCTGGGTGCCCTGTGTCCTTACAGTCATAGACAAATTATGTCATAGACAAATTATGTCATAGACAAATTATGTCATAGACAAATTATGTCATAGACAAATTATGTCATAGACAAATTATGTCATAACTTAACCAATCTTGTGGGTAACTAAAGAGCGATGACATGTAATGAATCATAGAGGTTCGTAGGAGCTTTTAGAGCTATCGTTCATGCTCCTAGGCCTCTAGTTGGTAGAGATATGTCATGTGGTAGTATGAGTGATGTCATGTAATGAATCATAGAGGGTTGTAGAGATATGCTATGTGGTAATATCGGCCCAGTAACTAAGGAGCGATGACGTGTAATGAATCATAGATGGTTGTAGCTATCGTTGAGTAGTATTGCTCTTGTTGTTGGTGTGATAAGCCAAAATATGTATAGTGACTTGTAGGTTTGAGGAGGAGATTTCCAAGTTTGCTCTTGAGTTTGATAGCAAACTGAGTGCAACGAATGTCAGTATGACATGAAGATATACCACAAGATTGGATTCTCGCAGTAAGTGAGAATGGATGGACGACAAATGAACTTGGATTTCAATGGATCCAACATTTTCATAAGCATACAAAGCATCGTACAGTTGGTGCACATCGCCTGTTAATTCTAGATGGCCATGAGAGTCACTATTCTCTACCGTTTGAGCAATACTGTAAGGAGAATGGTATAATATTGCTTTATATGCCTCCGCACTCATCTCATCTACTTCAACCGCTTGATGTTAGTTGCTTTGGACCACTTAAGAAGGCATATGGACGGCAAGTTGAGAGCTTAATCCGCACTCATATAAACCATGTTACGAAAGTTGAGTTTCTTCCTGCCTTTAAGCAGGCTTTGACGCAATCACAAAGCAGAACATCTGCAGTAGTTTTCGAGCTACAGGGCTAGTTCCATTCTGTCCTGATGTTGTGTTGTCACAGCTTGACATTCAACTATGGCCTTTAACACCACCAACCTTTGAGGATGCTTCATGGGAACCTAAAACACCACACAATCTAATAGAGCTAGCAGTCAAACTACACATCTTAAAGATCGCATTATATGCCATCAAAATAGCTCACCAACTCCTATTAACAATGCGCTAGACCAGTTGTTAAGAGGTGCTCAAACAATGGTGCATTCTGCTGTTCTAATGAAGGCGGAAGTTCAGGCCTTACAACAAGCAAATGAAGTTGCAAGTCAGCGCAAAAAGCGAAAAAAAAGCGTATACAACAAGGAGGGTGCCTTACAATTCAAGAAGGGCAGGATGTACTTGCTCACCTAGCTGTGGGAGAGCAGATATCTCAAGAACTATGACAGGGTGGCGGGGTTGAAAGACAGCAACGACGTTGCAGAATGTGTGGTAAGACTGGGCATAATGCTCGCACATGTCAAAGGGATTACGAAGATACTATAGAATAGGTGTATAATTAATTTAATTGATTTTCTAGTCTATAGTTGTTGTTGTTAGAAAGTTTGTTACGATCTGTCAATTGCGTGCGACACTCACTTGTATGTGACACTCGCTTGTGGAGGACGTTAGTGTAGTGGAGTAATTAGGTTTAAGGTTGCAATGTAGTCTAAAAGTGTTTCATTTGTAGGATGTTCCACTTAGTAGTAAACCACATTATCATAATCATGAATATTCATGATTATGACTAGTCATGCTTATGTAATATTTGACTATTTGAATAAGTTAGTCATGATTATTATGATTATTTGTGCTAACCCTGATGTTTAGCAATACCTAGGTGTTTGTGACGATTCATTGTTAAGTTATTTACAATTATCTAAAGTTAGTAGGGTAAATCTACCACATTACCCAGTCCCCTACATTACACCATCACTTACGTTATTCTTACTATAAATCACTTCTATTACTATAAATCACTTATCACTTTAACTAGTAGTAGAATCACTAGCTTGTGGATTTGTCTACATAGTAACAAAGTTACGTAATTGCTAACTAAACAGGGATGTCCGTCATGTTTTTTGCTTAGTATTCAGATACCGGTGTCTGTAAAACGTGAGAGGTCGTGTAATGGTCATGGTGGCGTAATGGTCATAGTAGCATAATGGTCACCAAAATCTAACTTAACAACTTCAAATTAATTTTGTACTATAATACAACTAAGTGTACCCATTTCCAAGTTAGACAAATCATCTATAAGTAGGTCCTCCTTAATTTAGTCGATAATACTGTCTTGTTTAACCCTTTGCATCTAACCTTTGTCGTTGTTGTTATAGGTCTCATTTTCAATCTGTGAAACTACCAACTGGATTTCTTAAGTACTCATCACAATAACTCCTTATGCACTACTCTTTTACCTTGCTTATTAGCTCTCTATGTAGATAGAACACTTTGCGTATCTTGTAGCTCCTTTAATAAGTCATTAACACGTTGCACTCTTTAGATCCTGATTTCTTCTGCCAATTCCTTGATTAGCTAGTGTCTAATAGGGCGTCCTATGGATGCGACATAACCAACAACTTCTATCTGCAGTTGAAGAGAGTACTTTAGTGAAGTGGATTTATCAATTTTGCCCAATGTTGAGCGGCTGACTTCCAAGTGTTCTGCTACAGCCTTTTAAGGTTGTAAATTGTCGACCGTTGTATGCCTCTATAGCTTCAGCCATACGCGCCTCAGTTTCCTAAACCCGAAAGCTTTTTCGTCTCGCCATTGTTGTTTTTTTACAAGTTTGAAGTTACGAGGTGGGGTTTTGGTGACATTACGCCACCATGACCATTACACTACCTCCAACGTTACTTGTTAGTGGGTTACTACCAAGACCGCAACAATATTATTCCGACTAGTCCCACCCACGCCGACGACGACTGTACTACACCACCACAGCGACGACGAGAACAAAGCAAAGAGATGTTGGATCCATGCTTATAATACTGCCGATTTGCTCTTCCACTGAAATTCTATGAATATATCCTCTCCCTCTCTTTCACCCTCTCGCTAGAACCAACCAAAATCACCCTCCCTGGCACAGGAAACAACGGAACTGTGTTAAAACAAACCACAGCCATGGCAGCAACCGCGGGTTCCCGCTCCCCCTCCCCAACACCGAGCAAACTCCCACCCGTCCCTGTCTCGCCCACGTACTCCTACGCCTCCACCGCGAACCCCATCTCCGCCTACAACCTTCCCGCCCCCCCGCCCCCCCAGCGCCACCACGCAGTCCTCACCAAGAACGACCTCGAGCTCTCCCAGTCGGCCTACTCCGAGCTCCTCACCACCGCCAAACAGTACCGACACGCGCTCGCCGAGCTCTCTAAATGCGCCTCCCAGTTCGGCAGCGCGCTCGAATCCTGCGCGCGCCTGAAGGAGGCCCGGAGTGAGACACTACACATCAACGGTGGTAGTCTGGGCAATAGCATCACGGCGCAGGGGACGTGCACGGCGGATAACTTGATGGCGGCGAGCGGGATCCATCAGCTGGTGGCGAACCACCAGCAGATCCTATCAGAGACGGTATACCGCAGCTTCGAAGTGCCGCTACTGCACGAGCTAGATGGGTGGCGGCGGAGCATGGAGGAGGAGGAGCTGGCGTACCAGCGGGAGGTGAAGGAGCGGAGCCGGGAGATCAGGCGGATGGAGAAGGAGGGGCTGAAGCTGCACAAACAGCGTAAACGCGATGTGGCGCGCTTCCGTGGGCACTTGGTGGATCTGACGACGCGGCTGGATGAGTTGACGGCGGTGCATGCGGGACACTCGAGGGCGCTGTTGAGGGATAGTCAGGAGGCGAGCGTGAAGATTGTGGAGGCGAGTTCGTCACTAGTGAGGGCGGAGGTGGATATCTATGAGTCGCTGGCGCGGAAGGGTTGGTCGGGTGGAGGGCTGGATGAGCTGCTGGATAAGGGGGTTGATCTCTTCGCCAACGATCTCGATGGGAATCACGGTAATGGGACGAAGTTATTCAGTATCCTCCCGCAGAAGAGCATTCTTGCCGAAGCGAACGCTGATCGTCCGCACCATCGTCGTGGCGACAGCATGTTGGTAGAGGGCGAGCAGTATCAGAGTCTTGCGGGGGCGGTGACAGGAGACCGAGACGAGGCGGCGAGTATATTCTCCCAGCGGACGACGACAGAGGGTCATTTTAATAAGTCGAGAGGGGTGCGCCCGTTTTCACCGCCGCCGCCGGTGAGGAGGTTGGGTGCTCAGGAGGAGGGGGCGAGGATGCCGTTGATGGAGGAGGAGGGGGTACCAGAAGGTGGGGAGAATCCGATTGTAGCCGGTGAAGGTGAGGCTGAAGGGGAGGAAGATGTTACGGTGACAATACGAGAGGAGAGGGGAAGGGAGAGGAGCTGGAGCGTTACGGATGATGGAGTGTTGTCTGAATAGTGTACTATTATGCCCTTGTGAGGAATTTACGCGACTAATGTGTTGTACGTTTATACTGAGTTTGTCTGCATCATCGCTGATTTTTTGTGTGTGATTATCTACTCTGATAATACTCAATAAGACTTGTACAGTACAAAACGGTATTCCTGCCCCCTGGTGGATTCCCCACAAGACTCTCATATTACTACATTGAAATGGAACGGAGGCACGGGTAAGAAAAAACCCATGATCACTCTTTTGATTCATCTATACAACTCCATTCCTGCTGTATCCCCCCCCGGCCATCTATTATCCCACGGCGCGGCGACCTCACCCACTCCTCTTCATAGCGCTCGTCAATGCTTTCGTAAAATATCATGCCATAATAAGCCGTCAATGGGATCGCAGTTAGGCCGACGGCAAATCAAATAACAACCCTTATATGCCAGATGCTTTTGTTCATAGTCCCGTCTGATCCACACTCATGGGGCTCCCGTCATTCTTCCTCCTGGCCCCAGCGCCCTTTAACTGGCCGGCCCTTCGCACTTTCTGCGGATTCGCCATCGCGGCATCATCGTCCTCCATATCTTCATCACTGTGGTTCCGCGCCGTATTAAGCACCTGCACGTTGTCTGGCCGACTGCGGAGCCATTGCATCCTGGGCCCACTGCGTGCCCGCTCACTGACCCTGAAGCCATAGATTCGTGGCTCGTACACCTTGCCTTTGCCCAAACCAGGGCCCAGGTTGTGTGCCAGCATACCATTTACCATTGGTTTCTCTTCACCATCCGAAGCCCGAGTTGGCGAGAGGACCTCGGTGGCCTTCTTGGAGAGGTCGTAGTCTGGGAAGGTCATGAGGAAGAGAGAACCGAAAGTCCGGCCAAAGAACGCGCCGTCCACGGTCTGGAACCGCGAGTTCGGTGGAACGTAAACGTCGAGACAGCTTGGGCAAAACAGCTTCACCGTGTCGTCTCCTGGCACATCAGATAGGCCCACTGGTAGAGTCCTGGCATGGTCGCAGTTCGTGCGCGGGCAGTTTCCGAAGTGAGAGAGCTCGTACTTCTCGCTCATCTGTTGGATGCCAGCGCGAGAGCATATATAGCGCTGGTGGATGAGTCCATACAGCAATTCGGCCGAGGATTCGATAACTGAGAGATCCGACGTCATGCGGTTCTGGCGGCGCTCTGAAAGCCGACGTGCTGCGCTTTCAAGGGATTCATCGGGGTCCTCATCATCATCATCATCCTCCTCCTCCTCGGTGTCTTCGGGTTCAACATCTAGAATCATCTTGGAGGGGTCAGCATTGAAATTGGCAATTCAAAAAATCTGGCGAAAGGAAGACGTAATGCGTACCTCTAATGCCTCTTTATACATTGGGACCTGGCCCTGTAGGCCCGTAAGATTGAAGTCATCTTCAATAAAGTCTTCCGAAACTTCGGCGAAGTATTCGTGGCCCAGGAGAGAGCAGAACGAGGTGATCCACGATTCGGGGCTGGCAGACGAGGACGACATCTCAAGCAGGCTACCGAAAGAATGCCTGATGATTTTATGCTCTCGTCCCTAAGCTTCACTGTGCCCTCTCAGCAGCGCGCTTGATTTTGTTATACCCGATATATAAACGTAGAGGCTCAGCAGCTATGGTATGGGAGCCTCAGCTGCAGTAGGAAGAAGGTCGGGGATCAAAAATAGAGAGTCGGTACCCTATGTCGGATATCTGAACAGTATATTGATATACTCTGGGAGATTGAGGTAGTTGTCGCTTATCTGGAAGCAGAGCTGTTTGTGCTAGCGAAGATGCAGATCGCGGATGGCGGGGTCGAACTGCGATAATGCGTTTGCACGCGCTGTAGTCGGAGGGGGGAAAGTGGTCTTGGAGAGTGCAGCTATACTTTAGTTGCCCAATAGTAACAGCAAACTGATATGGAGAAGGTTCAATATAACCCCTGACAGTCGAAACGTTTGGTTTTCGCGCCTGGTGCTCTCTGATATCGCGGCTTCGCAATGAATTCCGAGCGTGGTGCTCTCATCAGCGCGCTAAAGCGTATTTGGGAAATACGTAAACGCCAAGCATAGCACGTGACAGTTTCCTTTTCTGAGAAATCAAAGGGCGTCAACAATGGTTTCTTGTTCTTTTTGGCATGGCTATCTCAAAGTTATTGAATTGCAGGATATAAAACAAAGGACTATTAGCTTGTTTTTAATATGCTACCCGACTGTTACTTTTGACATAAATAAGGGTCTATTTTTAGCTACTAAGCTAGACCTGAGGGGTAAGGAAAGGGACCAAGTCAACCTATTTTCCTCTATCAACACGCCATATGCCGGTATTTGTTCTGCAAGAAATCCCCATAGTGCTCCAGTAACTACAGGTATACTTTTAGATTATTTTATCCATCGCGGTTTCGGGAAAGGGGATATCTGGTGCTTCCTTCTGGTATCCACCAGAGACCGTAATGACGTCTGTCGGCGTCTTTATAACCAATTTGAGAAACAATCCGTGGTTGAATGTGCCGCTTGAACCGGTTGGTTACCTCAAACTTGGCCAATTCTCGAAATAGTGCTCCTGGAGTGAATCCGTACTTACTATCTGTGGAACGATTCACTTAGTGCACGGAATAAGCAGAGAGTAAATAGCGGTCTCTTGAAGCAAATACTATCAGTGAATAAACCCATTGCTTATTATAGGAAGCCAGCGCGCGAACGATAATTGAATCTCCAGACTTCGGTTACTGAGTCTATTGACCACCTTCTACTTTCAACACAACACATGCATTCACATCCCGAGGTTGATATTTGTTGATATCGGCTTCGATTACTGGATTCATCGATCACCCTCTTTCCAGGTTGATATTTATTTATATCGACTTCGGTTACTTTATTGACCACTCTCTTCTTCAAACACTTCACATACAGTTCCAAGCCATGGCTTCGACAGACTCGAAGCGTTCTGAGCAGGTATTGAAATCATCCCATATGTAAACGATATCCAGCTCACAGTTTTCAGGTTTACGGCACCCGAATCTCCAAGGAAAATGGATATGATGCCAACAGTTACACATATTATCCCGTGGCCATTATAGGCGCTGGGGAATCTGGCATTGCTATGGGTACAGTCAGGCATTGGCGAGACCTGGTGGATCAACAGATACCCCGGAGTGGCATGCGATATGTAAGATATTATGTCTTAACTTCTGGGTTATATTCGTTTACATGCTAATATCATACACAGCCAAGCCGCTTTCTATTCATTCTCTTTTGCTCAAAATCACAAGCGGTCTTCGTTTTATCCTCCTGGGCCAGAGATTGTGAAATACCTCCAAGGAGTCTGCGAGAAATATGAAATTGTTGACAAAATTCAGCTTAATAGCAAAGTTACCTCATGCAGTTGGAACGACGCCGAAGGCCTCTGGGAGTTGACAATACATGAACTCGTCAACGGCGTTGGTGATTTAAGCAGCTATGATCGGGTCACTATGTTGAACAATCAAGGGGAAAGTTCAGTATTCGTCCGCTCAGAGAAAACCAGAGCCAAGATATTGATCAGTGCAGTTGGAGGTCTGGTAGAACCAAATTGCATGCCAGAAACTATTCCAGGAGTAGAGGACTTCCAGGGCGCCATCTTTCATTCTGCCAGGTGGAGATATGACGTTGATCTGAAAGATAAGAATATCCTCGTGGTTAGAACAGGCTGTAGTGCAGCTCAATTTGTCCCAGAGCTCACTAAAACATATGGGGCAATGGCAGTCACTCAGCTTATGCGATCGCCTCCCTGGGTGGTTCCAAGGCAAACTCTGCCGTTTGGATTTGGAGAGGAGAATTGGGAGGAATGGAGTCCGTGGTTGAATACGTACATTCCGGGATTTGCCAGACTCCGGAGACTATATATCGCCACACGAGCAGAATATGACTGGAGACTGTTTGGGGACGTAAATACGCTGAAAAGGAGATAGCAAAACTTGAGGTAGCACTGGTTGATCACATGAAGAAAAAGGTCCCAAAGAGGTATCATGAGGTAAGTGTTCCATTTTAATATTCGAATCTCGCAACCGCTGACTTTAAAAGATACTCACCCCGAAATATGGTGTTTGTTTGCAAGCGCCTTGTTATTGATGGGAAATGGTTTAATTCTCTGAATGATAAGAGGATCGTGCTATTTACTCTTCCACTTACCCATGTTCACGAGGATCGAGTAACGCTTGGTCCTATTCGTGAATCGCAGACGGCCCAAGATGCAAAAGTTTCTGCGAACAGCACTGAAGTTGTTCGCGCCGATGTTATCATCCTCGCCAACGGCTTCGATACATTGAACTGGTTCCATCGTCTGGAAGTCATTGGCCGCAATAGTTCAGTCCCTCGAAGAAGTTTTCAATGAGCGCGGCGGGCCTCAGATGTATATGGGCAGCGCCATGGACGGGTTCCCAAAATTCTTCGTTATCTTGGGGCCAAACACAGTGACGGGGCACATTTACACAGAGTGAGCATCCACATTCAGTATTGGTTCAACCAGTTTCATGGCATAGAAGAAAGAAGCTGAGCTGGAATGGACCGGCGACATTCAGAAGTCTCTCAAGAAATGGATTTGGAATATTGGTGGCTGCAGAAACTGGTACAAAGGAGAAGACGGCTGGAATTCGACTGCATACCCGTAAGTCGACGAACCCCCTAGCATTTTTCATACTGACTAGGATCGCAGATACTCTCAAGTGTGGTTATCACTTTTATGCATGTTCCCAAATTATAGGCATTGGAACTACAGATGATGATGATGATGATATTCATTAACGTCCAGCGGGACGCGGGTGTAACCCGCGGCCCTAGGACCTGCCGAAGGGTATTGGGACGTGCTAAGCTATGGGTTTATGTACAGAGTATGACCTTAGAGAGCAGTTCTTGCGTGTTTGCGTGGCTGTAAGGCCCGTTGACTGAGCGCCTTCCCCGCCAGTTGGGATGGTGTCAGGTTTGCTAGTAGAGGGCGGTGTCTCGGAGGTTCTCCCGAAAGGGGGTGTATGCGGGACCGGTTGGTCTGATGTTATGAGCCACTGCGAGTGTGGTGTGTAGTGTGCCCTGCGGCCTTGCTGCGACTGGAAATGTTCCAGGGGCGTGAGAGGGTAGATCTCAAAGAAGCAGTTTGGGACCCTACGAACTTGGACGGCCACGAAGTTACTGTTCGGCCTGGAGATGCCCTTTTCATCCCCAAGGGCTGGTGGCATAGTATCAAAAGCGAGGGTGACGGACTGAACGCATCAGCAAACTGGTGGTTCCGATAACCGAAGGACTATCAACATATTGAACGACTATTTAGCCTAGGTACAACTTGGAGAACAGGCTCATATCCAAGACCGTACTTCCTATGCCTTTGCCCTGGCGACGGCGCCGGCCTTCATACGCTTAAAAATGCTCAAATCGAGCAGCACAGGCTCGCCCATCCACGTCGCCCGCTGCGTATGGTCTCTCTCCTCATCGCTCACATCCTTCCCGTCCACAATCTCTTTGGTGTTCGGATGCACGAGTGTGCTCAGGGGACCGCGGTTGATCACCAGCCAAGGAATGAAGGCCCCGAACTGTGCAGGTGTGAAGAGGTTTACCTCGAACATCGCGATGGGATGGGGCCCGATGGGCTTGTCCCATAATTTGTAGATACGGAGTTCGGGGACTGTTGGGTGTTATTGATATGACCTCTTTCGAAGAGAGGTTTGGGGGGGGGGGTAGAGGAGTGGTAAAGGGTGGCAGAAAAGAACTGAGCAGCATGGCATACATTCGCGACGGATGCGTTCCCACAATTCTCCCGCAAATTTGAGTTGGTAATCATTGCTCTGGAAGTAGTATATATGTACATCACTGTATTATATCAGTTATAATGCCACGCTCATAGGGAAGAACGGCTTATTGTCACGTGGTTATGACTTACAATGCAGCATGCTCTCCATTTTTCAGCGGAGGAGTGAATTTGGTATAGCTGTCACTAAGCTTTCCTGTCGATGGATTCTCAAAGCTCTTTCCGTCCTCAGAAAACTCATTCGGAAGGGGAGGGAGGTCGCGATAACCCTCGAGCGGGGAGGGGTAAGTATATAGAGTGGGGTCTGCCATAATGGAAGCCAACAGGTTCTCGAGTTAAATATACAGAAAATAAGATACAGATAACTTATGCCAAAAGATTGATACGGTAAATATATAGAAACTGAAGCCTTTTTATGGTTCGTCCGCCCAGTTGGGGATTTCAAACGCATCTATAGCACCGCGGGGTATTGCGCAATGGATTCGGCTTAGTGGCGGGGTTCACTGGTCATCATTACTAGAGCAGCATCGGCTTCAGGCGGACTTCTCAGGGTCTAAAACACCTTTAAATTGACGACAGCGTCACGTATCAAGCCATGTTCTGGTTCTGTTCATCTGCCATGTATATATATTTATTTGCCATCAAATATTACGGCTAAAACCCGCGCAGTTTGCCAGATGTTCCCGGTCCAGCCTCAATCCGATGCTCATGCTTGGGCTTTTGGTCAGCCTCTGGCTGCCACCGTCGTCTCTCCTCAATAGCTTCCGAGAAATACATACCGCAAATAGTTTACAATGACAAAATCGCATGCGGGCTTGACTCAAGTCCTTATGGTGAGAATGCCGCTTCCGGCTTTTGAGAAACTCGGTGGATCCTTTCATGGTAGGCTCCTTTCATGGCATGCGGACAATCATCGTAACTCAAGGTCTTTGTCTATCTCGGAAAGACATTATCATGCTCTGAGTCTATTCTTCTCTCTCGAAAGAAAGAAGATTTTGTTGGTTGCGAGCGCATAATTATTTTCAGTCCCAGAGAGTTGTTTGGAGAATCGTCGTGATACGAGAATCAGTACATCTTCTACTCCACAGGTTCAAGTTATCCCCTATTATCCAGGAAGACGATTTACAAGCCATGTCTGGAGACAATTGGCGGACGGATCCTAGCCGCGATGAAACGTCGTCGCGGTTTGTGAAGGGGATTACTTCGACGAATTCGCGCCAATCTTCTCTAACGGGGATGACACCGATGAATTGGCGCCAACCTCCTGCAACGGGGATGACACAAAATCCCAGCAGGATGACACAAATTCCCAGCACATCGAGTGGTCCCAATTATGGCTCCGGTGTCAGCACCATTAAATGTATACATGCATTCTTTCCCCTTACTGGTGAATTTATAACTAAACAACTTACAGTTATGGGATCGAGAACTCGCCATGAGTTTATGCCAGGCAGAATCGCTTGTGTTTGGAGCTTCACTGAGGATCATCTTAATTTGGCACGATCCGACATAGACCGAAAGAAGGAGGATTTACTCACCCCGGATATTCCAGGAATGAAGGCAATGAATGTATTCGTCAAAATCCGCAAGGTTATTGTCATCGCGCGTTTTATCGACCATTGCATAGCATTGTAAGTTGTATACTGTTGACGGGTTGAAAGAGACCATGGAAGCTAAGGGACTGACCAAAACAGGCCAGTTTTTACGCACAAGGGGTTCGGGCTTGCTTCAAAACCAGAGATGAGGGGCGAATATGTGTCTATTCGAAACAAGTTCGATATTAATCCAAACGCCGAAACGGAACATGGATGCATTTACACAACCACAACATCAGCAGAGGCTGGCCGGAAAAGCGTAGCCCCGTGTGCAAATGTTTGGTTTACATATCCCCAAGCGGTGTCTTATAGGAGTAGGGTTGAATTCCTTGGTAACTTGGACCCCGGATCCCTAAGCAAACTCTGCGAACTTTACATGATGGCGACTAAGGGTGCCCTATCAACCACACTCATGGGGCTGGATCCTACGCTGTGGAGCAATGCGCCATACAGTCTTGGGAGTGAGAAGCGGCAACGCCCGGCAGACAAGACGGGCCCCGAAAAGCAGACAGGCCTAGTAAATACGGCCCAGCCCGTGAATCAAACATATTCGACGGCGGGACGGGAGCAGACTTATGCGGGTGCTGTACTCCAGCAAACAGCATCGGGAGCGGCAACGGCGCAAACAACTGGCATCGCTACAGGATTCCAACCTCTGAAGCGGGCCCGGGAACCTGAACCTTCGGATGATATATCCATGAACCCCGTCAAAAGAGTGAAAATGTAGGAGTATACGGACATTGACACTCAGAGAGGGGTGAGATAGGGACGGGCGACGGATAAGTCGGTTTCCAGAAAGAAAACGGACTGTTTTATTTGATTTTTCAGTAACAATGTGAATTGGATTTTTGCACAGAGTAGTTGGTGTCTTTGCTTACTGCTTCGGAAATTGGACTCATTTCCTCCAACCGATTTTGAATATTCTTTTGGGGCTCTACTTGATAGTATATATGAATGTGGAGAATTTTATCTTCTGACCAGTCGACCTATGTTCATGCATGATACAGCTCTTTGAAAATAGGATACCCAAGAATCAAATCAGTGATGACTTGAGATTAAAGGCGAGAAGACCGTAAATAACGAACATATTCAAGATTATCAAACTATACTTCATTCTTGAAGGCCTAGGGGGTAAACAATTTATGATTCAAAACGCGGCGTGCAATCAGAACTAAATAACATACAAATAAAAGTAAAAACTTGAACATTGTACTGAAGTAGAAAAACAGGAACAGCCCATCACCCGGAAATAAATAAATAAGACATAAGTCCCACATTGCGATACTTAACCATTCCGAACAAGGCATACTCTGCCTGGACACTTCTGCTCTAGAGTGTATCATAGTGCGCAGCGGTCCTCTTATCCTATCTTCCTCTTTTTATGTTGCTGTGAAGCTTCAATCTTTTTCTTCAAAGCTTCAGCCCGTGGAAAGGTCCAATTTGGGTCAGTATTCTCTGTAGTATGCCCCAACTGAGTGTGCTGCCCAGCAGTGAGACTCAATTCGCTTCCTGATGCAACAAATCGCGGCTCGCCTAATCCAGGTTGTCTAGAACCAGCTGTATTGTACACATTATTTGCCCACCCGGAAGAGAAGGGAGAGCGTGGAGAGTTTATTCCAATAGAGCGCCCATTTTGTCCTGCTGGTGGTAATGGCATTTCACTGGTGTAATTTTTGTCTTTAACGATTTTAGCTAATAGCTGAAGAAACCCTCTTGTCTCTTGCATAACTCTCATCATATCGACTGCTGTCATGTAAATGGTGCCATATAATGTAGCTTCCGAAACCAGTGTTTCTGCAGTTTCTAATGCGAAAGCCAACTTTTCCAGACTTGTTGCCAAGGGGGCTCTTCGAGCTTCAATCCTAGTATTGCGCACGGCGATTGCAGAGTTCCAAACTTCCGAAGGGTTTGCTTCGTGACTTATATTCAACTCCCGATGCAAATGCCGGGTCAGATCATCTACCGTTTGTCTTGCCTCGTCCATTTTTCTCGCGCGACCAAGGCCGGGAGTCCGGTCCAGCGCAAGTAGATGACCCAGTGTCGACTTCTGCATCTCGGCAGTCCAGGTCTTGAGCAAGTACTCCACAGAGTTGGGCTGCAAGGATCCAATTATATGACACTTTGTTCTGTAGTCGAAAGAAGCCGGTAAGTTAACCAGAGGAGCGCCTCTCCATCGGGCTTCATATCCAGCCAATCGTCTTCCATGTGTCGGTGCCAGCTACCCTCTACAGTCTGTCGACCCTCGGTCGCTGGCTGTCGTCGCTTCTCGAGTTGGTAGAGGTAATCGTATGGGGTCAATCTAAATTTATCAGCACCTTCGACGCTATCGCCTGTATGGAGAATCTGCATAAACTCTACACGCTGCTTTTCATAACAAACCCCTGCTAATTTATTGGCGTAAGAAGTCCATACAGGTCTGGCAAGTTAGCGGCATCACAAATTAAATTGAAGACAACCTACAAAGCTACATAGTGCTCTTGAAACCGTGCCACAACAATAAATTTGCGCCTCTTGGAATAAATAACACCTGATTGTCGGTTTAGAGTGAGAAACGGCTTGTCGCACTCTCTCCACGTCCTGTCGAATGCATAATCTTGATGCCACATCATTGAAATAATTGTGCCTGGTTGATATAACGCATGGTTGGTCCACCCTATATTCGTGCATTAGAAACACCTTGTTTTCCCCTGATGGTTTGTTTGGTTTCTTACTATCTGCACTGCGATATAACCCCGAATGTTCATTCGATTCGTATTTGTCTCCTCTATTGCCAAATGATGGATCCATAGGAAAGCCTCCATGAGTCCAATGCCCTCTCCGAATTGCTGGGTATGTATCAAAAACGGCGTCTGGGTCAGGCGAAAAGACTGACAATGGCCGATCAGGGGGCTGAGGACCGTTAATACCATTGCCATCCCCATCTTGGGTGGCAAGAATTCCGGTTAAGCTAGTTGTTCCAGTTGTAACATTTGAGCCGGTTGTAACATTTGGACCGGTCAAATTCTCGTATCGCGCCGCCTGGTTCGTGTATGCTTTCGTAGCTAACCACTGTTTCTCAACAGCCTCCCACCTCATTTTCGCAGCCAGTGCATGTCTGCCTGCCATTCTTGCTTTATGTCTTGCCTCCTCAGCTTCGTAATTATCCATTCTTTCCCGTTCTGTCAAAGACATTTTGCCTTTGCCAAAGGGGTTGGCCATCGCGCAGACAATCTGTAAGGGAGGCTTGATAAAACGACGCTCGTCTGTCAATTATGAGAAGTTTCGCTGCAGTTGCCCCTGGTACTTGATGCGAATGAAAAGGCAGCAGAAACTAAAAAGTTAAACAAACAGCCGCAAGGGGTGTTCACATCAGATTCGAGATATAGACCCCCGGGGAACACCCGAGGGGTATCATACAAAATCTACAAAGGCGACGGTTGTTATATTGACAAAGCCGACGATCAATAAGGGTTGGCGATATCTGAAAGCAGCAAAAGGTAGCAAGCGAACAAGACCAATGCAGCAGAGCACTTTTTAATAAAGAAACGTCCACACTAAGAAACAGGAATTTACCTCGAAAGGCTACATGTAAAACAATTGCTCTTGTCTGCAGCTGACGTATAATACGCAATCGGCTCATAAATAACTGACCACGAGGCCTCCCTGGGCCCTCAGCGCGGGGTTCTAAAGTTCAGTTGGCGGGCGATGGAATGGCACTGAGTGTGCCACTCATTTGCCATGGCTGCGAGAAGCAAAACGCGCGCTTTGCGGTTGGGATTATGAGCCTGCCCGACCAAGGAAAGTGAATGGAGTTAGCCTTGTGGAAAACCATCTTCCGAGACGGTTGGGTGGACGGCGATTGAAGGGGCGTATGAGGCAAAATTTTGATTATGTGTGTGAGAGCATTTGAGCTAGACGGTAAAACTCCACCTCCACCGCTTATGAGCAATTAAGACACTTCAATAACAGTACCACGAGATTGGAAATAGAATAAAAGCAGATAGGCAATACAATACATTATTATCTCTTAAAAGGGTTGTTTGTTGGTAATTAGGCCTTGAATGTGCTTGGATGCCCGTTCATCTTTCCATACTTCCGCACTTTCCCGTTAATATCTGCAGATATGAAATAAGACACTAAGGCCACGATACAAACAAGTATGTTATCTATGACCCAGTTATTTCTCACCGAGCTGCCCCATGCTGAAGCTCTCATTATGGACCCAAGTAAGTTTGTCGTGATCAGGTACTCGCCGCTCTCCAGCCCTGAAATGGCAGTTGTAGCTACCGCATCCGGAGACTGCAGTGGGTCTGGTTCTTCCAGGATCTTGGTAATTGCCGGTTTCCCAATGTTCTCATGTGCAAAGCCCGGCGTGTCGATCGATCCCGGGAATACGGTGTGAACTTTGACTGAGTCGCTGTAAAGCAGAATCTCCTGGGATAGCGTATCACTTAACGAGCGCATCGCAGCTTTGCATGGAGAATATGCCGAGTATCCCACAATGGGGTAAAACGCGAGAGTCGTGGCCGTAAATATGAAATGTCTTTGTCTCTCACTCCTCGCTTCACCTGGTGCCAACCACTCCTTCAGTATTGCTTGCGCCATTTCTGCACTTGCCCAGTAGTTGATATCCATCTGGTTTCTGAGCACCTTGCTGGGGGCATCTAAGAATAGCTGGGGTTCCGAGCTGCCAGCCATGCACCACACAACGTCGGGCGCGACACCACTGTTCCAAGCCATCACGTCAGTGACGATGCGGGTGGCTTCAGTGGCGTCTGTAAGATCGGCAGATATGTAGTGGAAGGTCTGGGTTGCAGAGGCTGCAGAAGCTTTGATTTCACTCAATGCTGCTTCAAGCTTACCAACGTTGCGGGCGACGATAACCACGTTGGCACCTTTCCCCGAGAGAATTTTCGCGACTGAGAGACCCATTCCTTGTGATGCCCCTGTCAAGAGCACTGTCTACGGATCATCAGCTATGAAGGCCATGGGGGGACTTGGGGGATGAGTATTGTACCTTCCCAGCCACATCGAAGTGGCTCTTGCGGCTGAGCCAACCCATTATGAACGCGCCGAGGCCAATGGCAAATATCAGGGAGGTTAAAGTCTTCCAGGAGATCGCGGAGAGGATATCGAGGCTCATTTGGGATTGTTGTGTGTTATGAGAAGGATGGCGATCAGGAGGGGGTCGTCAGCTCAGTAAATTAATGTCAGCTTGGTCGTTTTGAAATTGGAAACTTTTTTATAGTCTATTTGCTCGAAGCTTGGTCTGCCAACTTCCCAAATATTGTAACTTGGCTTCAAGATACAGTAGTCATACCTTTCCATATATAATGTATACGGCAGTTACTACAGGAATTCGCAAGAAATCCCCTTCAAGTCCAAAATGGAAGTCGCGACTGACCGAGGACCCCCTTGGTGGTACCTGGGTTTACTGGTACGGAATTACCTTTCGCCGCTATCTGGCACTAAGATAGTGGTATCGAAAAAGTTCGAGCGAGATCTCATCCACGGTTGCGCTCACTGAACGCCACATTTTCTAATTCTAACTGGACAGCTCAAATACAAAATGGCAAAGAAAAGAAAGGGTTCAGGCCGAGTCGCTCCAAGCGGCCCGAAAGAATTCGATGGAAAAGATGGGAAACTTCGACCAATTACATCCTATAGGGACGTTGCCGACGAGGAAGATGACTTCCATATTAATAGAGACAAGGTTATGCTTGATGAGGGACCAGAGGCCAAACGGCAACGCAAATGGGCAGAGCAAGGTATGTTTAATGCGATTATCTCCGTCGCGCCTACAACTACTAACAGTAGACAGACGCATTCCTTGAGCCTTCCGACGAGGAAGTTCTTGGATACTCCGATGCTAGTTCCGAAGACGACGAGGCGGCAGGAAGCCGATTGAGCAAAAGCAAGTCGAATCGCAAGGCAACATCGGACTCGGAAGGATCAGAGGCAGAGGAGGAGGATGAAGATGCCGAGGGTTGGGGATCATCGAAAAAAGACTACTACAATGCGGATAATATCGAGACGGAGGTGGATGCTTTAGAAGAAGAGGCTGAAGCGAAGCGATTACAGCAAAAGAAGTTGCAGAGCATGTCCGAGGCAGATTTTGGTTTTGATGAAAATGAGTGGCTGCAGGAAGTAAAGGACGATGATGGAGACGTGGTCACGGAGATCCTAAAGGACGTGGAAATCACGGACGATTTGGGACCAGAGGAACGGCTGAAGCTGCTGCAGACGAGATATCCCGAATTCGAGTTTCTGGCAAATGAGTTTGTGGAATTACATCCGGTCCTGGAGGATCTCAACAACGAAATCAATGCCACAGGGCCCAGGAATACAGTCGCGGTTATGAAGAGCCGTGCCTTGGCTGCTTATCTTGGAGCGCTGACAATGTACTTTGCCGTCCTCACTTCCACAGCAAAGGAAGAGGACGCAAAGGCAGCACTTGACCCTATGGAACTCCAGGACCACGCGGTTATGGATAGCCTGCTACGGTGCCGCGAGATGTGGTCCAAAACAAAGACTCTTCAAGCAGAGGATATGCCCTTTGGAGGCCTTGAAGAAGACGAGATACTATCTGACGAAGCCACACCCGAAACTGACGAGGAAGAGGCCTTTGAACGTATTCCATCAACTAAGAAGTCCAAAAAGGCTGCCAAGCTTGAAGCTGCTGCTGCTGCAACTGCTAAAGCGCGCAAGGCCCGAATCGACGCCAATGAAGCCTCGTTGACCGACCTTTCCTCCCTCATGCCCACCACCAAAACACGCAAATCCTCAAGCTCCAAGGCCAAGCCAGCTGCTGTGCAAGACTCCGACTCCGATTTTGGAGAAGAAGAATCTCTCTCCTCGCGCGCCCTCGCGGAGAAGGCCGCCAAGAAGAAATCTCTCCGCTTCTACACCTCCCAAATCGCACAGAGGTCGAATAAGCGCAACGAGGCTGGCCGTGACGCGGGTGGTGATGCTGATCTACCGTACCGTGAGCGCCTGCGCGACAGGCAGAACAGGCTGAATGCCGAAGCCGAACGCCGTGGCAAGAAATTAGACGAGTATGGCCGAGGCGCCGAGCTTGGTGAAAATAGCGACGAAGAGGATGACGCGGATAGAGCCGCTGGCAAGAAGGTCCAAGACGAAGAAGATGAGTACTACGATCTCGTGGCACAAACATCGAAGGCAAAGAAAGCTATGAAGGAAGATAAGCACGCAGCCCTTGTTGCCGCAGAGGCTGAGAATTCCTTGGCCAGAGTTGAGTGCGAGGATGTTGGTGAGGATGGCAAGCGCGCCATTTCGTACCAGATACAGAAGAACAAAGGTTTACATCAGAAGAGGAAGAAGGAAGTTCGCAACCCCAGAGTTAAGAAGAGGATGAAGTATGAGGAGAAGTTGAAGAAGTTGGGCAGCATGAAGGCCATTTATAAGGGCGGTGAGGAGCGTGGTGGTTACTCGGGTGAGAAGACTGGTATTAAGGCCGGGGTGGTTAAGAGTGTCAAGTTGTAGATATGCAGTATTAAAAATGAAATCAAATTTACTACAGCATATACATTCCATAGACCTCGAATAAGCTACGGCATAGACTATTCTTTAACAAAAGTCACATGGATCCGTTACGTGGTCACGATTTGTAGCTTCATGTTTGTAATGGCATATATTCATAGACCATCGTCCCTTTCCGCATCATGCAGAAGTCTGGTGGCTAGAACTGCTCTGGCTCGAGTAACACAAAAACGCTCGCTAATAGCATAAGCCCCGATGTGCAAATGATACTCATTACAGTTATGTTCCCCGCACCGGGCTAGCTCAATTTCTTGAAGCTCAACTACCCCAGTGGGTGTTTCCTGGTTTCGGTAAAAAAAAACGAAACACTGTTTTCGATCGCTGTCGACGTCGCGCTTCCTTGTTCCGGGATCGACCCAGACGGCCGCTTGTGGCCGGTTTCCAAATTGGAAGGCGTCGCCTAAAGTCCACATGCTGACTGAGGCATGGGCAAATAAATCCCATGGGCCAGTCTTGCTTTCTTTCTCCATTTCATACAACAGCGATGCAACGATCATGCACCAACCATCCCTGGGCCATAGCTGCCATGGCGAGATGGGCCGTACTGTTGTTGGTTAAGCGCAGACTATCACATTGTTAGTTTTGTAGTAGAAATCAAGGTGACTCCCACCACCAACCTTCTTTCTTCTCTTTCCAGGGCCGCCCCGGTCATCACCCTCGCCGGTTGAGTACCCAGCATCAACCATATCGTCATCAACATAGCCTTCCCCGTAGCCCTCAAAGCTCGACTCGTCATAGCCACGCTTCTTCACGGCTCGCTTGGGACGAGCAAGGTCTGCCTTACTACCGCGGGACATTGCTCCGGACTGTTGGCTTGCGCTCTTCTGCATCCCCGCAGACGTAGGCTTTGATGGGACTTGAGCAGCAGGCTTTTTCTCTGGAATATCCAACTCGCCTAGGACAGAACTATCCCACATCTGCTTCGGTATTACACCTTTGGCCATCGTCATTGCTGCAGGCAGAGCCGCAAAGACATTCTGGGGCAACCCCTTCTCAATCTCCTTGCCAAGACGCTGCGTTACCATCCACTCATGTTCTGGTTCTCTCATCATGGACAGAAGGCCGCCTGAAGACTCTTCGTCGTTCACTGTAACGTCAAACTTCCCACTGATCCCCAAGTCCTTGATCTTGCCCTTGTATGTCTTGCGTAGTCCATTCTTCTCGCCACTCGGTAGAACTCGTGCCACTTTCGCCGCAGTTGGGTTGAGTCCGTACAGTTCGAATAGGTCTAATCCTAGATCCGGTTGATTGCAGGGATGAGCTAAATCAAGTCTGTGTTAACCAAATACTAAGGTAGATGATGTGCAGAACTTGAGATTCACGGTGCCCGCACAAGGCGAGCACCAAAACCTTTTTGGAGAGAGGGGAGCCTTACGAGTTCTGCAAAGTTGGTATATCTTGCCAACATCAAGGTGAAGGTCCTCAATACACAGCTTGCGTTCCTCGACATGAACTTTCTTCTGCTCACGACCACCAGTATCCTCCGATTCTCGCTTACGTTTGTTCGAAAGGTCATCAGCCTGGATGCTCGAATCGATCGACATTGGCATCGCGCTATCGTGCACATCTGTTATAGCTGGCCCTTGGACTGTCCTAGAAATGGTTGAACTCATGTTGCCCGATACCCTGGTGTTTGGCACCTTCTCGCTCGAGGCCGTGTTTGGCTGGAGAGGGCTTTGTGGAGTCCGAGGTTGAAATGTCGCGGGCTGTGACCTTTTCACCTCGCTGTTCGGAGTAGGTGAGAGCGGGTACGATCTATTGGTAGCAGAATCTATTGGAGTCGACATCGATAAAGCCTGTGAATGTGACGATGGTTACACGAAACAATGCGAATAACAGAAAAATTGAGCCTGGCTCGCTACGTCACCCAAGACGAGCTGTCGTTTTCAAGGATAGTGCAGTTATAGGGGAAGAAGCCGCCAGAGTGAATATCAAGATCTCGAGGATAAGGTGACCTCAGTGTTCACGGAATCGATGGGTGCGATGGCGGTGAAGATGTCTATCGGCGCGACCGGTCGCAATGAGGCGCTCGACCACCAACGGCGCGTTAAACAACAGAGACTCTATCGCATCAGTGAAGTCGCAATATGTCGATACAGGATGTATGCAAGGCAGTCACAACAGCGTATGGGTGTGACGGGTCGTGGTTGTCGTGGTGGTTGTCGTAGATGTGGTGGTTGACGGTTGAATTGGGGGTCAAGGTGAACTGATCATCCATTTGTTGCTGGCGATTCTGGGCGGCGGTTCCTCACTAACCCCAATACAGGCTAGCGTATTGTCGGAATTATTTGTCTGCGACTTTCAGAATAATTTCTGCAGGGTCGATTATTTACTATCAGCGAGAATTACAATACAAAAAATATCCGCCCCCGCATTCCACATATCATGGGCGAAAGACAAAAGAGGCAGCGCCCTGAAGGGGAGGCTGAAGCTGCTTTTTTGCAATCCGATAATGAAGAAGTTTCTCCCAACAAGAAAGCACGCAAAGAAACGAATGCATCAGCAAGGCGCTCTCTATTCGTCCGATCATTGCCCGCTACCGTTACCAGCGATGCTCTTACGAAACTGTTCTCAGAAAGCTACCCACTAAAGCATGCGACTGTGGTTCTTGACCCGGAGACAAAGCAATCGAAAGGCTATGGCTTTGTTACGTTTGCCGACGCAGAAGACGCGGAACGTGCGAAAGAGGAGTTCCACGGCAAGGCCTTTCAAGGCCGGAAATTGAAGGTTGAGGTGGCAGAGCCTAGACATAGAGATGTGGACTCTGGCAAAGGAGCCGGAGGGAAGCGCACCAGCATTATTTCGACAGAAGCAGCTGCGGCCAAGACTAAGAGATCTGAGAAGATGGTCGAGGATCGCAAGCCTCCAAAGTTGATTATTCGAAATTTGCCTTGGAGCATTAAAGATCCTAAGGATTTAGAACTTCTGTTCCAGAAATTCGGAAAAGTCAAGCATGTCACACTCCCAAAAGTCAAGGATACTCAGGCTGGATTTGGATTTGTGGTGATGAGGGGCCGAAAAAACGCCGAGAAAGCACTCGAGGCCGTGAATGGCAACTTGATTGATGGCAGAATCCTTGCCGTCGATTGGGCTGTCGAGAAGGATGTCTGGGAAAAGGCCAAAACCGACGCTGGAGAAGAGCCAAAGCCCAAGAAGGCAGCTAAGAAGGCGAAGGCAGAGAAGCCGGCAAAGGAGGATGCTATGGATGTTGATAAGAAAGATGAAGATCCCAACGATGTCGACGCTGATGTTGCCAATTTTATGAAAAACTTTGGTGATGAATTAGAGTCTGAGCCCGAGGACAACGAAGACGAGGATGAGAATATGGATGATGCGGAGGACGAAGATGAAGACGAGGATGCCGACAACCTTGGCGCAGAACTGGAAGAGCTGGAAGATGAATCCGAAGATGAGGAGGCTGCAGCGAAGGTGGCCGAAGCGGCTAGAAGGAAGGCCCAGTTCATTACTGATAACTCATCGACACTCTTTGTTCGCAATCTTCCATTCACCGCTCGTGACCCTGAGTTGAAAGAGCATTTCATGCAATTCGGAGCCGTCAGATACGCCAGAGTGGTGATGGATCGGGCAACGGACAGACCCAAGGGCACAGGGTTCGTTTGCTTCTACAATGTTGAGGATGCCGACAACTGCGTCAAGAACGCCCCAAGATACCAACCAACCGGAGCAAATGCCACTAAAAAGACCGATGCCAGCAATGTCAAGCATTCCATTCTCGAGAATGAGAGCGCCGACTCTTCCGGTTCATACACCATCGATGGACGCGTCCTTCAGGTTTCTCACGCTGTCGAGCGAGAGCAAGCGGTGAAGCTGACCGAACAGGGCATCAATAGCCGTGACAACAGGGACAAGGATAAGCGTCATCTTTATCTTCTCTCAGAAGGTACCGTTGCCGCTGGTACTACTCTTTACAATGCACTATCTCCATCCGAAATCACCATGCGTGAGGACAGTGCCAAGCAGCGCAAGAAGCTCATCCAGGGCAACCCCTCGCTCCATCTTTCGTTAACTCGTCTCTCAATCCGCAACTTGCCGCGCTCTATCACATCTAAGGACCTCAAGGCCCTTGCCCGTGAAGGTGTCGTCGGTTTTGCCAAGGACGTCAAATCAGGCCTAAGAGCCCAGCTGTCGAAGGAGGAGGAAGCCCGCGGTGGAGAACCCATGCGCGAGGCTGAGAAGCAGCGAAAGGCGAAAGGAAAGGGAATCGTCAAGCAGTCCAAGATTGTTTTCGAAGGTCGCGAGGGTGCCAAGGTGTCTGAAGAGAGTGGCGCAGGGCGCAGTCGTGGATACGGATTCATTGAGTATGCATCTCATCGCTGGGCTCTGATGGGCCTGCGCTGGCTTAACGGCCACGCTCTCGATGGCAACGGAGGAAAGAAGCAGAGATTGATTGTCGAGTTTGCTATCGAGAATGCTCAAGTTGTGGAGCGCAGAAAGGAGCGCGAGGAGAAGGCGAGAATTAGGAGTAAGGAGGTGCTTGAGGCGAGAGAAAAGGGAGAGCTGGAAGGCAAGAAGCCCGAGAAGAAAGCATTCACCAAAGATCAGCTGATGGCGAAAACACGCAAGGGAATGAAGGGTGATAAGGGCAAGCCAGAGAAGAAGGGGAAGCCCAGGGAACTTGGAAAGGAGTGGAAGCAAAGGCCCGGAGCTTTCAATAAGGGCAAGCCGAGAGAAGAGAGGGGTGGAGGATCAGGCAGAGATGGTCCAAAGCCAACGAACGGGAAGGGGAAGTTTGCAGATAGAGTACCAAGGCAAGGTCCGGTTCCAGCTGGGAAGGACGCATCAAAATTCAAGCCAGGGTTTGCTGAGGGCGAGGAAGGGAGGTTGGCCAGAAGGGCTCAGATTATAGCTAAGAAGCGCTCCATGAGGCGGGCGAGGAAGGCCTAATGCGAGGGGCTTTGAGGGGAATTTTGTATGTAAATAGAAAATAATGGCGCTGGGATATCATCAACAATTGGGATTTGACAGATACAATACAATTATCCGTGCTGCTGAAGTTTGGCTATTTTGCTTTCAACTTGATATTTCTCCAGTGCAGTAGAATCTCCAAGTAGTAATCCTGTATATTAGAGTACCTCCCCAATAAGAAACGATACTGCTCATTCCGTATAATGAACTTAGAAGTGGGTTCCTTGTTGCTTTTATGAAATGGGTATTATACACTGTTTTACCATTTCGCTGCCGATCTCTCAAGTGCAAACATGACAAACAACCCCAAATTTCCTTCTCGCTTAGACCCGCGCTAGCGGCTCCGCGCCAGTATATAACCTCACCTTCGCTCCCGAATTCTCCTCTTTTCTTCTTTATCATCTAGTAGGAGTTATAATTAATACTTATATACTTTTTAACACGGCTCCTCGCTTCGGCGCTTGCTGAGGGTTATTCAGTCCATGAATAGTCTTCCGTTCCCGGGAACCAAAATCAGATTAAGGTACCGTCTTTCCAAAACAGCTGCTCTCGACGCCTTTAGGTGGGGGAGTGACTGTGGGATGGTCTCTACATACCATTTTGAAAAGCATTGTTTTCTTTTGAAGAAGACGAGCTTGTCGGCGAGAAGATTCTTCTGATCGGACCCTTCATGACTGGTCTCAAGGATCATCTTGTATGGAGTGTCTGAATCAGTCTGACGTGACGATTGATAAGTAGAATCATTGTGTAGAGCAGCTCAAATTGTTTGGTGTGAATGTACCATCGCCAAGAGGGGCATCAACCAGACAGGAAAATGCTGGTAGCACCCTAAGGGGTTTGGTGAAGAGCAGGACCTGATGACAAGAGTGCCTTTGACACAGCGAGCAGAGAGTTACTAATTTTCGTCACCTCCCAAGTCGGAATTACTTCCAGTCTAAGGTTATTAAATGAGATGATTAGTCAGCAGAATTCGAAAGCATGAGCAATCATGTCGAGCCTATATCTACAACATTCCCGCGACAACTGAGAGGATCGAACAATTGGTCTACGCATTAACAAGTACCCACCCCATTTCCTTTATGCACAGAAATACAATTATGTCTCGCGTCTAGCTAACTCATCATCTTTGGTAGGGTCTCTGAAAAGCGGACGTTGCGACACCCCATGGCGAAACAAAATCCAACTCGAATGATTCTTCTAGCATAGCAGCAACTTTGTGGCGCAAAAATGAAACTCTCAACAGCCGGCGAGGTATGCTTCTTTCACCATGACAGCTGCTCTTGAGCTCGACAACGGGGAGCACATTACATACGAGTCGGCCCGTAAGAAAGATGCCAACATGATCAATGAGTAACATAACCTTAGAGCAAGGAGACAGCTCTTTCAGAAGCTCCGGGATCAGCGTGCAGCGATCCAGGGCATTGTTAGGCATCACCTGTCAGGGTTCTATTCTAGTTGCTAGGAGAAAGGTCGCTGCGCGGGAAGAATATGTAAAACAGTTACAAGCTCTCTTTGACGAAAAGGCAGGCCTCTCTACAGAGGGAGAGACTCGTAGCTTTACTTCGGTAGAAGCGCCTAGGGTGCGTCTCGACGCAGAGACAGACATTATAGCTTTGGAATAGCATTGTATACACTCCCAGGTCACACATGGTTTGAAAATCTCGTTGTGTATGGCCAGCTTTTTGAATTTATATTACGCTAGAGCTACGAACCATAACTAGTATCTCAGTAAAGAGCGACTAGTATCACATCTAGTAGACGCGCTTTGGTGGGGACATGGAAGCCTTGATTGTCAAGCTTCCAACGTTCTGCCACCCCTTCTTGAGGAGAGAGACGAGGTAGTTGATGGACAACATGATGTTGGAGATCAGCTGGTCCTCAGTCATGCTGACGTTGCCGACAGCGACACCCATGCAGAGAACCTTCTTCAACTGGAACTTGATGGTGGACTTGACATCGGTGATCTTGTCGGAGAGGGACTCGTTGTGGGAGACTGGGGTTGGGAACTTGCCAGCTGCAAAAATTGTCAGAATTGAACGCGCATGCGGTGAGTGGAAAGTGGCTTACCCTTGGAAAGACCGGGACCCAAGAGACGGGGAATCTGCTTGATAAGAGCATCGGAAGCGATGAAGGCATCGTACTTGCGTGCGAGCTTCTTAATCAGCTTCTTGTTCTTATTGAGCTTCTTCAAGTCATCAGCAGACATGGCATCAACACCACCGTGCTTGGCACGATCGATATCGTGCTGGTCACCGAGAATGCTACGATCGTGTCAGCGCAAGTCTTTTCATTCTTGCCTCGCGATATATTTGCGCTCCGGTCGAACGTACCAGATGGCCATGTTTGGGCGGGGAACCTGGGGGAGCTTGATGGTTCCAGAGAAACGCTTATCACGTTGAGGATCGTAGTTCTTGAGGCCAATTTGCAACTCGACGGTCTCGAGGAAGTTGCGCTTCTTGGTCTCCAAGGAGTACTCAAGGAGCTCCTGGACGTGGGTTCGCACTCCGGCTGTGAGGGCAAGCAGTCAGCATCACCATCGCTATTCGCCATCTAGCGCGTTGCGGATTCATTTGGGAACATACCGACTGAGATCTTTGAGGCCATGATCGCAAGTCTTCCAATAGGGTTCTATTGGTGAGGATTTGTGCTGTGGTTAGTTGATCAGTTGAGGGTGATTTTCGAAATTTCAATTGTGGGACAGCCCTCGCTTGAGGGCTTGGCGTTAAAAATTTGGTCACGTGGTGAACTTTTCTAACTGAGTAATCTTACCCCACCATTTGACGCACAGATCCTCGCCGACGTTACCTAACGGTATATGACAGTGTCCATGCCCAGCAATGCCTCTGCGATATGTCAAAAGCGATATCAATATTTATACCAATTGAAGCATAGGTTATTTTTCGGTGTTTTGGTAATTGAAGCGCATATATCAGAGAACACAGCGTAATTCGCTCAAACAGCCCAATAAATATTTAGTAGTTATGATATTCAAATTCAACTATTTAATAATTGTCCATCAATCTCTTTTGCGTCTCATTTCCCTGTTGTTCACGCTGTAGACTGTTAAATCAAGTTACTCTGATCCCTTTACTGTCCTGTTTTCTCACTGTTAGCGGATGGCATGTCCACCAACGTTTACTATGCTATATGGTGTTGGTTCTTGAGTTCACCCCCATCATACCATTTCATATCAATAACCTCATGCCCACACTCAGCCACTGCCTCACACTCACTTCTACATTGGTCATCATCTATATTCACACCTTGTATCTGCTTTTCGTCAACACGTTTGAAGTCCACAATCACAAACCTCGCCGACCATGTCGCGCACGGTGGAAGCCGCAGCTGCACCACCCAAGATCTCCTTCACCAGCTGGATCCTGGGAGGACCCCTCGTCACTGTGCCTACAAGAGAAAGAACCCCAGGCGGCCGATTGCCAAGCGGTGATGCCGACAAAGGCCTCAAACCAAAATACAATTTCATTGACGGCTCCAAACTGAATGAGAAGAGATACTACCAGAACAGGCGGGTGTCAAAGGACAAAGTCACATATACGAAGAAAGATGCCGAGAAGGGGAATAAGGAAAAAGAGCGAGAGGCTGAGACTCCGAAAAAGGCAGTGCCGAAAGATGAAATTGCGAAGAAGGAAGAGGTACCGCAACCCCTGTGTTCCTATCACTAATCATCGCCAAATTCTGACAATCGCGTGTAGCAGAACAAGCAAGCGCAGCAATCACCAGGATGGACAAAGGCCCAAGACGAGAAGATCCTTGCCATGAAGAAGGTGGGAGACAGCTGGAAGATGATTGCCCAGGAAGTCGGCGCATCAAAGAAGGACGTCACGATCCGGTTTAAAGAACTCAGTAAGGCAGGCGAGAAGAGCGATGAAAACGATGATCCCCTCCCATTTGGTGATATGCCGGGAATGTTCACTGAAGACGAACTGACCGAGGACTCTGAACCCCCAGCTAAACTTCAGAAGAAAGGCAAGGGAGAGAAGGGAGGAGGGAAAGGAGATAATGGGAGCAAGGGCAAGAAGGGCGAGAAAGACAAAGTCATCGTTGACACAGTTGCACTGGAGGCTGAGCACGGAAAGAAAGTACTGGTTCCTGACGCCGTATGGACGATTGGTGACCTCGAAGTGTTGGCAAACGTGGAAGAGCGATACAGAGAGCTTAAGTGGATGCATGTCCAGGCGGGCTTCTATAACATGACAGGGCGCATGGTGGGGAGCGAGGTCATAAAAGCTAAATTTCAACAAGGTTGACTGACTGGGATGGAATTGGAGGTGTCGGACAATTATGACGTGCACATCGGGGGGGGGGCTTGCTATTTTACCTTGGATGGGGTGGAGAGGAGGCGGCGTTCGGGGGGCTCCAGATGAAGGCGTCAGTTGGCTTGAAACGCTGGTTGAATGTCACTGCGCTTATATCAGAAAGGCACGATGCAATAGCTCGCTTTTATCATTGATAATCGTAGAGGTATCAGGTTCAACAGCTAACTCTCAGAGTTTCACTGTTTTGTTGCACCTTGCCGTTGCTACTGACCAACCAGGTGATGCATGCAGCTTTCCAGAATTTTAGGTAGCATTCGAAATTATAAACAGGCTACGATTAGTGAACTTCAGTTTTCCTGATTTCATCCTGGGTTGCGATTATTATGTTGATGCGGTTAAGAGTCGTGAGAGTACGAGTAGGAAGTTTTGGGGTTGAGAGTTGAGTTGAGGGGGATGGGAGGTGGTGGTGGGGAGGTGGATTGGGGGGTGTGGAAGATGAAGCATCTTGACGCCGATGATGGATGTGATGAGGAACTTTGGATACTAGACGCCACTGTGGAAATATATTGGTGGAAACGAATAGAAGTTTGAATTTAAAGTATTCTGGATCGCTTCTCCTTGACAGTTCCCTGCGGTTTATCTGTTGTGTGTGGAAGGAGACGAAGTGGGATAACATTTCTGTGAACAACAAACACAAGGGAATCCAAAGAGAAAATAGCTTCAAATAATGAGAACAAATGCCCTTCGGAACATCTCGCCGTGTAGTTCCATACCAAAAACACCAAAGAAGTCTGCACGCCACTCGACAAGGTCACCTATCCCCCTTTCTCTCCTCCCCCCCTTAAATCCCCATCCCCATCCCCCTCCCCCTCCCCCCCCCACCCCCTATAAAACCATCCCCAACCCCCCCCGGACCGCTTAAAACTATATAAGGCCATCTAAGCGCCTTCCACTTATAATCCAACAGCCGCTGGCCTTCTGGTCAAGCGGTAAGGTATGAGAGGCAACACACGCCCTCGGGTGTTCCTTAATTGCCCAGACCTCGGGTTCGAGCCCCGTTGAGCTGGGAGCCTTTCTGATGATAGAATGACTCGCCCTATATCATCAGCTGTTCCACAGACATCGTGGCTTAGTACAGTATGGTCATTTGATGTCTCTTGTTCGCTGAATTGAAGACTAATCATTAGTACTGTACCTTTCATTTTTGTGTTTTTTTTTGTATTCTTTTTTAGGCTTTTGAGGTAGAAGGCGGCGTGGTAGGCGAGTGAACTTTGTTACTTCGTACATTTGCTGCTGATAGTAAATAATATTACATCCCTTGTGTCCCACTAGGATAACTCCTTCATCACCCACCGCTCTGAACTGTCAAAACATCTTAACAACTTCACAGCTTCAAGCATACACTCGATGCCCACACCCCCATCACTCCACCATCCTACACACCCTACACGCCCCCTTCAAACCACCATTTACCTCCTCCTCACAACCCCCTTCTTCACAATCCCAATCCTCCCCTTCTTCGGCCTCTCAGGTCCTTGCTCATGCACCTCCGGATCGCCACCACAATCATCACAGCCATCAGGGAGCCGGATCGATTGCCAGACATGCTTGTTCTTGCAAGGCGTCTGGATCAGCGCTGCTGACTGGCAGAACCGGCCGAGGGCGGAGGAGGTGTGTGTGCAAGCGTGGATGTGGAGGTAGTAGTCACACATGGTGAGGTGAGTGTTCAGACTGAATGGGCGGTTTGATAGTGTGATAATGGTGCAGAAGATCGGATAGAAGTCTGTCTGCTGCTGTCGTGCTGGCGACGAGGCGGAGTATTACGCTGACGGGCGTGCTATAACGTGTCGGATGACCAGGCACGTGGAATATTTTAGGAGCAAGTAAGATGAGACTTGAGGTGCATCAAAGCTGACCGTGATCCAGAAACAAAACGTGCCTTGACGCTGTGAATAAACTCTATCGCGTGATTGAGATTCTGTGTGAGGTAAAGATCTTGTAAGAGCTCTACACTGCCCACCAGCGCATGCACGCACATTTATACTCCTCCATCGTCCAGGCCGCTGCTTGTCGATTCCACATCAAAAGCCTCTTTTCATCAACGTGCAGACAAGAGAGACTGTCCCGACTCAACGGGCATCATGTGAGGGAGCACTCTGCTTGCCTCGCCGCAAGCCGTCAAAGCTAGGCTACCAAACATCTTCATGGAAGCTGGCGGCCTCGGCCCGAGATTATGAGTAACAGCCTCACTCGCAAACAGTTGCGGCGGAATTGCAAACAGACGTCCGTAAATGGCAACAGGGCAAATGGGGTTTGTGTGTTTGGAGTAACAAGATAATGCAAGGCGGATAGAGAATTAGAGAATGGCAAATACTTGGCTTGCTGAGATGGAGCTAGTCTAAGGAGGGCAGAGAGGTCGAACCTCGGGAGCAAACCTTAACTCCAGCTTATCAAGGTTTATATATATAACGTGCCGGACCTGACTACAGGTGTTTGACAGGCGTAACCCGCGATGCGATCTGCAAAGCAGGGCGGAGATCAGGATTCAAGTATCCGGTGCACGTGGGAGATATATAAAAACGTAGCACAGCATGGTGTATGAAACGAGAGGATTTGGAATAAGAGACAATGATGAGGCTGCAGGACAGCGAACTGACGTGATGGTGGACCGGGAAGATGCAGGGACGACGTGATGTCGATGATTAAGTTTAGACACAGGCGGCTGATCAATTTGAAATAGCAGATGAGTGAGGCCATGCAAACATTGATGTTTGAGCGCGCGGTTACTTGTAGTATATGGTGTGTTTAGTATAGGACAGGTATATGGTTGCTTCATAGGGCTATGATGCTCAGGGAGGAGTAAGATTATGTTTGCGACGGTGATGATGAAGGTAGTGTATCGATTGGCGCGCGCGAGGGCATGGAATACTCAAATATATATATATACACACATAAAAAGCCGATCGGTTGGTTCCCCAGACCAGACACCAGAACAACTATTAAGGAGAAAAGGAAAGATCTCACACGGGCAGGGAAAAAAAGACAGAAACCCCCCCAAGTTTCCTTAGCGCCCATAACGTCGCGATCCGCGCGGACCCCAGACAACCAAGACACCGACTGACCCAAACGGACCTAAACGGATCGCAGGACCCCTGCTGGGAAACCTCGGTTGGCTAGATTGGTTTAGTTGGCCATCGGGCACTTCACCGCTTCACCGCTTCACCGCTTCACCGCTTCACCGCTTCACCGCTTCACCGCTTCACCGCTTCACCGCCACTCTCCTCCTTTCACGGTGCAGCTCTCCTCCTTTCACGGTACAGCTCTCCTCCTTTCACCGTGCAGCTCTCCTGCATCTGGGGAGAAAGGAAACGACACCAACCTCCACATATTATCCCTTAGTCCTTATTCCACACGGTCCAAACGTCAATTAGCAGTTCATTAACAAGGACAGTACTAAACAGTACTACTACTAGCCAGTACTCCCTCCAGTACACATACAGCGCAACCTCAACTTGCCGCTATTACGACCCGTGGGTGGCTAAGTGCGTGCGAAACCTGGGAGAGTGCGGAGAAAGGGAGAAAGGGAGAAAGGGAGAAAGGGAGAAAAGGGAGAAAGGGAGAAAGGGAGAAAGGGAGAAAGGGAGAAAGGGAGAAAGGGAGAAAGGGAGAAAGGGAGAAAGGGAGAAAGGGAGAAAGGGAGAAAGGGAGAAAGGGAGAAAGGGAGAAAGGGAGAAAGGGGGAAAGGGAGAAAGGGAGAAAGGGAGAAAGGGAGAAAGGGAGAAAGGGAGAAAGGGAGAAAGGGAGAAAGGGAGAAAGGGAGAAAGGGAGAAAGGGAGAAAGGGAGAAAGGGAGAAAGGGAGAAAGGGAGAAAGGGAGAAAGGGAGCAAGGGCGGCTTCGTTCGCCCTGGGTCTGTGAGGAGGCCGGTTGATGCGTTGGCAAGTGTCGATACATACACACACCACACAGACGACAACACCAAGGAAAGAACGACCTTGCCCTGCCAACTTTATCCCGAAAACACAGCCAACCCCACGCAGTTGCCACGACTGACACGATTGTACACGTCTAAATGCCTGAATAAACGCCCTATGAGGCCCAATTAACGTCAATTCCACGTCAATTGACTCCGCCTGTGGGACTTCCCATTCCTGGATCCTGGATTTGTCCAGCCACCTTCCTGTTCGTCGTTCATGGATCACTACTGCATATCCTCAATTTGTTTCTCCACCTCCGCTGCACCTACCATAAAACCAGCGTAGCGTCACGTCCCAACGCGCGCATCCTGCAATGTCACCTCCTCAATCCACGGCCGACGCTGAGGATAAGAGTCCCCTTTCCTCGTCGCCGCCGATCTCCCTCTCCGACTTCTTTCTCTCAATTCCATACTTCATGGCCTCCACGGAGGTAGATCAGAAGTTCCTGGGGCAATTCGCAAAGAACATCGCCTCAGACAACCCGCTCCTGTCGTCCATGCTGTTCAAGCTACTTGGCCTCTCCGTCGTCCTTGCCAAGCAGCTCGTTCGCGCGCGCAAATTGCGAAAGCTCGATCCAACCCGTGCGACAAAGAGCCTGGACCTGTACTTCCACATCATATGGCTCAGCCGTGAGGGCCTTCTCATCGTGGAGCAATATGTCCTCCACATGGTCTCGTCCTTTGAGGAACTCAAAGTCCTGACCTACAAACTACGCGCCTCCTTCTACCACATCTTTGTCCTCTTCCACAACCAACCGTCAATCAATTCAGCCGGGCCGCGGCAAATCACAACCCCGCCAGGGCTACTCTCCCCACGACAGAAGCAGGACAAGGGCAAGGCACCAGCAATACCAGGCACATCACATACACCAACCATCCCATCACCCCCCGAATCTCGCTCGTCCTCAGTCCAGCCATCACACCCACTAGAAGGCGGACCTGTACAACATCCCGACGCCCAACGAGACGCGCGACAATCCGGCTCCGCAGCAGACTTCCTCCTCCAAAGCAGAGACTACATCCCCACCGCCATGGCCGCCTTCCAAGAAGCCAACGACCTCGCCGAGCGGCTCCTCTGGGGCTCCCACCCCCTCCGCCTCAGCGTCAAAACCGAATTCTCCGCCTTCCTCTACGACTGCGCCAAAGACGCCGACCGCTCCCGCCGCCTCGCCAAAAACACAATCGCAGAAGTCTACAACGCAACCGAAGGCATGGACGACGAGATGTTCGAAGACGCCGCCGAACTCGTCGGCACCCTCGGCAAATTCATGAAGCGCGGCCTCGGCAGCGCAGGCGACAGCAGCTCGGGAAGCAAGAGCACACTCCGAGCTGGCGCTGGTGCCGCAGAACAGCGACAGGAACCCTCAAGACCCCTGAGAAGTACACCGCCCAGGGCCGAGAACCTGCGCAACGAAGCGCTGCGCGATGCCCGTGCGACGCCGCCCCGTGCGACGCCTCCGCGTGCGGTGCCGCCGAGGGGTCTGCTGACTCCGCCCGGGCACCCGAGGAGGGACGCGGAGGTGTCGCCGGCGGTGTCGGGGGTGGGGATGGATAATCCTATTTGATATGAAGATACGTTTTGATTCTGGCGTTTACGGTACGGCAAAGCGACGTTTTTGTTCAATATCGGGGGGCTCTCTTATTACCAGTGGAGCCAGGGAGGGAGTGGGGGAGTGGGCGCATTTATGGCGGGAGCTGATCTGATTTGCTCGTGATCCATATGGCGTTGGGCTTTTGTATTGTTTAATGTATTAACATGAGATAGAGGGGGGTGGTTGCATTTGGTTGGAGATAGCATTCTGTATATATTTCGTCATCGGTTAGCGATGGTGATAATCTACTTTTTTCGAAATGGGATGGGAGGGGGATGCATCAGAGCGGTGGGAGGGAGCAAGCATGGACTGTGACGAGTGAGATAGTCACGGAATACAAATGCAAGCATGGACTGTGACGAGTGAGATAGTCACGGAATACAAATATTGATACTATCAAGCTCCAAGAACCTATTCCCCCTGGCTGCCAATGACAGACAATATTGCCCAAAGCGAATCCAATCTCTCGTCCTCCCAACAACCCCCATCCATCCGTACAACCCCCCCACATCTCACAAACACGACACCGGCCTTTCTTCCAAAATAACCCCCTCACTCGCACTACCCCTGAAGTAAAAAAAAATCTCTCTCGATCTCAGCTCTCTCGCGTATCACGGATCATGTCTCACAACCGTTGATCGGTACTACAATGAGCAGTAGGGTTCATAGGATGCATACTGCGTGTATTGAGTGAGGTGTGAGACATCGTGGGGGCGGGCGGGAGATACCGTGGGTGGGGGGAGGGCTATTTATGTACGTTCGTTCGGTGAAGGTGGATGGGGCGCTTCCAGCAAGGATCCCTCTGCTATGGAAGGGAAGAGCCACACCGAGGATCTTTGGCCTGGAGAGCAAGACAAAGTCGAGAAGTTGTTGGCGTGAAGAAGATGACTGTGGTGCTGCTGATGTTGAAAGTGGCGGTGCGAGAGGCAGCGGTGGTGAGAAGAATCTGTGACGGCGGCATCGATATTAGCGGGAGGGGCAGGCGACGGTGACAGGATTTAGTTACGACGGCACCTATGTTTTCGGGAGAGGCAACAGTGACAGGAATCTATGACAACGGTGACGAGTCGTGGTTCATTGGAAGAGGATACCGTCTAGAAACGCCACTTCTGCCTGGAACTGCATTACGGCGTCCCTCTCTCATCCAATCCTCCTTAGACTTGTGATCCTGAATGAAGCCAGAAGCGATGAAGCCTACATCCCAGGCCGTGAAAGTTCGCATATAGATTGGAAGCTCTTCGCTGCATCGTCCACCTCTCTCCACGTAAGGGTTCACTTGCATGTGAACAATTGAGTTCTCTGTAGAAGGAGGCAAGATCTGGTAAAGTCGACAGATGATGTTTCATTTTATCCAACTGTATTCCTACTCGAGCAGCTATGTAATCCATCACCTAAATACATCCCAGCATCCCCGTCTTCCGAAGCCAACAAGCCTTCCATGATCGACATCTTCAGCTTCCAAGATTTATCGTGTTTAAACACATTGCGAGTAGTAAGGTGGGGAGACGGGAGAGCAATTGAGCCGGACTATTTTAAGTTCTCATCAGCAGATTTTCCATAAATCAACAAAACGAGACAGGAGAGAGGAACTTACAGCACAAGTAGTACACCCCGTATAATCCTGCCCACCACACTGCTGGAACTTCGCAACACTGCAGCTGCCACAACCACCACCCGGCGTCCTAGTCGCTGTCTGGATAACTGGCGGCCCAGTCGTCGTCGCGGATTCACCGCCAGCAGAGCACGCCGAGCCGGCAACATTGCTGATTCCCAGCGTAGACGGCGGGACCGGGGTTGACGTACGAGCTGATGGCTGCGGGGATGTTGATGAGGATTCCAGGATCAGAGGCCTTGTAGGCGCCGGGGAAGTTGGGTTGCGGGGGAGGTTATATCGTTAGTAAATGGGAGGTGAAGATGATAAAGAGGCTGGATGAGACATACAGCAGCTCATGTAAAGCTGGGCACCACCGGTGGATCCAGCAACGTGAAGGGCGATGACTTCGGCGCGAAGCAGGAAGTCTCCACTGCAATATCTGATGGAATCTTCACATTCATCCTTCCGCAGCAGTTGTTCAAGTCTCTGGTGCCCCACCAGTCGTCATCATTAGCATGAGAGTATCTAGCGATGGATACTCATCTATCATACCTTTGCCCACGAATCCGCGTGGACCTTGAACCACCCCGTCGATCTATCTGCTGTTGAGGCATCGGCAACTTTGGACATATACACGTTGACTGGTCCCCAGTGAGCACCTCCGATTGCTTCAGTACGATGATAGATCTCCATTTTGCTAGAAAACCAGACTTTAGTACTAACTCATGTTATCACAGAAATTGAGACCATACCTGGTGCATATCAACCGTCACGGTCTGGCCCGCTATGACAGAGCACTTGCCTGACACGCTACGGCCATTGCAGCGCATATCATTGCTCGTTACATCGGTGACTGTTTGTAGTGTTGTACCCGTCGTTGTGCTCCTTTGCGGAGTCGTTCTGCTTTTTGCTCCCGTTGCTGTGCATCTTAGCGGAATCGTTGCATTTCTTCGCGGAGTCGTTCTGCTTCTTGTTCCCTTGGTTGTGCTTCTTCGCGAAGTCGTTCTACTTCTTGTTCACGTCATTGCGCATCTGCTTTGCGTTGCTGCGCTGCCTTGAAGCTGTTGCCGCAGAGCTTCAATTTTTGACGACATCTTCGAATGCTGAATTAAATGGCTGGCTTTCAACCGTCACTTTTAGTCATAGTGACGCCTAGAAGAATATCACTCTAGTTGTCACAGCAATGTACCGAAAGCAAAATGCTTGAAAGCGCGGATACATGTGTGTCGGGTGGTGTAGGGTTGAGGCAGTCTCTTTATTATCCACACTGATTAGCTGCGCACTGGGTACTCACGAGTCGAGTAGTAGAATTTTTACTCACCCAGCTGAGTTACTCACTCGTGTCCCGAGTAACGTCCTCCACAAGCGAGTGTCGCATACAAGTGAGTGTCGCACGCGACGAACACAACGCGCTCCTTATGTGTACTGCAAGATGCCTCAACAAGTTGATATTCCATCAACTAATCTTGAAGGTAGAATATATATTGCTATCGAAGCTATTAGATTACGCCAATTTAATAGCATTAGGGCAGCTGCAAAGGCCTCAAATGTCTGTCCTAAGCTACTTGAGAGGCGCCTAAAGGGAATACCCCACGACGCGACATTACACCAAAAACTCAAAAACTCAAAAACTCACTTGCTTGGAAGAATCAGTTGTTATTCAACAATATCCTCGACCTAGATTCACGGGGGTTTTCGCCTAGGCTTCATGCTGTTGAAGATATGGCCAATCAATTACTCCATCTCGAGGTGTGGGCAAGGTTGGAGTTAATTGGGCTTCCAACTTTGTTAAACGCCATGTTGAGCTTAAAACAAAGTTTAATCGCAAATACGACTATAAGAGAGCTCTATGTGAAGATACAGAGCTCATAAAAGCATGGTTTACACTTGTACAAAACACTACTGCAAAGTATGGAATTACCAATGCAGACATCTACAACTTTGATGAGACGGGTTTTCAATGGGCATTATTACAACAGCAATGGTTGTTACAAACTCTGAACGGCAGAATCGACCTAAAGCAATTCAACCTGGAAACAGAGAGTGGGCAACAGTAATTCAAGGGATTAACGCGCAAGGATGGTCAATCCACTGTTCATTATTATGAGTGGGAAGAACCATCTCTCAACATGGTATGATGAAGATATACCACAAGATTGGATTCTCGCAGTAAGTGAGAATGGATGGACGACAAATGAACTTGGATTTCAATGGATCCAACATTTTTCATAAGCATACAAAGCATCGTACAGTTGGTGCACATCGCCTGTTAATTCTAGATGGCCATGAGAGTCACTATTCTCTACCGTTTGAGCAATACTGTAAGGAGAATGGTATAATATTGCTTTATATGCCTCCGCACTCATCTCATCTACTTCAACCGCTTGATGTTAGTTGCTTTGGAC